CCCTAACCCTAACCCTAACCCTAACCCTAACCCTAACCCTAACCCTAACCCTAACCCTAACCCTAACCCTAACCCTAACCCTAACCCTACCCTAACCCTAACCCTAACCCTAACCCTAACCCTAACCCTAACCCTAACCCTAACCCTACCCCTAACCCTAACCCTAACCCTAACCCTAACCCTAACCCTAACCCTAACCCTAACCCTGAGCCTCAAGACAGCTATCAGGCATGCGTCCCCTTCCAAGGGTTAGAGTAGCATTGCAATGCAGGGTAGCATACATCAGTAAAGTGGTGTTATGACAAGCTAGCATACAAGTGGAAATTTAACCTTGACTTGCCAAACTTGGAATAAATGGTCATTTTTTGTGCCTCAATTTTTCGCCCATTTTCTTGAATATTTCGCGCTTTTCTAGGAGGCCGAACTTTTTCGTTGATCATCGCGTCGCCTTAGAAACTGGCACACATGGACGAAGCACCACAATCTGTCGACGACGAGGAACAGAGCGTCCATTTCAATAGAGAGCATGCTACGGCAAGTTACAATTATAACAACATGATGAAAGAACGAAAGATGCGTGCGAAATGGTAGACAATGCGGGTGAGCGAGCGGTACGAGACAGATATACGAGTACGAGAAGGGACAGACGATGCAATGCAGAACGGAACAGGGCGACCAACCTACGATGAGCGATTCAGGCAAAGACCTCTTCGACGAGTCGATCGAGCCCAGCCCTCGCTCGCATCGCATGATGGGCCGGCACCTCTTCGCCCTGGTCCGACAAGCTGCTGTTGAAGACTTCGATGCTCCAAGGGCCCCGATACCCAGCCTTCGTAACGGCAGCCTGCACAAACTCCGTCGTCGGCATAAAGGCACCCTGCTCGTACTCGCAGGGGAACAGCCTGTTGCCTCTGGACCAGATCATCCTCGCCGGTCGCGGCTCCTCAGCGTTCGGCGATGGCTTGAGCGGCTCTGGCATCCGACGGGCATCTCCAATCTGGAGGAAGAAGATCTTGTGAGCGGGCACACTGCTGAGCCTGCCGATGGACTGCATGACCGCCGCGTAAGGATCGTCGTACCTATCCGTGATACCGGTTTTGGTGCAGGGGTCGGCATACTCCCGCGCCAGCGTGTTGAAGGAGTCGAGAATGAGACCGACGTTCCCCCTGTCTGCATGCTGAACAGCTTGCCACGCGCGTGCCCACACATCAACATGAGCGCCCCACGAGAGTGCCTCGTATCCGACTCTAATGGACTTCTCCTGACGCTGCATCGTGCCGTCCACGCTTGCGCGATATGAGGTGCAAATAGGACCGAAGTGCTCCGCATATCGTCCAAGCTGAGCGAGGTCGCTTCCAATCCTCTCGACGTCGCCTACCGTGGCGGGCGCATGCTGGTTGTTGGAGCAAATGAGCAGCAGATCGGCGCCGAGCATGCGCATGATCTCGAAGCGCGAGCGAGCACGTCGGAGCGCAAGCTGTTGGTCCTCCGGCTTGGCCCAGCCTTCAAAGTCTCGCAGCGGCTGCAGACTGTAGATGGCCAGACCGAGCGAGTCGCAAAACGAAGCGATGTATGAGGCGGCAGCAAGCTCTTGGCGATACGTTGTGGTCGTGCATTCTCCCCAAGCGTTGTAGGTCATGGGCAGACCGTCCGAGCCAATGACGAGCTCGCCACGATCAGTGCGCACGAGCAGATCGTTGTCGAGACTAGTCATGGACAGACCCTTGCTGCTGCTGCTGACCGGAATAGCAGTGTAGGAGGTAGCGCTCGTGCTGGTGGTCGACGAGTCACTAGCAGTCGACGAGCCGGAATGACGGCGTCGGTTGTGGTTTCTGGGCGAATCGGGTGGGGTGAACGCTGCGATGGTGTCGTGAGCCAATGGTGCGGAGATGAGGGCGTCGCCGCGAGCCTGAAGAGCTCGAAACTCGTCCGAAGCAGCAAAAGCATCGAGATCGTCTTGAAACAGCTCGATGCCGTCGAAACCAGCCGAGGCGATGGCGCGGAGCTTGGAGAGCAGAGAGTGGCCAGCCAGGGTGGCGCCGACCGAGTGGGTGAAGATCGAATATGGATGAGGGCGTGTATATGGCTCCGAGGACGACATGTTGGACAGATGTGCGAGCTGTGCTCTGTGGGTCGAAGATCGCCTTGATCGGACGGGGTTTGCAATGCAGAAGTGACGAGATGATCCGCAGAGGTGGCCCGGCAAGGAGAGACCGTGATGTGATGGCGGTGATCTGTCACCTAAGATGATACGAGGGTGTGCTGAAGATGACGACGCTGGGTGGAAGAAGACTGAGTACGAGACAGATGTGCACAGAAGGGAGCGTTACGATCGACGATGGGGGAACAGAAGGAGGATGAGGGGCGTAGAGATAAAGGACGAGAGCCGGGCTCCTGAAGCTCGGGAGAGGGGACCGTCGAGCTTCAATCAGCACAGTCAGTATCAGGTTCAGACCAGGGTTCAGGGCCAAAGAAGCTGAAGAAGCGGTACGAAGAGGCCCGGAAGCTCAGAGGAGAGGGAGCCGCCTGGACGCAGAGCCAGAGCGGGGCGAAGGAAAAGTTTAACTTTTTCTGAGCGTCTCGAACCCGCCGGACGGCCAACTTTCCTGGACTCCGTCATTGCAGACGGACCGATGTCTTATCTGGCTGACGAGGCCGACAGGGCTGAAGTGGGGAGAGATATGTGCATCGAGGCGTGGCTTCGGAAGCCAAGGTCGCATGCCAAAGCGAGAGAGAGAGAGACAGCGTCGGGTATCCGAAGATCCCTCTTGTCAGGACGATCTGTGAATCCGCTAAGCGAGCCGGAAAAGTCACACGCGCCCATAGTCCAAAGGGTGCAGAGGAGCAGTACGGCGACCCAGGAAGCGGGTTCGCTGCCTGCGGGCTGCAGCTGATCCTGAACTACAAATCATCAAGAAAGGGTACACGATCTGTTTGGGCAGTGCATCTGATCAGCACACATGCTAGGCGAGCCGTGGTAGCGGATGATGCACCTGGCCAGAAGAAAAATAGTCAAAATTCAATCAATGACGGCACAGATCGACGGGATAGAGGCCTCGTACCTGAAAACTTCATAGTTCGCCTCTTCGACGCCTGCACCGCTGCGGCGGTCAAGTCGGCGCACAACGGCAGATGGCGTTCTAATTCGAAAGCTCATCATACATGTGCACCGTTGCCCGTGCCTTTTCCGTCCAGCCGAGGCGGGTCATTCCACCGTCTTATTTGTTGCCGTTTCACAAGAGACAGTGATTGCGTCGTGACCTCAGACATAGAGACACAGAGTGACTTGAGGTGCCTTTTATTGCAGTCCTCGCACCGCCCGGCCGGTCGATGAGTCAAAGAAAGCTTTGCTCCAGCTGATGAGATTAGCGGAGTTGAGCTTTGCAATTTTTCCTCACGTTGCGGCGCGGCCAAACATATGAGACTTTCCCTGCAGGGGCGGAGTCTGTGCTCGTGGGCCTCGACACCGTTGTCGATAAGCTGCCCTAACTCCTTGATGACCGTCGTATTCACTTCCTTTGCGCACGCGGCCAATCGACCGTGGCGACAATCTGAGCTAGTCCGCAGACGTGTTCCCGTGGTCGCCCCCACACACAAGACGATAATGGAGGGGTAAGCCGAACGGTTCGAGACCTGCATCTCGCAAAAGCAGACTCGTGCTTGGCGAGGCCAATTCGCTTCAGAGGGGACAGGAAGCGAGCATTTGGTCTCGCGTCGACATCGAGACGGCTCCTTGCGCGAGTCCCGAAGCCGGCTCAAAGGGTCTAGCCTTGTGGTCGGCGAGCTGCAAAGGCACTCAATTGCGTCTTCGTGCCGCGTGTTGGCGTAGAGTGGCAAGGCTCCATTCGGGTGGCGAGGCTCAACGTGAAAGATTCGGTACACTCTGTTTCAAGCTTGCCGACTGTGAGCCTTACCGCTCAGGGCACGAAAATCTGCCTGGTCCAACTCAGCTGCCAGTTCTTCCCGTGTTCCAGGTGTGGCACGAGGCAAGAGGGAACTGCCGGTCTCTCGAGTTCTGTTTGCAGGTCGCTCGGCGCTCAAACTTCACACAAATATGTTTCAGGTTCGGGGCTAGAGCACAAGGGATGCCGTCAGTGAAAAGTCTTAAATTTCGCCCGTCGCCTTACTCCTCTGTCATTAGCCCGACGTCCGGACGGTGCGTTTCATCAGCATTGCCCAGACTGTATCGGCACGGCGCGCTAGCCATTCGTGGCATTCAAGCACTAGTTCAGACCGCTAGGTGCGGGCGTCGAGCTTTCACGGCGACTTCAGTGATGATTCTATGTCATCGCCGATTTGATCTTCTCAGATCAAGCGTCATACGCGATCCGGACTCGTGCTAACAGAGAGTGACCTAACATACAATCAGATCCGTTCCGCGGTTGGCACACTGCTCATGGCACACGGCATCCCGAGAGGATCGTTTCAGACTTCTATTGAATGTATATGATGTGTTTCCAGCATGCAAGAGCGCCATCAGAGCTCTTGATGATCTGACCCGCCCACCGAGGAGGTTCCTGCCCCGCCCGAAGTGCGACCAGAAACCTTCTCGAGGGCTTTGCGGAGCGCGGGATCGACCTTGTCGGGCAAGACGAGCTGCCAGTCCACGTACAGCTTGCCGAAGAGCATGTCGCGACCAGCGCGGACGTCTTCCTCGGGTGGATCCGACATACTCGTACCGTGAACGGGCATTCCCTCGTTGTCGACCACGGTCACAAAACCAGGCTGAGTCACAGCATCGCGTTTGATGTTGATGGTGCGCCCGTCCATGTGCGTCAAGTTGCGCTCGAACCCTAACAGCGCTTCCGAGAGCGAGATAGGAAGCGTCGTGTAGAGCGAGGTATCGGCCCTTCGGAATTGACCTTTCGCGCGTCGTGCGTTGACCTTGACGATCACATCGCCTGCCTCGTAGTCCGGCGCCTCGTCTGCCTCTCCTTCGATCACTACCTCGACGCCATCTCGTGCCCCCCTCTCGATTTCAACATCGACGGACGCAATCTCCTGAACAATCTTCTGCCCATGGCACTTGCTGCACCGGTGCTTGATCACGGAGCCAGCACCTCCACATCGGTCGCACTGCATCTGCGCATTGGTGATGAAGCCGGGCATGATCTGCTGTCGAACGATCCTGACGCCCCTGCCGTCGCACAGATCGCAGGTATGGATGTCGCCTGGGGACTCGGCACCGCTGCCGTCGCAATGCGAGCACACCACGTTGCGCTGGTACTCGAGTGTGAAGGTCCTGCCCTTGTAGAAGTCTTCGATGTCCATGTCTACGTTGAAGGCCTTGTTGGGACCTTTGCGCACTCCTCCGCCCCCGCCGCCACCGCCAAAGAAGCGAGAAAAGATGTCGAAAGGATCCTGTGCATGCTGATGCGGGTTGTCCTTGCGCGCCTGGTGCTTCTTGACTCCGTCCACGCCGTATCGATCGTAGATCTTGCGTGTCTCTCCGTCGCTGAGTGTTTGGTAAGCATCGCTGAGCTCGAGAAACTCGGCGTGCTTGTCCGGATGCTTGTCTGGGTGAATCTTCTGCGCTCGCTTGCGGTAAGCTCGTTTGATGTCGCGTTCCGAGGCTGTCTTGTCGACTCCCAGCACCTTATAGTAGTCCTTGGCTGCCGCGACGAGGGCGGCGAGCCAGAGCGAGGCCACAATCGAGTATAGCAAGAGCCATGATATTCCACTGCGTCTTGATGCAGGCCTGCGACTCGATATCAACGGTTTCATTGTGATGCTTATGGTGGCCTACGTCGAGGCGTGGCAGGAGCCGTCGGAAAGAAGCTCTTTCGGGTTGGTCGAGGGGCTGTCTCACGCCGAGACAGACTCTGTGACAGGCGGAAGGCAGGTGCAAGCCGACGAAATCTTCGTGAGAAACTGCTGCGCTTCGTCTGCCGGGACGTCTTGATCACGGAGGTAATGTTGCAGTCGGGGGCTGCAGTCGTATGGGAGGGTAGGGTCCAAGTGTACCCTTCGTAGCATTGCACGTCCCAATTTCGGATATCGGTGGGCGGTGAGCTGGAAGGGCACTTCTTCCAAAAACAGCAGCCGCGCTGTCGTGCGACAAATTTCGAGAAGCGGGACGCGATTTGGCGGCAGCACACTGAGAGCCGTCTTCATTGCACGGCAGTGCCCCCCTTCCATCATTCTCAGGACTCGCCCCTTCTATAATAAACGAGGACGCGAAGGTGCTTGCTGCGGTCTCGCAATAGTGTACAGGGTGCTTTCTGATCGGGACCATAGCATTTGATACAAAGGAGAGAGAGCGATGCTCCCTCAGAAAGCCCAATTGAAACAGCCGACGCTCTTGAGGAACATGCCCCAGTCCGTCGGCGTCAGTCCGCTGTCGATCAAGCTCCACAAGTGCTCGTTGAGCTTTTCCATGCGTTCCAGATCAAACTTGTAGTAAGGGCGTAGCTGGTTGAGCATGACACGGATTCGACCTCGGTCCTGATAGCGTGTCGAGAAGGCGGCAAAGGATAGAGGCAGCACGAGACTGTCACGGAGGCAAGGAAGAAGGAAGCCTATCAGCTTCTGAAAGCCTGGAGCCCTTTAGCTGAGAACGCACTTACCCTTTGGTGATGCCCGCTTGGATAGCCTCCTCTGTGCGATTCAGCACCACTGCTGTTGGCTCTGCAAAGCAAGGGTGGTCCGCTGGTTTCGCAAAGATGACAGAATGGATGTACAGCTCGGCAGCTGCGACGTAGAGGTGATTCATGATCACCGGCAAGAGCGTTTGCAGCGTCCGTGTTGCCTCTGCTGGGAAGGGCATCTTGGCCCAGATTGGAATCTCGGCTACCAAGGCTCGCGCGGTCGACTCGAGCCATAGTCGTGTCTCTTCGTACTCAGGTGGCAGGGCAGGTGGGGAACCCCCACCGGGCGTTTCGGAAAGGATGATGGTCACACTTGTGCGTTCCTGCAGCTCGCGCCGGGTTGCTTCGACGCGTGTCATCCTTGCCAGCATATCGATCATGCCACGATGCAATCCGAACGTCTGCAGTACGCTGTCCTCCTTAATGCTGCGTGGCGAGTCCATGAGTGCATACCACCAGTCGTCCCACGGTTGCAGGAAGAGCGTGTAGTCGTCCGAGGTCAGCGAGCTGAGGGCATCGAAGCAGGCAATTTGCTCGATGAGAAACAGGCTCGACGGATCCGACTGGTCGACAAAGGCGGCTGGACCGCCCAGCTCTGCGATGGCTCTGGACGCGATATGGAGCGCGTCCTGCCAGTCTTGCTGAGCTGCTAGTCTGTCGCGCGTAGCCAAGCCGAGAACGGTTGCAAGCATGATGGCGGCATTGCTTCGATCCAGAGGCGCACGTCGCTCTTGGAGAGTGGTGCGCAAGAGTCGCAGGCTTTCCTCACGGCGAAGATTGCTGAGCTCGAGCAAAACGTTGGACATGATGCTGTTGGTGCTGGTGCCGTTGATCACGTCGGCCATCCCCTCAGGTGCCTTGTCCATGTCCATCGAAATGGAGCTATGTAGAGACGGACCGGTCATCTCCCGTGTCCCTCCGGCGCTGCTGCCAACAGGATTCGAATTGCGTGACGAGGCTTCTGCTCGCGATGCAGAACTTGGGAAGAGGTCGGGAATGGGCGATTGGGACAATTTGTGGCCAATGTCGAGGCTGGCCATACTGAGAAGCGCAGAGCGTAGCGCGTCTTCGTATCCGTTGACTCCATGTGAATGTCGCACTGCAAACGTGGCGTGGTATCGGATCCAGCGATTGTCAGAGAGGGGGATGCGTATGACACAGAGCTGCGGAGCAACTTCAAGAACATAATGGCGAAAGAGGCATTGCTGCTCGTAGGTCGGAAAGTAGGCATCGAGATGGTCAAAACCAAGACCCGCAGGAAGCTCGGGAATCTTGACTTTAGAGACATCGGTGGATGATGAGCCGACTGAGCCGGAATAGGGGTGCCGCGGGTAGGCGTGGGGTCTGTGGTGGTCGTAGTCACCGGCAGCCTGTCTTGCATGCCTTGTGCCTCCATTCGAGCCATTGTGAACACGGTAGCGATCGTTGTGTGCAGTAGTGGAAGCGCGAGCTCGGCCCGTCCGATGGGGAGATAGGGGGCTTGCGGCATCGAAAGTCGAATGTGGAGAGGTGGTTGAGTTTGCTGCAGGCCGATGATACGAGGGTGATGGACCGACGCCTGCTGGTGAGAAGGAAGGTGATATCCCATACGCGCTCTTTGGAGGATCAGATGGCTTGTCTTGATGAACGAGAGACGTCACCTGGAGACCCACAAGCGACGGAGAGCGGCTGCCGTGCGCTTTCCCACCGGTGCTTGTGATCTGCTGATTTGAGCCAGGCTCGGTGGCACCAGAGGGAGTCGATTCGTCTGCGTAGACGCATTCTCGGTCACCGCAGGCACATCTACGGCAGGTGGGTCTCTCTTCGTCGCACTTGACCCGACGCTTGCGACATGTCAAGCATCCGGCAAGCGAGCGTTCGTGATAGCGCTTGACGCGGTTGGGGATGTACTTTGCTTTGCCTTTGGTGCCCTTGGACGGACCGGGTTTGGCACTGGCATCATCTACACTGCTATCGCCTCGTTTCCGCTTGCTGCTGACCGCACGGGGCTTTGTCGATGTGCTGATGCTGTCTTGCGTGTCACTTGGAGGTTCATCGGTGGGAGGCGAAGCAGACGGGGAAACGGGCCGATCCGATGATGCTGAAACTGACGCCTGTCGGCGACTTGTCATCTCGTCCGACGCGAGGCGGACATTCCCGATGTATGTTGAGTGGGCTGTTGTCGTGGCCAGGCGATGCAGATGGATGGCTGAGTCGGTGAGCGAATTCGCCGGTGATCAAGTAGCGAGAAAGCCGATGACTTGCGGATGAGGCGGGGCGGTGGGTCCGGCGTGTCACGTTCCTGTCGATCCGAGATTCAGAGACAATTGTAAGGGTGAGGACGAAAGGCATTCGCCAGAGATCGATGGAGGCTGATGGCAAGAGGCAGCTGTTGATGGGGACGCTGTCATCACTGCCCAGCTTGATGCCCTCTTTCTGCAGGCGAGGGTTGATGCGGGGTTTATCGGCAGCGATAAGTGCGGTCCAACAGAGCTTTCCTCTCGGCCAAAAAGCCGCAATCCAGAAGAAACAGCTGCCCTTCTGCGTCAAATCCAATTTGAATGCAATTTGAGTTGGCCGGCCGACCACCTGCCAGATGCTCTTGACGAGCTGGACCCTGAAGCTGTTGCTCATACGAAGCTATCCTGTGAGGTGAGGTGGACCGCTGCACAACCTTCACCGAAGGATGGAGACGAGCTATACGCAGATCGAAGCCGGCCTCCCGAAGGGGCAAAGCATTCAAGCGAGGCGAGTTCGAACGCGGACAAACGGAAGAACTGCTGTAGGGCGCAGCGGATCTTGCCGCGAGGATTTCCTTATCTCTTAAGCCACGCTCTCGATACAACAGACCGAGAGGCGCTGCCACCACCAGAACGGATGCCGGCGACCTCATCCTTGTCAGCGCCTTCCCTACGATGATGGCCGTCGTGCCGCGGTTTCCTTTTGCTAGCTTCAGGCCGGCTACTTATATGCTGAGAGCCCACACTGAAGGATGCCCGACCCTTTTCCGCGGAAGAGCAGCCATACACTGGCCCAGTGCCACCTCGTTTAGCACGCGGGATCTTTGCACGCAAAATCACGCAGCGCTGCCATAACTAGCCAAAGAAATCGCAAGGCAAGCCGACTCGTGACGTGAGCACGCGGGGCAGACAAAGCAGCTGGCAGGCACTCTCTCCAGCCCATGACGGCATCTCCGCCTTTCCGCCGCTGCCGTCCGCCAGGGTCCTGCTTCCTCGCCCAGACGCCGCGCATTCCATTATTCACAGAGCAGCCTGCGCAAGGGTATGCCATCTTGCCCTCCAACCATACCCTCGAGGCTCACTCGGTCAACGTGAACCGCGCCGGAAAGGCCGACGTCTTAGCTTTACGATTGGATGAGCCTAGTGAATTGCGACTCGCTTTCCCACGCCACCATCCTTCCCGTGGGCCTCGCACGTACGGTCAAGCGAGAGTCGGCCGCTCACCGCCATGGGTCTCAAAGCCAACTTCGAGGAGACACCCACGCTGCTGGCACCGCCGTCATATGTCGATAGCACCTCCGACAGCAATGCTCATACGATAGCAAAAGGGCAGTCTCGAGACATTGCACCACGCTACAGTGCGTGGAAGCTCATCTTCTCCACGTTCCTCGGCACGGCGCGATTCAGCACACTGGATGACCTGGATCAAGAAGAGGAGCAAGCAACGGTCTTCTATGAGCTGCTCTGCAACCTCAGGCGGGTCTCACGCCTCTTTTACTCGGTATCAATGTCGCTCTTACGGCCCATGTTCTTTCCGGAATACCTCGATGCGATCTCCGCCACTGTCTACTCTACCAACCTCAGCAGGCACGCCCTCGATCAGCCCTGTCGCGAGACTCGCGTGCTAGATCACTACATCTCATACAGGATCAATCGCCGCCACCTCGCGTCACGATCGTCTCTCCTGCTCAACAACGACGACCTCGAATCCGACCATCGACAAGTATCGCAGGATCTGTTCAAGTGGCTCCAGCCTCAGACCTACATGGAGGACGAGATTGGCAAAGCGCTGCGCAGCTCTACTCAAGCGTTGAGTGACGTCCATTTCGAGGATCTGCTGGTGCGCTTCCACTTCACACGAGCCGCCATTACGCTGCCGTTTCTCATCGACTCGTCTCTAGCGCAATCTTCCGCATCAACACCCCACACCGTCAGAAAGGAATGCGTGGCAGTCGATCGAGTCTCCAGCGAGCCCGTGTTTGTCACAGCGCACAAGTTGCTCGATCAACTCAACGATCTCGTCTTTGTCCGCAAAGCACATGCCGGCAAAACGTGGTACGAGCTGGTGGGACACGCCGGTTGAGCATCTTGCAAACCAGGCCGACGACGTCACTCTCGTTGCAAGCCTCTCGCAAGTCACGCAAAGATCACAGGCAAGCACAGGCCATTGTCGTATATCTCGCGTGCATTCCCTTAACTCTTATAGTTGCTTCTGTCGCGCCCGGTTCATACCATCCATGCTGGTATTCGCCGCCAGCAACCAGTGCGCAAGGTCGGTCGCCCAGCTTGGCAGAAGGGCAAACACCTCGGACCAATTGGCATACCATGGCATGGCTATTGTCCCTCCACGTCTCCGTTGCACGGTCTTCACGATTCTCTTGGCGACTGCATCCGGCTCGACTGTTGGCCCCAGGAAGCGAGCAAGCAAGTTGGCGGGCATCCCTTCGAACAGCTTTGTCTTGACATGGCCCAGTACGACTAGCGTGGTACGGATCTGCGGACAGCGATAGCAGTAGTCGAGCTCATACCTCAACGCTTTGTGTAGACCAACGACGCCATGCTTCGAAGCGCAGTAATCAACCATCTGCGATACACCGGTGTGACCCATAACCGAGGCGGTCGAGACAATGTGGCCAGGCTTGCGATCCTTCTTCGCTCGCTCGATCATGCTCGGAAGCAGATGGCCGAGCATCCATAGATGGGATGTGAGGTTGACGTTGATCAGACGCGAGAGTTGCGGGGTCGAAAGCTGAGTGATGGGCTGCGAGTGGGTGAAGCCGGCATTGTTGATCAGCACGGTCGGCGTGCCGTGGATCGCCAGGATCGACTTGAGCACCTTGGCGAGCGCATCTTCGGTGGCCAGATCGCAGTTGTAGGCCGATATATTGCCGCGAGCTGAGGAGTCGATCTTGGACTGCGCGTCGACAGCGGGAAGCTTCTGTATGTCGATGACGACCACCTTGGCGCCCTTCGATGCGAAGCGGACGGCAGTGCGATATCCGATGCCTGAGGCACCTCCAGTGATGACAATAAGCTCGTCCTTCCAGTCGCTCTTGCTGATAGATCGGAGATATGTGCGATTGTACCATAAATGAGAGGAGAGGACCAGCCACCATCCCATCAGAACGACCAGAGCTGCTGCGCCCAACGACAGTCGTTGGCGTTCGTCATCCGGAAGCAGGGCCTTACTTGCCTTGAGTGCATCCCAAACCCATTCGTTGGACGTTTTGCAGCCGTGAACATCGCATCCGAGGGCTACCAAGTAGGCAAGACTCAACACCGGATGGAGGATGGTCCACTTGCAAAGGGCGACAATCGTGTCGATAGTGAAGAGCGCCATTAACCCTCGCAGTCGAGTGCAGCAGTCGCCACGAAAGGCAGCTGCAGCGCCGAGGACTGTCAGGAAAGACGAGCCGCACGACCCAATCGTGTTGCGTCCGCGTGGCCTTGACTACCAGATACGCGAGAGGGCGGGAAGGATCGGCGTGGATTGTCGTGAGCAGGAAGATCGCGGGACTCGGCTTGACACGGCGCCTAAACGGAGATGCACGAGCCGTGTGGAGGTTTAGCCGCCAAAATGGGACCCTTGACGAGGCTGTGAGAGGCGCTGACTTGGGGCGGAGCAAGCATGAGTCGACGAGCCAAGAAATTGGTATAGCCCGGTCATCGAGCTTGGCCATGCTTGGCTCTGGTGGTCTCCTCAGACCCAAACGTAAGCATACTTCATGGCACTCGACTTGAGAGTCATGCATTGCACCCTCCGCTTTTGGGCTGAACGCTCACCACCGTCGCGCATGTGGTATTGTGATCTGGTTGCACGGCACGCTTTCTTTATTGGTCCGAGCAGGGCAGCGATTCTTTGACGGCGAACGTGGCTGCGACTCTGCAATTGGGGAAGCGCCGCGAGCCACTCTCGAAGCGAACACGGGCCAGGTACGAGACGGTCATCTGCCGGCGGGACTCCAAAGGGGCGAGAGCGAAGGAGGCTCTGCAGTGCAGGCCTTTCCAAATCCTTCGGACTTGGGGCTCGAAGAACCGAGCGTACATCGCTCAGGCTGTGCTGTTGAGTGAGCAAAGCTGCGTGGAACAGGTCTGCACAGCTTCGGCAAGATGATCCCGAAATGAGGCAACCGCTTAGGGGAACAATCAAAGAAGCAGCCTTGGAGCCGAGAGACCCTCTTCTGCGCAACAGCAGCCTTTTTTTTAGGCTGCTGGTCAGCTTGGTCGAGTCTCGAAAAATGACGTCGACGCGCACACTGCTCGCCCACCGTCTTGCGCTCTCTCCTTTTCTCTCAGGAGCTCAAGCGTGTCAACATGAACGTCAGTCACAGTCATGCAGCCATGGCTCTGGAATTAGCCCACGCTCTCACAGCTCCGATGATCACACTCTATAAAGTCACCCTGCAATTTGGTTTCAGCCATTCTCTTGCTCCATCCACCATCATTCTCCTTCTTCGATAACCTTTGCAACGGACATCGTCAACTTTGCCCAACATGCCTTTCACTTGCAGCGATATCATCAAGATCATCTTGGCCATCTTCCTCCCACCTCTGGGTGTCTTCCTGGAGCGAGGCTGCGGCGCGTACGTATTCGCTTCTTGCCCGTCTCCCTTGCGCGCAGCACGTGCTGGCACGTTGCAAAGGCGCCTCTCTGCTATCGGGACCATCGCATACTGACTTTCCTCTGCTGTATCTTGTACATTCAAACACAACAGTGACTTCTGGATCAACGTCCTCTTGACCATCCTCGGCTACTTCCCCGGTATCATCCACGCTCTCTACATCATCTTCAAGTATTGAGCAGTCGCGACGACATCGGACAATCCCACGCCATTCGCTCTTTCTTCCACCACGACGTCAGCGTCGCTGTCTCCCGGCGAAACATGCATCAAGCCTTGACTGCATCCTGAAGCGTCAAACCGGCGCTGCCCATCTTTAACCAACACAGCGCTGTATCTCCCTTTGTTCTTGTTCACATATGCTTGCGTACCGCAAATGATACCACGATTTGTTCTCGTTCATTCCACTTGGCGCCAAAGCATTCTGGGCGACTGTGGCCAGTTCTTTCCCGCAATGATCCGCAAGATGTGGTCGATCAGGTCACGGAACACACAGCTTGTCGGTCAGACTCCATGATCGCTGCTTGTACGCTGCCTCCTAAAGTAAAGCGAAGGTACTACGACAGTGAAGGCGATAGGTTCGCGAGTCGCGCATCTCCGTGAGACTAGACAGCTCCCTGCGTTCCATCTCCGGTCTGAATAGGCAAAGGCTTGGGCTCGGCACTCTGGCCATCCTGCACTGTACCAGTGAAGTCCTTGAAGATAATATACGCATCCATCAGCTCCTCGCCACCGTCCTCAGTCTTGAGCAGTCCAGCCATCGGAAGACGTCCTACAATAGTGAAGCCGAGTCGTTGCCAGATCTTGACACTGGCCATGTTGTTGACGTAGACCAGGTTGAACACGGACCCCTTGTAGCCGGCCTTGGGGGCAAAGTGAAGGAAGGAGCGACCCAGAATGCCGCCCAAACCGAGGCCTCTTCCTGCAGGCGGAACGACGAAGCCGCCATTGCACAGATGCGAAGACCGACCCGGATAGTTGGGCTTGATGTAGTAGAATCCTGCTACTTGCGATGCATAGTCGAGTTGTGAGAGGGTTGGCAGATTGGAGACGTCGTCGACTTCAAGACCTTCCTCGGGGACTGTGGTCGACGCTATCGATGCGAACTGATGCGCAGACAGGAAGAATCCCACAAGAAGGTCGTAGCCGAGGAAGTAGCCTTCGAACTCGGCCAGCTCCATCGGTCCTCGCTGAGGGTAGGTGACCCCCCGCTCGAGCTCGTCGTTAAACACCTTGGCGAGGTACTCTATCAGCCCTTTGGGTGGTTTCAGCGCCTTCCTCGCGCTACCACGAGCAGCATCTCCGTATGCGTCCTGTTCCACGCCCTCAGCATTGAAAGGGACGACGACGATCGCTTCACGCTCCTGAGTCTGTGCACGCTGTGGAAGCGCATAGACTCGAGGTCGGAGCGTGCTGGGATCCGACCCGGCTGGTCGTGGTACGTGTCCGTAAGCCATGTTTTGGTTTCGAGTTGTTGGTGGACAGGACGAGAGCTGGGGCGTCCTTGTTGAGCCTGTCTATGGTGCCTCTTGTAGATTGCCCGACCGAATCTTCTTGGCAAGCATGAGGGTCGAGAGGTTGCGGATCAAACTCGCTCGGTGTCTTGATCGGACCGTCTTACAGGAGAATCCCAGTTCAGATCTCCCGATGGCCCCTCAACTTCAATTCAGATGCCCCACAGATCCGCTGGCTCAGGCTGCAGCTAAGGCGTAATCGCACAGGCAGAAGAATTTCGGCTTCACGTCATCGTTTTCGAGCCCTTTCTCGACACAACAGGCCGTGACACATTGGCGGCCATTGCACATCCACGAACATGCACGCCTGTCATGAACTCGGAAATGCTGAGGCTTTTCCAGCATCCAAAGCCGGTGTCAAGCTCGTCAACAGGGCTAAAAAGGGTGGAGAAGGCTCGATCAAAGAAGAGGGGCAGGTCTGAGCACGAGGCGGTGGATGCTGACGCTCGGCAATGCAAAATCGAGCCAACACAAATAGCCTCGGTCGAGCTGACCGGCTTTTGGTGTTTGCAAATGTCGATCCGGTCCAGAGAAAGATGACGGCGAGCGGGCCCAAGCGAGGGGTCAAAGCTTTCTCTCTCCAAATCTTCCGGCCCACTCGGTGGTACAGACCACAGGTCGCAAGAAAACTTGGGAAGAAGTGAATGTTGGTGTGTCACCGCCTCTCAACCTTAAGTCCGAGACGCTGTACGTTGTGTATATATGATCCCGTCTCCTTCCATCTTACTGCCAACCCGTCTCTATCACCTCACAGCCACATAGCAACCATGTCGCATCTCGAAGTTCTCAAGAAGCCCGTCGTCTTCTCCAACGGCGTCTCTGCGCCCAATGCCACCCTCAAGAGTGCCATGACCGAGCGTCTCTGCACGTGGTCCGACGATGACTTCAAGAAGCGTGGCTGGCCCACACCTGAGTACATCCAGCTCTACAAGACCTGGGGCGAGGGAGAGATCGGCACCATCATCCTCGGCAACATTCCTTGCGACGCCCGCTACCCCGAGGCCAAGAAGAACGCCTGTATCGACCCCGAGATCGCCTCGCACGACGAGTACGTCAAGGCGTACAAGCCTGTCATTGAGGCTGCCAACGCTCACGGCTCGCTCGTCATTGCCCAGGTAACCCACGCTGGTCGTCAAACGTCCGAGGAGGTCGCCAAGACCCCTGTCTCCTCGTCGGATGTGCAGTGCCCTCCTGGCATGGGCATGACCTTCGGCAAGCCTCGCCCCTTGACCGTCGACGAGATCCACGACATTGCTCGTCGATTTGGCTTCGCTGCCAAGGTGCTCTACGAGGCCAAGTGCAACGGTATCGAGCTGCACGCTGCTCACGGCTACCTCCTCTCGCAGTTCCTCTCGCCCCGTGTCAACAAGCGCACTGACCAGTACGGCGGTGACCTCGAGGGCCGCTCGCGCATCGTCTTTGAGATCATCGAGAGCATCCGCAAGGCTGTCCCCGATGAGAAGTTCATCATCTCGATCAAGATCAACTCGGCCGACTTTGCCGATGGTGGCTTTGACGCCGAAGAGTCGTTTGCCATGTCCAAGAAGCTCGAGGCTGCCGGTGTCGACCTGATTGAGCTCTCGGGTGGCACGTACGAGAGCAGCGGTTTCGAACACAAGAAGGAGTCGACCAAGGCACGTGAGTCGTTCTTCATCGAGTTCGCCGAACGCATCCGCCCCAACCTGTCCAAGGCGAGGCTCGCGGTGACTGGTGGGTTCCGCTCGTCCAAGGCCATGGCCAAGGCGGTGGAGGAGAAGTCGTGCGACATTGTCGGCATGGCCAGGCCTTTGTGCGGTGAGCCGCTGCTGTGCAAGGATCTGCTCAGCGGAAAGCAGGAGAAGGCGAGGGACGTCCACGCCGACTTGCCCAAGCAGATTGAGATCGCTGCCTGTGTCGTGCAGCTTAACCAGGTCGGCCACGGCGCTACACCCTGCGACACTTCCACCGCTGAGGGCGCCAAGTTTGCTACTGACGCTGTGATGCAGCGCAAGGAGCCCGAGCACGGTGGCGAGAAGGACCAGAAGGCATGAGTGACCCCTCGCTACGACGCTCCGTTTCCACGGCCCTGTTCCCGCATTCCTCTTAGACATCGCATGCAACGATGCAATAACTTAGACAGATTTCCACCGGCTTTGACTGCGCGCATTTGAAGTGGCGACGCCCACATTTCATCTGCCAAGTGGCGTCGCAATTCCCGCGCCTCTTTCTGCGCATGCCTCGCTTTGGAAGCTCAGTCGACTTGAGCGGGCCCCTTGCGAGTCACTCAAGAGCGCGCGACCTGCAGAGAAGCGCCAGCTGTGTGCGATCGAAGGGCGTCGCCTTCTTTCTGTGATTGCACGACGCGACGCGCCGCGTCGCCTTGTGCACTCGCCTGGGTCTTAGTCCGATTCAGGCATGTGTTACTGATACGAACAGCGATCTATTTGTTCTCGCCCTTCCTCGCTACGCTTCCAACGGTCTCTGTAATGATCGCTCGAGCGCGAGCGTTGAGCTCGATGGCGTCAAAGCCAATGCCGGGCCCCGCAGGCTCGTCGCATCCACCACCGTCGGGAGCACAGCAGACCACAGCTCAGCGCCCGCTCAAGACGGAGCGTGAAGTCGATGAGCTTGAGGACGGTGTCACCACTCCGCCTCTTCGCGCTGTTCAACTTGCCGTACACACGACCGATCTGCAGGAAGATGCACGTCACGAGCGAGCCAACCACCACGCCTCTAAAGACCCTTCGAAGCCTCAGCGCAACATCGACGACTGGCTTGCGGCCTCGCGACGCGCCAACGACGGTAGCAACGAACCACGCGCGGCTGCCTCTGCTCACCAGAAGACAAGACGTCGGACACACTTCTTCCCTCCGAGTCCTTCGAGCAGCGCTATCTCGGCGTACGTCGACGAGCTTGGTCCCGATTCTGAAGACGATAGCGGTACCGAAAGGACAACTGCTGCAACAAATGTCTCCTCGAGCGCAGCTTCGATCAACAAGGACAAGGCCAGGGAAAAGATCTCGGAAGGGCCTTGTGATCGGTGCAAAACCCTTCGCCTCGAGTGCACCAAGTCTTCGCAAAACCGGTGGAGCTGCGACGCCTGCAAGCTAAAGCACACCACCTGTACTCGGAATGGTGAGCGCGTATCTAGTGCCTCCGGACCAGAGTCTCGTCCCGGCTGGAAGCCAAAGTCGAAAACACCAGCAAAAGCGAGCATCGCTTCGACGGCGTCCAGCAACAGCTCACAGGGTCAACAAGCTCCGGAAAGCCCGTTTCCCTCTTGCAGAACGCCACATCACAAAGTGCCTTCGAGTGGCAAGACCCAGTCTGAGCGCCCTCGGCCGGGGAAGAGCAGAAAGGAGGCTGAGAATAGCGATGCACGGCCACTCGATAGTGACAGCTCCGATGATATCGAGGTCGTTTCGAGTCGCAAGCGCAACAAGGTAGCCCCACCTTCGCGTGTATTGTCACAACAGTCTCGCACCACAATGCCGGATCCTTCTGCTTCAGACTCTTCCCGATCACGACAGCAGTCATCGAAGTCAGCCCCCAAACACCCACTCGACGTTCACACCACCAACATCCTCAAGGATACTGCGAAGACGCTTGAGCGTGTCAGTCGATCGCTAATCGACGCACCATCTCTGTCTGCATTCGGTCCCACGCTGAACTTGCTCATCGAAGGCTTTCAATGGATGCCAGGCTTCAGCGCAACGATGGAAAGCAGCGAAGAGACACGCCTGACCGAAATCTATCAGGTCCTCCTGCGCGTCCGACAAGATTGTGTTCCGTTCATTGCGCGATGGGACGAGACCAAGCAGAAGGAGAAAGCATGGCTTGCCCAAGCACTAGTAGATCGCTGCGTGTCCCATATCAAGACGCTTGTCAGCGAGCGTGGTAGTCAGTAGCATCTTGATATGAGCCGAGTCGCATCACGACATGTACCTTCCCTCAAATGCCAATGTTTCTAAATGACTGTGCTGCGCGTGTGGCTTCCTTGCAGGTATCACCACGCCTTCGCGCTTGGACTTCACAATTGCTGTGCTCGCGCGTTGCGCAGTTCAAGCGTGGCTAGGCTTCTTGAGCTCAACTGAGTAGAACTTCATAAGATCATGCAGGAGGACAAAAAGCGACCTTCGATGAAATCGGATGCATCGGCTTCGATGAAAGGTCACTCCGCTGATCCTTGCTGCGCATGACTGGCTAACGTGTTCAGCTCGCTCTTCCAGCTGGTCACCATCTACCGATCCGCTTGCTCTCTGGCTTGTACCGCCTCGCCCCATCGACACTCCAGAATCGACAGCATGGACACGCCGCTCGATGCCGACCCCTTCGGCCTGATGGCGCTGCAACCCTGCACGGTTTTACTTCCGGGCGCACCACCGACTCCGCAGACACACATCCCTCTGAGCGAGTCGCAAGCCGGTAACGAGGACTGGGCGAGCACAGCAACGGCGTTCACTGGCAACCGCGCCGCAGCCACAAAATTGGACTCCGCCAACGCCGCCGCCCATGACGACGATATGCAGGGTCTGCCAGGGTCCAGCGTGCAGCCACGATCCGCCCGAAACGATCGCGTGCAGCACTGGCTCGCCTCCACTGCTTCTGCAGGGCACGCCATTCAGCACGATGCCACGCAAGCTTTGACGGGCAGGGCTGCTATCTCGCCACCACCAAGTTCCAGCGCCGCTCTGGACGCGTGGGTTGACAGGCGTCTCGGGCCTGACTTCGACGTCGATACCGAAAGCGAGGCACCTGGGAAGCCGGCGAAGATGGCTTCATTCTAGCAGACGATGCCGATGGACAGCGCAAACGACAGAGCACCGAGCAAGGAGAGCCGAATACAAGCAATTCCGAAGCGACCCTGCGATCGATGCCAGCTGCACCACCTCAAGTGTACGCCGTCGTCGAAGAACAGCAAAAGATGCTCGAACTGTAGGAGCCGCAAGGCAGGCTGCACGTACAAGCGCATCGGATTGCCGCGGACGACGCCGTACCCGAACGAGGGTCACCCTTTCAAGGCGAAGAAGATCATTCCTTCTCACATAGTTCTGAAGGAGAGGGCGATGAATGCCTTCGTCACTGAGGTACGCCGCGAGTGCACGGCGCTCGCGCGGGACTACGAGAACGATACCGATGATAGCGATGACGATCACTCCGCGAGCTTGGCACCGACTGTGTCCGTCGTCATCAACTCGTCCGCCCCGCGACCGCTGTCCAAGCAGAAACGCAGGACTTCGCGGACTGTATTTGTCGACATTCCACGCCTCCCTTCGCAGGTATCCTGCCCTCGAACCTCTGTCACTCGAAGACGTGCATCCGACTCATACACGGCAGGCCTTCTCCGCGACACAAGAGACGCTCTTCAGCGCCTCAGGGCTCACGGAATCGATGCTAGCTCGCTGGCCGCGTTCACGCTCGCTCTCGACCTGCTTCTCGAAGGCTTTGGCGTAATCCCCGACGGAGGCAACAGCACGGCCTTGGACACCGTGATCGACTACCTTGAGCGTCTGAAGGGCGAGTGCATTGTTAATCAGCGCAGCAACGGAGCGGCTCGGAGCGACGCCCCCGTCTGGCTGGCGCTCTCTCTCGTGGATCGCATCCTCACACTCATCGCCGTGCTGCTGAAAGAGGACTAGCTCAAGCACCGCAATCAAAGGCTCCGACCATGCTCAAGACTGTGTGTGACCAAGACCGTGCGAATCACACCAAGAGAAAGCTACGGAGAGGACTGTGCGGAAAGACACGATGAGGCCCCGACACACGAGACATGCTTCTCGCCTTCCAGATCATTCAGAGCCTCTACTCTTCCCTAGCCCCAACGTCCTCGGATTGGCTGAGGAAAGGATATTCGCTCATCAAGTCCAGCATGCTGAGCAATGCTTCACCGCACAGCTCGTCATATCGCAAGGCAAAATTGTGTTTGGTAATCAAGTCGTTCGCTGCTTTGTGTAGTCGAGCCTGGTGGTACTGTCTCTTGCGAGGTGGGCGTAGCGAGGAGATGGACAATGAAGCCTGAGAATATTTTCCTATTGATGCACGCTCTAACCCATTCGGTTGCTGCCAGCCTTACACATGCACAGCCCCTGTCCCTTTGTTTTAGCATTGTCTGACGATGAGACTTGCACCAAGACGAGCTCCTTGTGTGAGAGAACGCGCCATTTACACCAAACGTGTTGAGCGTGTGTCCGAAGCGTGTAGAGCCGGCAATGTGGGTCGAGCCGGTCGGCGCTCATTTGCAGAACCGTGTAAAGGCACCAGCTTGTGCAATCTTTCCTTCCTACCACATCCGCTTCAGTGAGATCATCTCAATCGCAATGTCGAGATCAGCGTCCCAGCTGCGCCTTGAGATCAAAAGCTCCAAGGTGGACGACGTCCCGACCTTTGCGCTCGGCGTTGCAGGCGCCTCGGAGCCACTCACCTTCTGCAATCGCTTCGGCAACTCGTCAAGACCTATGCCGCTACATCGTCCTGCTTCTTTATCCATACACACGCCAAGAAACACACAGGCCCTATTCGAGGACGAAGACGACGACATCGACGGAGAGACGGACATGCTGCTCAACCACCAAGCGAGCCCCGTCGAAAATAATCCTGAACAAAGAGACAATTTGCTCGTGTCCAACTCCGCCAGCGTCGACGGCCTTTCAAATCAGCAGACAGCGAGTTGCGTCGAGACCGTTCAGGCTGGAAACGGACGGAACGCGGTGAAGACAGAGCAGGTCGACCGACCTATCGCCCAGCTAGGCTCGTCGATGCTTCAGCCGGTCTTGGTCGGTGCGAAGAAGGTTCGATTCCTCGGCGTCAAGCAAGAAGACACAAACGACGCGGCTCGGCCCAGCAGCAGCAACACTGCGGAAACGAAGCGCATGTTTCTTGGCGCCGTCAAAGACGAGCCCTTCAGCCCGACCCTCACCAGCAGCTCGGCCTCAGAGCTTTCGACCGACAAGTCGTTCACGCGATCAGATGCTCCTTCACCACAGCCCGCTGCGAGGCTAGCGGTACCTTCAATCGTCATAACCGAGGCACCCAGTGTCGAACGCAAGCCCGCCGTCAGGATTGAGTCTGCACCACTATCGCTCCGCTCCCCTGCCCTCTGCGAGCTTTTCTCCCGAACAGGCTACTACACATATCAGTGCTTAGCGCTTATACATGCTGCGCCGCCATGCCATGAGCTGTTGCTCAGATTTCGTTCTCTAGCGCACTACCTTCTGCAGGTCTCACAGACGCCGAAGATCAAGCTCGCCGCAAAGGAGCCCAAGGACCTTAAAGCGCTGAAACAGCTGCGAGACACTCTCAAAGATGTGCTAGATCTCACCTCTATTGTCAAGCTAGATCCCGTTGCGGTGCCAAACGACGCGTGGACAAAGGCGACAGATACGTGTGTGAGACGGCTCAAGAAGATCGCCGCGCTCGTCGACAGGATGCTCCGTGCGTCTTCGCCACGGACTCTGACTGAGCCGCGATGAGCATCGCCTCACAATGTACTGCATGCACGTACAGCCGCATGCTGAGCTGCACAAGCGATTCTTACAGGGACCGAGCTCGCACTTCTGTGTTGGGCGCGGATGTGGTGGTGCCCTGCGCATGTGGTCTATAGCCAGGTCATGCTTTTTAGGTTTTTGTGACCCGAATTTATTCTTCCTTTTTCCACCAATTTTACTGTTTGCCTTATCGAGAAAAGCGTCTGCGTCATGACGAGCTGAGAAGATCTCTGTGCCTACTCCACCTTCATCGTTCGTTCGCATCACCACCAACACACCACCCTCCTTGCCATCAAGATGCTTGCCTCTGAGCCGCCCTTCACGAACGACGCCGAGAACGAGCTGCTGACCAGCTCTCAATCAGCCACGCTCTCCGGCCTACTCAACGAGCCCGAGTCAACACGTCTCAGCGTCTACTGCTACTTTCTCGGCAGCGACGATGCACGCACCGCAGCACTGCTGGCCACTTCCATCCCACAACCGCTCTTTCCGCTCTGCCTCGTACTCCGCTACCTCATCTTGAAGGAAGCGCAACGGCTGGGCGAGTCGAGCGTGCGCTTCAATTGGTCGCTCAAGCAGGTGCAAGCGGCGGTTGCGTCCGGTGTCCATGCGCACACCGTACACGAGACGCTCAAGGCGGACCCCACCCTCACAGGGCTCCCCGACAACTTGGCGCATCCGGATCCGCTCAGCGTGGAGCCAACCACAAAGGATGTTCACCTGCAATCGAGTCTCCAGCTCACCTTGCATTCGGCCTACCAGCTCGCTCAGTCGCTTCTACTCTGCCCGGAACCCTTCAGCGCACCACCCAGCGCCCTCGTACTCGGCTCGCTGTTCCATACAATAGCTCAGTCCAACGACGACATCACACGCGAAGATATCACCACCACTTCAACGCAGGTCGAAAAGGAGATGCTCGATTGGATTCTTCGCGATACCGAACAGCACCTTGCGATCGACGTCGAAGCGCTGAGGAAGGCCAAACGGGAACGCAAGCGGGAAGAGAAGAAGGTGCAGACGGCTGCGGCGGAGGCGGAGAAGAAGAAGGCAGCGACTGCGAGGCAGAAGGCTGTCCGATCGGGGTTCGGGCTTCTGCAGCTCGACAACGAGGATGGGGAGGACGAGAGCGAGGAGGAATAGACGAGACCTGTTGCCAGATCAGGGACCGCTCATTGGCCGAGCTACTTGCTCTTGAAGTCGAGGAATCCACCCGTCGACAGCGACGCAGGATTGTCGTCGGGTCCAGCACCACACCCACCAATCTCGCGGTCCGTCAGCACGATCTCCACCCTCCTCTCTGCGCCCGGCGCGCCGGGAAAGAGATCATCGAAGCTCATCCTGCAGCGCGAGCTGTGCGGCTTGCCGTCGATCAGCACCTGCTGCACGTACGCCTTGACACCAGTTGGGATCTTTCCACCGATCGAGCGCTCATCAAACCCGCGCACTGTCACCGTCGCCTTACCCAGCAACGGATTGTCAATCGTGTACCCTGGCATGAATGGCGACAGCACCAGCAGCTCCTTGGTGCCCGGCGTGGGGTACAGTCCCAGCAGATACCATCCGAGCAGCGAAGCCATCGCTCCATTATCGTCGTTACCCGGAATACCACCTGGCTTCAGGGAGAAGTACTTGTGCACCACCTCGCGCACACGCTGCACGCTGCGCCACGGCTTGCCGATGAAGTGGTACATGGTCGGCGTGTCGAAGCTCGGCTCATTGCCCGGTCCGTAGTAGCCCTTGTCGAAGAAGTGGTCGAGTCGCTTCTCGAATGTCGCCTTGCCGCCCATCAGCTCGACCAGACCGGCGCGATCGTGCGGAGCGTAAAAGCTGTACTCCCACGAAGACGATTCGTAGACGCCAAAGTCGTTCTCGGCCTGCAGACTGCAAGCGTGCGACTGGTTGGTGTCGAGCGGCGAGCAGAAGGTCGGGTCGGTGGGTTGGAACGTGCCGTTGGCATAGCGGCGTTGAACAAAAGTGGTGAAGCCGTCGCTGGAGGAGTGGTGGTCGAAGTTGAGGCTGTAGTTCAGTGAGGCTTTGGCGTACCGCTGGACGTCTTCGTTGGGCTTGCCGAGCGCGAGGGCGGTCATGGCAGCTGTAAAGTCGCCAAAGGCATACTCGAGCGAGCGACTCGCCTCTCGTGTCTGCTCGCCCACCGACACAGGATCAATGTAGCTGAACGGGATGTAGCCGTACAGCTGATACGGCGCAGCCTGGCGTCCCTCGTACTCCCACTGTGGCGATGGCACGTCAAGGTCGTGCTGCATCGCTTGGTACAGCTCGTCCGTATTGACGCCTAGCGATTCGGCCGCCTTAGCATACTTGACCGCAAAATCAGCAAGCACCTCGACACCGTGGTTCGAGCCTTGCACGAATCCTTTGATCTGGTTGGCCCTGCACTCCGGCAGCCAACCCTCCTTCCGCCAGCCATCGATGTACGTCTCGACGATCTGCGCAAAATCGCCTGGACTCGACAATGAGAGGAAAGGGAACAGCGTGCGGTACGTGTCCCAGGTGCAGTACATGCCGTCGAAGTAGGGGGCGGTGGTCGGAAACGGGCCATCGCCGGTCGCGTTGTTCGGCGAGAGGAAGGTGCGATAGAAGCTCGTGTAGAAGAGTCGGCGGACGTAGTCGGGCGTGGCAGGGTCCAGCTGGATACGCTGCAGCTTGTCCTCCCACAGCGCCTGGCTGGCTGCAACGGTAGCATCGAAGTTCCAATTGCTGATCTCGGTCTCCATGTTGTGGCAGGCATTGTCGGCCGAGGCGAACGAGACACCACGTCGAACGGTGATCGTCACATCCTGCTTGGTTGCGGTGTCTACCTTGAACCCGACGACGGCGCCGGCCTGATACTGGCCGACCTGTTGGGCGAGCCTCACCCAGTGGTCTAGATCGGTACGCTTCGAATCGTACCCACGACGGTTACCGCCAAAGAACGCATGCTTGCCCAGCGTCTGCTTGCTGTCGAACTTCAGATCGACACACTGGAATGCATGGTACGGGAAGTCCCCGGGCCCCCACGAGCTGAGCCAAGTACCGTTCATCGTCAAGCGCCCAGCCTCCCAGTTGGCCTTCATCTCGCCACCCCTGAAGGTGCCCGGCGAGTCGTTGGTCCAATCGAGCACAAGATACGGGCTCGACTTTGTCCGAGCCATCTCGGCGGCAGGGAACGTATACCTCTCGAGTGTGCTCCTGCGCGTACTGGTGACCTCGATCTTGATGCCGTTGTCGAGCGTGGTGGTAAAGTACCCGGGTCGGCCATGGTCCGTGTGATTGCGACGCATGCGTTTGCGGTCGTCGAGCAGCGTGGGGCACGCATCGATCGCGTTGTCATCGCAAAGGACGGGCATGATGCAAAAGTTGCCGTAGCTGCCGGAGCTCGAGCCGGTGCCCGAGTCGTGCAGTGGGCTGACGCCGCGCGTGGGCTGGTCCGAGGGCCACACATAGCCAGCGGGCGCGTAGCCTTCGACGTTGATGGTGGCTTTGGCCATGCCGTAGGGGACAGAGGCACCAGCGAAGACATCGCCAGGATCGCCGTTGGCCTCGGTGCCGACAAAGATGTTGACGTACTGGGTGAGGTTGATGTCGGTGTTGGAGGCAGGAGTGACGGCGGGAGCAGGGGCGGCGACGTCACGGCCGTGCAAGATGGGATCAGAATCGACCACAAAAGGCTGTTCCGGAGTGCCTGCTTGCGATGGTAGGGCGCGCGCCGACACTTGTAGGCCAGCCTGCGCCGCTAGCAGCGTCAGCACCGAGATTCGCGTCAGTGCCATCATTGTGAACGGGGGAGCAGCTTTGAGAACGGGGAAATGACGATGACATTGTCCCAAATGGCCACCTTTTTTACCCGAGCTTGAGCCAGACGAAGCCACTGAGACGCTAGCCATTGCCACCCCATCCCACCATTTGGTGGTGGGTCCTTCGCATCGCTACGCCCCACCTCGTGCTCATGTGCACTGCCCCACTTCGGTGACGCACGCCCCTCTGCAGCCAGATGAAGCGGGACTCGAGGCTAAATTGAGCAAGATATCCCTGAGCGCCTCGAGCGGCTAGTGGCGGTGGTGGCTCGGAGCTTGATATGCAGGGCGATGGGGTCATACAGTAGCAAGACGCTCGGTGCCAGTTCTACCTCTCACCAGATGGTCGCGTTGCAGTGCAAAACCAGTCCAAAGGGCGGGGCAGCAGAAATGGCATGGCTACGCATACATGTGGTGTTTAAAGGATCCTTTCTCTACACGAAGTGGTCTCGAAGAGGGTCTGGACTCAGTTTCAGTAACGCTCGCGTCTGTCGTGGTACGCCTCGTCCAAGCAGACGCAGAGGGCCGAGACAAAGGCGGCATCCACACCAGGAGCGACGGTGACATCGTATGTCTGCTTGTCGACTGATGGTGGTAAGTAGGGTCAGTGAGCGGTCCACCTTGCAAGCGGTAGCTGGGTCGAGACTTACAGAAAATGTCGCCCATGCTGCCGTAGTCCCTGGAGATGCTGGCAACGATAAAGCCCGAGTCGGTGGTGATTTGGGCGACGCCCGAGAGCCATCGTCCTCTCAGAGTCCAGCGCTGGCGGCGTCCATCGCCCGCAAGGTTGTCAAAGACAATTTCGAGCTTTGGGTTGAAGTAGCCGATCTTGTCGACGGTGAAGAGGAGCTTTTTGGACGGGTCACAGCTTTCGCCTTGATAGGAGCTTGTGAAGAAGCCAACATGACAAAACTCGAACAACTGTCTGCCAGTGTGGTCGAGCAGAATCTTTTTGCTTGAGAGGGAGAAGACCTTGGCGTCGACTTTGAAGAGCAGTGCGCCGATGACGGCATCCTTGATCTTGAAGTCGTCGCCAGAGTGGGACCATTTGAGCTCGCGGACGCGGAGCGTGATGGGTGTCGTGTGGCGTGTATATTCGGCAATGATACCCATAGGATAAGGTGGAGGGGGAAGCGGAACGATGATCGGGGGAGGTCCCGACATGGGCACTGTCGGTCTACCCTTGCCGGTGAAGCTCATGGTGCTGATACGTAGTGTCTAGACGAGGCTGAGTCGAGCTACGTGCTCGGAAGCCAGCTGATCTGGTGAAGAGATTAATACAGTGACGAGGAGGCGACACGAAGGTGCACGAAAAACAAGGTCGTTCTTGAGCACTTCTGCGCACTGCCTCTAGGAGTCTTTGCGCATGTGACTGTGTGGCGGTGAAGTCCCCACCGCATCCCCACCAATGGCACATCTTCGGAATCGCCTGGCCTCGGAGCTTCCGACTGTGACCTGATCAGCCGAAGGTGTGCCATTGTGCGCTATCATGCAAATGTGGCCGTGCAGCTAGAATTCATGCGAAAGCGTCACTTTGCGCTAGACCAGCTCAAAGCGCCGATGTCATCGGACTCAGCCGTTTTGTTTATATCTTCAGCAGGCTCGGCGCCGAGGGAATGAGCGATGCGATTCACAGCAGAACAAGATCATGACATGGTGTGCGATGGGATAGGCAGGAGCCGGACCGCATTTTGGTGCTTGCAAGTCAGGTGCGGCCGGACAGAAATGTGAGAGGCTTCACTTCTTGCTGCCGATGAAGGGCACAAAGCAGGGAACCTCCTCCTTGTACTTCTTCCACTGCGGGTTATCCTTGTGCTTCTTATCGCCGCTCTCCTCGAGCATGGGCACACCCGAGATGAATCGAATGAGGCCGTATTCGAGCAGCGGGCTGAGCGCAGCCAGACCCACCGCCCAGGTTGGGTAGAAGGTGCCTGCGTTGGCGATTGCCGAGGTGGAAAGGATGAACTGACCCGCCCAGAGACTGACCTCGCCAAAGTAGTTAGGGTGTCGAGACCAGCTCCACACTCCGGACGTGATGAAGGGCTCCTTGTGCTTGCCTGCCTCGCGGTCCTCTCGCCACTGCGACTTTTGACGATCGGCGGTGACCTCGAGACCCATGCCGGCGATCCAGATGGCGAGACCGATGTAGTCGCGAGGGCCCAGAGGTGGCTGCGATGCCTTGGGGATCGAGTTGACGAGGTAGACGGGGAGAGCAGTGATCGCGATCCAGGTAGCCTGCATCATCCAGGCGCCAAAGAACTTGGGAGGGCTCTGCTTGATCTCATCGAAGCGGCTGTCGCTGCCGGACTTTTGAATGCGCTGAAAGAGGAAGCTGCCGAGACGGATGGCCCAGAAGAGCGTGAGTCCGGTCATGATGGCCTGACGAGGGTGGAACGCCGAGAGGGACGTGGGCAACGAGATGTTTTTGAAGCCGTCGACGTAGCGTGCTCGGATCCATGGCATGTAGAGCGAGGCACCCGCCGCCGAGATGAAGCCGAGCGAGCCACATAGGTCGTAGTACTTTTCGGTCTTGAGAGGCACCGCGATGGCTGCGCAGGCTGCCTGGAAGCCGTAGATGAGCCCAAGGGTGGGGAGAAGGGCCTTGAGACCCACGGTGTAGGTGCTCATGATGGGCGTTCGTAAAGTGCGATGGTGGTGGCGAAGGGCGACGATCGACGAAGAGCGAGGCTAGTCAGCAATATATCCATCCTCTGTTGCCGCTTGGTATTTAGGCCTGCTTCGCAAGCTTCTCGACAACGACAACGCCAGGGTTCCCGAAAGCAAGGTGACAAGCCAACGTGGCTCCGTTAGGCAAGCACGGCACTTCCGCGGGAAGCTGATTCACTTCTCTTGTTGAGCCATGGCCGGAGAGCGGGCTCGACCGCCGAAGAGCTTTGATGTGGAGGGATTTTTGGCTCAGAAGCGCCCGCGGACAATCCGACGCAAAGACGCAACGTGTTCAGTGCTATGGTCTCACATCTCAGGGATTTTCGCTCGTCAGCGTCGGTCCAGACACGTTTGCGTTGAGGGTCAGACAAGATGATCAGCGTGCAGCGGAGCATTGAAAACAGTCGTCATCTCAACGCTTCCGAGCGGCAGTGCGGACCCTAGCTCGCTTCCATTTGATCGATCCATTCGGGAAGCTCGCATGTTGTTCCATCGCAGAGAAGACCCATTGTAGTCTGTCCAATCTCGATCGGGCGCTTGTATCGAAACAGCTGAGACGAGCAGCACGTCAAACGTCACAGCATGCGTTTTACGTCTGTGCAGCCACGGACTCCTAGGATATGCCGCCTGTCGATCTTGGCATCGGAAGCTAGCCGACCAGTCTGACTGGATTCGTGCTGCAGCCGCCTTTTTCGAAAATTGCTATTCTGGACCCGCTCAGTCAACCGTGCAGCACGACAGCTGTCTCTCTCACAAGCAAAGAACACGATTTCATGTTTTTCGGCCTCCGATGCGACTTTGTGTGATGGATAAACATTGCTTGCTCCTATTTGTGCGTGTCGAAGCTGTCAAGCGTTTCCATCCGATCCGATCTTGTTCCTTCGTTACCATCATCACCATCCCTGGACACTCTTCCCTGTGTTGACCATGTCGCAGCAATACTCATACGGCGGCGGAGGCGAAGGAGGCTATCAGCCCCCGCAAGCGCCTCCTCAGCAGCCTCCTCACATGCAACAACCCAACTCGTACGCACCCGGTCCCTACCAAGGTCAGCCTCACGGCGCCCAAAACCAGTACTACAACGGTCAACAGCCCCAACATCCTCCTCCTCAGCAGTACTACGGTAACGACCAAAAGATGGCGCTCAAGCCCGAAGGCTTCGAAGGCGAGCGCTTCAAGCCCAAGCCCAAGTTCAACGACCCCATCTTCCTCGTCCTCTTCCTGCTCGTCTTTGGCGGCTTCATCGCGCTCTCGGTCATCTGTCTCATGGGCTACTCCAACGCCAATGTCAACGTCTCCATTGGCCGCACCAATGTTCCGGGTAGCACACTCAACGGTCAGACGGTCATCATGTTCATGATCTGCTGTGGTGTCGCGCTCGTTCTCTCGTTCATCTACATCCTGCTCGTCCGCACTTTCCCCAAATTCATCCTCGAGGCGACGCTGCTGCTGACCACGCTCGCCAATGTCGCTTTCTGCGTCTACCTCTGGGTTTCGGGTAACACGGCTGCGGCTATCATCTTCACCATCTTTGCCGTCTTCAGCGTGATTGCCTACTTCTTCATGCGCAAGCGCATTCCGCTCGCCAAGCTCATCCTCGTCACTGTCATCCGCACGGCAGAGCAGTACAAGAGCGTCTACGTCGTCGCGCTCACCGGTCTGATCGTCGAAACCGCCTTCAGTGCATGGACCAGCTGGGTCATCGTTGCAACTTACCAGCGCTTCCAGCCGAGCGGACAGGCGGCCGGCAGCAGCTCTAGCAACGCCTCGATCATCGGCCTCATGGTCTTTATCGTCTTTGCCTACTACTGGATCTCCGAAGTGATCAAGAACGTCGCCTTCACCACCGTCGCCGGCATCTTTGGCGTGGCTTACTACAACGTCAACAAGGTTTCGCACGCTGCGTGGGGCGCGTTCCGCCGCTCCATGACCTACAGTCTGGGGTCAATCTGCTTCGGCTCGCTCATTGTGGCCATCCTCGACATGCTGCGTGCGCTATTCAACCTGCTTCAGAGCCAGGCAGCTTCGGATGGCGATATGACGGGTCAGATTCTGGCGTGCATTGCCTCGTGCTGCATCGGCTGCATCCGCGCCCTCGTCGACTACTTCAACCGCTACGCCTACATCAACATTGCCCTCTACGGAAACGGATACATCCGCGCGGCCAAGGAGACCTGGTCGCTGCTCAAGGACCGCGGTATCGACGCGCTCATCAACGACAGCCTCGTCAACATTGTCTTCAACTGCGGTGCTTTCATCGTCGGTCTGTTGACCGCCCTGTTCGCTTACGTCTACGAGCAGAAGACCAACCCACAGTACCTCCAGAACAGCTCTGGGTACTACTCGATCATTCTGCTCGTAGCGTTCGGGCTGGGCTTCAACATCGCGCTCAGCGTGGGAGCAGGCAGCATCGCCAGTGGTGTCAGCACCTACTTTGTCGCGCTGGCTGAGGACCCGTACGTACTGCAGGGCAAGAACCCGGAGCTGTTCGAGATGATCCGTCAGCAGTACCCGCATGTCGTACAGGCTGTCAATCACTAAGCCTTCCGCACTGCCATCACTGTAGATTACGTCTTCACATCGCACTTGATCGCTCGCCTAATCGATCTTTCTCACAAAACTACTTGTAGCGTGGAAAAGCACCAGATTGACTTATCGGCTCATCCGCTTTTGCACGGCCACAACCGGAAGCCTGAACTTAGTTCGAGCGTTTCCAGAAATGTGACAATGGTGGGGATGCGGTGGGGCCTCCACCGCCACACATTCACATGCGCAATGACTGTCAAAGCCATTGCGCGGCGGTCTCGAACAGAGTTACGAGCGATCACTCCATCATTCATCTCCTCGCCACTATCACTTTCTTTGTCGGCAACGAGCTCTTCAAGAGACCAGCTGGCTCCTGAGTACCACATCAGACCAAGCGTTCCGTATACCACACTGCGCATAAGCACCATGAGCTCCGTCAGGAAAGCGTCCAAGCCATCGGCGGGAGCTCCTCCCATCATCACCCGCGCCCCTCGACCATTCTGTCTCTTGGGAATCATTGCCGAGTACGCACGCCATACGACACCCATCACGCTACGTTTCAGTGAGGGCAGACACTCCTTCTTCAAAGACGTCATGAACATCACAGACGCTGTCACCAACGCGCTGGTCTTCCGTGTGGAAGTCAAGGCCTTCTCCCTGTCTGGCAAGAAGACGCTCATCGATCACGCGGGACGGCGACTGTTCGATTTCTACCGCGCCGGCGGCGGTCTCTCCACCACGTACCAAGGCGAAAGTTGTGACGAGACGAAAAAGCTTCTCTTCACCGTCGACAAGATTGGCACCTCGGAGTCGGAGCTCTTCATTGCCTTTGATAATCTTGCTGCGGATGGCCGGCGTCAGCGATGGTCGGTGAAGGGACGATGGCTGCCCGGCGTGTCCCAGATCGCAAACATGTCTGGTCTTGCCGTCGCCAACATCTCGAGGGACTTCAGCGATTTCTGCTGTGAGTTCATAGTGCCAGCATCGAGCACTGCATAGATTCGCTCGCTGACATTGCTTTTCGCCCTTTCCCCAGCCGACACACAGACATTGGAGGTCACAGTCGCTCCAGGCGTCGACGCTGCTCTCGTGTCGGCTCTCTGCGTCTGCTTCGAAGAGGCGTACCGCTGCGTAGGCCACAGCAGTTCTTGCCATAATAGATCCGGCACAAGTGTTGCTCTTCGACACAGTTCTATGGGCATGAGCTCAGGTGCTGCCCTCGCGGCGGCCGGACCAATGGGCATGGGGCCGGGCATGGGCCAAGGCTTCTGACCATGATCAGCTCCAGATCTGTTGACGCTGTAGTTGCGTACAAACACCGTGACTTCAGTTGCATTTGCTTCCTGCGGTGGGAAGTGGATGGGCACGAGCGTCTCTTCGATTCTTGTCAGGCTCGTCTCGCACCCATCCTTCATTACGACCGTCCAATGAATCTCATGACTTCGGTCCACGCCAGCCCAGCCATGCTTCTCGAACGATCTGATACTGTGATTTCCCGAGCTCGAGACTACAACTTCGCCACCGCCCCAGGAGCAATGACCTTCCTCGACTGCCTCACGATCTGCACCCTGTGTCCTTTGGATGCAGCAATGTCCTTGCGCAGCAGCTTGCCCGTCGGGTTCCTCGGCGCGCTCTCCGCGAACAGATACCAGCTTGGCCACTTGTAGTAGGCTGTCTTATCTCCAACCCATGTATGAAGTCGGTGAGCCAGCTCGTGCATCTTGGCCTCTTGAGAGAGGGCCGACTTGTCCTTGGGCACCACGAGCAGGAGCACCTGCTCCTCACCTGTGGAGGCGTCTTCGATGAAGCCCGTCGCCGCGGCGTCAACGAGCTCCGGATGGGTCGCAAACAGGTCGTCCAGTTCCGCAGGAGGTACTTGGAAACCTTTGACTTTGATGAGCTCCTTGGTGCGACCGGTGATCCACAGCCGACCGTTGGCGTCGAGACACCCCTCATCGCCGGAGCGGTACCAGCCATCGTCGGTGAAAGCACCCGCGGTCAGCTCGACATCGAGAGCAGAGTGGGTTTCAGAGGACAAGCCCGAGAAGTAGCCCGACATGACGGCCGGTGCACGGATGAGCACCTCTCCCACCACGCCGGGATTAAGAGGTGCCCGCTCACCGCGCGCCCGGGCCTGACGCGAGACGGCACGGATCTCTTCTTGACGGTGCTCGGATTGCTGCTGGCTCGTTCCGGGAAGCGGTCGGATCTGAATATCGGTGTTGGGACAAGGAAAGCCGGCACTGCCCAGCTCGTCTCGCACGACCTTGCCGTCGGCGTCCAATCCGAGGCCGCCTGTCTGCGAGGTGGAGCACGTCTCTGTGGTGCCGTAGCCGAGTTGGATGTACTTGCCCGTGCGTTCGTACACCTTGCGCACCACCTCGACTGGGACCGGAGCACCACCGGTAAGGAACGCGGCGATGCTCGATAGATCGATGCCTTTGCTCTGCGGTGCAGCCGGGTCGAGGTGAGGGCAGGAGCGCAGCGCTACGGCTACAGCTGGAGCGATGTGGCTGAAGGTGGCCCGGTAGCGAGTGACGAGACCGAGGTAGTAGCCCAGGTCGAACTTGGGCGATGCAGGAATGATAAGCGTCGTGCCAAAAGCGACGGTGGGGAGCAAGACGGTTGCGAGACCATACACGTGGTACCACGGAGCCAGCGTGATCCAACGTTCACCGCCTCCGTTGGCGCCCCTCGACGTGCCGCTAAAGTGCGGGTTGGTGTCCCACACGCCCAACGTGTTGCTGACGAGAGCACGGTGGCTGATGAGCACGCCTTTGCTCTGACCGGTCGTGCCGCTGGACCACAGAACGAAGGCGATCCTCCTCTGCTGCTCCTCGGGTGTCATGGGCGCAGGTGTAAACGCAGGACGATCGAGACTGGCGATGCTGCCTTCGCCCTTCGTCCCTGGGGGCGGCAGCAAGAGATGCGTCCAGTCGCGAGGATCGTATGCCGATGCAACGCCGTGTCGGTTCACGTTGTTTCCGTAATAGTCCATGCCTGACGAGACGTCGACGGTCCACACGCGGCGTCGAAGGAACGGAACCTGGTTGCTCTTCTCGAGCCTGGCTGCCTTGGATTCGTCCCAGTCTCTGGCAAGTTGACGCGCCCATGCCTGGATCTCTGCTGCCTTGACCTGGCCGTTGTCGGTGGGAGGCGAGTCGAGCAGCAGCTGGAGCGCTTTGCGAAGAGGAAGCTCACCTTCTGCGCCGACGGTGGTGAAGAGAACTTGGGGACGCGCCTTAGCAAGGATGTAGGCCAGCTCGCGAGGACTGAGATAGGTTGAGATGGGGCAGACGGTGAGGTTGGCTGCGACGGTACCGAGTGCGACCAGAGGCCAGACCATACCGTTCGGGATGTGGAGTAAGACGGTGGTGCGAGGAGCGTGGATCGGTTCACGCGGTCGCTTTGGATCCGAGACAAATGCCGCTGGTGCACCCGTCAAGATCTGGAGGGAGCGGGCGAGTCGCAAGCTGTCGGCCCTCAGCCGTGCCCAGCTGAGCTGTGCGCCTGTTCCATCATGTACCAGGATGGGTCGCTGTTCCGGGATAGGGGTAGCGTCGAAGGTGTGGTCCGGGTATCGATCGGCAAAGTGGTTGGGGTGGTGCTGGAGAGGATTGCTGAAGAGGAAGGTGTGAAGGTTCTGGTCCTGGGGGAAAGCGGTCTTGAGACCGCTGGTGATGGCGACCATGGTGTGGTACGAAGCAATCTAGGCGCAGATGGACCGAAAGCAGGAAGACGAGTCGAAAGAGCACCTGCTTATATCAGGACAGCCGGTCGACACAAAAGTGCGGGGCACCACAGATAGGATGTGGGGAGGAGGAAGGACAATGGCCGAACAAGCACGAGAGAAGGGTCCAAGCTTCACTCATCCGATACAATGCGCAGACATGTTCGGCTGTCGCGGCAACGTCCTTGCTGCAGTGGTCACGTTGCTACTCGGACTATCACTCCGGAAGCGCTACGCACCTCGACCCTTCAAACGGCCACGTCGTCCACCGCCTCGTCTTAGCCCTCTCCGCGGCGTATTCGAACGTCGAGATCATGGTGATCGCCCTTCATTGCACAGTCCGCCCCCGTTTGACAGTTCCATATCATTTGTGGGAGCAGAAGCGCAGAAGGCGGCAACAGGAGCCCACATGAGAAGGCGCAGAACGCGGGGAGAGGAGGCTTCGCTTTTGGCGCACGGGTTGGACCATTCAGGGTCCTCGATTGATGGCTTTGTCGGCCGTCGGGTCGGGCTGCTCGCCTTGGCTGTCGCGCGAATTTGGGGCCAAGGACCTGTTCACTCGGCCGTGTGGCTAACACCCTTCTCCCATTCTTGGCCAACTCGCGGTCCGCTCATTGTCGCCGGTTCGTGACCTGAAAGCTTGCTCGTCATCGTCGGAACATGATGCCCAGCTGCGTTCGGTCTCTTGGGCCCGTGTACTCAAAAGTGTTCAGTTCTTCGCTGTAACATGGCAGCAGCGTCGTCGTCGTCAGCGCTTCTCTGCGGTGTCTTCGAATGGACCCTGAATCGAAGGAGAAACCTTCTCGCGCCGAGCAGCCAACTCTAAATTAGGGCTGTGTCTTGCAGCTCCGACCAAAGTCACCGTCGGCACGGTCATCTGCCATGGCATTCGAGTCTCGATCGTCCACGACAGGCTTAAGGAACGGGATGCGGTGCAGCCGGCAGCGGAATCACAGCCTTGCTGGCCTTACGAGATACAGGCCAGTACTCCTCTGACGGAAACTCGTATGAGAAAGGCAGTCGACTTCATTTTTACTTGGCGGAATGTGGCAACCGACCTTCCATGCGTCGGATGCTGCGGGGAGCACGAAGCTCAACATAAGCTTCTTCGCGACCTGAACGCATGAAGGTCGAGCCAATCTGTCATGATGGTCTTCGTTTTGGAATGGACTGAGGCATGCCTGCCGAGATGGATTGCCCATCCTCGCTTACGGCGAAAATCGACCGACAATCGAGAACCCTGCTGCCGAAGAATTCGCAAACGTCGTGTGGCGAGGCATTCCAGACCTGCACATGCAACCTACGCTTGGCATGCGCTACACACCGTTTTACAGCTTGGCAGGCCATCTCCTTGGGTCCAGCCGCCTGCAGCTTATGCGGTGCTCCACTGCCAATGCTGTGTCCGGTCCGGCATGATCTTGTTCGGTCAACCTTGCTGCTTTGACATTGCCTCGGCACCATCATCTCCACCCTCGATCCTCGTCCACCTCTCTCGACTCGGTACGATAGAAGGCTAAGACTTCTTGACAAGCATCGTGGCTTCTTGCGCCACCCTCCTTAGCGCTGGACGCACTCACTCGACCTTCCTTTGATCCAAGCCACAGACCGTATATAATCTGCAAAGGCTTTCGTCTCTCTTGCCGGCATAGACACTTACACGCAAACATCCCTCTCCAGCATACCATGAAGACCTCAGTGACGCTCACGACACTGGCGCTGGCCACCGCAGCGCTATCTGCCACCTCCACTGCAGCGCTCCCATCGACCCTCTCGCGCCGCCAGTCCTCGTCGCAAGGCTACTTCAGCCCCTCTGCCAACGGCGGCTCCATGCTGACCGAGCAACGCGAGCCGCTCAACATCATCGTCTCTGGCCAGTCCAGCCCTGGCGTCCTCTACCAAGATGGGTTTGAGGAGTTTTCTCGCGCGCTCTACTTCTCCCCCGGCAGCTGTCTCGGCATCAGTCAGGGCGGCTTCCAGTCCGCGAATCTGGGTGATGGCAACGGTGATCGGCCGCAGACCAACATCATGCGCTACAATTACAAGCAGGGCGACAGCGGGACGTGCCTCGAGTCGCTACACGGTGGCAATCACTTCCGCTACTGGATCCAGAATGGTAGTGCTGCCGACTCGGGGGCGGTGTTCATCGCCGCCAGTGTCGAGCTGAACGCAACTCTCAACCACATGATTGCGCCCAATGGGTACGACGATGGCCGCGATGAGATCGTCGGCAATGCCACGGCGGGCACGCTGACGAGCCCAGGCGGATTCGGGTACACCGTTAGCAGGACCACCAACTCGTTGCTCAGCGGCTTTTCGGCCAGCCAGATCAATCACGGCATTAGCATTGACGGCACGGTAGATGTGCTCACCGTTACGATTACCAAGAACGGCACGATCGGTGCAGGTCGCAACTCAAGCTCGAGCGACTCCGGCAGCAGCGGCAGCTCAAGCGAGAACAGCGGAAGCAACGGAAGCAGCGGCAGCAGCGGTAGCACGTCAAGCTCGAGTGGTGCATCCGACCTCTTCGGCATGAGCCACGTCGTAGGTCTCAGCACCTTGGCGCTTGGTCTGACCTCGGCGACGATGCTGCTGCTCTGAGTCAACCACCGCGGGCGGCGTGCCTTCAAAGTCGTAAGACGCCACATATCGACCACTACTGCACTTTCTCTTCGATAGAAGTCAACGGACAATGATAGGATGGACCCTCTCTTTTCGCACTCTGCGCGGCTTCGATGAATGACGATGAGAGCGTGTGCAGAAAGGGCTCGTCGATCGACGCTGTGAGCTGGAATCGTACGAGCGTAAGCGTTGTCAATTGCCAGGAGGCAGCACGAGAAGAACTGAGCTCTCGCGCTGCAAACCCTAAATCCGAGATTCGCGCCAAAAAGTTCACCTCGCCTCCACACAAATCTTCAACCTTGCTTGACATCGAAGCTTCCTTCGAGACATCCACCATCCCACCTTCACGAGTCTGGAGTACGCGTCATGGCATCGGCAACGAGAGCGCTCCCTCTTTTGGGTCGCAACGTCGCATCAAGCAGTCGACAAACTCTGTCAGCGCTCGCGAAACCTCTCGCTGTCAGGCCAGCTGCTTCCTCGTCGCGACTCATTTCCACGCTGCACACATCCGCAAGTCGCACGCCATCATCGCTTCGTCCGACCCTATTCGCACAGCAGCGCACATTTCGCACAGCATTCGCTCTGCGCAAGGACGAATCACGGACCGCCGTCTTCATCCCCGAAACCTCTTCGGATCCTTCCAATACCGACGACGCCTCCGCCTCGGTCCCGGTCACAGGCGAGCGCACGCCCATCGGCCAGATCGAACAGCGCCTCGCCATCACCTTTACCTGCACCGTCGACGCCTGCGGCCACCGCAGCTCACACGAGTTCTCGAAACGATCGTATACAAAGGGTATTGTCATCGTCCAGTGCCCCGGGTGCAAGAATCGACATCTCATCGCGGATAATCTGAGCTGGTTCACGGAGTCGGAAGGGGAGCCGAGGACGATTGAGCAGATGATCGAGGCGAAAGGCGGGAAGGTGAGGAGGGGAAGTGTCGGTGCGGATGGAGAGACGATTGAGATTCTGTCCTAGACGTGCGCGGCTGGCGTAACACATTCAGCCCCATAGATGGTCTACTCACACGACGCACACTCTCGAGCATCGAACGCAACACCTTGCTGTAATACTACAAGTTCTACTCTACATCTAAGCGCAGTCATCGTGCACCTTCTTTGCGACGGCCAGCGTGCGTTCCTCCCTGAGCCTCTGGCCGACCACCTGCAGGCACACCGGCAGCCCGTGCACCTCATCGACCTTGTACTGACTCCACACCTTGCCTTCGTTCTCGCTCTTCGCCTTGAAGTCGCCCTTGACCGCATCCAGCTCCTTGTCCACGGTAACTCCTTCCAACGGCACAACGACAGCAGGCATATCCATAAGGTTCCAAGCGCCCGTATAGAAGATGTGATGGTAGGCATCGTGCGTTGTGCTCACCTCTGCAGCGACGGGTGTGACGATGCCGTCGAACTCCCGACCGCCGGCGAGTTGCTGGATGCGCAGCAGCAGTTCGGCCTGCCACCCCGTGCGCTTGGCTTGCAACGTCCAGAGGTCTTTGACGGTGCAGTTCCACCCGGCGTCGGTCGGGGCCAGGCCAGGGACCCAATCGGCATGCTCACCGGAGCTCTCCATGATCGAGTGCACCGTGGCGCCACCTTCGGCGCGGAAGAAGGACTCGATATGCCCCTGACCGCGGAGGAAGAGCTCAGCATCGGTCGAGTTGGCAGACGCATCCCATTCGATGACGTTGTGGCCCGCCGCTCGGAGCTTGGCGATCGCATGCTGCATCGCGCGCTGGACGGGTGGAGTCGGGCTTACGATGCCGTTGTTGGTGAGCATGAGCAGCGTGAGCGAGGTTGGTAGCTGGACGGTGGAAACGGGCGTCCAGGGGATAGGTAGACACTTGGCATCCGCATGCCACGGCTCCGTGTCCACCACCGCCTTGGCGTACATCTCGAGGCCCTCAAAATCGTTGCACATGGGACCGTTGATCGACAGCACCGCCTCCTGACCCGCCAGTCCGCTCTTGCATTTGGCAGTGGGGAAGCGACCGAAGGAGGGCTTGAGACCCCACAGCCCGGCGAAGGAGCAAGGGATGCGAATGCTGCCGCCGATATCCGTGCCTACACCGAGCGGGCTACCGCGCATCGCCAGCAGGGCTGATTCGCCGCCCGAACTGCCACCCGGCGTCAATCGCGTGTTGGCAGGATGAAGCGTCCTTCCATTGGCATTCGACACCGTCTCCGCGATCATCATCGCCGTCGGCGTCGCGGTCTTGCAGTACAGCACCGCGCCCTGCTCCCGCAACAGCGTGACCAGCGTCGAGTCGTGGTTGGAGGGATCGTTGATCCATGCGACGAAGCCGAGGTTGGAATCGACGCCGTCGAGGTTGAAGTTGTCCTTGAGACTGATGGGCAGGCCAGCGAGGGGACCGAGAGGCTTGCCGGTGGTGGCGAAGTGGGCGTCGAGCTCGCGCGCGCGCGCGATGGCCTCGGTGAAGAAGATCTCGGTGAGACAGTTGGTGAGCTGATGCGCGATGGCCGCGCGCTTGCAGAAGGCAGTGGTGACGGCTTCGGACGTCCACGTGCGCGACTGCAGGTTGGCGAGGATGGTCGAGACGGGCGTGGTGGTGATCTCGAGCTCCAGGTCGGTGAGGATGTCGCAGGTGATGGGGATGGTGCGCACGTCCGTGCCGCTAGTCGAGGAGATGGCGGAGAGGGTCGAGGCGGGGAGGTGCCAGTCAGAGGGAATGCTCGCGAGGCGCGATTGCACCTTGGCCGCAGCGATGTCTTTCCAAGAAGACGACGACGAGGGATTGGCCATCTTGGATGAGCCGTTGGAGGCGGCGGGTGTAGATGGAGCAACGGTTCCAGGCATGGTGGTTCTCGAAGAGGATGTGCGACGTTGGTAGGTCGAAGTGAGAAGGTCGTGGGCGAGCAAGCGTTCCTATATACCGGCTCGAGCAGAGTGGGACTGAAGGGACGTTTCATACAACCGAAGCGCAGCACGAATCAGCGCAGCAGCCTGTGTGTCTCGGTCAATTCCGTCGCTGCGCAAAAGGTTCAACCTTATCTTGCGCTGCGCTTCGCTGTTGCGGGTCACCAGATGTTGCATTCGTCTAATCTCGGCAACCAACCCGGCCCGCTCCAAAGCCACACAAGAAGGAAAAAGGCGGCGCAGAAAAGTGTCACAAAGCCGAAAATCGCAACCGCGCAGGTCACAAGTCCGATAGCAATGAAACGCCTGTCTGTGCAGGAGCATCTACGAAGAGGTGGCTTTGCATCTGCTGGCTCGCAGCAACCGAATGGGTCAGGGCGTTGTCCATCTTCTCGCATCGCCCACTTCAGACCAGACAACACCACCAAATGCAACAGCACAAAGGAGCTCACAACGCCTTATCAGATTCACCACTCTGACTACAAAGCTACTTTGAAGAAGTTTCAAGCAGACTCTTCTTCCACATGCATCGAGATGAGCGTGAGACATCTCCCGAAGACGACATCGCTCATAAGAACGGGTTCAAGCTGGCGTGCCAGCCTCTCGTTCGCGTCCATCTTTTCGTCTTTGAACGCATCGCGAGCACGCTCGCATCCTTCCTGGATCTGTTCGAGATTTTCTTTGAGCTTAGGCAAGATAAAGTGTCTCGGGTTGGCGCTGTCCAAAGCGCTGTCGTACGAGGTCAACGCCTTGTCGATGTCTTTGATCAGCACCGAGGAGGTGACAGAGAGTGCCATTAGGCCAACCTGATCCGGTGAAGACGCGATGCGATCTTGGCAGCTTTTTATCGAAGCTTCGATGTCCTTGACCAGCCCAACTGTGAACTTTTCGAGTTGCGGGTTGGGTGTCGATTTGGAGGGTGCATCTGCTGTCTCCATAGACACAGAGGTTGTTTTATTTGGGTCGTTTTGCCCACCGCCTTCTTGCGCAGTCGATGATCGGCTCGGCTGAGCAACGATCTGGGTGGGTTGCGCCGTCACGCCAAGTGAGGGCCGCGTTACAGCCTCGGCTATCTCCTCGATTGATCTTGGCGAGGACTGCAGCGCCGCAGTGGGAGTGACGGCGCTGCTTGAGCTGCCTTGCCCACCAGTTGCCTCGTCGGAGCTTGCGCTGGTCAAGTGATCCTCCTCATCGCCGGGTAGAGCAGCATCGCTTGAAGGCGCTGCAGGAGTACTTGTGTTGGTCTTCCTCGGAACCTTGATAGTGAGCTTGGTCGTCGCCTTGGTCTTATTCTTTCGCGAGCGCATCGGTGGTGGGCACAAAAGAACGGGAGCATGCTGTGCAATCTTCTGGGAGCGGCCGCTTCGAGTTGTGGTCGCAGGCGGCAGCGAGAAATTGGCCTTTGACTGGACGGCAGGAGTGGTTTTTGACGGCTTGTACTTGGCCTTCTGCCTCGTGCTTCCTGACGACGTGGAGACTCTTGAGCACCGCTTTCCATCCATCGTACAGGTCCAGTGGCGCACAAAGCAATTGTGACACGATGTGGACGTTCTGAGTGCGCCAGCTTTGTTATAGCATCGTATGTCTTCTCTCTCGCAGCAGTCACACCTGTCAACCCGCTCTTGGTCGAACTGGTACTTTTCTTGACCTCCAGGAAGCTTTTGAAAGAGCGTCTTTGTAGAAGGCGGGAATGCTGGTGCTGATTTTGGCTCAGACTTGATTTGCGGCGATGGCGAGAGCTGGAATTTGCGTCGCTTCTTCTTGCTGCCAGCTTCTAGAGGCTGCTCGCTGTCGTCTGTAGAGCCTGAGTCATAGCCGGACTCGTCGACGTGGGGTCGTTGTCCACTTTCGCATAAGACAGGGTCTTCAGGGTCGGTCCGCTGCAAAGCCGCGTTATCGTTCGGCTGTGTCAAGGCAGAGATCTTCATGATAGCCGATGGATCAACTGTGTCAGAAGGCGCGATCGCCATGCTGGTGTTGGTGAGATCGCCAAGGGGTGTGCGGTGACTGAGCAGACTCGCGCCCTGGAAAGCGTCGTGAAAAGCGAGTGGCGGCGCAGCTACCTTTGTCCAGCTCTGTGATCCCGGGACTTGCAGCACGGTGTCCGCTAGAAACTGTGTCAATGCGGTTCTCTGGTCCGCCGCGCGATCGTGTGGTCCGGTGGAGGACTCCAAGCCGCCGTCGCGAAGCTCACCATCCTCCAAAGAAGGCGAAGATGGCGTCGGATCCCCTCGGGGACTAGTCGGGCTGGCAGAGCTGAACATGTTGGAGTTGATAAGTAAAGATCCTCGCCAAAGCCACTTCAGAGACATGGGGCATGCGTCATTGCCTAAGCTTGGGTTTGGTGGATGAAGGTGAGAAGGATACAAGAGTATCTGATGGTAAGGAGAGTGCAACGACTGAGCCGGGCGACAGGTTCTGTCCGCTTTGAAGCGCCCACCAAATCTTTTCTAGTGCATGGCAAGGCTGACGAGGTCGAAGCAGGCGCGAAGAATCATTTAACGTGTCAAAGGTCTCATCACGGTGGGACAAGCGCCTCAGCAATGGCCCACGCAGCGCTCAGATCCCACATTGCTGCTCCTTCGACCGAGCCTTGACCGAGGGCGGCACACGCAAAGCGCTGCCGTGCAGCCCTTTGTCTCGCTGCAGACAGAGCACGCTCAGGCCGCGACAGAGCGAAGGGACGGACAAGAACAGCAAAGCTTCCTCGTCGCGATACTATCGTGTAGCCCTACTGTACAAATAATGATGTCGTTAATGCGATCGATTTGCCAGAGTCTGCGGAGTGTGGAATGTCGTTATATGCCGCCTTTTGAGAGTGTGAGCCAGAGGTCGTCTCCGAGGTAGTGAATGTTGTCTATCGCGATGCCCTTGCCGGTCTTTCGAATCTCCTCCGTGTCCATCTGCAGCACGCCGACGGCGAGCACCTCTTGCTTGCCCTGTGCTTTGATCGCGACGCACTGGCCCTTCTTGAGGGGCTCTTCGCCCTTTGATGGATCGGGAAGATGTCCTCCTGCGCTTGTGAGCCCTGGCGACATGACGTTGGCGCCCGACAAGACGAACTTGATGGCACCTCGGTCGACTTGTACTGATGGAAGCATTTCTGGGACTGGTTTGAAACGAGCCGAAGCAGAGTGAATACAAAGGGAAACAGTCAGCGTCTTGCTCATCAACAATGTATGCTCGATGAATACTTACACTTATGCAAAAGCCGCAAGCTCGGCAGGTACCAATCGTCGTAGTGCTGGAAGAAGAGCACTTGCTTGTCTGCAATCAGCATCTGGACATGCTCGCGTGCGAACTTGACCGTCGTGACGGAAGCCTTGTTGGGCCATGCTGCTTCGAGGAGGGCGCCTTCGTCCTGGGCGAGAGCCGGGTACTGCTCGGTGAGCTTCTGTCGGATGACCCTGCGCACTGACGACTTGAGTGCTGTCGCGGGACTCAGATCGGGCTTTGGCTCGAACTTCTTGAAGAGCGACATGCTTGACGTGCAGATGATGGAAGAGTGCTGGTTGGAACAAGTGTTGAAATGGTAGCGCTTGCAGACTTGGCCGCACTTCTTTTTTGACAGTCGCTCGGATCTCGGATAGGTTACAAGACTCTAACACGTCCGTGCTGTATTTTCCGTTGCCAAGTGACAGCAGAGCCAAGAAGAACTGCAGCTCGTGCAGCTGCAGGTACCAGCAGCCGACGTCAGATGAGGCTAACCAATCTTCCATTGTCCTGACTTTCATCCATCTAACCCGTCACGCCGAGTCTCACGTTCAGCGGTATTGCCCAGCATGGTCGTCATCTCGGTAGCTGGAACGTCAGCGTCGTCGCGGCGCTTACTAGCGTTAGGCCTGAGAGCGGACGCTCGAGCAACGGCACGACCCGCCATCCCAGCACGGCCACTTCCCACACAATCGAGAGCATTCTCAATAACGTCATCGCGGGCATTCGAACAACAGCAACAGCAACGGCAGCAGCATCAGGCCTCCTCAAGCCCGGCACCATCATCGTCTGAGGGTAAGTCGGACAAGGAGTCGAACGGTGGCTTCCGGAGCTTCTTCAACTCGACCGGATGGGAGACCGCCATGGGTGCCTCGGTCGGCGTGCTCTTGCTCGGCGGCGCTGCCATGGTTTATCACGGCTGGTACAAGCGTCATGTGCTCAAGAAGATGGAGGCAGCTTTTGATCCCGGCTACGACCCTGTTTTGGCGCTGGCGAAGAGCGGTGACCAGCTCGCCCACGTCCGGATCGACCCGCCAAGACCCGAAGACGAGATGATTCGCAGCATCATCTCTGGCAAAGAAGCAGGTCGCTACTTCCTTGTGATGGGCAGCAAGGGGTCTGGCAAGGCGACGTCTATCATCGAGGCTATGGCCGCCATCGATGCCGACGGATGCGCCTTCTTCGACGCGCATCTCGACCCCACCATCGTGGTAGACCGCTTCTCGGAGTCGATCAACTTCAGCAACAACCGCGACTACCTCGGCAACTTGCTCGGTCTTTCCGATCTGTCTGGCATGTCGTATTACCAGCAACTAGAGCGGGCGCTGCACAAGCTCGAACGAGCGCTCATCACGCGCAAGCAGAAGACCGGCAAGCCAGCCATCATTGTGATGAACAGCGCGCATCTGCTTCCACGTGACGACGAGGGCACCAAGCTGCTGCACATCTTCCAGCAGCGTGCCGAGAAGTGGGCATCCGCAGGAACAGCCACATTCGTCTTCACCTCGGCTGACTACTGGGTCTACGATGTCCTCCGCAAGGCGTCCAACCGCATGGACACGCTCTCGTTCCGCGACCTTACGCGGCGGCAATCGATCAACGTGCTCAGCGGCTGTCGCAAGCAGTACTGGGGCGAGAAGCCTTCCTCGCAAGACCCACGCGTGCTGCAAGAGGTCTACGAGATCTGTGGCGGTCGTCTCGGGCTGCTCAACAAGGTTGCGCGACGCAAAGATATGCTTCGCGCGGCCCGCCAGATGGTGGAAGACGACATGCAATGGGTTCTCAGCAAAACGGGCATCATCGAGGATCATGATGATGATGTGATGGACGAGCAAAAGTGGTCGACGTGCAGCTGGCTGCTCTTCTGCGAGCTGTCCAAGAAGCAGAAGGAGTTGGAGGACCTGTTGGACGAGAACGGGGGGAGGGTGCCTTCATTCGTCAACCAGGACGAGGTGGAGGATCCGCAGTATAGCAGTCTAGCTGCGCAGCTGCATACCGATGCAGGCTGGTACAAGGCCAAGGCGTCGCCCGTGCCTGGGCTGACCCGCTTCACCACCGCCTTCCTGCATCGCGGCGATGACGACGAGGATGCCAAGCGGGGCAACAGACCGGCCGAAGACGGAGATAGCCCTGATGACGACGACGACGATGACGAGCAAGATGCCCACCGCCGGCTCACCGAGTCGCCTCTCACTGACCCGTGTATGGACACCGAATCTGACGTTCGCGGCGCCGACGTCCCCAACCCACACCTCACCTGGGGCGAAGCACGCCAAGTCATGACCCGCCCCGATTTCATCATGGAGCTCGACCACCTCAATGTCATTCACATCGACCGACACCACCACATCCGCGCCGACTCGATGCCGCTGCTCCGCGCCATGCGCCGCGTCGCCGAGTCGCAGGGCTATGAGGAGCGCCTCGAGTCCGTCATGGACCGTGTTTCGGCGATCGAGAGCTTGGGACGCACGCGCGAGCTGCTGTGGAAGGAGCAGGGAGACGGAGGCAAATTTTTGATCAAGAAGGATGGAAAGGGGAGGGAGGTCGAGACCTGGACGCTCTTGGGCGGCGACGAGAGGCTTGGTCGTGACACAGACGAGGATGACAAAGATGCAGACGATTAGTCGTGAGGATCAGGAATCGCATTCGGCTGACATAAGGTTACAGTTGCAATCTACACATGGTATCTCCAGTCCAGACGACGGTCACCGAGCCTCTTCTGCTCTTCTTCGTCAATGGACTCCTTCTCGTGCTGACCCTTGGCCTGCAGCTCGTCACGGCGGCGATTCTCCCTGCTGAGCAGAAACCACAGTGTCGAAGCAGCCGCGATACCAAATCCGAGCCAGACGATGGCGAGACCGTGACTGATGTGGAACCTGGGGTTCGCGAGCGACCCTAGTGGCCTCCTGTACAGCTGCACACCGACGATACTGCCCATGTTTCCGAAACCGATCTGCATCGCCAGCGCCGTCGCTCTTTTCGTCTGGCCAGATACGTTCTCCGATGGCAGCGAGAGCAGCAGCGCATTTCCCGCGTAGACACCCGGCGTGGCGATAAAGATCGCAACGTACCTGCCCGCAACCGTGGGCGAGGCGATTTGCACGATGTAGCCGACAATGGCGAGACAGGCGCATCCGATGATGAACACGAGCCGGCGGTTGACGACAAATGAAATGTGAGCGATCGTCATTGTGAAGATGAAGGCGAGGAAATAGGGCGGAACCGTCAAAAGCTGGGCATTGGCAGCGGTGTAGCCCAGATCGGCAATGATGGTCGGCATGAAGAGCGAGATGGTGTAGAGCGCAAAGGCGAAGCCGTGGAAGAGAAGGCCGTAGAGGTAGACGTATGGATCGGTGAAAGCCTGCTTGACGCCGTCCCACGAGAAAGATTCCTCGTCGAGGCCGTCGCGATCCGCTTGCATTCGCGCGGCGATGATGGATTTCTCGCGATCGGAGAACGAGCGTGATTTCTGAGGATAGTGCGGAACGATCCAGTAGGCCGATAGGGAGACAACGATGGTGAGAAGGCCTTCGATGATCAGGATCCACGACCAACCATTTTTCCCTCCAACGCCTCGCATGAAGCCGATGCCATAGGCCAGGATACCACCGAAAGCACCGGAGAAGGCGGCACCCGACAGCAGAAGTGCTACTCGGTAGTGTCGCTCGCGGCGTGGATAGAACATGCTGAAGACGAACACAGATCCTGGGAAGAGACCACTCTCGCTGAGACCGAGGAAGAAGCGGACAGCAAAGAGACCGGCCTGATTGTGCACGAGACCTTGGACGACCGAGATGATGCCCCAGACGAGCGTCAAGGTGGGCAGCCATACCGGTGGAGAAGTCTTCTTGAGGACGATGTTGGCGGGCACCTCACCGATCACGTAGCCGACAAAGAACATGGTGAGGGCGGTAGAGTAGTCCTTGAGCTTGATGTCGGCAGTCAAGCCTTCGAGCCTAGCATTGCCAATGTTGGACCTGTCCAGGAACGACAGGAGGTAGAGCACGAGGAGGATGGGTACGACGACGAAGTCGATCTTGCGGACCAGGCGCTTTTCTTCCTTGCGAGTATATCGGACCTGGCCGTGGGAGGGAGTGTCGACAACGATGTCACCACCTTCTTGGACCTCGTGGGCTTCGGAAGTGGATGCTGCCTTGCCGGGAGGCGGCGATGCGGTGGAAGTGACCTCGCTCATCGCGGGAGGTGAGCAGAGCGCTGGTCAAAGATTGGCAGTTAGGGGGAATGGATGGGCGTTCGTATGAAAGAGTCGCCCTCTATATAGACCCTCGAGGGCTCGCGTGTCCGTTCGAAGCGAGCTCGCACACGACCACACTAAGATCCAACCATGTGGGCAGCGATGCTTCGATGGCGCGATACCATTCAAAGACCGCTCTTAGTCAGGGCAGCAAAGAGCGACGATGCATTGCCGAGCTCGCCTTGTGGGCACTCTGCACCGACATTGTGGCTGCACGGCAATTGAAGCAGTCTCCGTTCTGACAGGTGAAAGTGCTCGACACACAATGGGCAAGCGGGGGAGCACACTGCGTCGGAGGATTATCACTCAGCTACCAGCGGCAACGAGACTGTCCGCGCGCCGGCAGCGGTTGGTAGCCGGCGTTGCGGGGCTCAAAAGCAGCCTCTTGCGTCCATGGCGTGTTCGTCGCTGTTCATGACGTCGGGTCGGAGGACGGAAGAGGCGGAAAGAGAACGAGAACGGCGTATTGCGTTCCGAGAATGGCCAAGTAACCAAGGTTGCGTGCTTCGCTTGTGAGGACGACCCCAGGCTGGAGGAAGAAGAGGGCGCAAATGGACAGACGTCGTGAAGTCCATCATTTGCACGCTTCAGCACGCCATACTCACGCTCGGCTGGCTGGAAGAGCATCATCTTTCGCGGAGCAGAAGCTGAATTTATCCCTCACCCGAACGTGGTGCGGTCTCACATTTCTTCTAGAAAGTCTTCTTTTCGAACAATGTGAGCTGGTCGGTCTCACAGCTCTAAAAAATCGCAAGCAGTCGAGTGACGCTTCGAGCCTCGCTCAGACGCAAGGCCGGAGCTGTGCCTCCGCTCCGCTGTCTGGCTGGACAGCGATCCCATCGCCTGGTCTTGAAGCTGTCAGATGACACCCTTGCAATTCAGTCCCGAGGGCCGAACAGCTGATTGGTACCACTTCGACGGTCCAAGCTCGGCGTAAGTGAATGTTCGTACTGTATTATCGATGTATGTGCACGAGGACCCTACGTGCATAAGGCTGAGCTGCAGGGTGAGCTGAGCGCCCCTAGCTCGCCTTCTGATTTGCCTTTGCGGCCGAACAGGAGCGGACCAGACTGGCTTTTCGAGGTCGAGCTGCACTTTGATGGGTTAAGCTCGACCCTTTGTTCGGCTTTTTGGAGCCTATGAGCCGAAAGGGTCCTTTGACGAAAAAGCACGCCGCTCAAGGAGCCGTCAGCTCAGGTTACGTGTCACTGGCCTCTGAGCCTGAGAAGGCCGTGTTACGCGTCGAGAGCCTAGCCCAGGCCATGACCGAATATGCTGCCTCGGCTGGCGACCTCCGCCGTTCTTTATGTGACTCGTGTGGTGAGCTTTGTTTTTCGCAAAAAAAGGAAAAAGCAAAGATGGCAGAGATCCTTATCGGCGGCGGCTCGCCACCGCACAATCGCTGAGCCTTTTCTGCTTTGTCTCTCTTCTCTCCCCCGCATGATGAGAAAAATTAGCCTTTTTTCGCCTGGCCAACGTGCCCTTTAGGCCAACCCTATGTGCATGAGCGTGACAGAAATTGAGCGGTGTGGCTGGCTGGCTGGCCGTCGGCGGTAGATTCCCGGTCCGGGCGCGCAGCAGTGGCCACTCAATCGATTGGGACAGAGCATCAAACACACACACACATACACATGCCTCTCCTCATGTCTGCCCGTCCATATATCACTCGCCGGTCAGCAAGAATGCCGACACTGGGTCTCACCGTCCATCAAAGCTCTTGATGCAAACACCACCGTCTCTCCACCTCTCAATCTCGCCAGCATCTGCAGACCATCTCTAATCTAGCTCGCTCCTCGACTCAGCCAACTATCGGCCGCTCCGACCTCATCTTCGGCCCAGCAGTCATCTTCGGTCGGCAGCCCCGACTCTCACCGCTGAGCCTTTCACGGCGATCGATAGCCAGCCATGACCGACATTGGCACCAGCTCATCACTCAGCGTGCAGCGACCGTCAATGCAACGCGTTGTCTCGTCGACCTCCAGCATTGGTTCGTCGTCCATGGCTGCCTCTGACACGCTCTCCGCAATGGATGAGGTCTCGATGCCGGCCACACCTCCTGACGTCTCCAGCGTTGGCGGCATCCACGTCGTCGACGCCATCACCGCGTCTGCCTCTGCTTCCGTGACCCCGTCTCACCCTGTCAAGAAGCCCGATCTCTTCCTCTCCCTCACACGGTCCACCCGTCCCAAGCTCACTCTCTCGCCGACCGCCCAGGCGGACTTTGCCTCTCATATCGCCCAAAGCAGGCAACGCTTCGCGGACGACACGGCCTATCTGCCCAAGTCCACCAACATGGGCCTCAGCGATGTCGACGCCGCGGCGCTGCTCTCGGTGAACCCATTCAACTATGCACGTGGTAACCCACTCAGCTGGGAGGACGACGATGTCGACGTGGACCGTGGGCGGGCGGCGAGGGCGGCGGCGAGCAAAGCTGGCAAGACAGTCTTCCACAACGCCTTCCCATGCATCTTTGTGTCCAACTTGACCAACTCCGTGGCGTTCTATCAGAAGCTTATCGGTTTCTCGCCGGTGGGCAAGCCGGCCACCCACCAGGCGGTACTTCGACGTGGGCCGGCAGCAAGACCTCCACGATCGGCAGCGCAGCAATACTCGGCCATCCCTTCTGCCGCCGAAGAGCAGGGCGTCCGGATCGTCCTTCGCTACCTCCCTGCCGAATGGGGCGAGCTCAAAGGCGACGGCTCTGGCCCACCCCAATTGCTGGTTGTCGTGAGCAACGTCGACGAGCTGTTCCAAGAAATCGTCGCCAAGCAGCAGCAGTTCAAGCCCAACGGACGGGAGTACTTCCCCGAAGTGTTTCTGGGTAAAGCCAAGCTGTTGGGTAAACCACAGAACAAGCCCTGGGGCACGAGGGAGCTCCACGTCCTCGACCCGGACGCTAACAAGATCGTCTTCTACCACGAGATCAACTAGACGTTCGATCCTAGATTTATACCCCCACCGATTCGTTGTACTTGCATCGCCTAACACCTCTCGTTTTGTCTTACGCAGTCTTGCATCATGTATTTGTATCGAAATACCACGTCCTTCTTTGTCGTTCATGTCGCTCTTGTGCATCGTAGTTGGTCGCTTCGCTCGGAGTCGTGCATGTGTAAGTTGTGTATTAGTTGCGCATCTAATACTCGGGCGGTGCCTCGGCAGCAGTGCTCGCCGTCTCGGCATACTGTCTAGACCCCATCTCCGTCAACCTACTAATCACCCTCGCGAACGCAAACAGCTCTTCATCACCAGTAAAGATCGGACTTCCACCAATATCGTCCATGGTCAACCCCAAATCATCCATCAAAGCCCGCATCTGGTCCGCCGTAGGCTTGTTCTTCCCCGCATCGCCGGCAAAGATCTGCAATATCGGCACTTCGCTAGACGCCAACAATTTGGTCTTGCTTTCGTACGCAGCATCGATAAACGTGATGAACCGCCTCGCGAGATCGCGCTGATTCAACCCCATTCGGGGGACATCGTCCACAAAGATCGTGCCAAAGTTGTTGCAAATCTCGATGTAGTCCGCTGCAGAGCGGGGGCGACCGCAGAGCTCATCGAAGGTGAAGCGGGCGACTTTTTGGGTCGAGTGGGGAACTTTGAGCGTTCGACCCCAGATCTTGAGTGGTCGATCCTCGATGACTGGATCGGAAGGATCGGATGTCGCGGCGGTGAAGAGCTTGTCGAACTCGCGCGTGTTGGCATCGTCCAGTGGAGAGAAGTAGACCTTGGACAGTGCTCGGGGTACTTTGCGGTAGTCGGTGCCAGAGTTGAGGTCTGTAACGCCGAACTGGGATTGAAGGAGGTCGATGCAGGGCAGGAAGGATTGACGTTGGATGCCGTTCTTGTACAACTCTGTAGGATGACGATTGGACGTCATGACCATTACGACGCCGTAGGCGAGCATGCGTTCCAGCAGGCCGCGCAGGATCATGGCGTCCGCAATGTCGGTCACTTGGAACTCGTCGAAGCAGAGAACCGAGTGGTTGCGCGCCATCTCGCGGGCCACGGCTTCGATCGCATCGCTCTCCTCGCCGGCACCGGCTGCACTAGACGAAGACGACGAAGAGGAGGCGGCGGCGCTCGAGGCAGCGGAGGACATCATCATGACAATGCCCGATGGCTTGTGCGTTTTCGACTTGTAAAAGTGCGCCCGCTTGTGCGCCTCGATCATGAACTGGTGGAAGTGGATGCGTCGTTTGGCGGTGATGTTGGGTGGGAGAGTATCGTAGAAAAGGTCCATGAGCATGCTTTTTCCGGTGCCGACGTCACCGTAGAGGTAGAGGCCTTTGGGGATGTCTTCCGAGATGGGCGGGATCTCTGGTGTGTTCGACTTATTGCCAAAGGGAAGCCAAGAGAGCAGGCCTTTTGAGGCTTGGAGGTGCGCTTCTGGATCTGGCACGTCGGCTTGCTTGTAGGATCGGAGCTGGTCGTGGAGGGATTGCAGAACTTTGATGATGCTGCGCTGGTGGGTATCATCTCGGAGCACGCCGGACTCGACCAGCTCGTCGTACCGCTCGGTAGGGGTGGCGGCTTTTGTATTGGACGCCTTGGCCGCCGAGCTGGATGAAGCGGATCCCGACAGATGTCGTCGAGGAGGCAGCCTCGTGCGTGGTGAAGCTACGCTGGAAGTGAATCCTCGTGGACCACTCCTCGAGACTGCGACGGAAGATGAAAGCAGCGATGCGAGTGGCGGACGACGTGCGGCGTGTACGAGTCTTCGGCCACCCACCAGACGCGCTGGTTGGGCAAGTGGCGCTAGTGAGATGCCGACGGGGCGGCGGATTGCGCTCATGTTTGTGTTTGATGGCCGCAAGTGTCGTTGAGGTGCGTGTGTCCTTTGGATAAGGTTGATGAAAGTGGATGAGAAGGTCGAGGTTTCAGAGACAGACACCAACACCCCCGCCTCTTCGGTTGGAATTTCGGCGGTACCAGTCCGTGCGGGCGCCGAAAAATAGAGCTCGTCTGATTCGCCCGCATTCTTCCGCCTGGCCTCTTCCGAAAACACCGGCAGTTCAATTGACTACAAGCTCAAGCACAGCGTAACGCCGGCTCTGGCCGTCCATGAATGAGGCCGCGGAGCTCTATCGGAACACATGCTGTTCAGTGTGAAATGGGATAGCCATGCCGCTGTGCGAAGGAGAAGCAGTGAATCAGCACAAAGGCTTACCCGATCTTAGATTCTTTTTCGATTGTTGTTAGGTTCTCACTCTGCGAAAAACGTGCTGTTCCTGAAACTCGAAAAGGCAAGAGGGGAACATCGACCCTGTCGTCTTCTAGCCGAGCCAGGCAGAGAGCCCACTCAGCCTAACGACCGATTCACGAACCTCGAAAGCGTGAAATCTGGTCTGCATCTGGAATCGAGAGCTTCAAAAAAGTGGAGTCTCAAATCTCACAAATCTCAAAGACTGCGCTGCACAGCGTTCTAAATTTGGCTTTGTGTGTGGTTCTGCGCCTTGGCGTTGTTGCACGGCATGGATCGACCCTGCTTCTGGTGCATTTCTACGGCGCTCCTGCCGAGTTGCTCCCCATTGTCGTCCTGCTCGTTTTGGTATGCAACAAGCATCGCCATCCATTCGTCTTCCTATCACACCACACCCATCATCCGCGCGGACATAAGGAACCATAGGACCCGCGTTTCGGCCACAATCACGGCCTAGCACTCCAAGATGAGCGTCTCACCGTTCCCCCCACCGGATCCGGCGCAACGTACTCCAGCGGATGGACCCTCGATGCGCGACACCCACGACTCGTATCCGGCCGGCGCTCCTTCGTCTTCGCATGCACACATTGCGAACGAGGAGCCCTTCTCGTCGGCAGCAGCATACAGGAGCTCCATGTCGCCCGTAGCATCGCCTCAGCCCCGACCGATCTCTTCATCGTTCTCCAACTCTGGCCATAACGGTGGATTCTCAATCCAGCCTGGACCTGCGGCTGTTGCCCAGGAACGCTCGCCGCCCCTCAACAGTCCAACGATGGTGTCACCGACCAGTCACTACGCTGTCGCTCCCAATGGCGGCTTCTCTGCCAGCCCGAGCTTCGGCGGATATCAGCAAGATCCCAGGCTCGGCAGTCCGCCTCCTGGCAGCTTTTCGCATCCTGCTGCTTCCAGCGGCGGCTTCGCGGCAGGTCCCCATGGGGCAGGCTATCAGCAGGATCCCCGACTCGGAAATCCCCCTCCAACAACTTTTGCGCACTCCAGCGCCCCCAACGGCTTCGCTGCCGGTCCCACCCCTGCCGGCTACGAACGCCCCCATCCAGCCAAAAGCCCACCTCCCGCCTCATCCCTCGTCATCCAAGATCCCGCCTCCTCGCCCGCACCCATGACCGCCTCCACCGCGCAGCGAGCCAACACGGCCACCGCCCGCTCTGCCCGCTCCTCGAAACGCGACGGCACCGCGTCGATCTCCAAATCCGCCCGCTCCTCGGCCACCTCCTGGTACCCTGGCTCCCCCAACTCGCCCACGCGCGTCCCCTCCCGCAACGCCTTCCTCTACATCCTCATCTCCACCATCGAGGCCGCGATCATCATCACCCTGGTCGCCTTCATCTTTGCGCGCATCGTCACCGAGGTCGACGACTTCAGCCAGAACCTCAAGACCGTGTCCGTCTACCTGGCGGTCTTTGTCTTCGGCTGCGTCTTCCAGGTGATCATCTCGTACGATGCGGTGCGGTTGAAGAACACGATGCAGCTGATTGGGGTGTTGATCTTCAACATTGCGTTGACTGTCACTGCAGCATTGGAGATTCGACAGATTCGAGATGCGTTGAATGCGCAGGATGCGATCGAGGGCGGGATCCCATGTGCGGATGATCCGAACCAGCTCTGTGCTGCAAGAAACTTGTTTCCCACCGTGGAAAGGTACCTCATCGCCGTAAGCGGGGTCTGCTTCCTCGCAGAGTTCTTCTTGGCTGCAATGACGTACAAGCTCTGGAAGGACTTCGGTTGGATCATCTACCAGAAGATCGGCGCGGATCTGCGCGTGAGGAGGATGTTCTTCTGGTACCAGCTGTTTATCGTTTTCCTCAAGTTTGCGTTTTTCTTCGGAGTAGGCTTTACGGTGATCTACCTGATCCTTGTCGCCCAAACCACGGATTGGGAGTACGCCGTGACCATCGCTGCTGTGCCCGTCGCAATGGTCGCGCTTTTTGCGGCGGGTTTCGCAGTTCGAAGGGAATGGACGAGTTTGATGGTCGTCTCGCTCTTCCTGATGATCGTGGGACTCGTGTACTTCGTATACAAGCTTACGCAGGTCTGGCTCCCCGCGACGCGCGACGAGTATACGTATGTTCGGATGACCATCACCTTCATCTCGGGCTTCGCGATCCTCATGTTGGCATTGACGCTGTTGAACGGCTTCGTGTGCCTCTTCAACTTTCATAAGGGTCTCAAGCCGGCGCATGATGCGATTGGGACATTTGGTGGCGTGCACCGCCAACGGGCGAGGAAGGACAAGGACACGGGGAACAACGATGACGGCAACGCGGATCTCGATGGCACGGTGGATGCGGAGAAGCAGCCGAACGGGCACAGGGGAAGCGTGGTCGACTCGAGACGGACAAGCATGCTCCAGAGCCCCGGGTACAGCAGCTATGCAGAAGCCCCCATGCAAGGGCGACGCATGAGCACTCAACCCATTTACGAGGCGAATCACGGAAGTGCAGTACCGCCAGCCCTGCAACCGGGCGGAATCGCAAGTCCCATCCCGCACCACGCGGTAAGCCCCACACAGAGCCCCCCGCCAACGGCCCTTCACCCCCAATACGGCTACCCGCAGCAGATACCGCCTCAGGCATACCAACCTCAAGCACAGCCCATCGCCGAATCGACCCCGCTCAAACCCACCGCCTCGCGCGTCTCGTTGGATTAGAACTCGGACCTGTTTTGCCCTTTTAACGACCCATTCACGATGCTCATTCTGATGCTCAATTCTTCTCCGGAATCACGTCCGATTCACCCCGCGTCCTTGGAGTGTGTGCAGTCTCCGTACCAAGTGTGAAAGAGGGAGTCTCGATGGAGACTTGGGTTGCGTGCGGGAGAAGCGTCGCCTCACGTCGCTGCTTGACGTCGCTCCGCCTCTGGACGGTCAACTGCCGGATTCTGTGCACCTTCAGACATTCAGGGCCCAATTTCTCCGTCACACGTCTCCACGCACACCAGAATGTCTCTTGCAGAACGCTGCGTCGGCCGGGTCGAAATGTATTAAACGAGAAAAGGTGAAGATGCTAGCATGCGAGGGATGAGTCGGAACCAGGTAGGGATGGGAGACAGAGTACGGTGACGTGAGATGCGTGGTGTGTAGGGAGAAGGAGAATGTCCATGGATGATCGTGTGCGAGACGTCTATGGGTAAGACGATGCAAAGGGGAACGAGTCAAGCCTGACCCTGAATGTAGCTGAGATTAGTCGTCATGCAGATTCTGCTCACGCAGCAGCGTTGACGGCGATCGATGGCTGAGCAATGTTGGACCTGAACGCTGTCTTCTCCGAGATGCCCGCTGACCCGTTCGTCGTGGCTGGGAGCGACGCTGCCGGTGCAGCAGCCGCCACGCTCTCAGGAACCTCCCTAAACGGCGACCCAGCCCGCTTCTCGATGTTGGCCATCCACATGTTCTGCAGCACAAACTGCGGCAGCGCATAGTACCGCCACGTAGCCCAGCGGAAGAACATGCCGACCTCGTCCTGTCGTGTGCTGGCGAAATCGCTCGTCATGTTCTTCCTCAGATCCTGGAACAGCGCCGTCTTGTCGGTGAGCACGGCCTTGACGCCCCAGCGTGTCGCCTCGATCATCTCGTCCTTGCGGTTGACCGTCCAGACGTAGATGTCCTTGCCGGCCTTTTGCGCGTCGGCGATGAACTGCTGACCGTCGGCACCCACGAGGCAGGCAAAGTACATGGAGAAACCGGTGCAATCCTTCCAGAAGTACTTGCGTGCTGCGCGGGGCGACATGCCGATGTGGATGCGCTTCATCGAAGGCACATTGACCAGCGCCGACTCGAGGAATTTGGGATGCCACAGGCCGAGGATGAGACGCGGCGCCAGATCCGTCTCGAAGTTCGGGTAGGATTCGACCACCTTGCGCATGAGTGGGAAGAGACGGTCCGGGTCGTTGTCCGGCTTGATGTCGAGGTTGAGCTTAACGTGCTTGTTTCCGGGGCGCATGAGGAGGTCGCAGACTTGAACGAAGGTAGGGATCTGCTGTGGAGGTTGCTTGAGCGTTCGAAGGTGTTCGATGCCGTCGTCGCCAAAGTAGGGCCGCTCGTAGATGAGGCCTTTGCCGTTGGTGGTCCTTTCTAGTGTAGGATCGTGAAACATGACGATGACGTCGTCGGTGGTGATGTGTACGTCGGTCTCTAGGCCTTCGGATCCATCGCGGATGGCCTTTTCGAAGCTGGCGATGGTGTTTTCGGGGAAAGTGGCAGAGGCGCCTCGGTGACCCCAGCACTCGGGCATGTCGGGACGGATGTCCATCTTGGTGGATCTAGTGATGGGACGCATGGTGGACGATGATGCGGCGCGGAAGGAGGAGGATGCAATGAAAGGTCGAGCGTGGTGGTAGAGCAGATAAATGGAAGCTGCGATCAGTACCGTGTTGGCGATGGAGGTCTCCACCTAGCGAGCTGGTAGGAGAGTGGTGGGAAGTGAAGATGGGAGGATCACACGACGAAATGCCCAGCAGCGAGTGTCGCACGGACAGCGCCAGCAACAACGACAGGCGACGGCGGGATCGCGTGGGGCGTGGGAAGTGAAGGTGGAGCGTGCGACCGTGCCGAAGAGGGTCAAGCTTGTTGTTGGTGGGGAAGGTCAAAGCAAAAGGATGCTTACCAGGTATGTGGATACGAGGCGACCGGGTGAGCACGTTGGTCAAGCCAAGCAGTAGCAGCAAGAGAGAGGGGGGTTGTTGGTCGAGGGATGGACAGGAGGCATGCTCTTCGATCGTGAATGAGAGGAACGTGACAGGCTTGGTTGAGGCCTTTGCCACGAACGTGCTCACTGCTCTGACTTTTTTTGGTGACGCTGCGCCTTGTCTCGGCGTTGATTTTTTTTTGGTTTCTTCTTCTCCACTTGTTTGCCTCGGCTGTTCTCCCATTTGCTCTTCTCACAGCCCACAATCGCAATCATGAACCTGTTGCGCCCTACACAAACATGAAAGCGCCGCACACCAGTCAGCTTGAGACCATCTTCAACTCACAGAGATTGCTATGATCTCGTGATCCTGCAACAGCCTGGACCCGAACAACAAGGATACTGCATGCAGGGATGTGTACCAGCTGCGCACAATTCGCGGCCCGACCCGGCTTCCAACGCAGGACCGGCGCGCTTGCCGCCTGACCCCGCGTGGCATCGAGATCCAAGCAAAGTTTTGACCGGCTCAACGTCGTACCCCTAAACAAGGATCCTACTCAAGTAGCAAACTCAGGCCTTTTTGCAATCGATGTCGAGCCTCGACCCCGTTAACCGCAATACGAAGCGTCGTCTATGATCTCTAGCGCTGCTGAACGGAACTGATTCATCATCAGCGTGCAGATCAGCTGCGCCTGTCACTCTGCCCGTTTCGGCCCGTGATGCAGATCCCGGCAAGCTCATCAACAGAGAGACACCGCAAGTGCAGCTCTATTTTCTCACAGCGAAGGAATTTCGATGCGGTGGTCATTGAACCCTACTTGCATGACACTGCTTTGCCGCTTGTTCAGGCACTTGGGCAGTGCAAGCGCGATTTCTTCCAGCCGACCTAGCACGAAACCAGCCGTCGCTTCAGCCACGCTGGGACCCACTGACCGCGCCCAGGCTGTGACGTGTTGTGACGCCAGCCGGTCCACGTTCACAAGCCATCTCTGCAGGCGAAATGGGTGTGCCCTCTGTCTTCAATGTTAGACCATTCTCCTAGCCTCCCTTGGGCCTCACTCGGTCAGACCTTCCTCTCGCTCTGTTAGCACAGGAGCTTCAAACACACTACCGCCGAATCAGAGCCTCTCGCTATGCTGTATCTACCTTCGATTCATCAGCGGATACATGTCTTTTGCCACGTCAGAGTCATGCAGTGATACCGACATGGTCGCCAGACAATCAGTCGCGGCGCTTGAGGCCGATATCCAGCTGCACCGGCTTGCGCAGGAACCCTTCAAACGTCTCCAACGGCTTGTCCGGCTCGGCAAGCACAATGTCGTATCTGCGGAAGATGGACGCAATCAGCACCGAGAGCTCCATCATCGCCACGTTACGTCCAACACACGCACGCGGACCGACCGAGAAAGGAATGAAGGCCTTCTCAAAGTCCCTCTTGGCGTTGGGGGCGAGCCAGCGGTCCGGGTTGTACTCGTCGGCGTCCTCGCCAAACACCGACTTGTCGCGGTGCAGCGTGAAGGCGGGTACCGACAGGATGGTCCCTGCGGGGAAGTGCTGGCCGCAGACGGTTGCGCCTCCTTCGGGGATGACACGCGGCAGACCGATCGCAGAGGTCGAATGGAAGCGCAGCGACTCGCTCAGCACCGCTTGCAGGTAGGGAAGCTCCTGAACGTCCGAGTGCAGCGGCACCTCCTCGGCGTGTTCGAGTTCGCGGTCCAATTCGGCCTGCAGCTTGCGCATCTTATCCGGGTGGGTAGCGAGGTGGTAGACGATAGCACACGAGGTGTTGGAGGTGGTGTCGGATCCAGCGATAAGCTGCGTGAGTGCTTCGGCGGTGAGCTCCATCTTGCCCATCGGCTCGCCACGGTCGTCCTTGGCAGACTGCAGCTTGGCCAGCAGATCCTCGCGCTCCGAGCCGTTTTGCAGACGATCGTTGACACGCGCGAGCGCGATGCCGGTGAGCTTCTTGACCGAGGTCAACCTCCTCGAGAACCAGGGCAGCTTGATGAGGTATTGACGCATCCAGACAGGGGCCAGACCCATGGTACCCGAGAATTCACCGCGCTCGTTGATGATCTTGACCGCCGAGCAGTAGTCGACCTTCTTGTTGCCATTGGCGTCCTCGTACTCAACCTTGGCCTCGTCGACGCCGTTCTCGAGCATGCCGAACGTGCTGCCGAAGGCGAGAGCGCCGATCGTGTCGAAAGCAAAGTAGTTGAGCCACATGAGCGAGTCGAGCCACGCGCGGCCCTTGATGCCGCGAGGTCCATCGGCATTAGTCTTCTTGGCCTTGTCGCAGAACTCGTCCCAGCGCTCGAGCAGAAGCTGCACCTCACGTCGGATGAAGGGCTCGAATGCGATGATGGTCTTGGGCGCGAACGTGTGCGAGACAATCTTTCGCTTGCGGGTGTGCTCTGCGCGGTCGCGCGTGTTGAACAGTCCACGAGGGAAGGGCTTGGGCGGCACAAAGGCGTCGTAGTAGGCGGGCTTGAGCGTGCCGGTACCGTGGCCGTAGACAGGATGCAAAGCCTCGTGGTCGGCGATCGAGATGTGGTTAGGTGCGACTCGGACGAATTTGCCTGTCGAGATGCAAGGGAAAGGAGACCAAACGAGTCAGCACGTCGTTCAGAACGGCTTTGAGACGATTCCAAGCTCGAACTTACCATACTTCTGGTGCTGCTTGTGAACGGCATCAAATCGGTGGCCGACCATGGCCTGCCTGAGCAGCCAGAAATCCGAGAACTTGGCGAAGAAGGGTCCAGGATACTTGAGGAAGGCCGTGTTGGTGATGTACGGGACCAAGTGGAAGAGGACGACGGCACCGACAATGGTCGCGGCAATGTGAGCGGGCGACTCGACAGCCCAATGAAGGGCAGCCCCGATGCGGGGAGCGAGATCCGTCTCGACCATCCTTGCGAGTTTGGCGTCTTTCTGATAGGGAGGATAGGAATGAGTGCGCTCTAGGTCGAATGAGGAGTGCGGTGTTGCGATTCAGCGACCTGACTGGAGAGGAGGATTGGTTGTGGACAGATGGGAGGGTGGATGACAGTCAAAGGGAAGTGGGGATGAGAGAGAGGCTCGAGGGTCTTATGTATCTTGAGCTCGGTTGACCAACAGCAAGGCTCTCCACGCTCACTCGCTCTTCGGATACGAAATTGCGGGGTTGAGGAAGGGCAGGAGGACCATTTCAAATCAGAAGGAGGTCACGAGCTCGTTCTGCGGGACAGTGCGCAGGCGGGGATGCGAGCCTTCAGGATGTCACGGAGCAAAAGCCAGCAAGGGTCAGACGAGCAGCTCAGCAGCCTGAGTGGAAAATGCTAACTCTGGCTCGCTCGGTCAAAGCCGTCGTATCCGAAAGTGGCCCTGCGTGGCTTCAGCAGCTTTATCGACCCACGTCAGAAGTTGGAGGGGTCTGTCTTTGCCGGGATGAAGTCCGACGTTGACAGCCCACAAGCACGATGACAATGAGCATTGGAGCGTCTGAGGCATCCTTTGTTTGGTGGGACGGCGAAGGAGAAGGCCAGAGCGTGAGCAATTGACAAGGCAAAGTTACGTTTTTCTACTTCGTAATGGATGGGGGCTCCACGGACGGCGCGCAACAAGCGGAATTGGCCAGCTTCGTGCATGAACCTTCCTTGACCGGCAGCACAGCAGTCTCGCCAGATTACGAAGGCTTTCTTCGTAAGAAGCTCGTTCGAACCTCCTCGTGGAAACGTCTTCCGTCTCCACAGCTGTCAAACTCGAGCTTTTCCGAGCGCCGTCCGCCAAGCTCATGCATCTCTTGTCGTTTCGCTTCGAGCTTTACCAAAGTCGACTGCGTAAGCCAGCCTGTGTTCGGCCACCGGTCCTTTATTGACCGAGTTAACCTTCACGCCCGTGACAGTCACGGCGGACCCGTGTTCGGACCCACACGATGTCAGATGCAAGCAATGCGATTAGAGAGTGTGGATGGATGTACAATGCACGATGATAAAGAGTGTCCAAATTGCAAACGAGGTTCCTTACAATCCGATCACCAGAAGTTCTGCGCCCAGTCAACGAGAGCGTCCCAGCCACGTCCAACGGCACCATTGCCGATCTTGCCGAGCAACCTCCTCCATTGCAGGATCTGGTTGTCCGCACGAGCAAGACCGATGATGCCCTCCATGCCGCCAACCTTGGCGAAGATCGAGTCGATGGGCTTCGTCGCGATGGTCGCCGCCTTGCCGGTGCCACTGAATGGCTGCAGTCCGGCGAGCACACCAAAGAAGCGCTGCAATAGTGGCGCCGAATCGGCGGCCTTGGCGGCCATGCCAGCAGCAACCTCTGCGCCTGGCACAGCACAGCTGAAGTCGAAGCGATTCGCGTGGAAGACGAGCGCGGCGCGATAGTGAAAGACGATGGCCAACACGATGCCCAGGTGCCAGAGCTGGTGAGAGTGGCCCCAGGTGTCGAAGCGCCCCGGAGCCCAGCTCTCGGGGAACTGAGTTGCGTAGAACACCAAACCGCCGACGTAGAATGCCAACGATGGGAAGATGGGACTGAAGAACGAGAGCGTCTTGGCTAGACCATGCTCGAAAGCAGCGTGCGAGAAGGGCGCCAGCGCCGTAAAGCACATGGTCAAAAAGACAGCGATGCGCCACGTCTTGTTCTCGCGCTTGTTGAACCATTCAGCCCAGGGGAGGATCGCACCCGCAAATCCGACGAGCAGTGTGGTGAACGAATAGAAGAGCGCCAAATTGGGCTGGCAGTAGAAGCAGTTGTACACGGTGGTCCAGATCGAGGCAGCTACCAGCCAGGCGATGCCCGTGTAGTCGACGCAGGCGAATCGCTCGAACCACTTGCGGTCCGAGCAACCAGCCATGACGTGCCACGAGACCGACAAGGTGAGACACTTGGCAGCAGCAAAGAGGTAGACGGTCTGCACCAACCTGTCCATGGGTGTGGTCTGGTCATCCAGACCTTTGCTTGGCCAGAAGAGCGGCACGATGGCGGCGAGGCCCCACAGATGTGTGTGGATGTTGCCGGTCTCGTTGTGAATCTGGAATGTGCTGCGCACCAGTGCTTGCCAGTTCTCGACAGGGATGAAGCGGTAGCCGGAGAGGATATGCTCGTTGTTGCGGAAGAAGGCGGGCAGGTTCTCGTAGTGGATGAGATCCTGGCCATTGCGCGCCAACTCGATGGCAAGCTGATAGAGCTTCTCCTCTGCTTCGTGGACCGCATGACCGGCGCGAGAAGCGATGCTGTTGGCCCTGGACCGGGATCGCGTCGAGAGGTCCGAAAGCTTGGCCTCGAATCGTTGCGCTAAAGTCGCATTGGTGCCGTCTTCCGAGGCACTCTGCAGCGCGTCGCGCCAAGCCATGCTGCGCACTGACTCCTGGATAGACTCGAGCCGAGCCTGCATCTTTGCAGCGAGTGCATACGCCTGCGTCGGCAATTGTGTCGAAAGAGGCTCGAGCACGGAAGCAAAGTCGAGGTCGAACTGCGGCAAGGCGGGCATTGTCGGTAATGAAGGAAGTTCAGACGAAGATGGGAGACGGGGCAAGCGCTCTCGCAGTCCGTTTCCTAGGCTAATTGGGAAGCTGAAGCTGGAGGAGAGTCTCTCCCAGTCATGGGCCAGCGACTGTGACCGAGAGGAGAGAGCGGACGATGCTGATGCTGGGTAGGTGGGTAGTAGGGCGACGAAGCGCCGCAAGTCTTCGCGCATGGCCTCGATTTGCTGGAAGAAGGCGGCAGAGTGACCGTCACTCAACGGAAGTTTTGCGTCTGCGTCGTCATTGCCGCTTGTCGGGTCGGCTGAGTCGGCAGCAGGTGTCGTGGCTGATGCTGTCCTGGACATCCGCTGTGAATAGAAGGCTCTTGCTCTGACTTCAAGCTCGGTGAGATAAGAGAGCAGCTGAGCACGCAGCGAGACCATCGAGTAGGGCAATGATGCAGGAAGGTCGAGGTAGTCCAGCGAAGTCAATTGCTGATGACTCTGGCGGCTGCGAAAGAGTGTAGTATCCCAATCATCGTCGGAGGATCCTGAATCGGTGGCTGTGGCTGTGGCGCTGCTGAGTCCTTCGCCTAGCGGATCATCCGGGTTGTAGCGGAAGCGCAACGGAGCGTTCGCTGGCTCGGCTGGCTGCGATGCTCTCCTGACTCGTCGACGAACGTGGAAGGGTCGAGTGGGTTCTTCGTCGATAGCTGAGCTGTTCAACGCCGAGAGATTGCATTTGAGAAGAGTCGACTCGATGATGGGCGATGATCGGGACTGACCGAACGATGGTCGACGAGGCTGAGTCATGATTGCTGATGAAGAGCGGTTCGGACCAGCCGATGGCTTGAGTGAGCTGAGGAGTGAGATTGACCGAGAAGAGGGCTGAGGTAGGGGTGAGGATGGCTCGAATGCCTCAGAGAATCATGACGAGGCACGGCGTGTCCTCCTCGAATGATGATGGGCGGAGGTGGCGGCTATGATCCGTGTCGATGCAAGGCGGGCCTTGGCAATTGCTGTGGTGGATGAGAGACCGAGTCAAGGTCGATGCTATGTGGTGCAGATGGCGCTGGTGGTGGAGAAGGAGTGAATGGTGTCGATCCAATGAGTGAGCCAGGCAGCGTTCGACCCTCAAACGTAGGTGAACCGCGGAGAAACGTGGGGAGCCGCGATGACAGCCTCTCCTATTGAGACGAGACGAGGACGCAGTAGGACTGCTGATCCACTCTGTGCCGGGATTGTAGGTCGACTTGCCGTCGATAAGAGAGCGTCGAGGGCTTGCAACCGGCACAGTTGCAAATCCACACCCAAACTTTTCGTGAAACTTAGGCGGCGTCTCCGCTCTTTCAGCCTCCGCTGTTGTGAGCAGTGTACAAGTGAAAGCCCTACGTCAGAGCCAAGCCGTCAACAAAACAGAGCTGCTGCCGTAGAAATTCCAAGAGTTCGCTGAACTTTCTTTGGCTGCGAGTTCCTTTTTTCCTACCAATGCTGATCCCCTCTAACATGCGTGATTTTAATCGCTAACGCCAAATCGGGAAAGAGATCCGTGCGTCGACCCAAAGCTCAGCCTTCCACATCACACACACATCCGCACTGTCGTTCGCTGTTTCGTCCTTCCCTTCCGCCACCATCTCTTTCCTCGCCTTGGAAAGCATCGCCCATCATGCCGCCCAAAGCATCCTCAAAGGGGAGCAAGCAGGTCTCGACCCCTGCCAAGCCTGTCAAGCGCGGCCCTCCCCCTCCCATCAAGTACTACTTGATCTTCTTCAACTTCCTCTCGTTCTTCGGATGGGTCATCGTCCTTTCGACGCTGGTCAAGCACCTGGCGCTCGGCCCCCAGCCCTTCTCGCCGCCCGTTCGAGCCGCTGCTGATCTCCTGGCTCGCTTCCGTCTCGCCAAGATCGGTATCGTCAAGACCTACTCGCACCTCTTCCCCGAGCCCATTGCCAGGCTGCTCGAGCGCGCTGCCAACTCGCACACCTTTGTCGGCTCCGTCGTCGCTCTCGTTCAGTCGCTTGCCATTCTCGAGGTCGTTCATGCTGCTATCGGATGGGTGAGGAGTCCCGTCATCACCACCGCCATCCAGGTCGCCTCGCGTCTGTTCATGGTGTGGGGTGTCAGCGAGCGATTCTCGCAGGCGTGGACCAGCCCCTTCTACGCTTCCATGGTGCTCGCATGGGCCATCACCGAATGCATCCGCTATCCCTTCTACGCCAACCAGCTCCTCCAGCAGGAAGGGCCCGCCATGCTCTGGGCTCGCTACACCACCTTCTTCGTCCTCTACCCCATCGGTGCCGGTTCGGAAGCCATGTGCATCCTCGCGACGCTTCCCAAGAGCCTTCCGTTCAACAACCCGGGTGCTTGGGACCTGCGTGCTTACATCTATGCCGGTCTGTTCGTCATCTGGTGGCCCGGTCTTTACGTCATGTACACGTACATGATGAAGCAGCGTCGCAAGGTCATCGGCACGGGCTTCTGGGGCGACAAGCTGCAAAAACAGATCATCGACAGCAAGAAGTCGCAGTAGATAACGTCGCAGCGGATGACGTTCGGTGAATTACCAAGGCTCGCACCACAAGACGACCCGTCAAGGTCGTCGCTGTAGTTCCGTCTCATCCGCAACCATCTTCAAAAAGCGAGATTCGCACACCCTCAGCAGACGGCAGGCGTCTGCTCGCATCCTGTACCACCGCAGCAAGAACTGCACCACATGTAGTAGTAGCGCAAGGAGAAGCAATGCTAATGTTTCATTTGACCGTCAGATGGTGCGTTTGCGACTGGTTCTCCACATATCCCAAGGCAGCTTCCAATGCTTTCCGCTCTGCAAGGAGGCGTCGTAGGGATTGAAATCGGCCTTCTCCAACCTCTCTAAGTACGATCTGGCCGGTACGATCCCGACCAGTGTCGGCACGACCGCCTGAGGCACCTTGCCGCCGAACTCGTCGTTGACAATCTTCCGAGCTGTGATGAGGTAGTCGTTCGCCCTTGTTGCAAGGGCAAAGACGGCGTCGCGGAAACCATTCGCGTTGGGTCCATTGCGAAAGACGTCTTCCTCCACGACGTTGTGTTGGTGCACGAACTCGCGGGGGAGGACGAGCTTGCGTGCGCCCTTTGTGATCGAGTTCCGCATATGCGGTGGAGGATGTGAGTGGTAGGGTATGCTGGAGATGGCGAGACTGAGACCTGAGACCTTGCCGAGGTGGGAGAAGAGCTCGTCAACGGCATCGCTTCGAACGCCGAGCAGGTTGAGCGAGAGGTAGTGCAGGCGAGAACTGGTGCTCTCCGCATACGACTCGAGCGATTCAAGCGAAGGCGCGGCGAAGTCGTCCGAGAGGTCGGCTTCGCGAACGTCGATGATGCGCAGAAAGTGGTCGAGCATGAGACCGCCAGCGGGGTTCGAGCGGACCGCGGGGTCCTGGAAGGCGTCCCGGAGTGCGAGAACTACGGGGTGCTTTGCGGGACGGTTCTGATAGGCTCCTTGGACGGCGTCCCTCCACCAACCCATGCGCATACGGCCGAGCAACTCATTGGAGACAGTGTCTTTCAGCCCGGCGATCTCAACGTTGAATGTGCGGATGGCGGCAAAGTGCGTCTGGAGGTGTTTCGGATAGAAGTGGTGGGCGAGGTAGGACGGGTGGTCACGTTTCGCTAGCTCGTCGAGAAGGTATGCGTGTGGCGACTGGAGCGGCGAGAGCTGTGTGGATGCCGGTGGAGCGGTCCTGGATGCCCATGGGCCTGCGCTGGAAGGATCAGGCCGCAATGCTGTGCTACTGGTCGAGATGGTCCTCCGTGGCTCCGATGTCCCAGCTCGAGATGAAGATCGTGTTGTTGTGACGCGGCCAGCTGCGATGCTCTGTGATGGCCTTACCGAAGTTCTCAGCACGGTAGCTGAGCATCTGCTTGTTGTCGCCATGATCTCGGAATGTCAATCGAGATCGAGAGGAGGTTGACGAGGAGGTGATGGTCTACGCTCAGCCAACTGCAACTTGATGACCAACACTTTTTCCAAAATCATTTCCTTCTCGCAAAAAAGAAGGTCGAGAAAATGCGCCTTTTTGGGACCCTTTCTGGTGGAGGTGAAATCTCCCGATGCAGCCGGCAAGGCGCCGGCCACCTTTCAGGGAGCCTCGGACAATGAGATGATTTCATCATTTCGCAGATCCTCGCTTGCTCTCTCTCTCACGCGGCTGAGGTACCGCCAGAAACACCTTAAAAATGGCCCGGTTCCATCCCCGTGTGTTCTGTGCTGCACAAGGGTGACTGAGTAGCACGGCAGACCCTGCGTACGCTGCAATCTGTGTCACCGACTTTTCGGACTCCTTCCGGGCCCGCCTGTCTTGCCAAGAAGAGTCGTGAGAGGGCTGCTTTACCAACCATCATCCTTCTTGCCTCCATCCTGCGGCTCAACCACACCAACTCGGAGGAGCGGAAACGGATCATGCTGGACGCACTCATCATCAAGGCGATACGCGCCATCCTGCCACTCGCAACCCCACTCATCACACCCAAGCAGTCGCCCGCACCCAAACCCAACGTCACCACCTACATCCCATCCCCCTTCGTACCGGGCAAGATCACACGCAAGGAGCAGCGACGTCGTCTCAAGACGGACATCTACTGGCCATCAGGCTCCCCCACCGATACATCGCTGCCCATCGTCATCAACTTCCACGGCTCCGGCTTCTGCTTCCACACGCACGGCGATGATTCGCGCTTCTGCTCCTATGCTGCTCGTACGCTGCCCGCCATTGTCATCGACGTCGACTACTCGCATGCACCCGAGAACCCGTGGCCCGCCGCCGTCGAGGATGTCGATTCGGCCATCCAGTTCGCCAAGCATTTCGCCCGAGAGAACCGCAGGCAGAGTCTACAGGGTGCCACTGGCCACAAGGAGTGGGACTGGGACGCGAATCGTGTCGCCCTCGTCGGATTCAGTTCGGGCGGCAACCTGGCGCTCATCGGCTCGACACGCGCTGAGGTGCATGGCGGCGTCCAGGCAGTCGTTGCCTTTTACCCTTCGACCAATCTCGACGAGGATCCGTACGCAAAACCGCAGTTGGGGCCCATGAAGGGCGCAGCAGGAGGAAAGCTGCCCCCGTGGCTCCGCAAGATTCTCTACCACTGCTACGTGCCCATTGAGACGGTGAAGGATCGTAAGCAGCCCTTGATCTCGCCGTTGTACGCCGATCCGGGTTCCTACCCGCTCAGCGTCACGATCATCACGGCAGAACAAGATAGTTTGGCGAGGGAAGGCCGAAAGCTCGCAGACAAGCTCCTCAACACGTCCAAGTTCAAAGGCTCAATCACCCACTGGGAGGCGCCCGGTCAAGGTCACAACTGGGATAAGATGACCAAAAAGGGTTCGGAACCGGCCAGGCTCAAGGACGAGGCGTACGCGTTGACGGTTCAACGCATCAGGGATGCCTTTGCAACCGCCAATTATGACGCACAGGACGATGACGGGGAAGAGACGCTCGATCACAACCACAATCAGCAGAGTCGGACGACGATCGGCAAAAGGCGGAGCGTTGGGATATCGGATGGACACGGAGACGCTCGCTCGTTGAATAGCTTCAATACTGCAGCCAGTGTGGTCGGTCGCGACTCGCTGAGTAGACCAATCAGGAGTCCCAGGATGTAGATGACGATTTGATACCCCTCTTCTCGCATGCAATGCTCTAGATTGTGCTCAATGTGGGAGTGTGACGAGAGGCTGGTGAGAAGCCCTTTGTCAGTCATCGTCGCTGCGCATCGCAAGCAAGGTTTGGCCAAGCTGTCGTTGGCAAGACCGTCTGCGCAGCTCAAAAGCTTTCTGATCTTGGCGGTCTTTCCAGTCTTCCCAGCGAGAACCAAATTAAGCTCGATGTGGGTGTGCTTCGAGGTTCAAGGAAAAGCCTTTGTTGGTCGTTGTCGCTGCGCAGCATCGCGTGAACAAGATTAGGTCGAGCGTTCGCTGGCATTCGAGACGGTCTGCGCAGCTCGAAAGCTCTCTGATCTTGGTGGTCTTTCGAGTCTTCTCAGCAAAAAGCAGATTTGGCTCGACGGTGATATGTGACGAGACGCTGGTTGGAAGCCTCTTGTTAGCCATCCTCGCTGCGCATCGCTAACAAGGTTTAGCCAAGCATTCGCTGGCAAGAACGTCTGCGCAGTTCGAACGGTCTGCCTTGTCCTTCGGGCTGCTCAACGAGGAGAACAAGATTGAGCTCGGTGTGGCAGCGCTGAGTGAAGAACGCCTTTGTCAGTCATCGTCGCTGCGCAACACAAACAAAGTTTGGCAAAGCTTTCGCTGGCAAGATTGTCTGTGCTGCTCGAGAGCCCTTTGACCTTGCCAGTTTTATAGCCTCAGCAACAAGGCCAGATTCAGCTCGATGTGGGTGTGCTTTGAGGCGCGGAGGGAACAGCTCCGATGCTGGTCATTGTCGCTGCGCATCGCTGACAAGGGTTGGCCAGGCATTCCCTGGCATAGCGACAGTCATCGCAGCCTGAGAACCTATAAAGCCTGGTCAATGTTCGCCTCAATCGTTCCGTTCTTACCACAACCCCCATCACCGGCACCGCCACCACCGCCACCACCACAACCCTCCTCGCCAACTGGGTTTTTTTTGGCCTCACTGCACAATCCTCGCAGATCATCGGCCATTCTCGCCATGACGCCACCCACGGTCTTCTTCGGCAAGCGCGAGACTGCGCTGATTCTTCGCGCCCTCGCTACGCACCTCGCCCGGGACGATGCCTCCTCCCTCGAGTTGCTCGTCTACGTCCAGTGGCTGCTCCTCGAGTCCAAGGGACCCGGTTACTCGCTCGCCCTTTCTGGCAGCCCGCACTTTGTCAAAATGTGCGACGTGGCCATCTTTCGCGATCCGGGACCAAGGCTAGGTCGGACGTGCTACGCCATCATTCACGTCGAGGAAGGTACATCGATGCAGCCCGGGGGCAGAACCGTGTTGTGCCCCGCTGCGACGACCGACGAGGAGGTGACATTTGATATGGTGCCCGGGCTCATCAAGCTCCTCATCCGCCGAGGTGCGCTGCGGACTGTGACGGAGAACGGCGAGCATCTGCCCGTAGGATCGGTGGACGAGTTCCTCGAGTCTGACCACACGCGGTTCGTCGGCGTTGGCGATGGCCCTCTGTTCACGCGGCAGCCAAGCGAGGTCACGGCACGCTTGCGCGCGCTCATCGAGAGCGCTGGGCTCAACGCCCCTGGAGAGTTCGCCTTTCGACTCGGAGGAGAAGAAGAGGCTGAGCAGAGCCCCATCGCCGCACTCTGCGAGTCCAAGCGCGACGAAGCGGAGCGAATCATGCGGCGCGTCATCGCCTCCAACAGCGGAGGCAGCGGCAACGCAAACGATGCCCCTCTCGACCCACTTCAACGCGATCGCGTCGCCCTCATGCTCGCCTACGCAGACCGTCTTTCTCGATCCGGTGCCTAGTCTTCACTTCACGTAATCATTTTCTTTCAATGTCATTTGCATTCCCCTCCTATGCCTCGCCCACCTTCTTGACCCGGACCAGTAGACTGATGCGTTCGTTTCTCCTCCAAAAGTCGAGCAAAATCTGAGCAGTCCGCTGAGGCGCATCTTCCTGCAACGAGTGTCCGACGTCAGCAATCACCTCGAGTTGGTACTTGCCCTGCATCTGGCCGATCATGAGTTCGCGATCCAACCTGTCGGTGCCGGCGAGAAGCAGCAGACGGGCGGTGCGGACGGTGAGGAAGCGGGATGAGAGGCCGCGGAACCAGCTCGGCCAGAAGGGTTCTGTCGCCAGGAGGTCCGCGCGCCATTTGTAGGCGTGCTGTGCCGCGCTGGAAGGGGCGGTGACGGGCTCGTCGAGGACCTCCTGCGGTTCTTCGTCGGGCGCTGTCGAGGACTCGGAGGGAACGAATGCAGGATTGGTTTCGATAAGCGGCGGCACACTGATCCGTGCGCTTTCGAGGTTGGCGATTGTCTTGCTATCGACATGCCACCAAATGGCGTCCTCCACCGACGCAAACCCGCTCGGATGGCCTAGCACGACACTGCGCATCACGCTGAGCGCATCCATCGCTGTGCCCTCCACAACATCCAGTACCGCTACGCCGGCAATACGATTGAAACCTTGGGCCGACAGCGCGTGCGCAGCAGAGACGACCACCGATCCGCCCATCGAGTGTCCCACCAGCACGAGCGACGGCATCTCCTCCACCTTGGGATACAGTGTCGACAGCAACGCGAGGAGGTCGGATGAGAGGACGTCGATCGACATGTCCAGCGGGTTCGTGGGTACATTGTGCATGCGCGTTCGGCCGTGGCCGCGACAGTCGTATGCCAGAACGCCAACTTCGCCCCCGCTCGACTTTGTGATTTCTGCCGCGACCAGAGCATATGACAGGGCGGAGAAGCCTGCCCCGTGATGAAAGACGAAGAGCGTTCCTGGATTAGGAGAGGTTTGCGCTGAGGATGTTGCGGGATGATCTTCCTCGTCGGCATCGGCATCATCGTTGGGAAGTCCGACACCTGGCTTGAGCGTCGGTAATGATGGAGTGTTGACATTGATATCGAGATTGTGTAGCGATGCTGGTGCCGTGATCGAAGGGCGGAAAGAGCTGCGAACTGGCTGCTGCGGTGCCTTCTTCGGTCTCGGTGGGGTGTAGTACGTGCGGAAAGAAGCCGATCCTGTGCTGAGTGCGACATCGACTTCCAGCGCCTGCTCGAAAAAGCCTTCTGCTGAGCGAGGGGAGAAGTCTTCCGCTTGCTGTCTCCGCCGGACGCGCTGTGAAAGCGCTATCGACGGCGTGCTTGCATCAGGTGTCCTTGACGTGGAGGCATGTGCGCCTATCGGTCCAAGCTCCGGAAAGTCGTCTGTCTCATCGGCCTCAGAGAACGGCGGTACTGGCGGAAGCTTGCTGAGCTTGCTTTTGAGGAAGGATCGCTGTAGGTCGGACATGCTGTATGCCGGTCATTGCCAATGTGGAAGAGTGATGAGAAGATCGTCAGGGTCTCGAGTTGGCCTAAACGCCGAGCTGTGGAGGCCAAGTTGGAAGGTTGGGACAGAATTTCAGTCAGAGTCTTAATTTTCGTGCTGCGCAGCCGCTTGGCATTCATCCTGGTGCCTGCCCGTCCTAGCTTATCTCAAAGCGCTACAATGTTGTGACAAGTGACATCGACGCAAGGGAAGGCTACTTGGTTGTATGACTTGCTTTAGACGGCTCGAACAACTTCGTTCTACAGGTGATGCGTACATGAAACGTTCCGTGAGACTCTGGTGAAGGACGGATCGACTACGGTGTAGCTTCGTCGGCAACTTCGGCGGCATCAGCGGCATCCACAGCGACCTCGTCCTCGGTCATGGCCTCGAGCACATGACCTGCAGCACGTGCTGCACCCTTGACGCCATCCCTCGCTGGCTTGTACAGGATGTCGAGCATCCTCTGGATGGTCGCCAGATCGAGATTGCCGTCCTCGTCGAATTGCGATTCGAGTTCGCCCTCGAGTCCGAGCTTCTTTCGCAGCTCATCGAGCGAGTCTGTAGCTTCCTGGCCGGGTACGAGGGCTGGCGCTCCAGGTATGGCTCCTTCGGGGGCGAGCTTGTTGAATTTTGTCCTTCCGTTGTCTACCACTTGGTTGGCACGGTCGTGAGCGCCGTATTTGGTCTTCGTCCATGCCGAGAGCGGTGAGAGAGCGACATGACCCCGGTAGTAGAAGCGTGCTAGCTGGTATGCCACGAGCAGTATCGTCGTCGCCAGCAAAATGTAGAGCAGCGACTGCAGCTTATACGGCTCTCCCGCTCCTCGTCCTTTGGCCTTGCCCTTGCCAGCGGGAGCACGCGAGACGCCTCCCGTCGACTCCAGCGCCCGCTTGTTGCGCTGTCTTGCGTTTGCTGAAGGCATGCTGCGGTATATGATGGTGGGCGACGACGAGGATGAGCGGCGCTCTTTGTGTGCACTGAGGACCCTTGACGCTCGAGCCTCCACGTCATAGCCATGCGAGGCTTGTCATCGTCGAGCAAAAACAAAGCTCCGGGATCCGAAGTTTTCTACGACGATCCTCCCGATCTGATTGGTGATCACCCGATCGGCATCACCATGTTGTCGCCCACGGCCGTCACACTTGAAGATGCGATGGCTCGTGCAGCCAACATGGCCGTGGCGCCCAAGTGTACTGGAGACGAAGTGACAATGACGGTAGATATGACGACGACCAAGTTGTGAAAGCATTCTGAGCGCACGTTGAAGGCGCGTATGATCCTCGGTTACTGGGCAGCTTCTGAAACGCCGCAAACAATTGACGGCCAGCTACGGCGAAAGGCTGGAAGCACTGTTGTCCCGACAAGTCCTTATCGCCGCGACGTCTCCCCTTAAGGTGAAGTGGAGGAAAGGGAGGGATCCGGTGTCTCAGCGAACCCCAGAGCCCAGACTGCGATCGGCGAAGAATTCTGTACATGTGCTAAGCTACGGAAGCCGCTTGCCTTTTTGCGTGTGTGCTAGGTGAACGTGCTCAACCTGAATTGCCGAGACCCCATCGCCGGATGGTATGGCTTATGCGGTAACGCATCAATCCGTGCTCTCGCCTGTGCGACGCTACCACGATGGAGGCGCTCGGCTGGCCTTTGGCTCACTAGCGCATAACGGGCAATCAGCCAATTGTCAGTGAAGAACAATGAGCCCCACATTTCGCGTGCAATCGACGTCGCCGTATCGCTTCCGAGGGCCACGGCCAAGACAGCGATCTTCAACGTACGTAGTGACGAGACCAAGAATTGGGCGTGCTCGGCGAACCCAGGCGTTAGATTGACTCGCGAGCGTCTCAACACGTCGCCACTGTCGCCGTCATCGCAGTCATTGTCACGTCAGTACAAACTTGCCCCGCTGAAGATGGGCTTGGATCAGCAACGACGAGGCGAGTCAACCGATCGGGATTCTCGAGGCGGTCGGAAGAGAGCGGGTAGTGCTCCTTGTGGTCATGCGCCGGCTCTGGCCGCTATGCGATTTGTCCGAAGGATGGTCTTCGGCCGCCGTGATGTTACATCGCAACGGGGCAATGGTTGCGCGTGTGTCATGCTATTGTTGCGTGGGCCAGATGCTTTCCGAAAAGGGAACGAACAAACATCTGATGCAGGTACAGTACCACCCGTTGGAGCGGTGGTTGAGCGGCCCGAGGTTCGCCTGGGTTTCTCCGCCGGGCATTTTCGAACTTTGCCCTCTCAGGCCGCACTAGCATCTTGACCGGCGTTTCTCGTGACAGGCCTAGCCCGACCCTCAGCGCCTCGCCTTGCGACACGTTCGTTCGTTGGCTGTCGGAATATGTGCTGATGCAGCGCAAATCTTTGACAAAGCCCGCCTTAACGGCGAGCACCCCTGTCTAACCTATCCCGACGACATGGTTCGATTGCCTTGACTGAAAGTCCTCGCGGTCTTCACAGTCGAGCAGCCGAGTCCGTCCGTCGGACAGAAGCTTGACGCTTCGTCCGAGATCTAGAAGACGACCAGAGCGTCGAAGCGAGGGGGACGGGAAGCAGGCGCCATCAACATCGACGTCCTTCTCGACGCGAGGTACGTTAGATTCTGGGTGCATCCGGACGACGGTTGCACAAGCCAACGCTTCCGACCGTGCCTTCTTCCATCTAAAATCAAATTCGAACTTCCCGTGGCCGATGCTTCTGTTTGCTCGCGGCTCCATGCTGTCCAATCCGTTGTCACCGAGCGCCACGTCCTGCATTGCGGAGCTCGTCCGACAAGGCCGTTGAGCGCTGTGCGGCTACGTGTCGGGCCGTCAGTCTTCACCAATCCGAGCCTATGACACGGCGGATGAAACGATTCGCGACAAGTTGACCGGCAGACTGAACCCAAAATCCAGTCGGATGAGCTCTGTCTTGACTCGCTTCTGCAGAAACAAAGCTTCGCCAAGTAGTCTTGCTTGCAGACTGCAGCGGTCTTTTTTGGTCGGCCCACCGCGCCGTGTTTGCGGACCGAAGCTTGTTGGCCTCGCTTGGGCAGCATAGCCATTCAGCGTACCGTCGTTATCGTGTCAAGCGAGGCAGAAGCATCCTCGGCTCGACTCTTGAGCGGGAGGCGAAGACCCCGAGTGAGGAGGAGGGTGGCAAAATCAGCGAAGATGTTAGAGTTTAAGCATGGACCGGGTTTGACGGTGAATTTGATCTTCGCTAATTGACAGGTTCGCTTGCTGCTCGACCAATCAAAATGCGCTCTGAAGGAACGTGAATGCGGAGTGCAGATTTCTCGACATGCATCTCGAAGAACGTGGACACTTTGCATGAATCAAAAGTCGAGGTTTGGACTGTCGACACCCAGACCTGGCTATGCATGCACATCGTCTGCAGCACCCCTCTCTCACCCACCAATTTGATGCCAGATGTGTGGCCGCCCCCCTTGCAGCCCGCACAGACGGACCACAATTCTCCGCACAAAGCTTTGCCAAGAACGTGCTCGCTAAGCAGGCCTTCCATTCTACCTCTCCTGAAAAACAGAACACCGCAGCCATCAGCATCGTTCGACTCCTAACGCTCCCCGGCGAGCTTTGTACACGTTCTGAGCCTTGTTCTTCCCGTGTGTCCGCGGTTGGTGTTGCCGCCGCTTGACGCCGCCCGTACCGCCCGAGCTCGTGTGATACCGCGGCCAGCGAATTGCCGCCGTTTATACGAAGCGAGAGGCCTAGATCTGCGCGAGCTGACGTGCTTCGACCACGACGGTGCTTGCCAGTTGTATCCCAGGCGGGTGACCTGCGTCCAATCGATTGCGGTGGATGCGACGCTCGTTCCTCATTCGTCGTTAAGTTAAGGCATGAACAAGACCTGGGGCTGAACCCTGAAACAATCACACAATGAGCAACCACCTGCAGGCACGACCGCATGTAAATGGTTTCTTCGGCTGCAACGCAAAGGGAAGCGGACGGTGCGATGATCAAGCCACATCGAGGCCGCAAAGCAGCGCGAATCCCAGAAGGCGAGGCAACTTCTTCTCGATGCTCTGAAAGAGAGAGCGAGGCTGCTTGTGCCACAGCAGAAGAGACCGTCAAGTTGGCCGTCAGAAAGTTTCTAGGCGAGATGGCCTGTCTGAGTCTAGATTTGGAGAAAAGTTTCTCTGCTGCATGGCACAGGCGCCAGAGCGATTATCGGAATTTTACGTTTCGTTTCGCGCTCCTTTGCCTCCCCACCGGTTCAGCCCCTGCCAACGGCAAAGCGGCCACCGACCCAAAGCGGCACCCAGCTTTCACCGACGGCCTATCGACCTCTCGAGGAAACGTGTTCATTCAACGCCGTCTCGTTTGTGCGCGAGTGCGATGTGGGCAGCCTCGTTTCAAATCCGAGTCCGTCTCAGAGTCCATCCGTGCATCTGCAGGAACTCCTTGCGCTGTCCCTCCCCCCACCTCAGCGCACAAACGAGGATTGGCCTCGGGCCAAGGCGCATCTTCATCGACCGTGCAGCCCGACTGAGAAGAAAAAAAGAGTCCCCACTGAGCAGCCGAGTGTCCATTTCCCTGGCTATCATACAATACGCTCCGCTACGCCCAGGGACTGCCCGCTTCATGTAGCCACCTGCTTCGCCCAATCCTATATCAGGTCGGACCTTCTCTGTTTAGTCTTCCCTTCTCTACGAACCACCAACCACAACCTATCAGCCCACCCCTTTCCCCCTTCACCAAACACATACCACAAAGTCTACTCACAATGGCTTTCGGTAAGGACATGGACGCCTGGTCCGGCGACGCCGGCCTGGCCCTCGTTGAGAGGGACGAGAAGAAGAGCCGCTTCGCCGTCTCGTGGTCCGAGGCCAAGCTTCTCATGATCGCCGGTGTCGGTTTCCTCATGGACGCCTGGGACTTGTTCATCATCAACCTCATCTACTCGATCATCCTCGTCGCCTATTACCCCCGTGGCACCAAGAACATCGACTGGGGTCTTGAGGGCGGTGTGCTCAAGGCTGCCGCCAACATCGGTAACATTGTCGGCCAGCTCTTCTTCGGTTTCTGCGGTGACATGTTCGGCCGATCTGCCGTCTACGGCAAGGAGCTCTTCATTGTCATTGTCGCTGTCATCCTCCAGATCTCGGCCCCCGACTCGATCGGCGGCCACGGCATCACCATCTGGCTCGCTGTCTTCCGTTTCATCATGGGTATCGGCATTGGCGGCGACTACCCCATGTCGGCCACCATTGTCTCGGACCGATCTTCGCTCCGCAACCGTGGTTTCATGCTCGGCTGGATCTTCTCCAACCAGGGCTGGGGTAACCTCGTCGGTGGTATCTTTGGTGTCATCGTCATTGCTGGCTACCGCCACTACGTCGAGCGCGGCGATGTGCACAAGCTCTCCGGTGCTTGGCGTATCCTCCAGGGTCTCACCCTGGTCCCCGCCTTCATTGTGCTTTACTTCCGTCTCACCCTTGTCGAGTCCACCCGATTCACCCAGGCCCGTAAGCTGCAGGACGACCCCGAGCTCATTGCCAAGGGACACAACAGCCAGCTCAACCGCTCCAACTCGGACGACGAGGACCTCAAGGACGAGAAGCTCGGCGGTGCCATGACCCCCATCGACAACACCGCTGTCGGCATGTCGTTCAAGTCGATCGGCAAGCCCAAGAACGAGTTCATCGAGTACTTCTCCAAGTGGAAGAACGCCAAGAAGCTCTTCGGATGCGCCGCCACCTGGTTCCTCGTCGACATCACCTTCTACGGTATCAACCTCAACCAGGGCTCCATCCTCCAGGTCATCGGCTTCACCACCGGCAACACTTGGTCCAAGCTCATGAAGACCGCCACGGGTAACCTCATCATCACCGTTGCTGGTTTCCTGCCCGGCTACTTCTTCACCATGTTCACCGTCGACATTGTCGGCCGAAAGCCCATCCAGATTCTCGGTTTCACCATGAACGCCCTCTTCCTCGGTATCCTCGCCGGCACCTTCAACACCCTCAAGCACAAGACCGGCCCCTTCTTCGTCGTCTTCGTCTTCCTTCAGCTCTTCTTCAACTTCGGCGCGAACGCCACTACCTTCATCGTGCCCGCCGAGGCGTTCCCGACCCGAGTTCGCGCGACGGCTCACGGTTTCTGTGCCGCCTGCGGCAAGTGCGGTGCCATTCTCTCATCGCTCTTCTTCTCGTACCTTGCCAACAAGACCCACCTCGGCACCACCGGTGTCTTCTGGATCTTCTTCGGTGTTTCGGTCCTCGGTGCCATCGTCACCATCCTCTTCGTCCCCGAGACCAACGGCTACGACGCCGACGAGGAGGACCGCAAGGAGCTCGCTGCCGCCGCTGGTGTCCAGTAAGCGCGCGCTGCTCTATTGCTGCATTCCCTCGCCTGCTTGTATCTTCTAGACCTCTCCTGTCACACGCCTGACAGGTAGTCACGAAAAGTTTTCCTCTTTGGACACACCATCCATATGTATATCCTACCCCGCCTTCGCGCGGTCTTCTCTTTCACGCATCACGTCTGCTAATTGGGTCTTATGTCAAATTCAGTTTCATTGCTGATCTCATTGCGACTGCCTGTCTTCGCCTGTGCTTCTCCCATGCCTCCTATGTCTGCCTTTGCGATGACTGACGGGAGTCGAGGGATGCGATCGAGGTGGGTCGGCTCCTACGACGACGAGGGGGACCATCAGGCGTGGTGGCGGAAATGTCAAACTGCGCCCGATCTCCGGCGAGTCGCGCGATTTCGATTTTCCCGAGTGTAAGATCTTCCCGTTCCCTGCACCCCGCATTTTTTCGGGCCTCGCACAGACATGGTATACGCTCGCAACGATGCCCATGCTCAACGATGGGGGTCGCTCTCTCGACTAGATGCAATGAGAATGAGACGGATTCGCGTGCAAAGCCAAGAAGCATCAGACAAGGTCCAAAGGGTGTGAATGTGGACGTCCAGCTCGGCCGCAGCCGCTCGACAGCCATCCCAAGCACCCGAGCAACGTCTGAGCCATCAGCAGCAGTGCGCGCCGGCGCCGACTGACACTGGACTGGAGGACGAGCAACAGATTGCGACAAAGGTCCGCATTAAGGAATCCTCGTCGTGCGATTGACCGCACAGCAGCATCGAGCAGCGGATTCGTCGCTGTCAATTGAGCATCGCATGCCGGACTTTCGGCAATAACCAGTCTCGGCATTAAAGGTCGACGTCAGACGTCAGGGTCCAACCTTCACCTCGACCGCCCACCACCACCTTCCATATATGTCCCTTGTCTACACGCGATCGCTCTTTCGCCTCTCATCTCGCTCCACTTTCCCACCGCATCTCATCGCTCGTCACTCCAGCCTCCTGTCAGCCATGGTCGACCCACTCGCCGGCAACGAACAAGTGCAGAACCTGCGCAAGCTGTTCGCGGCGTCGGAAGTGCCCAACGACCCGAAAGCGTGGGACAAGGCGTGGGTTGATGCTACGACTCCTTGGGATGCGAACCGGGCACAGCCGGCACTGGTGGCGCTGATCGCCGGCGCACACGATGGGGATGCGCTAGTAGAGGATGGGACCGGGCAGAAGGTGCCCGTATCACAGGCGATCCCCAGCAGCGGAACGGCCGTTGTAGCAGGCTGCGGAAGGGGCTACGATGCCAAGGTGTTTGCCGAGCGAGGCTTGAAGAGCTACGGCGTCGATATCAGCTCCAGTGCTGTCACAGCTGCGAACAAGGTAATGACTAGATCAGCTCGCCCACGTTTCTCTCGAGTTGCCTCACTGACACTCTCTGAACATTGCTTCTGATCGCGTCAACAGTGGCTCGAGGATCAGAACCTCTCTGCCGACCTCAAGAGCAAGATCACCTTTGCCGAGGCAGACTTCTTCACCCTTGCCACTGCTCAATCCGCCGTATCAGCACTCGCTAAGCCAGGCGCAGCAAGCCTCGCATACGACTACACGTTCCTGTGCGCCATCCCGCCGAGTCTGCGGACGAGCTGGGCGGAGACGTACACCCGACTAGTCGGCACGGATGGCGTGCTTATCGCGCTGGTATTTCCCATCCACGGAGACCGACCGGGTGGCCCACCGTTCAGCATCTCGCCTGAACTCGTCCGGGAGCTGCTGGGAGGGCAGAAAAAGGAGGATGGAAAGGAAGCATGGAAGGAGCTCGCTGAGCTGAAGCCCAAGGGCGAGGGCACGAGGCCAGATGTCGAGCGCATCATGGTCTGGCGTCGCTTGTAGGCTCGATTGCGTCTCGTCTCACACCGGAACGGCACCTCATGCAACTGTCGACACTTCATACAATTGTTTCGAGCGGCAAGATTGAATTAGCGGTGACGTGAGGAGGACAGAAGTACAGGTATTGGTGGTGTAGCAGGAGGTGAGGTTTACAGAGCGTTTACATAGGGATCTTTTCGCGAATCGGAGCTGACGGGTAGGCGAAGCATGTCGCCGCTCGTACGAAGCTTTGTCTAATCTTCGTCGTTGCTGTCGGGGAAGAGGGGAAAAGGCACAGGGTTGTCGTCAAAGTCCTGGGTGACGTAACCCGAGTCGTCGGAGGCGTTGCCCGAGTGGATCGAGCCTTCCTGGCTATGAATCGAGCCATCTTCGCTGGGATCGGGGCGGGGGCTTCTCTCCAGCCCGTGCTCGTTGATCGTCTGCTGGACCCAATCATCCAGTCGACGGTAGAGACACTTGAAGTTGGTCCACACATCGTCGACGACGAGCAGCGTGACGCTCTGGCCGTCGCATCGAAGCTCGTGACGCGTGCGCGCAAAGCATACATCCATCCAATCCTCCATCATCCCCGCCGTCACCGGCTCAAAGCCGCGGTTCTCGTGGCTCCAGAACTTCTGCAGCGACCACGTGAGAAAGTGGATGAAGCGCGAAAAGAGCTCGTCAATGTCCCGGTCGTCGGTCGTGTTGAGTCCCTGCCAAGGTGCAAGGCTGGCGGGCGAACAGCACTCGGGATAGACAACCTTGTACGTGTGGTTGTAGTAGCGGATGAAGGATTCGGGGATCGTACCGAAGATGTGCGGCGGAGGATTGTCGAGCGAGTTGTCCGGGTCGATCTCGCTGGAGCTGCTTTGGGCGGGCGATAGTGGGGGAGAGGGAATGTCGTTCATGTCGTCGACGAGGAAGTCGTCAAATTGGAAGGGGGCTGGGTCCGAGTCGCTGTCGTGTGACATGCTCCGGAAGAGAAGAGATGGGAGAGGAGATCAACTCGCTCACTAGAGGTTGATTGAGGCAACGAGCTGCCTCAAGAAGGGTCGCGAGGCTGATGATGATGACGAAAACGATGAAGCTTGACACTGATGATCTGGTAAAAGCTTGCAGGGTAGGGGTTAGCTGAGCTTGAGGTAAAAGCAGAGGAGATCGAGCGACCAGTGACCAGCACCAAGGACGTAGGACCAACTTTCTGAAAAAGGGACGGAGAGCTTGAAGGGATGGCGAAGGTAGGGGGGAAGAGCAGCTCACCCTCCTTTTATCTCATCGCAGAGGGGTAGAAGAGACGCGACGTCTTTCGTGATAGGTGTGCGCTGAGCAGCATGCCCTCTGATAGCCTTGCATCGTTAGCGCACGTCAAGTAAGGTCGATACTGTGCAGATGAAGACAGCACCAACACCTCTGCGCAGGAATCTAGGCAGGAGAGCGATGGTCGTCGTTGAGCAGCGCAGCTGTGACCCGCACAAAGCTTGCATCTGCTTGCGCGAAACCTGCGCGTACCACTCTGTTGGAACACGCAGGAAAGCAAGACCCATCGTCTGCATCTCAGCGACGTCGCAGACAGCATGGGATCAATGGCTGCGCTCGGCTCGCAGATGAGATTCTCGGAAGCTTGCATATGAAGTAGAGCGAACCAAGTTTCATCGACACGCGTATGAGCTTATTTCCGCTGCTTTCCAGCGCCAAATTTCATTCGGCGTCGCATGAAAACCTTGCCTCGTGCCATTGCGCAGAAGGCTGGACGCTCGTCATTGGCCCCATGCCTGTCCGTGGGGCTGACTGGTGCGCACGAGGGTTGGAGTTTGACAACCCAATCTTGCTCGACGGCGTCGACCCACCTCTGAGCCTCTTGCGCGAAACCGGTTGAATCAATCCAGGTCGCTTGTTGAGCTGTGCTGGCGAGTGATCCTTATTGTTCAGTGGATGAGTATTCTTATCACCTCCACGAACGTGCGCATCCAAGGCAGTGGGTTGGGCGGAATCGATGGTCGTGGAGCAGGTCGTGCGCACACTGCGCAGGCGGACGAAGGGCTGGTAGAGACTGGACAGACCCACCCTAGCCTTTGGAGAAAGGTCAGGCAAGCATGGCTTCGCTCATGATCGCAGGCTATGCATCTTGCCCGACTCGTACGATTTGTGTAGAACAAAGCCAGCCTGCAGCATCGCGACTGTGGCGAGGGTGAGCGTTGGCACCGAACTTGTTGGGCGCCGTCTCTGGCAGGCCTGGCGCCAACGCTACCACTCTTTTTGCACTTTCCATAAGAATCTAACACTTTAAGTTGCTCGTTCGTCAAATTGGCTCCACCCACAGACTCGACACAAAGAGCAGACGATCTCTTCTCATTGTCACGCTCTGGTCAAGTGTGACTAGACTGATGCTGGGGGCTGACGTTGTGATCATCCGCCGGGAGGCCGGGCCTGAACGGAGCTTGCAAGGAGCGCCGAAAAATTTGCCTTTGTTAGACCCAAATTTCTCCAGAGGTCAGCTCGGCGCGTCGGCGTCGAGACGGCGAGCTCAGGCCTGAAAAGCCGTTTGGTGACCGCGTCGGTCTGGGCACGGCGAGCTGTTCATCGGTCAATTGACCTTTCGAACGGACCGACGACAGGCCGTTCTCCCTTTTAAGCTTTCGTTCCTCTTGTCCATTGGCTGTTGTGCGGGTCAGGCTCATGCGTCCCTCTGTCCCGTCCCTGTTGTGCCTGCGGCGCTGTCATTGTGCTGAGCCGAGGTGTGTGAGCTGATGGATGTGGGAACTGAGGTTGACCGGTGGGCTCACCACCCACTCCTACCGTCTAGCACCGATTCCTTGGGTTTTTGACCCACGTCGGTGCTTCGGCGGCGTCCACAGCCCGTGTGACAGGTGCCCCTTGGCGACCTATACCTTCCATCGCCCCTGGAGCGAAGACCCCTGATGCTGATCACGAGCTTCTACTTCCCGTTCAGCCACCGATGCGTCTTGTCATTGCACCGAGTGGCTGCCGAATTCACCGGCCATCTCCTGTTGACGTTGTTGCGATGATGAAGCAAAACTTTTGTACGCCGTCCTCTGCCCGGGATGAGACCCGCTAAGCTCTCCCCTCTTCCTATAGTGCCTTGACATGTGATCCACCCTCTACAAGGAGGAGTGAAGACCAGATATATGACCCCGGACTTTGGTTTCCCCATCGACTCCGTTCCCCACAGATTGTCACCTCTACCATCTCTCGACCCATCCACAGCATAGCATACTCTCACACAATGGCACCTATCGCAGTCGACCCCGTCGTCTTGGCCTCCACACCGGTCGCCAAGACCCCGTCGTCCATCGTCGCCAAAGGCACTGCCATGGACGCCATCTCGGACCTGGTCGACGAAGTCAACGTCTACCGAGGCACCCACCCTTCCGCAGCACAGCCCTCTGACGAATCCGACGAAGCGTGGCGCACCGAAGGCTCGCGCTTCGACTCTGAGAAGGACAAAGCCGACTTTCGTCGCTACGAAGACGCTCTCGACCACGTAAAGACCTTCTACCTCACCCAACACACTAAGCAGACGGTCGCCTTCAACATCGCGGCGCGTGAACGCTTCCTTAAGAACCACCATGCGAGCATGACCGTGTGGGAGGCGATTGAGAAGCTCGACACGCTCGTCGACGAGTCGGACCCGGACACGTCGTTGAGTCAGATCCAGCACCTGCTTCAGACGGCGGAAGCGATGAGGCGCGACGGCAAGCCGGATTGGATGCAGCTCACGGGTCTCATCCACGACCTCGGCAAGCTGCTGTGCTTCTTCGGCGCCGATGGCCAGTGGGACGTCGTTGGCGACACCTTTGTCGTCGGCTGCGCCCCTCAGGGCACCGTCTACCCCCACACCTTCGAGGCCAACCCAGACACCCACGATGCGAGGTACAACACCGAGTACGGCATCTACCAGCCCAACTGCGGGTTGAAGAATGTCATGCTCAGCTTTGGCCACGACGAGTACCTGTACGAGATTGCCAAGCGCGAGTCGACGCTCCCGCAGGCGGCGTTGGATATGATCCGATACCACAGCTTCTACCCGTGGCACCGCGAGGGAGCGTACCGTCACCTCTGCGCTCCTGAGGACGACCAGGCCCTTGAGAACGTCCTCGCTTTCAACCCGTACGATCTGTACAGCAAGTCCGACTCCCCGCCCGATGCCACCGAGCTTAGGCCCTACTACGAAGGTCTCATCGAGAAGTACTTCGGCGGCAAAGACCGTAAAATCCAGTGGTAATCCGTCTTCATCCCTCGCATTCGTTTTTGTCGAACTATACCCCGTGCTCCATCTGCATTACCATAGATAGCATTGTCCCAATTCTCATCGTTACTTCCAAATCACGCCGCGTGTGTTCGTATGTGGAAGATTCTTGTGGTTGCAATTTGTGAGGCGAAATCTACTTGCGCTTGAGATGCGAGCCTAGCGGATCGCGACCGGGCTTCCAGTAGCCGAAGAGCATTTGAATCACGGCGACGAAGAGGATGCAGTTGAGTGCGGCGATCTTTTTGACGAGCATGGTGGCCGTCTCGCCCCCTGGGATGATGCCGAATGGCAGTCTGGCGAAGTAGCATCAAGGAAAAAGCGTTAGTGGTCAAACGTGGTTGGCTTGCGCAAAGGTGGGGATCAGACTTACACTTGGGGTGCATAGAGGTCCTCCTGACTCTTGACGTAAAACTTGCCGTCGGCACCACGCTGCAGCTGGAGGGCGACAAAGATGCGTGCGTCCTTGGCAACAACGTCGCGGATGATGGGGAAGTTCGGGCGCAGCGTTTGGACTGCCTCGATGAAGCTGTGTGGTTGAAGTTGACGGAGCGAGAGGATGTCAGCAATCAGATTCGTGTTTAGAATGGACCTTTGCGCCGCCTCGAAGTCGACTTACAGCTTGCTCGTCTGCTGGTCGAAGCCTGCGATGGAGCGAATGGAGCGATAGATGCAACAGGGTCAGCTTCTGTCTGCGAGAGAAACACTCCTGCTCGCCAACAACACTCACCGACATGGTAGACCTCGATATCCGATCGCGAAATCGTACGCAGCCACTGGTAGATGGGGAGAACGCCGTTATCCCTCGAGTTGGGACCGGAGCTGACGGTGCAGAGGACATGGTCGAACGAAGCGTCGGGCGCAAAGTACCTCTGCATGCAGTACTTCTGTTCGGATGCATTTCTGGCGGCGACAAGGCCTTTGACGACGCCGCGGATCTCGCTGACTGGGTCCTCCATCTTGAGATCTATCGAATACGCTGAGGAGATGGTGGCAAGATGGTCGGAAAGATGACCACGTTCTGCAGGGGATATGCACAGTGCGGTAGTGGAGGCATTTCGTCTGTGCGTTTTCAACCGATCTGCGCGCTTGTGAAAATCGCTAAGAACGGCTGCCTCTGCAAAAAGTGGGTTCTTAACGTCACAAAAGAAAAGAAGAAATCGAGGCTGCGATAATGACCCCCTGCCATCGTCGTATGCTGCGCACACAATGGTCACGCTGGACGGACCGTACAGCTCGTACACTCAGTCAAACACGGGAACGGACTACGAGTCATCAAGAGATACCATTACGAGAAGCGTGACATGTCGATGTGTTAAGCGGCTCGACCGACCGTGATTTGTACAAGATGCGAGAATGCGTAGGAGAAGCCAGTTGTACAAGGGGAAACAATGCATGCGGATACGAGGGGACGGAGAAAAATGCTGAGATGGAGAGTACGTCTGGTGTTAAGGGCAAGACGTCATGCCGTGGGTATGTATGCGCGCCTGGTGTTAATGGCAAGGCGCCGTGCCGGGTATCTCTGAGGTTGGGGAAACTGGGTTATAGTATCAAAAGGACTTGGGAGTGGTCGCGAGGACGAATGTATGTCGACGAGACAAGAAGCTCCTGAAGATGCGAGGGGAGAGGAGGAGCCGAGACTGTTGGCTCGGTTGGAATCAGTTAGGCGAGCCAGTGTATCAGCGACGCAGGCCGATGCGGTGCATCAGCTCGTCCCACACAAGCGCCTTCTCAGCGGCAGCGCCACCGGTCATAATGTCGCCGTTCTCAAGAGCACGGCGGATCAGATACGGCAACGTCAGCTCCAGAGGACCGTATGGAATATACTTGAGCACCATATGCGGGCCAACGCCGCCCGAGTTGGGGTCGAAGGCAGCCTGTATACGCGCGGTGAGCACCGAAGCCATGCCGTAAAGCTGGGCGAAAAAGATGCGGCCCCGTACCGACTCTTGCAGCTGCAGGTCGACTAGAGGTACACGCTGGAGTAGCGCCACTTCGCTCGTGCCAGGGCTTGCGTTCTTGGTGGCCTGCCAGAGTGCTGGTGCAGGCTTGGCCATACCCAGCCGCACCATCTCGCGGATCACCTTGAGCGACGATTGGGTATTGTGGCTGGCAAAGACGACGGCGAGTGTCGGCTGCGAACCCTTCTTGGCGGTGCGTACGAGATCTTGATGGACCTCCTGGACAAGACGGATGGCACAGCCGTCGTAGCATCGATCGGTGAGATCCTTGTTGGGCCAGACAGGGCTGCCCCACCCTTCATAGGCAGGAGCATCGGCACCCTTGCCGGGAACAGGAGGTGTGTCGACAATCTTGTCGGACCAGATGCGATTCTCTTGATCGACATAGGCGCCTCGGACAAGCTTGACACCGAGCGTGTATCCGTTGAGCTTGGCGCGTTCGAAGGAGGCGGCGAGGTGCGATGGGGTGCGACGAAGGTATGCTTGGAAGGTATTGTAGACGAGGGGACCCGTGACACTGCCCTGGGGAGCGTCGCGAGAGGCCGAGGTGGGGCGATTGTATTCGGCAGCGATGGCCTCGTACATGGCATCGATGGCGGGCTGATACCAGCTGTATTCTGCATCGATGGCGAGACGGACACTGCCGTGCTGTTTGGCCCGCTCTGTGACCTCGCGGAGAGCCTCCCAAAGCTGCTTGAGCGCGTCGACATCCTTCGGGGTCAGGGCGGCGACAGGGATGGCGAGCCCTCCGCAAGGACCCATGCCGTTGATGCTGAGCGGAGGGAGGGGTTCGGGCGGAGCGCTGAACCATTCCCTAGGCACAATGGCAGCAGAAGCCCGCTCAAGCACCGATGAGTCGTACAGCAAGCCCGAAAGCTTGATAGCGACAAAGGTGCTTCCAGATCGGTCGGGTCGCACAGCTAGCTCGGCAGCTTGATCGCTGTCAGCAACGCCGTGAGAAGCAGGAAGAGCAGCGAGCTTGGCCGATACGTCGATGCTGTGCAAGAGCTCGTCGACGAAAGGGCGGTGAACCGCCGAGTGGTGTGCTTTTGCGTTGTCGGATCCCTTGGCAGGCTTGCCATCATGAGTTACTTCGACCGAAAAGTTGAGCATGGCGCCGAGATTGTCGCGAGAGAGGGACGAGAGCAGAGGCAGTGAGCCCTCAGCGGTGTCATCGCTGATGAATTGACGGAAGAAGGTCCGGCGGATGACATACTCGGTGACGGTCCAAACGAAAGGCAACGAGGTGTTGGAGCTCCACTCGATGAGCTGCGGCCCCACTTTGGCCAGGGAGCCGAAGGAACAAAGCGTGAAGACGGCGTAGTTGGTGAGCAGCATCGATACTGGCTGCGCACGAAGCGGGCGATAGGGTCGATGGGATTCGTCTTCACGCTGCACATCTTCGCGATGAGCTTGCGCGATCGACTTGGTCTGAGCGGAGTCTGGAGCGTCCAGATGGACAGGGTCGGTCAAGGAGAGCGTCACAGCCGCAAGAGCAGTGGCACCAAGAGCTGCACGAAGGGCGTAGACGCCGTAGTGAGAGCCATTCGTGTTTCGTGCGCGAAGGAAGACGAACTGAGCCTGCTGAGAAGCCCATCGCCTGCCAGCCAAGGCAGCGCTAGTGGACCATTGCTGACTAGAAGCTCTCGACGACGCCAAGCCGCTCGTCCAGCTGCCTTGAGGACCGAAGCGCCTTGCGGTTGTTCGTGTAAGAGATGAAGCAACACGGTGCTTTGGCGTCATTCCCTCGCTAGCGTGTGATGGCGTCCGTTGACGATGTCTGTCTTTGTGGACCAGGTCGTGAGAGGAGGCGCGAAGACGTCGAGCAAGCAGACAGTGAAGCGACCACGACAGAGAATCAGGAACCACGACCAAGATAAGGGGCAGGAGGGAAACAACGCAGGAGGGGAAGAGAGATGGTAGAGGGTAAGTTCAAAGATAGCGAGGGTCGATTGTCATTGGATAGGGAGGGATGCATGCATGAGCCTCCCCGCCGGAATCCACAGTGATACTCGAGATGGTCAAGAGAGAGAGCATAGTCGAGGCTCGTGTGTCTCGTTGTTGTTCGTCTTTGGCCCAAATTTTTCTTTGACAGATGACAAGGGTTTAGCCATGGCAGCATGGTCACAAGGTTCAGCCGAGCTTGAGCAGAAGATTCTCCGGTCAAGAGGCCGAGTGCAAAAAGGTAAGTCAGAGAACCAAAAAGGAAAGGGAAATGGAGACTGCATGAGTCGAACACGCGACCTTTCGCAATTTAGACATGGTGCTAAGCGAACGCTCTACCAACTGAGCTAAACCCCCGAGATGAAGAGCTAATCCTGCTATTGCATATATACTCTAATATGCAGTCCCCCTTGAACAAGCACACGTGCCGAGGCGAAAGCGAGTTGGCCGACCCGCCAAAACCCGCGGGATGGCTAAGCAGGTGCAAAGACGTCGATCAACATGCGAGCATGGTGCCAGCCAGACCGGTAGATGCCTGCGTTCTGTGCGTGGCGATCCATCCGGGGGTGGTCTGAGCTTCCTGCGCAGGTCAAAGCGATGGCAGATGCTTTGCTTTGGGGTCTCGCTGCTCACGATTGCAAGCTCTGAAGATTTTTGACCTACGGAATGCTACAGGAGTGCCAATCAGGGTCTCAGGGATGCGATTTTGTGAGCGTGCACGAGCAAAGCGGACGGCTCTGAGAATGGCGACAGACCACAATGGCGGCATCTGAATTTCGGCAGACGATCTCATTCATATCAACAGCGCGACCACAGTTCCAGGCTTGATCGACACCACCACCTCTTCAACCCTAGCCACCACCTCCCTTCCCTTTCAACACAGACAGGCAGTCGTCGACGACATCGCATCAAGATGCAGACGACTCTGTCGTCCATGTGGGCCAATACTACCCTCGACACTAGCATCCACGACGACGATACCTGCCACATCCATCACGATCCCGTCGCCGTTTACCTTTCCACCTTCTTGTGCGTTGGTCTCGTCGTCTCGTATCTGCCACAGATCGTCCGCATCATCCGCAACAAGTCGTCCCAGGGCTTCTCACCGTGGTTCCTGCTTCTTGGCGCCACTTCAAGCGCATCCAGCTTCCTCAACGTCGTCGCACTTCAATGGGGGATCGTCCGATGCTGCCCTTCCTTGCCTAGCCTAGAATGTGCCGAGTCGCTTCTCGGCATCCTGCAAGTGGGCTTGCAATGGATCATGTTTGCTAGCGTCTTTGTGCTCTTCCTCGTTTACTATCCAGCAGAACAAAAGTACGAACGCGCCATCACCCTGCCAGACCGAGATCAGCAGGACCGCCGTGTCCGTACACGGGCTCGCAACGCCGCACGCAAAGCCGCCGCAGGTCGACAGGCTCCGCCTTCCAACTCAAACACCGACGATGCTGGCAGATTGACCGCGCCTGCTAACGCCACCGGCGGCCTCTCGGGCGCTCCGACCGATGATACCTCGTCGGTGGGCTCGGGCAACTCGGATCTCGATTCTGTCGATAGCCACATTGCTCAAAACTACGCCGCTGCTCCTATCCAAGCCGCCGACGACGACTCCTCCGACAACGATGCAGAGGAGGAAGAGAACATCCACGATCATGATCCAGAAGCTCAGGCTCATTCGGGCGACCACTCTGCCATTTCTCTCGCATGGGATGCTAGCAGCAGCGCCTTCACCCGCCTCGTCCCTGCCTTCCGGCCCATGTGGAAAGCGCCCGGCTCGGGCAACGCTACCGTCCCCGGTCGCCAAGGATCCACCTCCAACGGACGAGGTCTTCTCTCCAACGCACCTCGAGGCATGCGAAGGATCGAACGGCAACGACGAGCAAAGACAAACCAGAGGGCCGTTCGCACTCGCAAGCGTCGCACCGAAGAGTGGAGTCTGTCGCTCTCGCTTGCCTGGGTGGTCTTGATCCATTTCATCTTCATCAGCGCCATTACTCTGTTGCTCGTCAGTTCGCTCCCTCCCAAGTCCTTCCCACCACCAGAGGAAGTCTCGGTTCTTTCCAGCTGGACGCGCGCTGTCAGCAACAGGTCGGCCGTTGCCATGAGCCGTCCCTCTTCGCGCCTGCTCGTCTCGCGATGGGCCGCCTTCCTCGGCAGTTCAGCGACCGTCCTCGCTGCCGGTCAGTATCTGCCGCAGATTGTCTACACTGCGCGCACGAGGCTGGTAGGAAGCTTGAGCATCCCCATGATGTGCTTGCAGGTGCCTGGAAGCGCCGTCTTTGTCTACTCGCTCGCGCTGCAGCCAGGAACCGACTGGTCTTCGCTGGCCGCCTACGTGCTCACGGGTGTTTTGCAGCTGGTGCTGCTGGTGCTCTGTGTGGCGTGGCGGATCCGACAGCGACGTGCCGGTATCGATGACTACGGCCGCCCGCTGGCTCCCATCGCTCTCTGAGCGACTCTTCTGTATATTATGACGCGCAAACGGCCACCTCGCAGTGTTGGCCGACGACAACATCCCACATACAATTTCATCTTTCATCTGACATTGTCTTTGCATTGAGACCCGGCTGAGTGGGCCGAGGTTGCCTGCGTGCACATACTGCAGCCATTTTGCTTTGCTTCATCTCATCCGGGTCTGATTGGAAGATGAGCTGGCACGAAAGCGCAGCACCTGCTCCCCTTGATCGTCGTCCCTCCTTACCATCGACCAGGCGACAAACACGAGCACGACGACGATCATGCGACCGCATCTCTTCCTTCTCTTTGCCACGCTCATGGCTCACTTCTCTGCTCGAGCGCATCCGATTGTACATACGCAAGAAGGCGAAAGAATCAGAGACGAGCCCCGTGAGTAGACCTTCCGCCGCCGCCCAAGGATACTCTCGTGGCCCAGCTCTGTTGATTGGTACTGACTCTCCGATGTAAACAACGACTTGCTCTCCGGCACAACAGAGACACATCTCGTGCCACGCCAGCTCGAAGCCGTCCGAGATGTCGGACGCGGCGGCTACAAAGCAGTCGGTTTCTTTGAAGACAAGCGTGTCATAGCAGGTGCTGTGGGTGCCGCTCTGCTGGGACTCGTCGGGATCAGTGTTGTTGGCATGCGAGCGACGGAGCACCACGCGTGCGAGAAGGTGGCCGAGCAGGAGCGTGTCATGCAGCAGTCGTGGGATGCCATGCACCCTGATGGCTTTGTTGGCGCTGGCGACCAGATGCGACCTGCATCGTTCGACTGCAAGGTCCAAGAGAGACCGTTGAAACCGCTCATCAGTTATGGCACCCCTGCTCAGTGGTATTAACCTAGCTGTGACTCTGGAGCTTCCCGCATGGTCGACACTCCGTTCACTCCGTTCCTCTGGCGTCATGCTCAAGCTGGTCCTTGCTGCATATCAAGACAGACACCCTCCTTTGTGGCTCAATCTAATGGCGCAGTCCTTCGTTGCAGACCAGAATGATAGACTCCGAGTGAAAAGATGCTGGAGGACCTCTGATTAGGCGTAAGGGTTGCTGGCAAATAACCGTCAAAAGCCGAAGGCGCTTGAACCCTTGCTGCGCCTAAACGTGACCCTGAGCTCCTCTCCACCACCTTGACCGCGACACACAGCCGCATACACCCAAGCTCTCGACGATCGATCTCGACACTCGCTCATCTTTGCCTTCATATCGCCAGAAAGGCTCTTGTCCGTCGATAGCTTCCCAACGGACCTTGCCGAAGCACGCGTTGATGCATAGTTCAGGCTCATCGAGGCAGGCAGTCACCTCTCACATCCCCCACTCCTCCGCACATTATCGATCAACGCCGCCGCCCAACGGCTTTTCAAGCAATGGTACTCTCCTCTTCTACGTGACATACCGATCATGAGCGCATTTGCCGGTGCTTTGGCGCCTTCTCCATCCCAATCACCTGCTTCCGCCTCCGGCGCTCAGGACGCCGACGGTGGATCGGCCAAAAAGGACTTTCAACGCTCTTTCAAGGCCTGCGATGGATGCCGCACCAAGAAAGTTAAGTGCGAGCTCGGTGATCTAGCCGCACCGTCAGAGCCACCGTGTGCACGATGTAGACGCGAGCTGCGTCCGTGCCTCTTCACCATGTCGACCCGTGGACGCGGTCCAAAGGCACGGTCGTCCCGCTCTCAGGCCTTCGGTGCCCACCACCTGGCCAAAAACCCCCGCACGTCATCCGCATTCGACGCGAATGAGGACGATGAGCATAGCACAGCCTCTTCCGCCATCGACGCGCTCGCTGGCGCGGCTCTTGCGTCGCTGCCTGCCTCCGCTCTGAGGCTGCACTCGGCTCGACACGATGTGCCCGTCTCTGCACTCGACCCTGAAGATGCGCCGAGCATCGGCATGATCTACGGTCTCAACCGCCATGATGGGGCGCGCGAGCATAGCAAGCGTAGAAAGCTGTCGAATGACTCTGAGCCATCCGGACGCTCTGACGCTATGGCAGAGCCCGCGGATGATCACGCCTTTGACGCACACACATCCACTCGGTCTGCGAGCCCCTCTGCGGATAGCAATGGAGAGCCGCTCGGTCGGGTCTCACGATTGGACTCTCTGCAGCAGTATGCTGACGCGGGTCTGCAGCATAGCAAAGATGCTCTTCGGGTGCTGGCAGGCGTCGCAGCGGACTCTCGAGAGGCAATAAACGAGGCCGACGAACGCGCCAATCGCAGGCAGGACGACGCTAGCGTCGAAACCATGGAAGGAGGACTCCCAGGCAGCCACGACGGGCTTGCCTCGCTTGCAGATAGTCGAGCAGCGGAGCAAGCAGCTTCGTCAGGGGCGATCGCAACTTCCCCGTCGACATCCGGCCTTCGTGGAAATGCTGGCTCTGTGCCACGATCAGCGATTGCCTCTATCTACCGACCAGTGACGCCACCACCACTCAAGCATAACTACGGCTGGAGCAAGTTTGAGCCAGTCCGCCTCAAGCTGATCAAGCGAAGCGAGGCTCGCTACTTCCTCAACTTCTTCATCCGCCAGATGCACTCTTTCGCTCCACACTGCTCGCCTCACCTTCTCGACAAGTCACCTGAAGCGTTGTCCGAGCTGGTCTGCCGAGAACCCATCTTGCTCGGTGCGATGCTCTCTGTCGCATCGCGCTACGACGTCGCCAATCACAATGCTCATGTCACCGCCGTCGACACCTTCCATCGCAAAATCTCGAAATGGACACAGGAGAAGATCAGCCGCTCGTTCTTCTTGCCCGCTTCACACACGATTGGCACCATCGAAGCGTTGCTCATCCTCAGCGAGTGGGCGACGTTGGACTTGCACGATCGACGCACCTCGCCCGACGCCAGCTCGGATTCGGAGGACTCGGAAGAAGACATCGATGACGGGGACGGTCGCGACTCGGAGGCCGACGAGGAAGCGGACGGTGCTTCCACTACAATCCCAGCCATCGCCAGAGCCAGAGGCGCCGACTCAAGACTGGATCACGAAGGATTACTGCCGCAGCGGGGCAGATCAAAGCGGTCTGGAGCGAAACCGTCGCAAAAGCCACGACAAGCCGACATGCGAGAGTCAGAAAAGTTCGACGACACTGCCTGGATGCTGACAGGGACCGCCCTTCGACTGGCAGAACGACTCGACCTGCACAACGACGCCACGTACAGCGGCATCTCGAGTCGCAACGTGGCTTCGAGACGAAATGCGGAGCGCAGAATGCGCGTCTGGATGTCGAGTGTGCACGCCGACTGCCACCTCTCGGTTCGATTGGGTCGCAGGATCTCCAGTCCCGGACTGGCGGCTCCTTTCATGAACCTCGTTCGTGACCGCACGCATCCCTTCCTACTCAATGCGGACATCAGCAACAGCAGCGAGGTCGGCTTTCCATCCGGCTCAAACCGCGCGTGGATTGCCTTCCGTGCTCATGCAGAGCTGCTGCAGATCGTCTTTCGTACATGCGAGAACCTGTACCGATCCAAGGCGGTCACGGAGCGACTGTTGGAGGACGAGGACTTCGTTCCAGCGCTCAAGTCGATCCGGGACGACCTCGACAACTGGGCCAACTGGACGCAGCCGCGCATCGAACCCACACGAGACATGACCTCGCTCCGCGTCCGTGTCGAGTATCACTACGCGCGACTCTATGCCAACGGGATCGCGCTCGACTCGGTCAAGCGCAGTCTGCGGACGTTGCGCAATCACCGGCAGTATCGTGCATCGGAAGCGGCCGAGATCGGCTCGAAAGGCAGGCTGGGCAGAGCAGGCGCCAACGCGACCGCTTCTGCATCGGCGTCGTATACCGTCAGCTTCTCGACGCATCCAGCATATCCGTTTGTGCGAGAAGCACTGGCAGCAGCGCAGAGTCTGATCCGCATCCTCACCGTGGAACTCGAGTCGATGATGTGCGCGCCGGCGAGATGGTTTCTGCTGCTGGTCATGGCGACGGTATTCTGCGTCAAAGCCACGGCCGTGTCGGATGTGATCCTGCCGCTCAAACGGTGCGCACAGTCACTGCAGCAAGTGATCACGGCCTTGGAACGCGCTGCCCCGGACGGCGTGCATCTGGCAAATCGCTACTCCATGTACCTGCGCCAATTGGCCAAGCAGTTGGTGTTAACAGATGCCAATACGAGGACGGCAAGCAACGGTACCGCCCGGGCACGGAGCAAGTCGCGCAACCGGAGCACTTCGCAGCGGGAAGGGGGCCCTATGGTCTCAGCCGATATGCATCGCATTGATGCCGACAAGACAGCACGTGCGATGGATGTGCAGGCTGCAGGGGCTGCTGCAGGGACTCGGAATCGATACCCCGTCACAGTGGATGCCGCAACGACTACGACCGAGCCAGCTGCATTCGACGCGGGCGCCCCTTTCAGTGGCATGACTGCAAGCACAGCCAATCAGCACGGTCAGACTTGTATCACAGATCGATCCACAGAAAGCTATGCAGCGATGCCTCTGCGTGCTGCAGTCGCCACACCGACTTTTGTCCCATCATCCGAGGGCTCGCGCCACAATGGCCTTTCGGCGGGCAGTGCTACCTGGAACACCCCGACCGGAGTCGAGTGGACTGCTGCATCGCTGCCATCGGCACAAGGCATCGCAGGTGGCTCAGGGTCTTGGTGGAGCACCGCCGACATTCTGCCTGGAGAAGTGGATCCTCAGCTATTCCTCAAATGGCTCGACGATCAGACCTCGACGCTTGCGCCTCCAACATCGCACCATCCGTTGACGTCGTGGGCGAATGGGGGCCAGTCGTCACTGCTGCCGGTCCAGCAAGAGACAGCGACGCCTGGACTGCACGCCGCCTCACGGACGAGCACGAGCGACCCCGTAGCCCAGGCTTTGAATGGATCGTCCACCTCGAACGCGAGTCCAGCGGCAGGTATGTCGCTTCCCGCAAGGCAGAGCGGAAGCTACCAGGGGCAGGTTCAAGGGCTGATGAGCGGCGATGTTTCACGCGGAGTAGGGGAGGAGGATCTGCTAACGAAGATGTGGCTAGATGACGCACTGACCGACCTTGCTGCCGCTGGACTGGACATGCCATTTCTGTAGATAGCTTGGCATCATCGAATGAAGGGAATTGCCACGGAGCAATGCATGCAAGCGACTCAACACGCAGTTTAAGGATGACCCAGCGAACTGGGGTGCACATGAAGGGGCTGCGTCTGTACCGCCGGCTCCCATCGACCACGAGGAAGCTAGCGAGGTCCGGAGTGAGGCCCGGGAACTTAAACCGAGACTCGCAGCCGGATGGCAGCTGCGCAGGTCGCTTGGAACAGCGTGGCTCTATTCGCGAAGTCGAACTCCACGGAGACGGGTGACAGCAAACCATCAGCTGCAGCGACCAATGCTCTCAGACGACAGGGTCGCAGTAAGTCAGTGTGGTGCCAGCGAATACGGATGATGCTGACAGAGACCAACCGAAACGGGGATGCAGGGCCCTCGGACTCACACTGCCCTGCTCGCCATGACCGTCGTTCGGCAGGAAAGGGCAAGCGCTAAGCGCCGCAGTCATGGCCGCGGAGGAAGGTGTACCACAATGTAATCGATCGCAGACGTCAGTGCTCGGATCTCGCTCTTTGACCCTGCATCGCTTCATGGAACAGTTCCCTTGGGATGGAACCCGAGCCTTGTGCGTCACAACCGCAACAGGGATCCGGCAATGTAATCTTTGCGGTGCCTGCCTGTGTTGGCGCATCCATTGACTTCCGTGTTCCATTGCGCATCTGTCTTGCGTCCAGGCCATCCATGAGGCGATGCAGGCCCGTCGCGCGTCACGCTTGTCCGACGTGGTCGAAACATGGCGGCAGGGGAGAAGATGACGCTCGAACAGTTCTACCGGGCGGCTGGACAATGGAAGACCGGCTATATGTGACGGCCCAAGTTCGACCGGAAGAGCCAATCCGGTGCGAAATTCCAGTCAAACGTCAAACACTCGAACCCCTTTGAAATTGAATCTCCGACGATTTGCAAAAGAAAGCGTCAGCAGCTTTGACAAATTCGGCACCGGCAATCAACTCACACCTTAAGCGACGGTGCTAGCTTACCGCTTGCAGCCCATCATCAACGAGAAAGGCCGCTTCCCTCCATCACATCGCTCTTTGCACCACCAAGATACCTTCAAAGATCAGATGCAAGAGACTAGAAAGCTCATTCGACTGCGACAAGCGACGAAGACAAGTCCACGTGAGACGGACAAAGGGCTAGACGAGGACCAGCTTGACCGACGAGTCGGCAAATTCGGCTACTTGATCCAATTTGGCGCGTTTTTGCTGTTTTTGGTCATGACGGCTGACAGTTCGAGTCGAGCAAAAGGGTCAGCACAGCGCGAATTTGCTCGATGCGAGGTTGATCCTCCTCCCTCGGCGTCGACAGTTTGGCGCTGTGATGTGGTGTGATAGGCTGTGAGACATGGCTCGAGTTCAGCCGTTGCATCTTTGGCCAGCGAAGAAGCCTCCGCGGAGATTCGTCGACGGTCACACAAAAGGCCTTGTGTCAAGAACCATGACCATTGTTAGTCGCTGCGCCTCAGTTTCGCCCTTGCGCAAGCCGACCTGAATGGTGCCTTGCTGCTTCTGCACGATCCTCCCACTGCTTCGGCGCTCGGTGCGACCCTCTCCTATCTTCGTCACCTTACCCTTTTCTCTGACATCCGTCGTCACACGCACGCCACTTTCTTCTTGCCACGGCCACGCCCAGCTGTCCTAAGTCCATGACTACATAAAAGATTGCTCCGTCTCACTTCGCTCTTGTCCACCACAACTACATCTCAGCCAACTCTCCTCTTGTCTTCCCCTTGCTCCGTCTCTGGCTTCGACAATGTCGTCAGGTCTCTCAGCAACACAGTCGCCCTCTGACCTTCCTCAGGCAGTGGCCGACCCAGACCAGCACACGCTCAAAAAGACGCCATACCGACTCTACTCGACCCCCTTCAGCGAGATCTTGGCGCACCGCTACCAAGGTTCCGGCACGCGTGAAGACCCATACCTCGTCGAATGGCTCCCGAAAGATGCAGAAAACCCGCAGACATGGTCGCAGGTCTACAAGTGGACGCAGACCATCCAGGTCGCCATCGCAACCCTCTCGGTAGCCCTCGCCTCTAGCGCCTACTCGGGCGCCGTCGCCTCGATCCACGAGCAGTTCCACCCTTCGAGAGACATCATCGTCACGCTCGGCGTCTCCCTTTTCGTACTTGGATTCGCCTTTGGACCTCTCTTCTGGGCGCCCTTCTCCGAGGTGGTCGGCCGACGCAACCTCTTCATCTTCACCTACGCCGTCTTCACCATGTGGCAGGCCGTCACGGTCGCCTCGCCCAACATCGAGTCGCTCCTCATCTTCCGTTTCCTCGCCGGCTTCTTCGGTTCCAGTCCTCTGGTCAACACTGGCGGTACGCTCGCCGACATGTTTGGCGCTAAGCAACGTGGTCTCGCTATGGCCATCTTTGCCAGTGCCCCCTTCCTCGGTCCCGCCCTCGGCCCCATCATCGGCGGCTTCCTCGGCGAGAACGCGGGCTGGAAGTGGGTCATCGGCTTCCTCGCCATCTTTGCTGCCGTCATCACCGTCCTTGGCGCCATCAGCATGCCCGAAACCTACGCGCCTGTTCTTCTTCGATGGCGTGCACAGAAGCTCGCCGAGGTCACCGGCAAGCACTACATCTGCAAGCTCGACAAGGGTCGCGACCTCCGTCTCAAGACCCAGTTCAAGGTGGCTCTCGGTCGACCCTGGTTGTTGCTCATCTACGAGCCCATCGTCATGCTCCTCTCCATCTACATCGCCATCATCTACGGCATCCTCTACTCGCTCTTCGGTGCCTTCCCCATCGTCTTCCAGCGCTACCGTGGATGGACCCCCGGTGTCGGCGGTCTTGCCTTCCTCGGTGTTCTGGTGGGCATGCTCTTTGCGCTTTCCTGGATCATCTTCTACGAGAACCCTCGCTACGTCCGCATCGTCGACAAGCACAACGGCGTTGCGCCACCCGAGGTGCGCCTTGTGCCCGCCATGATCGGCGCCGTCTCGATCGTCATCGGTCTCGCCATCTTCGCCGCCACCGACAGCCCAGATCTGCCCTGGATCGCTCCCATTGTTGGTTCCGCACCCTTCGGGTTCGGTATGGTGCTCATCTTCCTGAGTGTCATGAACTACCTCACCGACGCCTATCTCGTTTACGCAGCATCGGTGCTGGCGGCGAACAGCGTCATCCGTTCGCTCTTTGGCTTCGCGTTCCCGCTGTTCACCTCGAACATGTACTCGATTGGCGGGAGGAACGGCATTCACTGGGGTCCTGCGATCGGCGGCCTGCTCGCGCTCATCTGCTTGCCCTTCCCCTTCGTCTTCTACAAGTACGGCGGCAAGATCCGCGAGAACTGCAAGTACGCCGCCGAGGCCAAGAAGATGTTGGAGTCCATGTCGGCGTCGACGCAGCAGCAGAAGAAGGCCGTCTCGGACGAGGACGATCTCGAGAAGGCCCACACCGGAAGCGAGAGTCACGATCAGGAGAAGCCCACCCGCACCGAGCGCAGCAGCCTCGACCTCGGAGCCAGCACCGCGGCTCCTACACCGAGGCACCACTCGGTCTCTTCCGGCTCGTCTGACGGCAGTGCTCGATGATGTTGACGTCAATTGACGACGGCCACGATCTCATACACTTGCATAGACCCCACGTCCCGCACTTCATCCCACGCCTAATCATTCCACCCCCTTTGCATAGACATCACATGTAACACTAGCACAGACAATGAACACTGCAGTACCTCAATCGACTCTTCTGTTTGTGGTCCGGTTCGCTATCGTGGCGTGCCAGACTGAGGCAGGCCTGCGTTTGCGCGCGACGCAGCTGCGCAGCTGCCAACGGACGGCGCTTGCTGCCGGTCTTCCTCAGCCTCAACGCAACGCGGAACAACCCCTTGCTCGCGTCCGTTTGCATCACGCGCACATGCGAGCGAAGGTGGTCGGCTCACAAGGGTGCTGGGCAAGCCTCGCAACGCCGAGCGGAACGCGCTTATGTAAGGTGTCGAAACGCTTTTACATCATCCGGACCCTGTCCTTGTCGGGTTGTGTCATACGAGCTCTAAAATTGGCTTTGAGTTGGCTCAAGTGGAGATTTTGGTGTCTCGCCGGTGGCTTCCGACTGCCGACATCTCTTCTTCCCTTCCTCGATTCCTTTCTTACTGCTCTCCTCATCCTTACACTCATCAGGATCGACAACATGACTCTTCGACTTGCGACGAGTACCCTGCGTCGCACGGTGGCGGCCACGCGCGCTCCCACTCTGCGCATCGCCGCGCCTCGCACACTGCATAGCTCCGCGATCCTCCCAAAAGCACCGAGGGGTAACGAGGACCAAGGTCCATCAGGACCGAATCAGACGACCAACAACGCTTCTGGCCCCTCTGGCACCGCACCCGATGCTCAGCTCTCGGATCCCTACCCACTGCCGTTCAGCCCCGATGTGGTCGACCTGAACAACGCCAACTCCGGCCCTGAATCCGGTCCCCAAAGCAAATGGGCGGGACTCAACCTCGCCTCCGACCGTCAGACGCTCGATGGCGTCGATGCACCCATGCGTGTCCCTGGTAGGGAAGATGAGGATCGGGACACGAAGGTGGCGAGGTTGGTGTACCAGTGCAGGAAACGAGGCACGCTCGAGACGGATCTGCTGCTCAGCACGTTCGCCAAGAAGGAGCTGAAGAATTTGCCCATGGAGGAGCTTGATGAGTTCGATAGAGTACGTAGCCTGCTCCTACTTCTTTCTGCACCTTCCCCCTTCTCTTCATCCCCATCGCTTGATCCCCACCCGCCCCCTCTCCCTCCCTCACATCCCCGTTCCGAACCTCAAGGATCCTCCTCCACGAAGAACATGGAGAGCACCCCCACTGACCCTCTTCCCTCCGATTCTTGGACGTGGCAGCTCCTCGACGAACCCGACTGGGACATCTTTTACTGGTGCACCCAGCGCAAGCCCATCCCTGAAAGATGGGCCGACAGCTTCAAGACCGAAGGCAAGCTCGGACACCGATTGATCGTGCACACGAGGAACGAGGAGAAGGCCGTTCGCTGGATGCCCGAGCTCTAGCCATTCTTATGAAAAGACGATATGTGTCCTTCCTCCCAAGTGCAAAGTCAGGCGACCGAAGATGCGATAGAGACATGTGGTTGAGACGACTTGTGAGGGATGGATCTCATCGGAATGCGAGGGCGCGACACAGACTGGATGTGAAGCATGGTGGACAATTGACAGCATTTCATGCCCATGTGACCCGCTGTCAAAGATGAGACTAAAGAGACAACTGTGAAGACCCAAACGGAAGCTGGGAGTTCGGAGCTCGTGCACGACAGCGGGCCACGCTCTGTGTGACTCGAACGCAAGGCGACCGCTACGTAACCCAGGCATGAAGACCGAAACTGAAATCGGAATGTCGTCAACGTGGCGCAGGGACGGTGGCTGCGCCGGGACGGAGGGGAGCGGTGCGAGATGGTCGCAGAGCGCTCTCTTTTGAGATGGTGTGCGGCCGATCTTATCGAAGCAGGGGTATATACGGGTTGGCATGGATGGAGGTTCTGCAGCGGCGAGCGCCGTTCGATCGTGTCTGCTGCGCTCTGAGCCCTGGGGGCTTTGGGGTTGCTGCTGCGAAATTTCGGCTGACCGGACTGCGAGCCAAGCTGAGCTCAGTGCCAACGCCTTCGAGATCATGGCTGCGGCGCGGTCGACATGCCGCCTATCTCCTTACTCTGACCGGAACACCGCCTGGTGCATCCTCCTCAACGCGCCCAACGTAACGATCTTGGGCCCCTTCCCCGCGGCCAAATCCTGTCGCAACTGACCCAGTGTCGCATTTGCATCCTTCTCCACCCTCTCCTGGCCCTCCTCTACCAATCCATCCTCAACCTTGACCAGTGGCGCTTGGAGGAAGGGATAGATCTTGATCCTCTCGACATCCCATACGTTTCCCTGCACGTATTCGTCCTTCATCACCCTTTCGCGAACATCGTCGATGCTTTCGGCGAGGACGACGAGGACGCTGCCGGCCATGTGCGGGCCGGGGCCTACGTCCTGGTCGATCTCGTGAAAGTCTTTGCGGAGGAGGGCGCCGCCGAGCTCGATGCGGCCGGCGCGCTTGCCGGACTGGGCATGCTCGAGATGACGCTCGCGGACCTCGAAGCGGCGGGCGTTGGCGCCTGTGTCCGCGTGGTCCTCGGCAACGACGAGGTAGCGGTTGAGACGTGGTGTCGCGGGTCGGTCGGACCACGGACCCGCGGAGGAGGTGGCTGCTGCGGCGAGACGGGGGATGGAGCTGGTGGAAAAGGCGCGCCTGCCGCATGTCGTGCGGAGGGCCGAGGTCGTTGCGCGAAGGAGCGACATCGTTGGTGCTTGCTGTCGATTTCGATAGGGGAGGTGATGGTATGCAGTGGGAAGGGGACTAAAGCTGAGCAGGATCGAGTCTATTATAGATCACAAAGAGGAAGGCTGAAAAGGCTGACTGTGTGAAAAAAAGATTACCGACGCCACGATCCCACACGACCTGCAGCTGCAGCCGCTATCACACCATCATCTCTGTCAGCAGCACAGGCGGCGCGGGGTTGCAATCTTTTTCAACTCGGTCCGCGTTCTGTGGGGTCAAGAAGAAAAATGGGCCACAGCCGAGTTCTGGGCCCCACTTTGCGATTGGCCTTGCTCGCAAACTGATAAGGAAAACCGATTTCTTCCCGCCCAACCGCGCGGCGCTTGAAAATCACGCCTTCTGCTGCCGGCTGTAGATTTTCTCCACGGAGCTGCCTATCGCCCGCCGCTCGTTGACAGCACCTCGCTTGCAATCGCCCCTGGCCGCAGGTGACGTTGTTGTGACGTTTCTTCGTGACTGATCACGAGGGGTTCCTTTCATCTCGCATACGGTGGTTAGTGTTCTCCGCGGCCGCAGAAGCATCATGCCGTAGGCACCATGCCTCGAACAGCGAGCCGAGCACGGCGATACCCGCACTAGCTCAAACTGGTGGTGCGCTCCTTGACCCAGCCGCGCACCGCTTATATCCACGGACCTGCTTTTGCGACTCCCCTTGAATCCCCTTCACACTTCTTCAAAGAACGCATACGACTGAGCATTGAAATGGTGTCTAGTACTGCTCTGAGGGCCCGTCTACATCTTGGCCGAAAGCGACGACAGGTCCACCTCCAAGGGATCCTTACCCTTCTTGATCTCGGACAACTTGGGCATCGCGCCGACGCGGATCAGCTCGCTGCTCTGCACCATCAGCGGATCGACCCCCATCGTGGCCACTGCAACCACCTCGTCGCCCTTGGCGTAGTAGGCGGCAAACTTGAGGTCCTCCACCTTGCCATCGACGTAGACATTGTCGAACTGAGGGCCGCCACTGCCGCAGTAGCGCAGCTGCGAGCCGAGCGCCGACCAGAAGATGGCCACCTTATCGTAGTCGGTTTCGGTGCCGGCGAGGGTCTTGGCGACGGCGCGGCCCTGGTTCGAGGCGACGTTCCAATGCTCGATTCGGCTGTGGGCTGAGGCACGGGTGGGAGCAGCGGCGATATCGCCAATCGCAAAGATGTCCTGCTGACCTTGAACGCGAAGCTTGGAGTCGACCGCAATACCGCCGTCCTTCTCGAGCGTGAAGCCCGAGTCCTTGAGGAAGCCCGTGGCGGGCGCAACACCGACGCCGAGAATGACGACGTCGGCGGGAATCGACTCTTCCTGACCCTGGCTGTTCTTGATGACCACCGACGTGGGGCCGGACGACTTGTCCCCCTCGATGCGCTCGACGCCAGCTTCCATGTGGAACTTGAGCCCGTTCTTGATCTGAGCCTGCATGAGACCCTGACCGACCTCTTGGCCGAGCACGCGCTCGAACGGCACCTTTTCCATTCCAACCACGGCGACGTTGGCACGCTTGGTGAGCGCAATGGCCGCTTCCATGCCGATGAAGCTCGAACCGATGACGACGACGTTCTTGCTCTTCTTGGACTCGTCACCGTCCTCGTTGCCGACCGCCTCGTTGATCGCCTTGGTGTCGCTGATCTGTCGCAGCACGAGCACGTTCTTGAAGTCGGACCCCGGAATGGGGATGCGCTTGGGCGTACCACCCGTAGCCAGCACGAGCTTCTCATACTCGATCATTTCGCCGTTCTCCAGCGTCACTGACTTGGCGTCTGCATCCACCTTGGTCACGGTCGAGTTCTGCAGCTCGACGGCGAGCACGTTGGTGAGGTGCGACTTGGAGCGCCACGTCACCTTGTCCGCATCGGCGATAAGAGCCTTGCTGAGCTTGGTGCGGTCGATGATGGCTTGTTCGTTGGAGACGATGGTGATGCTTCCTTGGTAACCGCTCTTGCGGAGCTCTTCGACGCAGTTGATGGCTCCCGCGCCGCCACCGACGATGACGACGCCCTTGCCCTTCTTGACGCTCGATGCACCGCCCTTGCAGCTAGGAGCGACACCCGGCTTGCCCTTGAGCTTCTCCGGGTCCGCAGTGACGTAGAGATCGTCGCCTTCCACCTCGAGCTTAAGGCTGAGCAGGCTGTCGAGAGCGGGTGCGTCCTCGATCTCGCCGTTCTTGGCGTGGAAGCACGCGCCGTGCCAGGGGCAGATGATGCGGCCATCACCCGTCAGCACGCCGTTGGCGAGAGGAGCACCATAGTGGGTGCACTTGGACGAGGTCGCGTGCAGCTGACCCTTGACGTTGGAGATGAGCACCTTGACGGCGTCGTCGCCCTCGCCGGCAAAGGTGAACTCCTTGAGCTTGCCCTGGCCGACGTCCTTGGCGCTGCCGACGCGAACACGTTGTTCAGACATGGCGAGGATGGAGGTGGTGAAGGATGCGGTAGCAAGTCGGGTTGAGGGAAGGAGTCGCGACTGGGAAGACGAGAGTGCAGCGCGAGCGGTGGTGGTCAACAACAGAGTGTGTTGTCGAAGCAGCAGATGCATATAAGCGGGCGGCGGGCGGCTGAGTCCTAGGCGGTGAGGGGCGCGGAGGATGATATAGGTGGGATAGAAAGACGGAGCAGCCGACAGAGGGTGATGATGTGATTGAGGAGCAATGCCGTTCGTGTCTGTGCAGCCAACGTGGATCGTGTAATCTGCAGCAGCTGTGGGGATCGCATCAAAGTCTCACCGAGCTTGTCACGGCAGCATCTCCTCTCGCTGCTTCACACACCTCCCTCGACCCTTTCCCACGCTCTCGCGCAGCTGCTTACGACAAGCTCGGAGAACCCGATCGCATCTATGCTTGAGCTCAGTCAGCGTCGAGACTGAGGGAAACAACACCATCGTCGGCGACTTGCCGAGCGGAGAGAGCGCCTTTTCCTCCACTTCGGAACGACAACCTCCAACGTGCTTCTACAGCCTGCGTCATCGCCGTCCTGCACCCTGCATTTCATCAAAGACAGCTCTGCAGATCCTCGAGCATCGACTTCTCGAATTCTGACCAATCCAGGAGCGCGCATTTGTTGTTCAGAGCACGCGACAGTCTAACACGCAACACCATTGCCCTTAACATCGTTGAGAGGATGCGGCCATCACAAGCCCAGGTGATGGTCTATCGGCGTTGTTCGTAGAACTCAATTACAGTATGTATATGGCTTGTTTACGCTTTATGGGTATCATATGCAGGACGTGAGAGCATCGTCAATGCTTGTCGCCGCCTTTGAAAGTGCGCATCCAGAAGCCATCCTTGGTCTTTTCCTGTTGCGCTCCCTCGGCTTGCAAGACGGGCGCACCTCCCGAGGCAGCTGCAGCCGCCGTAGCCGATCCAATTCCCATCGCAATCGACTCGCCGGGCGCAGGGTTCAGCCGAGCCGCGTCCTCTGTATCGTCGAGATCGTCTCCCTCGGTCGGGTTTGGAGGTACAGGCTCTCCGCCTGCTTCATTGCCTACAGCGACCGTCTTGCCGGTCTCATCTACCAGAGTGAAAGGAATGGTGGTGTCGGTCTCGATGACAAGCAGGCCATCGGTGATGGATGCATTTGGTCCGCCCGTGATGCGAATGGTGCGGTCTCGGTCGATATACCACCCTGCCGAGCTGAGCACGCTGCCTTGCAAGAGCTTCTTGAGCGCCGACTTGGATGCCTCCGCCGCCTTCTCCTGGATCTGCTTCTCCACCGGTTTCGGCTTGCCACCTGCCCCCTTTGCGCCAGCCAGCGCTCCACCTCCGATTCCCACGACTTGCCCGATCTTGGCGACTGCCTGACCCTTGGTCGCGTACTTGAGCAGCCGTTTTGCTGTGGGTGTATGGGTCGCAACTGCAGCAGTAATGCGTGCGGCTACCGCTGAGGCGGCGGCCACAGTGCCCCCAGCTGCCGCAGCTGCTCCTGCAAAGTAGATCGCCCCGGAAGCGACGGAAAGAACGCCAATGGTGATGGCAGCGATGGGCGCATAGGTTTGAAACTTGTCGTAGCTGTTGTCGCCTCGGTCGATGCGAGCTTGGATGGTGAACCAGACGCGACCTGTGTGCATGGTGGCAGTTCCGCCGTTGGGCGGCACAGCGTTGGCATAGTGAAGCGGCGACACCTGCTTGAGGCAGATGTGCAGCGGCACCTGCGTGTCGTTGATAAAGGTGACGTTGGGCATGTCCGTACGTCTATGCCAGTGTGAGCGTTATCAAAGATGATGGTTGTCTGTTGACCTTGACGGCTTCCCTTTCATGAGCACTCATATCTCCAACCTCGAGCGGAGTCTCTGTTTGAGGCTGTGATCCATGCTTTGTGGAGGCATGTGGCCAAAAATAACAACACAAGGCCGCGGAACGACCCTCGGCGAATTTCACACGACGAGCCGCTGTTCGCTCGATTCTTCTTGCCTCGAACGAATCTGTCCGGGCTACTTGCATCTCCAGCATCTCAAATGTGGCCAATCTCGGGATGGTGAGCATGGTTGCTGCTTTCACTGATCAGATGTCGTATCATCTACGCTCGAAAGGTCTCGAACTGCATTCTGAGGCGACGATCAACCGAGAACATTCGCGTCGCTCTTCTTCTTCTTCTTGCCGCCCTTTTGAAACGCTCTCCAGTCAGCGACGCGATGATCGCGGGTCTGCTCCCACGCAGCATCGTGATCTGCCTTGCGCTTTCGTTCTTCTATGGCTTGCTCCTTCCTTTTTTGTGCTTCTCCCTCAGCTTGATGCTGTATTCGTATCGCTTTCCTTCGCCGCAGCTCGTCGTCCACCATCAGCTCCTTGGTCGCCTTGCGAACGCGCTCGTCCCAGCTCGGTGTGAGATTGGCTAGACGCGCATCATCGTAGCTCGTGGCAAAGGGCAAATTGAGCTCCTTGAGCACCATCAGTCTGGCGTCCAGTACGGTCTCGTCCAGCGTCTTGCGTTTGTCTTGGTCGAGGAGGTGCGAAGATGCCTTCTTGAGCAAGTCGAATGCTTCTACCGCCCTCTCGTGCTTGACCTTGTCAGGATGGATGAGAAGCGACTTCCTGCGGTAGATCTTGTTGATTTCCTTGTCGTCTGCTTCCAGCGGTACCTCGAGGACGTCATACGGGTTGAGGCGAAAAGCGCTGAGTATACGATCGATTTCGAGCTGCTGTAGCAAAGACGTGCGCTCGAGTGCAAATGCTCGCTTTTCGTCGGCTGCTGATGTTGCTGGCGCACCGCTGACCGTTGCTTCGTCCCGCTGCGTCGGCAAACGATCCGACGCTACATTCTCGGGCCTTGACCCACCATTGACACTGTGGTGAGATGAGACCGATGCGCTCACGCCGTTGCTGTGCTCGCTGGTCGGTGCTATCGGTCTTGTCCCTGGCGGTGGTGGTGGCGGCGGCCCTGGAGGCGGCCCTGGAGGCGGGCCTGGGGGTGGACCGGGCGGTGGTGGTGCGCGCCCGGTCATGTTGCCTTCGATTCCAATCAAGCAAGCTCAAGACTCGCCTGTGAGACCCAAAAGGGCTGGAGGAGAAAGCAGGTCAGCGCACGTCGATGTGATGGACTCAGAGGAAGGGTCCATGCAGCTGCGTGAAAGTGGGGCGAGTCTGGCTCCAACTTAATTTTACTCCACCTCATCCTGATGCTCTTCGGCAAGCACCGAGCGTGCATCACCTCATCCACACGGAAGCTATCCGAAGTTGCTTCTCACCATCACACCATCGTTCTCACGCTCGTGTCAGCCTCGAGCTGACAAATGGATCAGCCGACATGCTTCCGTCTCTCAACCTCAGCTCGTCTAGCCTAGACCAGTTTCGCAAAAACATCTATCGACCTCGACTCTGCCTGCTACTGCTGCTCATCCTCCTCAGCCCCTACAACAAGAGCCAGCTCACATCGTCTTCCGACACCACCGAGGTCAGCGTCAGTGAGCCTGCTCAGTCTGGCTGGGCAGTCAGCATCATCGACGGTCTCGTCGTAGCAGCCGCGCCTTCCGCATCCTCTTCCGCTCTGCCAAAGCCAAGCGCAAAGTCGAAGAAGGCTTCGCAAAGTAAGCAAGTTGGCCCCTCTTCCGCGCCATCACCTCCCAATGCCAAGAAAGGCAGCTCAAGCGCTGAAGATTCTTCAGCACAGCAGGGTCAACCACCGCCTGGCTCCTTGTTCCGCTTCCCCAAACTCAGCTGGGCATTACTGGTCGACGAGCATGTGCTGCCTGCGATGCTTCCACTGCATCTGCTATGGGCAATACGTCTCGCAGGCATGGCAGTAGAAGATGGGCTGGTCAAGTCGTCGTTGCTTGGGTCGAAATCTCGCTTCTACTCGGTGACCCTTCCGCTCATCTACCTGAGCATCCTCGGCATCCTAGCCGTTCTGGTCGGGCAACCTGGGACCGTAGCCGCCATCACCTCGCGTTGTTACGACTGGAGGTCCAAGCTCGGATACGAATCGCTGTCCGCAGCGCCCGCAGAGAGAGTTCGAGGCTCCATCTTCAAGTCGGACGGCTTGCTTCCGTTGTCATTTTTTGTGACGCTAGAGATGGCCTCGACATTGATCCATTTGCTCTGCATCCTGCCTAAGGTCGACGCCACTTCTATCGCCAGCATTCTGCCGATGCAGCTTCAGCTTCCGTCCCCCTCGCATTTGCCGCCCATCGTCGAAATGCTGCCAATTCCTTCTTTCGTCAAGGCAGCATTGACACAGCCAGTGACCAGCACGCATACGGCCAGATATGCGAGGAACCGCAGACCGTTCATGCCTTCTCTCAACCCTACTGCCGCAACAGGACCTGCCGACATCAGCAGCAATGATCAGCAGCCTCGACAGGACAGCGATGCTACAGCAACCGCCACCGCCGTTGAGCCCACCAATGCCTCTCCGCAGCTCAACCGTCCTGAGACGAATGATGATGCCCTTCCACAGCAGGTGTACCGTCGCATCGGTGCGCCAGAGAACGAAGTGCTGCGATCAACAAGCGTGGCACGACCCATTGCGCCATTGCGGCTTCCGGAGAACGATGCCGACTCTGCGCAGACAGCAACGTCGCCCTCAGCCTCAGGAAGACGGCGGGCGCCTCGCATGCGTGGGCAGTCTGTCCTCGTGTCCACCAAATGGATTTCCGAAACGGCAACGTCGCTCTTCGACAAGATCATCGGCACACTGATCTACTCGATTATCACATTGCGGCTGCCGACCCTCTCGCCGACGTCGCTACCACCTGTCCTCTCGCTGCTCAGTCTCCGATCTGAACTGGCCTCGATGACGCAGATCTGGTCGAGGGCGCGCAGCTCGGTCGAATGTCTCGAGTTCGTGCGCCGGCGTTGGGGTGTGCAGCTCGATCAAAGTAAAGATCCGTACACTTCTGTGACGAGACCACGGGCGGCTGCAGCGGCGGGAGACTACCAGTGGAAGTCGTACGACGATGTCTACTGCGCCATCTGCTTTGAGCAGACCCGATCGGCTGCTGCAGCAGGGGGAGCAAACGACAAGGATGACGAGAAAGCCAGCGATGCTAAGAAGGAGGAGACGCAGAAGTTCGAATTCTGCCGTCTGGACTGCGGACATGAGCTGCACGACGTCTGTTTGGTATCATGGCTGACGGCGCAGGCATTCTGTCCAACATGCCATGTCGTTCTCAGCTTCAGCCCGAGAGCCGCGACCAGTGCTCGGCGGACCGCAGCGCCGGCTTGAGCTTCATCGTCAATGCAAGTGGTTGCGTCAACACAATCGAGCTGATCGTGATGTGCTTCATTCCTGACAGTTGCGAACATTGCCGGCGACCTGAGCGGCTTCTTCTGGAATATCAACGACGAGCAGTTACCATAAGAGGCAGGCGACCATGTGACGGTGCATCTTCGGTTTCGGAAAACCGGCACGTCCGATGCCAGAACTTTTTGGAAAACGCGGCTTGCAGCTGTCACTTTTGTCTGCCGAGAGCGGTGTGGGTGTGTTGGTCTTTCTTATCTTTTGCAGGTGGGGTGAGGCCCTGATATCATAACTCGCTAACGGCAAGCACGCTATCTTTGGATCTCACCACCATCACATCCATCCAGTCGCAAGGCCCAGATCGCCAAGAACGAGCCGGAAGCAGTCTTTGCCGCTTTCCTGTCTAAGTCGGCTAGGCGACAGGCGCGATGGTGTCCACAGGGTCCACTGCGTCGCTCTTGCGGCATACCGCTTGGTGTGCCATTGATGCGCTTCCAAGACGAGCAGCAACCTCAGCCGGCATCGGATCAAAGAGCTCAGTGTCACAGCGGCCACCGTGTATGATGTCGCAGCGTAATGTTGCGCTCGCTGGCCCCTCCAATCCCCCAACCCTCACCCGCCGCTCGCTTCACACCACCCCATCGCCCTCTTCATCCCTATCGCCCACCAACACCCTCCCTACCCCAGCCGAAGCAGAAACGGAACACGCAGTAATCTCGACATTCGACCTCTTCTCGATCGGCATCGGCCCTTCTTCCTCGCACACAGTCGGACCCATGCGTGCGGGCGTGATCTTTGTCTCTGACCTCGCCGACATGGGTCTTCTCGACCGGGTGCACTCGATCAAGATCAACCTGTACGGCTCGCTCGCGCTGACCGGTGCGGGACACATGACCCCGCAAGCGTTGCTCGGCGGGCTCGAGGGAGATGACTGCGAGACGGTCGATCCGCCCAGCGTGCCCCTGCGGTTCGAGCAGATTAAGGAGGAGAAGAAACTGCATCTCGGCAAGAACCTCTTCAAGACCCTCGGGAAGGGGAGAGGCGAAGTGACAGAGGGCAAGATGGTGGAATTCGATTACGACAGGGATGTGAAATGGATGTTTGGCCAGGTGCTGCCTCACCATTCGAACGGGATCCGGATGAGCGTTTTTGATCAAGAGGGGACGATGCTGGGTACCAACGATTACTACTCTGTTGGAGGAGGATTTGTGGTCAACGGCGCGCTAGCGACCTCTTCCTCCACATCTTCTTCTGGTGGCAAGCCGAATAGCGAGGACAATACGGCGCAACTGCACGACGAGACACTCGAAGTGGCCGCCCACCCGATCGACTGGGGCGAAAACGTATTCTACAAGCAGATCCGACGTTCTGACGCCGAACCGAACCGACGCTCTGGCTCCTCTCCCACCGATTCGAACCTCCTACCTCGCGTCGAGGCGCCTTCCTCTGAATCCAACACCCTCACTCCCCTCTCCTCCAACACGCCGGCCCCTTCGCACGCAGAAAAGCTCACCGCCCGCCCACCCACCGGCCCGCCCTTTCCCTTCCACAACGCCGCCTCGCTCCTTCGCCAATGCAAGACGCGCAACTTGACCATCGCCCAGGTGGTCTACGAAAACGAGCTCACCTGGAACCCGCCCGACGTCGTCCACGACAAACTGGTCAAGATCTGGAGCACGATGGACGAATGTATCCGCGCCGGTGTTGAGAGCTCGGACAAGACCCTACCTGGGCCGTTGGCGGTTCGACGACGCGCTCCGTCGCTCTATGCGCGGTTGATGAAGGGTGTCTACCCCACCACTTCGCTTCCCTCGTCCCGGACAGGGGAGATTGGCTTGGGCGAAACGCCAGGCATAGGGGGTTTGTCGCCGGTGTCCACGTCGCTAACCACGCGACCTCGCGTGATTGGCAGATTCAACCACCCCATCCCACCTTCTCCACCACGACGAACCAACTTCCCCGCGATCGACTACCTCACGTGCTACGCGATCGCCACTAACGAGCAGAACGCGGCAGGAGGGCGCATCGTCACGGCTCCCACCAACGGTGCGGCCGGCGTCCTGCCTGCAGTGCTCAAGTACTGTTTCGAATTCATCTTTGACGACGACCCTTTGCGCGATCTGACCAACTTTTTGCTCACGGCGAGTGCGATAGGGATGCTGTTCAAGCGCGGGGCGACGCTGTCGGCGGCCGAGGGGGGGTGTATGGCCGAAGTGGGCGTGGCGACTGCCATGGCTGCGGCAGGGTTTGTGGCCGTGTTGGGTGGAGGACCGGAGAAGGTGTTGCAAGCGAGCGTGATAGGGATCGAGCACAATTTGGGGTTGACGTGCGATCCGCTGAATGGACAGGTGCAGATTCCGTGTATCGAGCGAAACGCTTTGGGGGCGGTCAAGGCGGTTACCGCGGCACAATTGGCGTTGGCGGGGGATGGAAAGCATAGCGTCAGTCTGGACGATGCGATTACGGCGATGCGGGAGACTGCGAGGGATATGCACACGAGTTATAAGGAGACGAGTCTGGGTGGGTTGGCGACTGCGGTCAAGGTGCCTGTTGCCATTCCGGATTGTTGACGGTAGACTGGACGATAGTCACGCAGAGATATGCAAGTCGCGCTGGTTGTGACGGAACGATGCGAGCATTGTGAAGAGCGATCGAGCCTGAATTGCCATGGCGATGCAATCTGCAGAGGCACTCGTCACGTAGTCTGCCACGTCAACAGAACTCACTTGACATTGCGCGGGTGATCAGAGGGAGATATGGACCAGTCCGCATCCTCCAATCGCCTCCGCAGTGCGGTTTCGCCTCGACCAGGGCCCCATCCTCCCGATCCTCTCTTTTACCGCCGCTCCCTCGGCATCCTGGACGGCACCTTCAACACGCTCAAGCACAAGCCCGGCCCCTTCTTCGTCACCTTCGTCTTCCTTCAGCTCTTCTTCAACCTCGGGGCGAACTCCGCTACCTTCATTGTGCCCGCCGAGGCCGTTCCGACCCGAGTTCGTGTAACAGCGCACGGATTCTGTGCTCCGCCTGCGGCCCAAGTGCGGTGGCCCGTCTCTCATTGTCGCTGCTCTTGTCGTACCTGGCCAACAAGACGCACCTGGGCTACCACCGGTGTTTTCTGGATCTTCTTCGGTGTCTCGGTCCTCAGTGTGCCATCGTCAATGTGCTCTTCGTCTCCCGAGACCGACGAGCCGCAGAAACTCGCGCGATGACGATGTGACAAAAGGTTGCATTGCGAGAGGCCATATGGCATCCGTTCGAGACACAAAAGAGCCGTATCTCCTGGATTCCACGACATTGCTCGGTGGAGTACAGCTACATATCCGTGCGCCAAATGTCCTGCAAAATCCCCGACCACTCCGAACTCCCCAGTACGTCGTTTAGAATAAAGTCCAACGAGTCGAACGCTGCCGAGCCGGCATCGCCACTCTGGCCATTGGTCGGGTCGACCATGCCAAAGCTGGAGCCGTTGCTTCGTGCATTGCCCATAGGGACGCCATTGGCGTAGTACGGCGGGGGCGTGTGCGTGTGCGATGAGGCATTGGACGAGCCCGATGCGGGTATGGACGAAGAGTAGGGGTGATAGCGCTGTTGGTGATGGTAGATCGCTGGGTTGCCTGCTTCGAGACCTCCGCTGGGAGGCAGGGCGGCGGCGAGCGATTCCGTGGCATCTGGACCGTAGCGCTGCCCTGGATGACTGCCGCGCATGAACGACGATTCTGGCGCAAAGGTCGCTGCTGACGAGCGATATGGTGAGGAGACTGCCTCGCCGTGATCCGGTCGTGGCGCGACACCATTCCGATATCCAGCAACCGAAGGTGCCTCGAATGCATGCACAGCATCGATGCTCTTCTGCGTCATCTCGTCCTGCAGCATAGCTGCGTATCGGTCGACCTCCGGCTCCACCGCTGCTCGTCTCTCCTGCGGTCTCGAGCCAGCACCGTTTAACCTCGGTCCACGTCGGACCCCCGTCTCGACCGCGCCATTCCCCGTCGATGTCGTGCGCTGATGCTCCTTCTTGCGACTACAATCCGTCCAGCAGGCAATGACCTTCAGCATGCCCTGCAGAATATACGCGCAGGTAGCAGGAATGCTTCCACTCTGGATCGATCCCTTCGGATCCAACGAGAGCATCGCCGTGACGACGTTCGAGAAGACGAGCTGCCACGACTCGGAGCGCTTCGGCGGCGTCTTCCAGAGCTTGAACATGGTCGCGTGCATCTCCATCGCGTTGAAGGCGGCTTCGAGGGCAAAGCCGCAGACGTTCATCATGGGCAGCACCGTGCGTGATTGCCCCTCCACCATCCACCGGTCTTGCGTCGTGGGCGTCGATCGGCCGCGCCCGTTGGTGCTGGCCGTCTTGGCCGCCCGAGCATCGCGACAGAGGACGCTGACGTTGACAAGCACCTTTTCGGCAGCGAGGATGCGGTGTTCGCCGAATCGAGTGAGGAACTCGCGCATCTCGGGGGACGCGTTCTCACCGCGGACGAGCAGAGCTAGCTCGTGTGATGGGACGTTTTCCTTCTTGTCGATGCCGAGTCCGCGCAGAATCGCCGCGCCGAGCACAAGCAGATATCCAGCCGTCATCTCGATGTTGAGCCACGTCCTCAGTAGCTCGCCTCCGTCGCTGATGCTGTCCAGGCTCCGCACAAACTCCTGATCAACGCTGACGGTCTGTCGCTTGTAGTCGTCGAGGATGCTGGACAGATGGGCGAGCCGATGCGCTTCAGCAATCTCGATGGGTGCGTTGGCGATGGCATCAAATGCCCTGAGCAGCTGTCTCATCGCCAGACATCGGGTGGCTAGACCGACACTGCCTATCCTACGTTGACACGACCAGCGTCTGTTCTGGAACAGCTCGTTCTCCGGTACCTCGTCGCGCGCCTGCCGCAATGGAGGCTCGTCAGGAAGAATCAGGGATCGACTCCAGTCGTCCGAGAAGAAACGCCCATCGATGCTCTCGTACAGTTCGTCGTCGCCGAGCGTGAAGCAGTTGTACCACGCCTTGACGCTGGCCCAGGCCATGGCGGTTCGCTTGGTCTCAAAGTCGTCGAGTTGATTGGTGGAAGTAAAGAAGGAATACGGAGCTGCGGCGGTGAGAGCGACGCGGTCGAGGCGCACCGAGCGAGCGAAACGTTCTGCTGCATTGATCTGCGAGTCGGTGCGGATGCGGTTGCGAGACGGCCCTGGAATGGCGGAGACGTCGACGGGAAACAAAGCCAGAAGTTCGAGAGCCTCTACTGCCTTGGGCGAGCGTGGCGATGTGAGGTTGAGACGGGCCAGATCACGAATGACGAAGCGAGTGACTGAGAAACGCGTCACATCGTCGGCTGGATCCCGAATGTGCTGCAGAGCAATGAGGTAAAGCACCTGTTCGAGAAGCTGGGTCGAGAGTGTTTGCTTGCCTTGCAAGGCCTCTTGACGGATCTGATAGGCGTTGGAGATGTGGGGCATCCAAAGGGTGAGATTGTTCTCGCACCAGTCGCTGAGCTGTTTGGACTTTTCGTTCGAGACAATCTCGGTGACGTCGGTCTCGATGGTAGCTCGTGCGGATACAAGGCGAAAGACCTTGGACGCAAATCCGTTCTGGCGAGGGACGAGCTCGGTAAGCAGCGTGAGGGGTCGACTTCGTGTGGAAAAGCGTTCCCAAGTGTCAATGTTGGCAGCATCTCTCGGACTGCGGTCCTGCGTCTTGATGTGAGGGTCCGATCCGGACGAAGCGGCCCTCTTATTGAATCGATCTGACGGTCTCGAGGCAGAAGTCGAAGGCGGTGCCTCGTCTTCGTCCGAAGAGGGATCGGGTGTTTTCGAGACGAGTCGCGCCTCGGCGGGATAAACAATGTGATCACCCACCTCGCGTCCTCCCGCCAGCTTGAGGTCGTTGGCGTCGGAAGGAGTGATGGAGGAAGGTACGAGACTAGTAGAGCTGGTGCTGGCTTGGCTTTGAGCGCCGAGTGTGTCGCCAAAGTTCGAAGCTAGCGAGGTGGTGGTGCTGGACTTCCGCATGGCTGGACGATCGGTGGCAGCAGCAGACGAGCGTCGCTTTGACGGGGTGGAACGCGCTGAGCCGGATTCTGCCGTCGACACCTTGGGCTTCTTCTTGTTAGCATCGTCGACGATACACGAGATCTGGAGCGTCTTGCATCGATGACAAGCCTGGTGATATGGGAGGGGCAGGGAGCTGGAAGGAACCTCGAGATCGGGGAGCTCGCATCGTGCCTTTCGCTGTTGACACATGAAACAGGAGCGGCGAGCGTGGGTGCGGCGTGGCTTCTTCTGGATGGGGGGCGTGTCGGTGTCATTGTGAAGCGGTGGTCGTCCACGGCTGGTTGATCCGTTTGGACCTGAAACCGGTGATGAAGAGGCGGCAGGAGCCATGTTGGAATCAAGCAGTGGCGCTTGTCAAGTGCTGCTTGGCCAACACGCTTCGAGTCTGCTTACAGCTGAGTCGAGTTGGGTCGAGTCGGGTGATCCGGTAGACAGCTGTGATGCTGCTAAAGGGGCTGAGCAGCTGCTATGAAAGCGTCATGAGAGATGGGCAGTCGAGACCAGACCGAAAGCAGGGTTGGTAGGGCCGAGCAGAGCAGCGAGGGGGAGAAGCGAGTGCGTTGGATGATGTTGCGTTCCAGATGGAGGGCTCCGTGGTATTATAGGACGAGGTGGGTATAGAAGAGGTCGAAAGATCGACGAGTCATTGGCTGTCAGACGCAGCTTTGCGGTCAAGGTTGCGTCAATCGACCCAAGCGGCGATCAAGGAGATGAGCAAAGCGGTCATGTCGATGGTTGAAAGTGACAGCAGCAATGCAAACATCCGCTGCAGCTCGTCGTCGGTGGATGAGGCCTAGAAGCGGACTGAGACAAGCGAAGCATTCGCATTTGACGACATCTGACGAGTGTCCATCTCGAACCGAACAATGCGCAGCAGCAGAGTCGACAGCACTGTGCCTTGATGTGCATCTCCAACCTAAAAGAAAGTGGCTGAGTTTGTGCAGCTGAGTCGGGATCAAGCAGCGATAAACCGGAAACAGGCTTCAGAGTCAGGGCGCCAAAACGCCGGTGTCCTGTAATCGAAGCTTCGGCTAAAGTTTTAGCACCAAAGGCACAAAAGAGGCGAGCTGCTTCCATTTTGACTCCATTTTGGCATTCGGGAAATGAGAACAGAAACAAAAGTCGGGTCAGCCGGTGGTTCCCAGTCAGCGTTGGGCGCTCAACTCAGCCGGATGATCGGAATCTGCCAGTTGGCTAGTGCTTCGATCCTTTTTCAGGAACACAGACCACTGACGCTAATGCCCTCAACTCTCGGTCTGCGTCTTCGGAGTTGCTTTGCTGCTCTTCTCATGCCTCGTCGCCGGTTGGCGAGCACAGCATCGCCCATCCTGATCGACTCGCCAGCCTCGATTGATGCGATCCGCACCTCGGCCATCCTCGACATGAATTGATGCAAACAGATTCACCGCATCTTGATGCCGTCGAATCGACCTCGTCCACGTTCCTCATCCACATCAGCTAGTGTCGACTGGCGTCTCCGCCGTTCTCCCTTGACGGCACCATGCTTCTCAGACGACAATCGCACAAGAGCTATGGCAGTGTCTGATCACCCCCTCCTCGGTGTCGGATCGTCGAGAAAATTCGGATCACCACGACATTCAAGCTCAGCAAGCCCATTCACTTCCCGGCGCTTTCGCCGCTGTGAATCGCTCTAGACTTCCGACTCATGGATCGCGCCTTTCTCCACGCGCACAGCTCTACCTGCGGCAAGGCTTCTGTGCCTCATCATGGCATGGCATCTCCATGGCCGATTCATTCTTTCGGCGACCCAGATCGGCTCGGATTGATAAAACCAGGCACGTCCGGCTCCTCGGCAAGAACGCGATCATCCTCGCTAGCCGCGTATCCATGGATTTCCGTTGCTGCGCAGCATCATTTGTGACTCCGCACATATCATCTTCCGGCATTTTGGTTCGATTCGTCTACAGCATACTCCGACAGATTTTCCCGTCGTATACGATCTGCCAGGACACTCTCGAGAAGCCTCGCTACGCCAGATGCTCCGGCAGCGGACCCATCGGACACAGCTGGAAGAATCTCTCCTTGCCAAACTGCACCAGCGCCGCCCTCTTGTGCGGAAAGTCGATGTACTTCTCGACGTTGCCTCCAACCATCATCTCGTACTGCACCATCTTTGTATTCGACAGCCGCGGTTCCGAGACGCACTGGCACGTCGAGGGATCCAACAGGAACATGAGGTGTACCACGCTTCCCATCCACGATCGCACACGATGGGGACCTCGGAATCGCTCGTCGCCCACCAGCGCGTGGAAGCCGCGATCGTGCTGTCCCGCCGTGTAGAAGTCGACCAGATTCGAGTGCTTCGAGTAGTAGATCTCGACGTAACCCCACGGTTCGCCGTCCCACTCGCCGATCAGACCCAACGTGTATGCGTTCGCTTCGCCCTTGCGCATGCCTTCGAGTTGCTCCTCGCGACTGAGACGCTGACGCCAGCCTTCGTTGACCCGGTCCGTCGCGTGCCAGCCCGTGATCAGGTCGACGTCCTTCGCGTTGTTCGACGAGGCCACGCGGAAGGTGAGGTGAGAGTTGAGATCGGGGATGAAGCGCGAGTAGATGGGCCCGGCCGACGGAGGCGGCTTGAACGGCTCTGCCAGCGGCGAAGTGACCGTCTCTGCGTTGGACGAAGTGAGGGCGCTCAAAGTTGCTGCGTCGGCGAGGGGTAGCACCCACGGAGCGAACGCTGGGGTAGGTGAGCCATTGCCTTGCCAGAAAGCAGCACGCGAGATAAGGAGGCGAGTGGTATCGACTTGCGTCTTGCCTCCCGGCGTCGACGATGATGGCGGCTTGGATGGATCCACAACGGCCAACTTGGATGATACGAGGTACGTCACCACGTCTGCCGCCAGTCCCTCTGTGCGAATCAGGACGTGCTCCTGCTGCGGCCACAGCGCAAAGAAGGCATTCACCCAGTTCCACATCTTCTTCGAATCAAGCTGTGCGCTGTCCGACGAGGAGATTCGACACTCGGCAAACCTCTGCGTTCGGAATGCCAGGCTGTTGGTGTCGGGCTCGGCTGCCGGGTTCGGATACGGTGCACATGGTGACTTGACGAAAAGGGTGCTGTCGGTGTCGATCCAGGCGTGCGTCTTGTGCGACGAAAGTTTGATGGCGTGTCCGACTCTCTGAGACTGCTCGTCTTCAGCAACGGCACCGCCAGACACCGATGCTCTCCTCTCGTGAGAGACGACGATCGTAAACTTGGAGCCGTCCGGGAGAGCGAATGGATGGTTGCCAGGCTGTACCACCGCGGGCGCCTTTTTGGTTTGCGGCGAAGCTACGTGTGCGAGTGCGGACATCTTCGGGTCTCTGAACCTGCTGTGCAGTGGGAGGGTGGTGGTCGGACAGTACGCTAGCTAGTCTCAGCTCGCCTGCAATGACCTCTTCGTTCGCCCCGAGAACATCATCGCAAAAGACGTCAAAGCGTCTCCAGGGTCCATGCGCCTCTTCTTTTTTTCCGGCTCAAGCCTCCACAGCGATCTGTCACGGCCGAAATTTATCAGATGGCGATCCTTGTTTGCTGCTCTAACATCGCCCAACCGGGCGCCAAATATTGAAAGCGAAGCCGGAGAGCCGGGCCCATGCTCACTGCCGGAAAGCCGGCTCGCTTTTGGCTGCACGCAACCGCCTGTGCGGGGTCGACATCTTCAGCCCCAGCCTTCTTCCTTCATCTTTTCTACCACTCACACCTCTCTCCCATTCTTCCCTCCTCGAAGCTTATCCAAGATGAGGGCCTACTACCTGCATAAAGACATTGCGCCCTCCGAGCTGCCCTCGACGCTCGCCAACGATGTCCCCGAACCCAAGGCTTCCGAGGGCTCCAACGAGGTCCTCGTCGACGTCCACTCGGCCGCCTTCAACTTCTTCGACATCCTCGCCGTCCAGGGCAAGTACCAGGTCAAGACGCCTCATCCGTACGTGCCTGGTGTCGAGATGGCCGGAATCATCTCCAAGGACTCCCCCATTCCGGACGGATGCGACTTTGTCCCGGGCAAGACCCGCGTCTTCGGTGCGGTCCAGGGCGCCTATGGCGAAAAAGCCAAAGCGGACTTCTGGCAGCTGATGGAGGTCCCTGAAGGGATCTCGCTTGAGCAAGCTTCGGGACTGTTCATCACGTGGCCCACGTCGTACGCCGCACTCAAGTTCCGAGCTGACGTTCAACCCGATGAGTGGGTGCTCGTCCACGCCGGAGCCGGTGGCGTGGGCATCTGCGCCATCCAGATCGCCAAAGCCATGGGTGCCAAAGTCATCGCCACCGCCGGCTCCCCTGACAAGCTCAAGGTGTGCAAAACCGTCGGTGGCGCCGATTTCGCCGTCAACTACCGCGACAAGGACTGGCAGGACCAAGTCAAGAAGATCACCGAAGGTCACGGAGTCGACGTCGTCTACGATCCCGTCGGCATGATCATCCCTTCGCTCAAAGTCATTGCTTGGAACGGTCGAATCATTGTCGTCGGCTTCGCGGCGGGTACCATCGAGAAGATCCCCGCCAACTTGATCCTGCTCAAAAACGTAGCCGTGACCGGTGTTCATTGGGGAGCGTATGTGCGGAACGAAGCCGACAAGATCGGCGAAACCTGGGAAGCTCTGCTCGACATGTTCAAGACGAAAAAGGTCACCCCGACCGTGTTTGAGCACATCTACGAGGGTCTTGAGAGCGTGCCTCAGGGACTGAAGGATCTGGCGGATAGGAAGACTTGGGGTAAGGCAGTGGTAAGGATTCGCGCCGATCCACAGTTCCCCCCCAAGGGCAAGCACAAGCTTTGATTCTTGCATCACTTTCTGCAACTTAATGATAAGAAGAGCTTTCAACATGAATGACCGAGGTTGAGTTCGAAGCATGAAGATGTGAGCCAGTGAGATATGCATTCTTTTCGGCACACGCTTCAATGAGCGAAGACATTCGGCATCGTGATCGCGCTCAGTGTGTGACCACAGCTCTGTCTCGACCAAGCGTCCGTGTTATGACGTCGAAACCTGCAAATGCACCTCTGTCAACACACCATCAATCTAAAAATATGACCGTTCGCCGGCCTACTTCTTCGCAGGGTGTACTCGATGGTACTGTGGGTTTCCCGCAGCCCTCACACCGGTCAGTGCGACCGCAGCGTCCTCCGTCCAGCTCGGGTAGCTCATGAGCCCTCTTGCCAGGAGCACGGCATCGCACTCTCCATCCACGATCGACTTTTCCGCCAACCTGCCGATCTGACTCCTATCCTGCCCATTGGGCGAATCGTGGCTGCCCTCCATCATGCCTACTGCGCCCACGAGCATGCGTTTGCTTTCCTCGGGTTCGAGTTGCTTGATTGCATCCTTGACGGCTTTCGCGCCGAACAGCTGGTATCCTGCGCCGAGGGTGATTTGTTGGAATGGGACTAGGCCGCCGGAGGATACGTCGAGCAGGTCGACTTTGGCGTCCTGCAGCATTTTGGCTAGTTCCACCGTCTGAGCGGGGGTCCAGGAGTCGCCGTGACCGGCGTTCTCGGCCCAGTCGGTGGAGCTGACGCGCACCCACAGGCCCTTCTGCGGGAACTCTGCGCGGATTCGACGGGCAATGTTGAGCATGAATCGCGTACGGTTCTCGAGAGAGCCGCCGTAGTCGTCGGTGCGGTGGTTGGTGAGAGGGCTGAGGAACGAGTGCATAAGGTAGCCGTGGGCGCCGTGCAGCTCGACGTAGTCGTACCCGGCTTCGAAGGCCCATCGTGCCGACTGGACGAAGCTCTCCTCGAGCTTCTTGATTTCGTCCAGCGTCAGGGCGCGAGGAGTGACGGATCCCTCGGTGTACGGAATGGCTGAGGGGGCAACGACATCCTCTGGCCACCCACCTTCCTCTCGAGTTACGTACTTCTCCCGTTTCTCGCCACGGTAGAAGGGCGACCAGTCGCTCGCCTTCCTTCCCGCATGCGCCAGCTGCACACCCACACCCAATCCATCCGTAAATGACTTCAACACGGACACCAACGCTTTGTGCGCATCCCGGTGACGCTCCGACCAAAGTCCCACGTCCTGCGGTGTGATTCTGCCCTCGGGCGTAACACCCGACGCTTCGACCATCACGTTGCCCACGCCGTGCAGCGCGAACGAGCCGAGGTGCGCAATGTGGTACGGTGTAGGCAGGCCGTCTTCCGCAGAGTATTGACACATGGGCGAGACAATAACGCGGTTCTTGAACGTCATCTTGCCACCCTCCGGCTTGGCGAAGGGTAGGGTGATGGTCTGAAACAAAGCCGGTTTCGAGACGCCTTGAGGCAGGATCGAGTCCGGGATCGAGCCCGGGGGCGGGTGACCATCGCGCGTAGGGACAAAGTGATCGATCTTGAGCGCGTCGATCGAGTTGGTGAGGGGGGCGGTGAGCCCAGAGACGAAGTTGGACGTGTTCATGTCCGACGAGACGGCGGCGGACGATTGATGCGACGGCATCTTTGCTTGACGGTGAAGGAGTGATGTCGAGAAAGAGCGATTGAACGGACGAAGTAGCAGCGATCTATACAATCGCATGGATGTCGAGTGATAAGGTTGGTGGTAAGGAGGAATGGAAGGTAAGAAGCTTTATACTGACGAAGAGTGGAGCTGTTGCCGGTCAATGCACGGCTATACTCTAGCTGCTTGGCGAAGCGTAAATCCGCCGCTGCTCCTACTCAAGATGGCGTGCGAGATTCTTGTGGGTGGCTCGTGCAAGATTTCGCCGCGTTTTGCCCCTTCACTTGTCCAAACCGGCTTCTTCGGCCACAGACGGACTTTGTCGCCCGACCGAGAGCGGTTATGTATTTTTTCGAGATACCAAGTCTTCCGGCGATGTAGGCGACGGTCATCTCACTCAAATCATCTTCCCTCTTCGTCGACAGTGGGAAGGATATCGGCAAGGCATTGAAGATCGACAGTGAGCTTGCGAGCGGGTCTAAGGATCTCTTCTGAGCGCGCACGGCTATACGAGTAATTGGTCAAGGCCTTGATCGTCTGATACGCATGGTTGTCGATGCTACTTCGTACCCGCGTATCCGCAATGCAGTATCAGCGGGCAACACGGATCCAGGCAGCTCGCATGGTCGACCTCACTAGGCGAGATGTCATCCGTCTTTCGGGTATCGATCTGTCGAACATCGTCCGAACGGTGAGCTCTCCACAGCTACCGCTTCAAGGGCTTGCCATCTCTCCAGACCACCGGCCGATCTCCTCCTCCACCCTTCAAGCTTCTCACCCACCTCACCTCCATTCCTCCCTCAACCAGCCCATCCCTCCCACCGAACTTGTCATTCCAAACCACACTCACACATCTCTCCGCCAGCCCCTCTTCCTCCTCTCCCCCCATCTTTGTCGCTTTCACATGCAACGCGGCTAGCGGCACACTGCTGCTCCTCACCTGCAGCAGAGCCTGTTTGCTGAATCCCGAACTCGATAGGATCACGCCTGCTGTCCTCTCCCCGTCCACATTGCCCTGGGACGCGCGAAACACCACGCCTTCCACCTCCCTCACCAGCACGGGTCCCATCTTCTTCCCGCCCTCATCTTGACACTTGCACTGCGCGACGATGCGGATTCGTTGGGAAGAAGGGGACCACCAGCCGCGCAGGTCGATGCCCCGATCGCCCGCGCCGCCGGTGCGCTCGAGCGACATGCAGAAGAGGTCGGAGAGGACGCGCGAGCAGAGATGCTCGTAGCGTGTACCTCGGGCGACAGAGCTCTCGGCTTCTGGGGTTGTAGTGGTGATGCCGGATCGAGTGGTGATGTGCCGTGATCTTAGACTGCGTGAGGGTCGCCATGTGGACGACGGTGGAAGTGTCGTTGTCGCGTAGCCATTGCGCCAGAGCGATGCGCTTGGCCGTGGCAGCAAAGCCGAGCTACGAAGGGCTGTGCGCGCCCATGACATGCTACACCCTCGGCTTCTGCGCCTTGAAGGAAAGCACCGTGTGTGTGAATACAGACGAGAAGATGGGTCTGCGCAAACAGATGAACAAGTGCGAGTCCACCGGAACTCGGCGACAAATATCAGGCCGCTCCGTGGCTTACACAAGACCCCCCAAGCACAAATTTAGAGCTTTCTCGGCAAAGTCGCACTTCTCTGAAGAAACCATCATCTCCACTTTTCGACGTCTTGCTCACCAACAACGACTTCAACGACGACCGCAGGGAACAGCATCGACGGTCACACGCATCTTTTGGACCTCGCCTAAGGAACTCGGCGCATCACATCGTCGCACTCGCACGCCTTGATCGAAAACAATCCATACGAGCTCGAACGCACCATGTCACGGCTGCACGAAGCATCTCAACCACGATCCGACGGCTCCGAGTCCACCGTCGGGGCGACCGGTGCCAAAGCGGAAGCCACCAAACTGCGCGCAGCCCTCTCGTCCATCTCCCCCATCTCGGACCTCTCCTCGCTGCCTCGCGTCCCCTGCGCCCGAGGCTCGCTGCTGATGGGCATGGCCACCGCCGCCGGCGTAGCAGGCATCAGCCTCGTCGCCGGCCGCGGTCTGCGCAGCGGTCTCAATTGGGGCGTCGGCAGCTTCTGCTTTGTTAGTCTGGCCAGCTGGGAGACGTGCAGACGGAATAGGAAGGCCGAACAGATGCGCATGCGGACTGTCATTGAGGGGTATAGGAATCGGGAGCCGAGGGGGAGCTTGACTGCTCTGGCGGAGCAAGGAGCGCGGACGGACGCGGTAGGGACGGGGACACAGGGAGCGGCGAAGACGACATAGCACGAGTTCAAGACCTTGGCAAGTGGGCAAGTGGGGAAGGATGGGCGCAGGTGATCAACACGAAGCATTGCAGCTGCACTTCCTGTCCCTCCAAGCGCCACAGCAGATTGGTGGTTCAGCAGCACACACTATCACACAAACCACATCGCACTTCGCAATCAACACCTCATTCATTGCATCATTCGACTTTCCTCTCCTTCTTGACCCGCTCCTCCTCCTCCATCTCCTGCTGCACCGCAAACCTCGCACTGAGCAACTTGGCCGAGCAATTCCTGATATTCTGTTCGGCCCTTTCGATCCCACCCTCCTTGGCGCGTTTATACGCGATCAACGCTTCCTCCAGCTGCTCGCACGCCTCGAGTACGGCTGCGAGGTTGTACTGAATCTCCGGATCCTCGGGTGTAATCTTTGCTGCTGTCTTGAGATGGTCCACCGCCAAATCGGGTCGACTGGGCTTGCTGAGCACGTAAGCAGAGGCCAAGTTTGTGTGTGCATCCGCCGACTCGGGGGCAAGAGCGAGGGACTCTTTCCACGCATCGATTGCAGCGGGCAGATCGCGATCGTGATAGAGACATACGCCGAGGTTGAACAGCGCCGAAGAGTTGCGTTTGATCGAAAGGGATCGGAGGTACGAGGCTTTCGCGGCGGGAAGATCGCCTGCTTCGAGATGGGTGGTGCCTTCCTCGAGGAAGCGCTGGGATTCTTGGTCGGCTGGATCGAGGGAGGAGGAGGTCGGGGTGGTGGACGAGGCGTAGGTGCGGTGAGCGAGGGGGTGGTGTGGGATCGCAGTGGTTGGGGCGCGAAGGAGGGGCGCGACGAGTGACGCTGTGCGCAGGGTGCGTGGGTGGGATGCAGTGCGGATGATGGATCTGGCTACTTGACGCAGGGCGTTGCCCCCCAGCCGTGATGTGGAGGCGAGCATGATCGATGGGAGCAATACCTCGGGAGACAGGTGATGATGGTCAAGTGAAAGAGAGAAAGAGCACCAAGATGATTGCCGACCCGCGAAGCTTCTTCCGAAAGATCTCAATTCGGCCGGAAATCTCGCCGGCTCCCCATGACATTTCATGCGAGCCTTTGTATCGAGCCGCTCCATCAAGGCGTTCACAATCTCTTGCTTCGCACAAGTCCCTCGGTGATCCTACGACACGTCGACAGACGCGAGGCAAGATCAGACACCGTGAAAAGCTCAAAGGTGATGCGTCTGATGCGTCTGATTGCTGCTCACTTGCGAATTGAAACATCATCGACAAAGCTACTTGCTCTTCGCCCCGCGCTCAGCGACACAGCGAGTCACAGAACAAAGAGCGGACCGGACAGAAAGCTCGCATTTCAAAGAAACAATCACTGTACCCGCCATTGTGTATCGGACCTGTTGCTCCCTTAATCAGAAGCGGGGGCCTTTGACGACCGCCATAGCCACTCGTTTCTCGACAGTGGCTCACGGATACACACAAACGCACGGTGAAAGACGACGCAGTGAGACTGGCCCGACGTCTGCTAATCTGCGCTGGACACACGAGGTGGATGCCAACCGAAGCCTGTTGCTCCCTTGCATCAAGAGCGCTGCTCGCTTGTCACTCACACTGTCCTGAAAGCCGCCAAAGCACACGCGATGATCATCTCAAAAGCTCCACAGATTATGCGCGGCCGTGTGTGAGCCGAGCCACCTCATTCATTCCGAGCGAGGCGTCTTGCCTCCCACACGCCGTCAAAGGGCGCAAATGCACACACGCAGAGGACCGGGATGAATCCAAAAGGTTGAACGCTACAACTAGATATACAAGGCGATGCAAGATCACCTGCCACCTCAAAAAGCGGCTACGAAAGGAAGAATGCAAATGAATGCCTCGGTAAAAGGGGGAGATCCTAGTGAATGTGTATTGTTCTATGGTGACCTGCTCGTCGGAATGCATTGCTGCGCGCGGTCGAGCTCGAGCAAGATAGGTGAAGGCATCCTTGAGTGTAAAAGAGCGTGGGATGACAGGCAACCGAAGGCTGGCTGCTGTGTCAAGTGGGAGAGCAAGGATGGATTCGGTTACCGGGCTAAGTCCTGGGAGTGAAGAGGGAGCAGAAGATTTTGGGAAGAAGGCCCTTTAATAGGCACCACGCTCGCTGTAGCGGCGCGATCGACCGCCACGGTAAGGAGCGGGAGCGGGGGCAGCCAGCGACGTCCTGCTGTTGTAGGTGTCAGTGGCGTAGCTCCTCCTGGTTCCACGGTCATCGTAGCTCCTGCGGTTGTCGTAGCTCCTGCGAGGCGCGTTGTCGTAGTCGTCGTAGTCGCCCGAACGACCAGCACGGCTGCGTCGCGAGTCTCGTCGTCCGACGTTGCCGTAGACGCGCGAGTCATCGGCTGGCTCGTAGTAGTCGTCGTTGTAACGCGACCTGCGCGAGGCACGGCTCGTAGCACGCGCGGGCGCCGACTGCTGCTGGTAGTAGTAGTCCTTCTCGGGGTAGTCGTTGGCAGCATAGACGGGACGGGCGGGCTCGTAGTCGTCATAGTAATTGTCGTTGCTGCGAGAGCGCTTGAGGTACCAGCCAAGAGCGAGCATCATGAAACCGAAGAAGACGGGAGGAAGCGCCGCAACCTGCATCCAGATGGCAGGGCCGAGCTCGCTTCCCGTAGGGGTGAGCTGACCGTTGCTCTGGAAGCTCCTGGCCCTGTTGCGCGCAAGGATGAACAGAACCAGCTCGATGACGAGCGCAGCCATGGTGAGGAACGAGGCCCAGAGCGCGGCAAGAGGCCAGAGGAAGGTGTTGGTGCACAGGTGGAGGAAAGCGGCACCGGCAGCAGCGCCGGTGAAGCCAGCCGAGATGGGCTGCACGACCAGAGCGTAGGGCAGCTTGTTGACAAAGAAGAGGCTCACGGCATTGTTGATCCCGTTAAGCGTCTGCTGGTAGCCAAGACCGGTGGGCGTGCAGAGTGTCTGACCGCCCTGTTCAAAGCATTGCGACCAGATACCAAAGGTGGTACGCAGGATGGTGTTGGACTGCTGGTCAGCAAAGCGGATGTAGAGGAAGTAGATTCCCTTGATGTAGGGCAGACCCAGCGCTACGAGCAGCTGCAAGATGAACGAAGCGCCGATGGAGAGGAAGCCGACAAAGATGATGAGGACGGGTGGGATCCTCATGTTGGGCAGAGTCTAGGAGGTCTAAGGCCTGATGTTTGGGAGTGCGGGGTCGCGACGGTGGGAGGGCGCGATAGAAATCGAGACGTGGGCGCTACTTCCAGAGGGAGTCAGTCGCAGCTCGGCGTGCAGTGTGCACCGATCGGATGGATGATGTACGGAAGTCGACGAGAGCCGCGTCGACGATGGTCGCGAGCAAGAATCCGCGACGAGGGCGGCGTTGTGGATGGTGAAGGTGGTGGTGGTGGTGAGGACGACAGGACGACAACGATGGCGGACGGTCAAAGACACGAGACGGGCGGACGGAAAAGTTCACAGGGGGAAGAGGGGAGAAAGCGGAGAGGAGGAGGGACAACAGGCAGTCAGGCAGACGAGGAGAGGAGAAGAGAGGACAGAGCACAGTGGGAGATGGGCGTAACGGATGGGCGGATGAGCCCAAAATCATGGAAGGGATGCTCCGCTGCACAGAGCGCCTGCCTCCGTCGCCTTTCTTACTGAGAGCCTTGTGACAGCCACGCGAAGCAGCGTTGTGTCGCATCGAGCGGCACAGCAGAAAGAAGGCTGGGCGTAGGCGGTCTCAAGAAGACTGCGAGTGAAACCAGCCAGGGATTGTGAGCTGTGTGTGATGGAGCCAGTCTAGCCTTACGAGCGGCCGCAAGCAGCGAGTAAGCGGTAAGCACTGCAAACGCGGAGAAGGTCTCAGAGCGTCACGGTTGTGGGCCTGCCTGGCCTGCTGCCAGTGCCTTAGATTTGAGGCTCCGCAAGCGATGTCAAATGGGATGCATGTGTCCGCTCAATGGTTGTATTGTTCAAGAGAAGACACCTGATCCAACGCTATCTTCAGAACGCACCTTGTTCTTGTCGTTCCAGTATTCGTGTCCCACTCGTCACTGGAGGACACTTAGCTCGTTCACTCAGATCAGAGCCCACAAAGACCCACATGAAACGATCAGAGAAGAAGGCGGTCAATGATGAGGGGCTCCAGAAGTGGAGTCGATCCTCCAAATCGTCAGTTTGCAGCCGTGTTGACACAGATGCAGCGACGCTCGCTTTGTGTATTTTTCTCTTGCATGAAGAGTGTTAGGCGAGGCTCGACTGCATTTGTGTCGTCGCTAAGCTGCCTCTTCAGACCGTATCTTTGGCTGGCTGCCCTTGTCGCGTGTGCTTGCGTCGTTGCGTTGTGTGCCTGTGTTTTTTGTCCTTTGCGATCGATCAACATGCAGCTCAACTTTGTATTGCAACACCCACTCTAAATTCAAATGGTGCCAAAATGATTTGCGTACCTTTGAAGCACCGCTGCAGCACGAACATGCACACATCGACACGCCAACTTTTCCCCTTTGGCTTTCAAATTCTTTGCCTTTTCCCCCGCTTCTTCAGCCCAGCTGTCAATCAGGCCACCGTCGATCTCGTACAGCTCAGCTGCTCCCTCTGATCAGGCCGGGGAAGCTTTGAACCGGTCGACCGGATCTCCTGCTGTGCACCATGTTTTGGCATCGACACTGAGCTTAAGATGAATGCAAAAGAGGTCGCCTGACGGCGATCTTCGCAGGAAGATTTCTTCGTGAAGTTTGAGCGGAAAAATCTGTAGAGAAGATCTTGACCCTTTAGCCGGAGCTCTAAAGCTGCACCTTGTCAACCTCGACCAACATCCAAGTCCACCTCTGCCGCCGTACTGCCGCGGTTTGTCTCCTGCAGATTCAGCGTGTCAAGACAAGCACCGAGCCGTCCGGGATGAACGCAAGCACACTTGAATCTCGGAAGCCAGCTGAGTCTGGACAGGCGCCGGTCTTGGCACGTCGCTCTGAGACCTGCGGGCTAACTTTCCTCAACGCCTCCCGCAGGGTTGGACGGGGTTCGCTCGTCAGGGCCGCGCCACGCGTCGCAGCCCGAGAAGCTGGATCATGCGATGGGTCGGTGAGCATGGTCCTGTACATACTTGATCCGCTGGCACACTCTCGTTGATGGGACACCGAGACGGGCACAATCAGGGTGAAGACAAGGCGAGTTGAAGCTGCAGAGCTTGCATGCGAGCCTGTACGACGTCGATCTGGGGCACCATCTTCGCAATGCTTCGCGAAAAGGCCTTGATGTCTTGGTCTCGTACGATACAATGTACCTTTCCCGATCAACCAGATGAAGTCGATCCCGGACCTCCCTCATTCTTGTGATTTTAGGCCGTCTTGTGTTCCCTGAGGGCTCCTAGGTCGAACGCAAGACACGACGGGAGCGTCAAAGATCCCTCACAAGGGACTGGCATGATACACGTGTGGAAGCAATAGTATTGGTATCAGGGCTTGACAAGGACAAATGTACAGGGTGAACATCGAAAGGAAGCTAGCTGTGCTGAGAGACCCGGCTATCGAGCCGTCTGCTCCATATCGAACGACAATTGAGTCGATCTGATGCATCCTTAGACGTTGGCGGACTCAGCAGCCTTCCTTTCGTTACCAGGCACGTACGCCGGGGGCGGGGCGCCGGGAGGGGGAGCGTACAGGGCGCCGTCGTCGTTCTCCCTCGCGGGTGGTGCGCCGGCGGGAGGCCCGTACGCCTGTCCCTGCTGACCGTACGAGTGCTGCGTATACGTATTCGGCTGTTGGCCGTACGGACTCGGTTGATACCCTCCGCCATAGCCTTGCCCATAGTTTGAGGTCTGGTTGTTCTGGTACATGGGGATGGTGGATGCGTTCTGCTGCGCGAAGCGTCTCCTGCGCTTACGGGCCAGCAGCGAGAAGAGGATCACGAGCAGAAGAACACCCACCGCGATCGCAACACCAATGCCGATGCGCGAGCCATAGCCAAGACCTCGGTTGCACGGGTACCGGCTGTAGTAGTTGCCGTTGCTGCAGTAGTACGACATTCTTTTGCGCTTGAAGAGGGCGAGGACCGGATGGGATCGTGCCAGTGTTTGCGCTGTAGAGGTGATTTTCAGAATCTTGGTTTCGTTCAAGGCCTCAAGCGGATGCGGCTGTGACTCGCGGATGTGCGAGGTTTGTCGTCGTATCGAGTGACGATGATTCTTGAGTAGTGCGCGGGTCAAGCCGTTTCGACGAGTGGCGTGTACGAAGATGCTGGTGGGGTGACGACAAGGAAGCAATCGCTCGTCTTGTATCTTTAGCTATGCGTGCCGTCGATGACGGCTGAGTTACTCATGGCCACCGGTCAATCAGCCCATTTGAAATGAGACTCAGCTCTGAGCCAGAGAATAAGGCTTCTGCCGGTGTCTCTGGCTGTGCAGGGCGTCGTCGGCAGCAGAACAAAGCCGCTTGGCGCTGCAGGGTCGGCTGTCGAGTGGAGGCACAACGGCGCAGTGCCACTGTCCTTTCCGACTCTTGTGAAAATGCCAAGCCAAAGAGAATCGACTGCGCTCATTTGGGCTTCAGAACGGCACAAATGGAAAGCCTAATTCCGCCTTCCCACCTAAGGCTGTGCATCAGTCGCTGCCGTCATTTTTGCGCGATTAGCCAATTTCCACGTCGCGCTGCCCACCTGCACTTCCTCCATTAGCCTTGGACAGGGCACGACGTCATGGATGCGTGGCCGTCGCTAGTGGACCCTTGGCGCTCCGCCTGCCGTGCCGCTTCCAAAGGAACCTCTGCACCCTCGTCACCTTCATCCCTCTGGACCCTCGTTGAATCGAATGCCGATTCCGAAGGAATCAAGCGTCGAGCGCTCATCAGGCTCATTTGCTCTCAAGGTTGGTCATCCAGAGCGAAGGTTGGTGGTGCTACTACAGCACGTGTGATGAGACAAACCTCGCTGTGAACTCCATTGCTTTGGTCGTCACGAACTGAACGGACGGAAAAGACTACAGTCGACTCTTGAAGACGCGCGTCTCGGCACCATCGCCGATCCTACCCAGCAGGTGCCTCCCCACATACGGGTTGACAAACACCTCATCCGGATCGTACCTCTGCCTGGTGGCGAGGAAGTCGTTCCAGTGCGGATACAGCTGCGAGAGCTCGGTGGGCGAGCACGAGTGCGCCTTGGCCCAATGCGGCCTCCCCGAATAGTGACGCATGAGCATCTCAAACTTGGCAAACAGCTGACGGTAGCGCACGGGTCGGTTGTACGGTCGATACTGGACGATGCCGATGTAGCACGTCTTGCGACCCTGCGAGTGGCTGAGCCAGATGCTGTCGGCGTCGGTGAAGCGGATCTCGATGGGGAAGTGGATGCGGTCGCCGTCCGAGGCGGCTTCTTCTTCGTCGAGCCAGTCGCGCATCGCTCGGATCGCTGCGGCGGCCCGGTTGAGCGGGATGGCCCACTCGTCCGTGTACTGCGGGAAGAGGCAGTCCATGTTGAAGATGCGATCGGAGCGACCTACTTCGGACCATACCGGGTTGGCAGGCGAAAGTGGTTGTGGTGCAGGCGAGTCTTTGGCAAAGGCGTTAAAGTCGCCGGCCGGGATGCTGCTCTGTAGCCACGACAAGGAGGGCTCGCCTTCCGTCGAGGCACCGACACCTCCGCTGTGGGCAAACGACTGACCGATGTCCTGAATGAGTCGTTGCTGCTGCTCATCGCGAGTGCCTTTATTGTCGGAGGCAAGTCCTACAATAGCCTGTGGCTCCGCAGCAGGAGCCTCTGTCGTCGCTGCAATCTTCCTGGAAGCCGAGGCTGAGTCGTCCGTGGCTGGGAATGCTGGATGCGTCAGAGCGTGAATCCATCGTACGGCCAAAGGCGACCATTGCCGGTTGAATCTCGACGTGTAAAGCAGGAACTCGGTGAGGCGATGGCCGACGAGCGAAGCTTTGACGCGCTGTTTCAGCGACGGAGGGGCCGAGACCGCTTCTGTCGTTCGGTTGGCGCGCAGCATGGTGATGCGCTTGACCTGAGGGAACCACATGAGCCTCACGTGCTGAGCCGAGGATGCCACCTGCTCCAGTGCGAGCTGAGCTTGCCTTGTCTCCTCGTCGTCTTCGGGATCCGCTCGAGCGAGCTGGTCTACATCCCGGTTGGCGTTGGGCTGAATGGGGTGAATCTCGGACGGATGCGCTGAGCGGTACGATGGACGGTACTGATCCGGACATGGTGGCAGACGCTTGCTCTTGCTGAGGAGACCGCCGATGGAAGCGCCTGGATTTGTACGAGAGCTGCTCGGCACGGCTGGGAAGCCGGTCTTGGCGCCAAAGATCGAGTCAAAGGTGAGCTCTTCCGAGTACTGCTTGAGGTTGAACGCGTCCTGTACGCGGAGCGTCACCGACGTGATGAGGCCGGTCGAGCCAAGACCGCAGAGGGTTGCGTTGAAGAGATCCGAGTGCTGCTCGCGGCTGCACGTGAGATGTTGCGTGCCTTCTGGCAGCGGACACAAGATGGTCAGCTGCGAGACGTAGGACGAAACGACGGGGAACCTGACACCGGTGCCGTGCGTGGCGGTCGAGATGAGGCCAGCGATGGTCTGTTCCGAGATGGAGCCGACATTGCACATTGCCAGTCGAGGCTGAGCTGCGTCCAGTGCATCGTGGATGTCGGAGATGTATGTGCCTGCCAGGGCCGTGATGGTATGCTCGGGGTGGTTGATGTTGACGACGCCGTTTAGTCCTTCCATTCGCATGGCCCAGCCAGTTGTGAAAGGCAGATCGCTGGGACTATGCGCTCGTCCGATAGCACGGAGCTGATGGCCTTGACGACGAGCCAGCTCGACGATGGCAGCACAGTGCGTCACTGTTGTGGGAGCGAACACTTTGGCAGGGATCGCGACGAAGGATTTCCCCCAGTTCTGGAACTTGGCCCTGGGCGAGCTCGTGGGCACAACGATCGGCTGAACGAGCTTCTCCAGCTCCGCTGTCGTTTGTGTGAGAACGCCTGCATCGATCGACATGGATGCGACCTGCTGGATCGTCGACCGGTCCGAGGCGGACAGCGTCACCTTGGATGTGGAAGCCATTTCGATTGCCGTTGTGATCCTCAAACTCGTCTGGTGGATGTGACCGGGGTCGAAGGTGAGTCCAGATGGACTACGGTACTGCGATTGGAGGGCAGTAGCCTCAAGGACGTTGATGCGACCTTTATGATGGAATGGCGAGGATATGGTGACGAGGGAAGGTGGGATGCAGAGGAACCGGAATCGAATGAAAGCTTGCGTGTCGGTGTCCGCGGCGCAGGATGAGGTGGATGTCTGTGCTTTGATTGACGATGTATGCGGACCCCTTTTCGCCTCATCACACCTCGAACTCGGCCAAGCAACCCAGCGTCCGGGCTCAGTTCTTCTGGTTGATCGATTTGGCCGAGCTTACGAGATTGCTTGGCTTGGATGCTTTGCCGTTTGCACCGCGGATCAACAAATGAAAGAAAAGCATAGCCAGTCCAGGGTCTTCCGAAGCCAGAAGGAGAATTTCGGGCTGCGATTCCTCCACTTTGAAAGGATCGAGACTGCTGTGCTGCCTCGACTTTCCGCAATGGCAGCAAATCGATCGTTGCAGCAGTCGCCGTGGCTCGGCTTCTCGGAATCTTCTCGAGCGGAACGCGCCTTCTTATCGTTAGAACCAGATCTTCGAAAGGCTGCAGGCTGCAGGCTGCAGGCTGCAGGCTGCAGGCTGCTGAGCTCGTTTTGCTCTGGCTAGACGCGTCGCTCACAAAATCCGATCTTCTTTGCAGCGTGCAGTGACAAGCAAAGCGGATCAGAAGGCACGGCTTTGCTTTCCCTGCAGCATCACGCCATCTCACAGCTGTCAAAGCGCTCAAATCGGCGATCCATCGACGGCCGTGACCTTTGACATCTAAAGTAGACGTGCTGCTCAGCACACGCCTCCTGAACGATACAAAGGATACGGAACCGCTCCCACTTGCTCGACTAGGAAGTCCTCGTTCCTGCCGGTTGGGTCAGCGACGATCGCGGGCTGCAAAAGCCTGCCCTCTTGCATCGCGCCTTCAAATTGGATCGACATTCACTCTGCATGTCACTACACATCAGCCTCGAAGACATGACAACCTTGCTAGAATATTTGTGGAAAAGCAGAAAGAAGAGCTGTTTGAGATGGAAGCAGCGCCAATGGGACTCCTCAAGGGCCGGTGAACCTGACCCCAGAGGGACTTTTCGAGCCCGGCTTGGGGCCCAACAGCAGCTTGCCGTGGCCCTGGGCTAACACCTTGTCCCCCTGGCTCAGAGCAGGCTGGACGAGTCTCGGGTCGGGATCAAGGCCATAAACACCGACGAACATGTCCCCTCCAGCCATCTTCTGGCATTCGTTCGGCTTGAAGGGTCGGGCGCTGACGTCCTGGTGCGCGCAAGCATGGTAGCCGGTCTGACCCACATCGTAGTAGGTGGGGCTGAAGATCGTGTCGATGGTAGGGCCAAGGGGCTGGACGGCTTTGTAGGATCGGAAGTCAGTGAGGGAGAGGGGGGTGCATTGGACGGTGCTGTAGAGCTGTTTCTTGGGCGTAGAGGTGCAGTCCGGGGTAGTGTACATGAGCAGCACACCGCCGCCGCCCCAGGAAGCCTCTTCGAGGCAGACGGCACAGGCACCCGTGCTGACGCGGCGAGAACCGCGTCTGCGATGAGAGTTGGTCTTCATTAGCGCGTTGTCGGTGGAGTACTGAGGAGTGCGCTTGATCGGGATGTTGTCCGGGTTCCACACGTAGCCCTGTACATTGAGCGAGGCCTCCTGTCGCGCCGTCCACACACCCACCTGACTCGCGTCGAGGTTGGGGAACGTCACGCACTCCTTCTTGCTAAACGCCTCGAACGTCCGAGCAGCCGACATGAACGCCATGTTCTGGACCACCGTGTCCGACTCTTCACCCTTGGCAAAGCCGAGACCCATGCCACGGGCCGCAGCGATGATGCGGAGAGAGCCAAATGGCCGCTTGAGCGAATGCGCCACAGTGCCATCGAAGAGCATCTGCTCGTTGCCCTCGATCAATGCACGAGGGGTGGTGCGTGCGAGCGGCAGAGGCGTGGCACAGTTGGTGTCGGCAAAGAAGGCGACATTGATGATGGGGCAGTTGGACGGATCCTTGGCGAATTTTTTATAGCAATCGCGACCATCATCGTCGCGTTTGTAAAGGTGCGTGGATAAATGCTGGGGGCTGGCGATTGTCTGGGAGGGGACGATGGCTGCCACCAGCAGCAGGCTGATCAGAAGACCGTGGCGGATGGGACCCAGCATTTTGCGTGATCGGAAGGCAGGTAGGCAAGCTTGTTGTCGAAACGATTGACCTGATTCGACGAATGCGCTCCTTATAAGGCATCTTCCATCGTCGCAGTCCGTCGTGCATTCCATGCTGGACAGTGAGCGAGAGAGATTCGAAGTCGATGCTTTAGAGCTAAGTCGAGCCGCGGGAAACCCCTGATTCATAACCTTCCACCTTCATTTGCGGCGTTCATCCCACTCGTTGCCACCATCCCTCGGTGATCAACACAATTTGAGTTGTCGCTTCATCTCTCATCACCCACTCGTGAACGGACACCGTCGCATCAATCGAGCAAAGGCGCCATTGCATTGTGACAGATGAAGCCACTCTAGTCTGCCTTCCGATGATTCGCGGCGGGACCTTTTGGTGGTGGACCTAGAGGGCCCTTGGCCGTTGCCGACGGTCTCGCATACATGTTCTGTCCCGAGTTGCTGTACGTCCCTGTCGCGGACCCTGCCAGCCCGGGCACACCGCCGCCCACCTTCATCTGACCGTACGCATCGCCCATCGCAGCCCCACCATTTGCTGCTTCCTGAGACGATCGAGGGGCTGCACCGTACGCCGACCACGCTGTGGGTGAATTGCGCCCCGAATTGAGGTTGCTGCGGCTGCCATTGTTGAAGATACCGCCCACCATCTCTGCTGCTCGTTTCCCACCCGTGCCAAAGCCTCCGAATCCTCCATTGACCGAAAAGCCGCCCGAGTTGGAGGTGGAAAGGTCGCCGGTCCTGCCGTACATATTGGCGCTCCGCTCGTAGGCCTGTGCGGACGGTGCGAGAGGTGCGTCGGCAAACGAGGGCAAGAGCTGGAGCACGAGGCGGTGCAGCTTGACCGTGGGCCAAAAGACGGCGAGACGCGAGGGGACGAGTCGATGAAGGGGACCGTTGGCGTAATCGGACCCACCGCCGACGCCGAAGCCGTTGGAGGAAGATGCGACGGCTCCGGAGGCCGAGATCCGCGGCTGAGGATCGGCGAGCATCGCTAGCACCGTGCAGAACGGGAAGACGAGCATGAAGAGCATCAAGTTGAGCAGTCCGCTCGGATGGAAGAAGGACACCGCAGTGGACGGCAGACCGAACGCGATAAAGTACGACCACCTCTCCTCGCAGTAGCGCATCCTGCGATCCAGCGACCACCCTCGGGAGATCCACGCCTGCTCGAAACAGTAGTATCCATCGACAAGACACATGAACAAGAAGGACAGTGGTCGACCGAGGTAGGGTATGCGACCCAGCAGGACGTAGAGGATGGTGTAGTTGAGGATGAGGATGATTCGGTAGATCTCCTGCACCAGACGCCGCGATGTGCCTGGAGGTAGCGATGGATTGGACAGGGTGAGACGTCGGACGTGGCCGTGCCGAAGCTTGTAGGCAGCCTGCGCGATGTCGGAGGTCCACGAAGAGGCGAGGAGGTAGCTTCCGCCTATGAGAGGATACAACCAAAAGACGTTGCCTAACCCGCCAACAATCGATCCGGATTCTGCCATGTTCTGCACGTTCTTGACCGGCGGACCCTGGAAGAGGATCTTGGGAAAGAAGGCCAGCTCGAAGAAAAATACGACGGCAGCGATCGTACCGCTGAGTAGCAGGCCTTTGAGGACGCCGTTGCGGATCTCGCTGGAGCTGGCGATGAGCTTGAAGGCTTCTGGCCATCGATTTCCATCCCACCAGCCTGCTCTCGCCCAGTTGAGGTGGCATCGCAGACTCTGGACTAACGGCATGCGCGGAATGCGCTCTGCAGGACCTTTCGCAGACCAAGATGTTGGACGAGCGCTTGTTCCCAGAGGCCACGGCAGGCCAGTGTCGTAGATCTCATCGATCCTCCCTCCTCCCCCACCCTCGACGTCGAGATCCACGTCGGACACCGACATTGCATTGGGTCGATGGTAGAAACCGCTCGACGCGACGCGGCTGTTGGCCGGGACGCCCAGCATTTTGGATCGTAGTCGGTCTTGGAGCTGTATGTCAACGTTGTCTGCGTGTGCTCTGCGTGGTTGAGTTGGAATGCGAGCGCCGTTGGAGTAGAACCTGCCTTGCTATGAGTTGATGCTTTTCGTCGTTCAGATGATCGTAGCGGCTGCGCACTTGTGGGAGAGCCGCCTTGTACCGCCGTGATCGCACAGCGATGCGATGATGTAGTGCGTGGAGCGGTGCCGCCTTGACGCCGCAGCGAAAGTGATGGTGGACGACGAGAGATGAAAGCGCCTCCCACGAATACAAAAAGGAGGACTGTGCGTGCTCGACCCTTTCTTCTCGAGCCTAAATTTAGCTGGCGCTCTTACCACAAACTAACAAGTGATCATATCAACATCATATGAATCCGCTAGTATCCTGTCCCGGCTAGCTCAGTCGGTAGAGCGTCAGACTCTTACTACAAGGGTTTCCGAGCATGTTCTCGGTCTAATCTGAATGTCGTGGGTTCGAGCCCCACGTTGGGAGGAATTTTTTGCTATTGATTTTTGAGGCCTTCCATTCGGAGGCCCTTTTTGCCAGCTTGAATTGGACAAGCCCTCTTGCGAACTGCCTGCTCCCAGATACAGTTGCTGCTGTCATGTGTGTTCTGCACGCTGTTGGAATAATGGAGGGTCTGGAGATGTTCGCAGACGGGCGAGGCTGTCAATCAAGACGACTTCCGACAAGAGAGGGCGGAGTTCTCCGTTTCCGTGTGCAGCTCTGCAGGCTCTTGCGCTTCCCTTTCATGCCGTCGTCATCGTCTGATCACGACTGCAGATGATGTGTGCTTATCAAAAGGGGCTCCACCTCGCGATACCATAGATCAGACGACCGAAAGAGAAAGCCAGTCGTCAGAAGATGAGATCACATGCCGCCGCCGACTGGTCAGGGACAGGCCCAGCTCAAACTGCGGTTGAATTTTGTTGCGTCTCGAACCGGCGTCTCGGGCTGGAATTCGGGAAAAGGTAGATCGCCTCTCTCTTGTCTTGAGCCCGCGGTCGAAGCGTTCATGCGAACAACGTCACCGACCTCGTTGACCAAAAAGGGGTTGTCGAAAGCGCTGAGACCCCGCAGAACCCTTTGAGCAGGCCAGCTGATCGAGTAGGCTCGTGACCCTGCCTCTATCGCTGCACGTCCATTAGATCATTGAGGTCCGTCCTGCCGCCGAAACTTGGCCGTAAACGTCCGAGACGTCTTGGCATGATCAGGATGCAAGGTCAAACGACGAAGCGCCAATAAGAAGGCACCAAGATCCATAGCCGACGAGAAATCGAAACGGAGCATGCAGCAATTCGGGTCACTTCTAGACGGTGATTGGGCGCCAATTTTGCGATCCGATGTCTTCTCGCATAAGGGTCAAAACTTTCGAGGCAGCTTCCCATGACCATGCTGTTTTGACCAATCGCAGGAAATCAAGGCTCTTTCACTTGCCCTTCCTGCGCCGGTTGTTGTTTCGTGACTCGTCTGCGCCATTGTCAAGCTCTTCATCTCGCACTTGTGGCCCCTCTAGCTGCATGAACCCACCAACAGAGATAAGCACGCACTCAATGATTCGCTGGAAGGTGACGCCCATATCAAGAGCTTGAGCCTGATGATGAAGTCGGGATGACGCGGCGAGCTCCGCTCTGGTATGCGGGCCGTCGCTGCGCGGCTAGCTGTCACAGGAAAAAAAAAAAAGTTGAGCCGTTCCGCTGCTTTGCTGAGTTGGAAAAATTTCAAGCGGCAGAACTGCATCATCGGGTTGCATGCATCTCGGAAAATAATCACTCTTTAGGTCTGCGCTTTGCTCCAGAGGAGGGCGAAGCGAAGAACAAAGCCGACGGTCGGCGGGATTTTCGTTCGAGTTGTAGCCGCCTGTCGAGAAGGAAAGCAACCGAATAAGCGAGGACTGTGACAAGGCAATAATGATGATGCTCTTTCGCTCTCGGCTCTCTTCCGAGGGCTGTCTTTTCTCTCTTTCTCTTTCAAGGCGCGCTGAATGAGCTCTCTGGAGTTGAGCCGGTGTGACTACAAAGGATTCTCCCCCAGTTTCTCCGACGGAAGGATGTCAAAGCCGAAGCAAAGCGTAACGTGACGATACAGCATGGTGGGCGGTTGAAGAGCCAATTCCCCCACACTGTGTGCTCGACAGCTCGAGTGCTCGAATGAGGCTGCGCAGCTTGCTAATGCTTCTGCGCCGTTGCCCCCCACTCGATGGTCAGACGACCAGTCTTTCGAGCTGCAGATTGGAAGACGAAGAGCCTGGCTTGAACCGGCACCATTTGAAGCTTTGCTCGAGCATGCATTGTGCAGAAGCTCCTTTGCTATCTTTCGCCCACCTTTCGGCACAAAGCGCGAACGACCTCGCTGCACCCCCTCATTGGTCGTCGTCTTTGTTCATCCAGATTGCGCCCGCTCCTCCCCTCTCCTTTCATCTTCCCACCACCGTCCCCATCGCCCCTGCGGCTCACCCTTATCTCTAGCATCTACACCCGACTTCTTGTCCTCCCTCCATACCATCCTCGGTCGGGACACGCAGACATCTTCACATCAGCCACCTTACTCGCTCAACCAACGACTTCGCTTTCATCTCAAAGTCATCGCATCGCACAACATGGCTTCAACAGGCCACCACTCCCCCCTCGAGGATCGCTCCAGCGGCTCCGTCTCGCCAACACAGACCGTCGACGTCGAAAAGAATGCCAATCACGACTCGATCAAGCCTCACGTCGAGGATGCAAAGATCTCTTCCACCTCGCCAGTGGAGCAGACCATGTTCGGCGAGAAGCGAGAGCAGTACCGCAGCGAGGAGGATTACATGTTTGAACAGCAGAAGCGCTCGGCAGGAGACCACAAGTTCAATCGCCTCGGCTGGAAGAAGCTCACCATCTGCTTGATCGTCGAAGCTATCGCTCTGGGCGCGCTCTCCATTCCCTCGGCGTTCGCAACGCTCGGAATGGTCGCCGGTGTCCTTGTCAGCGTCGGTATCGGCTTCATCGCCATCTACACAAGTTACATCGTCGGTCAGGTCAAGGTCAAGTTCCCGCAGGTCTCGCATTACGCCGACGCCGGACAGCTCATGATGGGCCGCTTTGGCTACGAGCTCATCGGCGCCATGTTTGTCCTCCAGCTTACGCTTCTCGTAGGCTCGCACTGCCTAACCGGTACCATCGCCTTCCTCAACCTCAGCGACAATGCCATCTGCTCGCTCGTCTTCGGCATCATCTCGGCCATCATCCTTTTCCTCGTTGCAGTGCCTCCCTCCTTCTCCGAGGTGGCCATCCTCGGATACATCGACTTCGCCTCCATCATCATTGCCATTGGCATCGTCATCATCGGCACGGGGGTCAGGAAGAATCAGGCCTCTGTCACTCCCACGCTCACAGAATGGTCCGCCTGGCCAAAGGAAGGCACCACGTTCGCCGACGCCTGGGTCGCGCTCACCAACATTGTCTTTGCCTACTCGTTCGCCATGTGCCAGTTCTCGTTTATGGACGAGATGCACACCCCCACCGACTATGTCAAGAGCATCTACGCGCTGGGCATCATCGAGATCTTCATCTACACGATCACCGGTGCGCTCGTCTACGCCTTTGTTGGCACCGGCGTCCAATCTCCTGCGCTCCTCTCGGCGGGTCCGACGCTCTCCAAGATCGCCTTTGGCATTGCTCTGCCCGTCATCTTCATCTCGGGTTCCATCAACACCACCGTCATCGCGCGTTACATCCACGGCCGTATCTTCAAAGACTCGGTGATTCGCTACATCAACACCAAGATGGGCTGGATCACCTGGCTCGCCGTTGTGGCTGTGATCACCGTGGCGGCTTGGATCATCGCTGAGGCCATTCCCTTCTTCAGGTAAGGGGCAGTCGCTCGCTTGCTCGCGTGGCGAGAGAGAACCGCATGCTGACTCTTTCTCCCGTTATCTCCTCTCGTACAGCGATTTGCTCGGTATCATGTCGGCCCTCTTTGTCTCAGGCTTCACCTTCTACTTCCCGGCGCTCATGTGGTTCCTCCTCATCAAAGAGGGCAAGTGGAACGCCACACGCTGGAACATCATCCTTAGCATCGTCAACGCCGCCGTCTTTGTCCTCGGCCTGCTTGTGCTCGTCTGCGGCACCTACGCCTCGGTCAAGGATATCAAAGATCAGTACGCAAAGGGCACCGTGGGTGGATCGTTCACGTGCGCGCCCATCGGTTAAGTAGAGGCGAAAGGATCTGATTTCCCTGGAGGAAGCAGCGCCAAGGCCTGTCGATGAACGCTCTCCATCATGCCCTTACCCCTTCTAATGCTTTGTAATGTACCCTCGCATACCTGCTCGCGGACTCACGTAATCGGCTCCAGCATAGACTCCTTACAGCCTCATCTTTGCTGGTGCGTGTGTGAATGTACCTTGAACGGATATTGTGTGTGGGCTTGATCAACATGAGGTAGGTCAGCTGCTCGTGTGAGCAGGGGCAGACCCGATCTGAGGCGTATCGGGGACCTCCACTTTTTACCGCTTCGCTGCAGCGACTTTCTTCTCTTGCCTCAACGCAATTTGGTCAGCTTCCTGTCAAACGCTCATCACCTCCCGACGACGCCGACACTCGTCTCTCGACACACCAGCTCTCGCATCATCGAAGACAGAAGCAGCCAGCGAGACCTTCGATCCAGCACACACCTCCAATCCGCACGAAGTCACCTCACACCGAGTCACGCTAGCAATGTCGGGGATGCCAAACGCCGAACTAGCGCAGGAGCAGCAGCGACCTGGCGAGCCCATCGCCTCTCCCGTTGGGCCGAATGCTCCCGAGCCAGCAATGCTGGGTTCTGAACTACCGGAAGCGCCCAAGGATAAGTTCTTCCGTAAGATGCGCGAGCAGCCGCTTGTTCCCATCGGTACGTTTCACCTGCCCCTTCACTCTGCCTTTCTTCTTTCACTGACACTCTTCCGCTCTTCCACTGCTTTGTGCTCCCTAATCAACTCGAATCGTGCCTTGATGCAACGATTACAGGCTCACTCCTGACGTGCGGCGCGCTAATCGCGGCATCCAACCACCTCCGTTCGGGCAACCGAGATCAGTTCAACCGCGCCCTTCGTTGGCGTGTCGGCTTCCAAGGTCTCACCGTCCTAGCTGCTCTCCTGGGCTCGTTCTACTACGGCCAACAAGCCGCCTCTTCCACCCCCGTCCCACCACCAGCTACCTCCTCCACACCGCTACCGCAGGGCGCAGTGACGACGCTACCAGGTCGCGGGCCGACGGTGTGGCAGCAGACCCGCGCGGATGAGCGCGCCCACAAGGACAGGAGCGAGTTCGAAGGCCGTGTCGGCCAGGCGCTGGATCGGGAGCTGAACGACGATAAGCGCTTGGAAGAGGCGCTGCTCGGCAAGGAGGAGGTGGTGGATTTGGAACAGATGAAGAAAGAAAGGCAGGGGCGCGCTAGGAGCGCCATTGGTCAGGATGCTAGGAGACAGGTTTGATGCATACACAGCTGAATGGACGTGTTGTTTTCGCACTGTTCGTGAGGCGAAGATGAGTGGAGGATGAGGTGTGCATCGATTATGAGTGTGTGCGGTGTTGATGATGCGCGAGATCGGCGGCAAACCACACGGGTAGAGAGTACGTTGTTCGACATGCAGAGGACTGACGAGATACAAATGTCCTTTCAGAGTTCGGTGCGGCTGCGTCGCTCGTTCAAGTGTCTGTCGCTGTGATCCACTGCCATCGGCACATACACGCACACACACATCATGCATGAAAGCAACCTTGACATCGCTACGCGTAAAAGTACATTGAAATTGAGCATTGACCCCGACACATTTGATCTACCTGCCGCCGTCGCTGCTGGTGGCAGTCTTGATAACGACATCGTCGTCCTTGCTCGTAGACTTGGTCCTTTCGAGCTCCTGCACGGCGCCGCCGTCTGCGGTGCCACCGACCTCGCGCATGAGCTGCTCGCGGAACGCCCTCCTCTTCTTGGGGCTGAGATCGTCGACGCTGCGCTTGACAAGGTTGCCTTCGAAGATGCGGTGCATGAGTTCGAGCGTGATGCCGCTGGATTCAGGGAGGAGGAAGGCGGCCCATAGGACGGCAAACGAGGTGACGACACCGAAGAGGATGAAGGTGCCGAATTTGATGTGTTCGAGCGCACGAGGGGTGATGAGGGCGATGACGAAGTTCCAGAACCACTGGTTCATGGTGGCTGCGCTCATGGCGAGCGCGCGGAGCTGGTTGGGCGCCACTTCCGCGGACACGGCCCAAGTCACCGAAGACCAACCAAGACCGTAACCGACCACGAAGAGGTAGATCATGGCAATGGTCAGGTAGGCTACGCCATCGACGGGGAGACCGCTGGGTCGAACCGCTTGGTAGATCGCAACCCACAGAAGGCAGAACACCTGCACAATGCCGCCAATGATCAGACACCACTTGCGGCCCAGCTGCTCGATCGCAACCGCCATGAAAAGCGCCGTCGTGATGATTTTGACGATACCGTACACTCCTGTCGCCAGCAAGCCGCCAGACTGCCCCGTGATGCCGAGCGACTTAAAGATCTGAGGGGAGTAGTAGTTGATCGAATTCGTGCCGGTCAGTTGCTGGAAGAACATCAGGAGGGCGCCGATGAAGACTCGGTAGGTTGTGATACGGTCGGAGAAGGCCATACGGAACTGTTGGCGAATGCTTAGACCGGCTTTTCCTTGCAGATCTGCTTGAATTTCGCGCAGGATTCCAACGACGCTCGGATCGTCGAGCGGGGCGCGGTTGATGCGGGCGAGGGACCTCTGCGCCTCTTCGTGGCGACCGCGCTCGACAAGCCATCGAGGTGATTCGGGTTGGAGGCAGAGGGTGACAACGAAAAGGAATCCGGGGAGGCACTGAAGAGCGAAGGGCACTTGCCACATGGCCTTAGAGTTCTTGTCGGGGTAGCTTTGAACCATACCGTAGTTGACGAAATAGGCCAAGCAGATACCTGTGACGATCAGGAGCTGATACATGCCTGCAAGGCGACCGCGGATGGATCGAGGCGCGCACTCCGACAAGTACATGGGCACGACCGACGAGGCGAGGCCTACACCGATACCGCCGATCACGCGTCCGACGTAAAGCTGGTAGAGGGCCGAGGCGGCGCTCTGGCTTCCAAGGCGGCAAACGGTCTGAATCACCGAACCGACGAGGAACACACCGGCGCTGATAAACATCGCGTTGCGACGACCGAAGCGGTGGGGCAGGTAGAAACTGGACGCAGCGCCAAAAAAGCAGCCGGCCTGCAAGACCGAAACAATGTTGCCCTTCAAGGCGGCGAGCTTGGAGGGGTCATTGGCGAGACCAAAGTCGCGCTGGAAGGCGGGCATGTTGAGGACTCCACCAATCAAACCTGTATGGTTTTATCTTTTGTCAGTTCCTTTCAATGCAGAGAAGCCAATCGTATCGTAAGAAACTAACCTGTATCCCAGCCGAAAAGGAGACCACCGAACGAGGCACAGATGCCCAGCAGATAGACACGCCAGTGCTGCCGAAGGTCCTCGGCGAGGACGCCAAAGCCGAATCGGCGCTTGGAGCCATCGTCAGCGGAGGAGAGGTGGACGGTGATGGCGAGGGCGTGCTCCTGCTCCGAGGGGGACAGGGACCCTTTGGTTTCGACACGAGACATGGTGGCGTGGAGATACGGGGAAGTGGGGAAGGTGAAGAGCGGGGGAAGGACTGAAGGGTATGTCGACAGCCTCTTATACCCTGTCGGGTTAGACGAATAGGCGAGGTGTCGTCAGGAACGTACCCGAGATGTGCAGCGCAACAAAGGCGGGGCGAGAGGCGAGCGGGGCGAGGATCGATGAAACAGAGTCGAGCGCCGTGCGAGTCTGATGCAAAAGCTTCACCTTGAGACTGATGCAACGGTGCAGAGGCTGGCGATGCGTGTGGGACCCAATGAAGCAGTGTCGCAACGCCACGCATGAGCTAGAGCCAATTTGCGGGGAAGGGATGCAGGACCAAACTAAGCCACCCCCGCGGGCAGGTCTTGTATGATGCGGACCGACGCGGATTGCAGAGGGTGCGGCAGCGGAGAAAGATCGTGGTGTGGGGAAGAGAAGCCATGCGACGAGGGGGAAAGTGTTAAGCGAACGCGGAGACAGGACCGGATCCTTGCCACCAAGCGAAAACGGGTCTGTCGGCTAAAGAGGCACGGCTCGACGCATGGCCGATTACCGAACGCCAAGGTCTTCTGCGTCGAACGGAGATTTCCGGCAGAGTGTCAGGATGCGAGAACAACGAGTCGCTAGCAAGCCAAAGTGGGGCAGCAGGATGGCGGTTGGGTGGCTAAGCCCACGATAGAGTCGAGCTCCGCTTCCCAAACGAGGGACTGCCGCTGTCAAGACCCTTGCACTCGGGACCGTGCCCTGCAAATTTTCCATTGTCCTTTCTGCACACAAATAGAGTTTTGACACAAAACACACGAGCTTCGTCCGTTCATGTACGACCGCAGCGGCGCCTTCGCAGATGCTCGGACGCGCATGCTTACAATTGCCCATCGTACATGCTCGAGCATAATGTTTTGATGAGGCTTCGTGCCGCTAAGCTCAGTGCGACGTCGACGATTTGCGTGGAACAAGTCAATCTTGTGGTGTGGTTCGAATCGTGTGGCTTGCAGGCTTCGCTTAAATTTGCGTGCATTCACGGCGGCTCAGCTTGGTCGGTCGGGAGCAGAGACCCCGCGGGGGCGAGCGACTCTTATAGGGACTCAACGGAGAGATTTGCGGCTGTCACACCGAGGCTTCCCCACGCTCATGCTTTTCGGTATTTCTTGGCGTTTTGGAGACTGCTTGTCTGCTGCTTGGCGCCTTCCGTATCGGACCGGTCATCTCAAAACCCCGCTGCTTCGGCAGATCTCCCGTACCGCCACAACCGGTATCCTCAAAGTTCTTCCGCCCTGCCTGACCCTCTGCCGCCGCGGTCACACGTCGAAAGAATCTACGGTCTGTGTTGCGATATGACATCCGCATGTCCCGCGGGGGTCCAGCTCGCTTCTACTGAGCCCGGTATGACCGAAGCTGGCCTCAAAAGATTCATGCTGCATGAATGGGCTGTTCATGGCTTCGACATCACCCCGCATTCCCCACGTTCAGGATGCGTGGCTATCGTATCATATTGCGGGGGACTCGCTGTACTATCAGACTAGCATGTGGTCACTCCAGGGATCGGACCGTTTAGGAGCCGGTGTTGGTTCGCTTAGCGACATCATCGCAAGCGAAAGCATGATCTCGAACGGCGGCTCGCTTCACCGGCAACGCTCTAACAAGCCGATCAAAGTTGAAATTTTTGGCCCGATCTGAAGCGGTTTGCTCCACTTGACCGTGCTTGGGCCAGCCACTCAAGATCTTCGCACTTCACCTTCACGCTTCGTTCTTACATACAGGTCACACCGCATACTCGACACTGACCATGCTAGCAGCTCGAACAGCTCGCCTCTCTCCATCAAGCCTGCTTACACGGACGGCGCCATCTTCTCGAAACATGAGCTTAACGGCGCGACCACCCACCGTGCCTCTCGTCATCGCACCAAAGGCACTAGCCTCGCTCATCGAAGCAGACAAGTCCGACTCGAAGAAGCTTCGCATTTTGGACGCAACATGGTTCATGCCCAACACCAACCCGCCTCGAAACGCCTTTGAAGAGTTCAAGGCCGGTCCACGACTGCCCAAAGCGCAATTCTGGAATGTCGACAAGGTCGCTACTGTCGGCGAAAGCGTCCGCAATCTGCCCCACATGATGCCTACGCCAGCCACATTTGCTGAGGCGGCGGGCGAGCACGGGATCGAGCCGGATACGCACGTTGTAGTGTACGACACGCATGGAGTCTTCTCCGCGCCACGAACAGCGTTCACGTTCAAAGCATTTGGCCATCTTAACGTCTCTGTGCTCAACGGCGGGCTGCCGGCGTGGATCAACCACGGCCTGCCCACAGAATCAGGCGAGCCTACGTCTGCATCGAAGACAACGTATCCGGAACCAGCGCTGCAAGACGGTATCATCCGCTCGTTCGATGAAATGGTCGCAAACGCAAGAATGGGTGCTCGCGGCCAGACCGTCTTCGACGCTCGCTCCAAAGGACGATTTGACGGCACAGATCCCGAACCACGACCAGGTCTCTCGTCAGGTCATATCCCGCACAGCGTCTCTCTGCCCTTCCCTAGCCTTCTCAAGACCGAGACCGGCAAGGACGGAAAGCAGTACACCGTGCTCAAGGATCAGATCGAGCTGTGGAGGACGCTGAGCGATACAGTCGGCGGCACAGAAGCACTGGATAAGCTGCGACAGGCGTCGAGCGGCGGCGAGCTCGCAGCGACCAACACGTGCGGTTCGGGCATGACGGCGGCGGCGATCTGGTTGGCGCTGCAGGAGATTGGCGTACAGAGCAGTATCTACGACGAGAGCTGGATGGGGTGGGCGTCGAGAGAAGGGGAGGGCGTGCCCATTGACAAGAATGTATGATGGCGACGTCGCAGGCAATCAAATTCATACAAGGCGAGTGATACGCTGCTGATGCTTGCTGTTCGAGGAGGCGGAAGGTCCAATTCCGACCTTCCGGTCATCCGTAACGCGAATTGTACTCGGCCCCAACGCCAGCCTCAGACGAGCAGGCCAAAGTATGGTCGTCAGCCTTTAATGGCGATCTCACACCTGTACGATGTTGCGGAGAGGAAGCCTAGAGGTATGTGCTTCCTTGTCGGCTTGAAAGCATCGCGCGCGGAAAATCCGCCGTCCGTGAATCCATGGGAGACAGAGAATCGTCCGAGGACAGACCGAAATCCTCAGCACCATCTGGAGAAATTGGCCGGCGCCTTGGCAATCCGAATGCTGAAAGAGCCACAGAGATCGATCGATTCATTGTGAGCTTACTGAGATGGGAGCGAAGCTCAAGCCTTCGAGCGCAAGATGCGTCAGACGTCCGCCTGTGTGGCTTGGGCTCGATCGACAGGTCGATGCTGTGACGAGTTGACCGATAATTGATTGGCGGACCTTGTTTCTGCTGTACACATGCAAGGTTGCCGGTCGTTGTGGGGGGGGTTTCGACAGATTACGTCGTAGAGGCTTGAGAGTCCATCGTAAGGCTGCGCGCGGATGATCTTCCGGAAGATGTGCAGGCTTTAAGTAGGCGTGACTCGGGTCAACCTAGGGCAAGAAGGGACATCTTCGGACAAACTCAAAGCATTGTGTGGGCCGGCCGGTTGCCGGTGATTCCGGGGGAGATGCAGTGACGAGTCAGCGGACAGACTGCAGCGAGCTCACCTGCTCAAGGAAACGACAATTCGGTGCAACTTCTGCCTCGTAGGTCATACCACATCGTCAGCTGGCTAAATCGACCAATCGACGGTCGCGCAGGGGTCTGGAGATGAGTGCGGCTTCCGCGGCAGAACCGGGATGATAGCGCTGGTCACCGAAGCGGCGCAACCATCACGATCCTCGTCGCCGTCTATTCCGCTTGCCAGCGCCTTGCATCGCCTCGACCCTTCGCGATATAAGTTATCGAGCTTCAACCCACCACGGCATTGTCGAGATCTGGATAGCCGACGTCGATGTGCAGTTCCGTGATACGGCGCACACCAAGCGCGTCGTCGTCGACCTCTGCTGCAAATTCGACGGACTTTGAAAAAACAGGTGTTGGCCGCGCTCCGAACCTGCTCCGTCTGCCTCACACTCGCGTGCCTGTCGGTCCGTCATCTCCTCTCACCTCGAACCCCACGTCAACTCGATTAGGCCGCTGAATCGACGTCGACGGCCATCTCTCGTCCTATCAATCGATATGAATGAAGCCACTCATTGCGCGATGGCGCGCTACAAAGCATTGTCAATGGCGTGAGAACCAATGTGGGTTGGAATCGCCAGCTGTCATCAGCGCAAAAGGTGGGCGGCAAAGCGATGGGAAGAAGCTCGGCCAAAAGAAATCGCCGGTCAGGCACCGCTGCGGGCGTGCTTCGGTGCTCAAGCTGGGAAAAGCGGGGGAGGCTCGCTCGACGGAGGCCGGCTATCCCACGCTTCCTCTCACAAAGCCTTGCGCTCGTCTGGATGTCTCCGGCTATCTGGACCCGGGCCCCACACAACAGCGTTAAGCTCTCGACTTGACCGTTGTGATTCGTGATGGTTCCCACACACGTGCTCTGACACAGTGCAACCGCCTTTGCCCACCTCATCTGCCGTATATCGCTGCTCGTCGGTGCGCCTGGTCCGATCCGCTCGGTCAACCGATGAGCTGCTCCTTTCTTCTCGCTCGCACTCTTGACTTTTGTCTTTCTGTCCCCGACGACAAGAGCTCCGCATCGATCAGCAGCCCAGTCGTCGCATCGTTTGCTGCACGACACCACCATCATCTCGATGCCTGAGCAGAGTTGCACCTCCTCACCATCTATCACGCTCTCCTCTCCATCGACCATCAGCGCAATCGTCGGCTAGCGGCATGGCGCCCATCGCTACGTCCCACGCTTCATCTTCATCGACGCACAAACGCACCAGCGTCGCGCACCACGAATACCTCGACCGTGCGAGTCTGCTCAATCCTCCGTCACCGCAATCAGCCTCCCCGCCAACATCAGCATCGCATCTTCACACCAGACAGCCATATCCCAAAGCATTGCGCATCTCGCCAGACCCGCCCACCCTCCTCGCCTTCGCATCGTCCTTTCAGACGCTGCTCGACTCGCAAGCGCCCGTCTCATCCACCCACTCTGCCTACTCCGAGCTCCTCTCCGTGTCCACCTCAACCTACCCACCCTCCACACTACCGATCACGGCGCTGGTCGACCTAGTCAACTCGAACGTCACTCCGTCCACCTCCTCCAGCAAATCGTCCATCTCGACGCTTCCCGACATGGTTGCCGGCACCGTCACCACTCCCGGCCTAGACCTGTTGGGGATCCTTGCGGAAGAAGTTGACTGGGATCCTCAACAGAAAGGTTCACCTGCCGACCAACTCTCCATGCTCGGCCACGTTCAATCGCATCATCAGACGAAACAGCGTCTGTGGGCAGGCCACATCTTTGACTCGCTCGGCCTGACGAGTCGTAGGAACAGCTTTGCGACGCTCAACGCGCCGCTCAAGCCGATTTCCCCGCAAAAGGAGCTGAAGGGTTGCAAGTTGGAGGCGGAGGATCCGCTCAACACCATGATTTTGACCAAGAGGACAGCGCTCTTCTACGAGAACATCTACGAGCAGTTGTGTCCGGGGATTGTGCCGAGGGCGTACGTCTACCCGCGGCTGGGACGGAAGGAGCACGATCACGATGCGCAATTCGCCGCTCTCGCGCTGTCGCTCTCTCTGCTCGGCAGCATGGGGCTCATCCTCCCCAAGCCAGCATCTCGCTCTCGCAAGGATAGCAACAGAGAGAGCGAAAATGAGGCGTTTGTCATGCCACAAATATCGGAACGAAGCTCGAAGGCACAGCCAAACAGTCACGCCATGGCGTTGATAGAAAAGATCCTGCAGGTGCGCCAAGGAGGTGGGGCAGGCGTGAACTTCGGTCAAGCACCGACGACCGAGGGCGTTCTGACGAGCTTCTTCCTCTCCTTGGCGCTGTACAACCTCGATGACGCGACAAGGGGTGCTGACTGGAAAGACGCGAGCTTCTTCCGATTCTGCGAGGCCGTGACGCTGGCGAAAATTTTGGGGCTAGACCGGGCGCACTCTGGAGAAGAAGGCAAGGTGCGAGGGCTGTTGGTGCGGGCGGAGCGGTGGTGGGCCAGCCAGCGAGATGGGTATGTGTGTCAGATGGACGAGGTCCAGCCCTCGCGAAAGAGGTGCACATCGTCGTCCGATGCCATCCCATCGAAGCGACCCCGCTCATCGCCTTCCGAGCCACTCGCCTTCATCGCCAAGCTCGGCTTCCCGAGCATCCGCGCAGACCTCCTCTACCGCTTCTCCAACCTGGTCACTTGCTTCGACTCCCTCTGCGTGCCGTCCAGCTGTCCCAAGCTGACGGCCACCGCAGCCATTGCGCTGCACGACTCGCTCGCCACACTGCAGCTCGACCCCTCAGCAGATCCGATCCTGATCGATCTCACGCGTCAAACTCTGCGCGCGCAGCTGTGGACCGCCTGTCTCGCCCACAATCTCGTCTCGCCGCACGCACAGGCACCTCTGCGACCCGACCAGCCATTGCACATCGCACTCGACACGCTTGATCTGCTCGAGGATCTGGAACTGCTCCGGGTCCACCTGCCGACGGATCAGGCGCAAGCGATTCAGGAGGCCGTTGCGACCATTCGAGGCTGCGTCTCGAGGCTGCCAAATGGGTTATTTGCAGCGGAGCAGTTCTCGTTCGAGCAGATGGAAGGTGATGATGGAGAGGAGACAGCGAAGGAGAGCGCGACAACTATCGGTCGTGCAGCGTTGGGAGTGATCGAGAACCTGGATCGCTTCTTGAACGGTGGTGCGCGCTAGAATCATCATGCTGCTTCATGTATACCCCTCAGCATCGGTCTTCGCGAAATCTATTCTATTTGAGAAGTACATGGGCTCAGTAGAAGCCGATCGCATTCAAGAAGCGGTTCGGGCTCTTCTCTCTGAACAAGCGCAATTCTCTTCTTTGATCTTCAGTGCGTCAGATCCTCGGCATGCTCAGTAAGCCCACCTTCTCGCCCTTGAGGGAATACCAGCCAATATCCATATATAATGTCAGCCATACTCAGTCCTTTCATGTCCAGCATTGATAGTGTAGGGGTATCATGAGTCGTTGCCAAACTCATCGCCTGCACAAGGCGTGACTACCGATTCGACTCGACCGGGGTTCGAGTCCCCGTCAATGCATTTCTTTTTGCCTTTTTGCAACCTGCTTTTCTCGTTGCATTTTGGCAAGCACAGCTATCGGATGATTTCTGTTCTCCTCGCAGCAACGTTTGACCTCTCGCGAAGCGACCTAAGGCTGATCATGAGCACTTGTGCTGGATGGCTGCGAAGCTGCCCCCTCTGTTGTCTGAGAGGTCGACTCGTATGGTTCGAAGCAGGCGATGCAATGGCTACGATGGGCTTACGAAGCATCGGGCAGCCTCATACCTGCCCACGCTGATCGTGTCAACCGTCGAGGCTTTGGATCGACGATCGAACATGTCTCAAGGGTCTAGCTTAAGCGACGACGCTAACTGTCCTTAGACTAGAAGGCGTAGGACATGGCTTCACACGCGACTCCGGGGCAATTCTGTACCTGCATCCGGCAGTTATAGACGGAGTCGCAATCGCCACCACCAGACCAACTTGGACACACGGCCATATGGACAGATGTCGAGCTGACCAAGCTATGCTGCGCCGCCATTACATCACGAGGAAGCGAGACCTGCCATCGATATCGAGCCTGAAGGTCAAGCCAGGCTGAACGGAGTGGACATGCGAGATCCCGCCTTTTTGATCTGAGTCTCAACCGCTTTGAGATCCGCGGGCCAAGCGAGGCTGAGGGCGCAAGAGCGCGTAATTGCCCGCTTTGAAAGAGACTCGTGTTGTGCCTTGCTATTTCAAATCGGTTTCCCCAGCCTTGACGCCAAGTCTCACTGTGGGCTGATATGGTGGCTCGTGATGGAGGCAAAGCAGGGTTCAAAAGCCTGCAGATCAAAAAAAGATCGATTTTCAGTGTTCCACACAGCGCTACCCGAGGCGGCCGTCTGTCCCAAAGTGCATGCATACAGACGACAAGGGTAAACACGCGAGGTGCCATGTTGATCATCACTTGCAAGCTGCCAAAACACGATTGACCCGCTATGCTTGACATGCCAAGGCCCACTAGTGAACCATGGTGACGAACACGAAAGGGCAAGATGATCGACGATGAAGACGATCGATTGTGCAGCAGACAACGGAAACGAATCTAGTGTCAGCTGCAGCAGCATCGAAGACACGGGAAGCAAGACAGAAGCGCAGTAGATCCACGAGGCTGGGTCTCATGAGGCGTAGCTTCAGACGGCATGTGAGACAGGGTCTTCCCTCGCCTGCCGCATGTGAAGGGCCCTTTTTGACAGTCCGCCGTATGAGCCTATTTGCACTACGGAAAAGCAACGGGATGTTGCGGGGAGGTTTTGGCCCTTCCCGCTGAGCACAGCGTCCTTCCTCTCTAGGTTAGCGCTCTCTTCAGGTTTCACCACTGCTTCACCCTGATGATCGGCATGACAGGTGACGAGCGGCAGAATCATCGCTCCTCCTCTTGATCAATCGCCTTCTCACCACTCTCGAGATCTTTGCCCCGAGCGGGCGATTTCCCCATTGCGCAAAAATCTGTGCTCACGGCGTAGCGCCAAAGACGATCCGACTTCACAGAGCCGATAGGACGGAACGAACGCGGTAGCGCATCTCGTCAGCGTCCTTCGTCGTTCCGTGCTCGCTCGGCCTGCCAGCTACTCCTTTCAATAAGGCTCTGCGACTACTGCCACCTCGTCCACCTCCCACCACCACCACCTTCGACGTCCCTACCATCACCACGTTTGCGATCGCAATCACCACAGCCCATCTGCCACGATGGTGATGCCGACATTCAGCTCGTTGCGGCTTAGCTGCTGGACAGCGCTGCTCATCGCAGCCATGTCGATGCAGGTACATGCTCTCGACATGACTGTCCAGTCTGTCAACTGCACAGCACTCAACTGGGTGGTCACCCTCTCGCAGAGCGAATGGACCGTTGCGTCCTACGTCAATCTCATCTTCACCACTACGACGCAGCCAGCACGCAACTACTCGCTGAGCTACACCGCTTCTCGATTCGGCGACTTTCCCCAACCGGGCACGTACAGCATGGTCACGCCCTTCGGCAACACTGTGCTGAGTGGCAGCTATCGAATGGGTGTCGCGCTGGCCGATCAGCAAGGCGACCTCCTCCCCGCCACCACCTCGTTCATTTCTGCCGCTGTGCAGGTTTCCGATCTCGATCCGCGCGTGTTCACGTTCGACGCTTGTTCCAGCTCGCTCGGCGCGGTCGTCGCTTCGTCGACTGTAGCATCCTCTTCTTCCACCAGCAGTGCTTCTGTCGCCACTTCTACGTCGTCGAGGGCTTCGGCCGCTACGACGGCAACCTCGACATCGCAGTCCAGCTCCACCTCTACCGCGTCCGCTGTACCCGCTTCATCTGCAGCCCCGGCATCCGTGGCCGCGTCCACTTCGTCTTCGGCAGCGGCAGCAGCTGGCACTCTGTCTTCCTCCTCGACTGCAACCCTCCCGCAGGGTAACAGCATGAACAAGGGGGCCATCGCCGGCGCCGTCATTGGTGCCCTCCTCCTGCTCGCCGTCCTCTTTGCGCTTCTCCGCTGGTGTCAGTCGCGCCGACGAACGCGCGAGCTCAGCCGTAGCCAGCACCGTCTGTCTCCGCTGCGACCGCTCGCTCTGTCCGAGAAGGCCGCTGGCGGCCCCACGTCGCCCACGGACCCGCACCGCTTCTCGTCCAAGTTCCACGCCTCTGGCGATACGCTCGATGCCGCCACTCTTGGTCGCTACTCTGTCAGCTCCGTACGCAAGTCGGACGCCTTCAGCCCGCGCAAGTCGGATGCCTTCTCCACGCGCGCCGCCTCGCGCATGGACAACTACTCGCTGAACAACGTCTACATCCCCTCCTCGGACCAGGAGCACGAGACAGAGATCCAGGTGGTCAAGGTGCCATTCAACCTGTTCCCCGCACCCCCCGTGCGCGATACGTCCTCCGCATCGCCGCCGCACTCTCCCTACTCGCCGTATCTCTCGCTCCACCGCACAACGAGCAACCCGGATGCCATCCCCGCCTACCCCTCTGGCCGACCCAGCATGGACACGCGCGCCGCGAAAGCTTCCGCCCTCACCCTGCCCCTGCCCCTCCAGCTGCCCTCGATCAACACCTCCCCCCTCGCCTCGCCAACCAGGTCCATGCGCCCCTCCCCCTCGACGTCGACCTTCAGAATCCCTCGCGTCACCGTGCCCACGTACAACGACGCCGAGGACCACCTCCAGCCTCCCGGCCAGGACAGCGTCTCGCGCGCAAACAGCCTCCGAAGACTCTCGACCAGCGGCGCCACGTTCGTATCGATCGACGAGGATCCGTTTGTCGACGCTGCTCAGGAGCAGCCGGCTAGCCCGAGGGAGAGGACGCTCGTGTAAAGGGGGCCGCTCTCGCTCCAAACATGTATTCTTGCTGTTCGAAATATGGATGATTGTCTTTTGTCCGATGTACACGAAGTGAAGTGAGTGCAAGCACGGGCTGGGTGAGGGTGTGCGCATGAGGTGAAGCGTGACTGAGCTGTGCGCGAAGCTCAATGTTGAGTGATGCGGCGAGAACACACAGGTATGGCCTGCCAAGTTGCAAATGCAGAAGCACTGCGGCTGTCGACACGCGCACGCACTGACAGCCACAATCCACAAGCGCTGTCTGCCAAGTCCCATCTGCAGACCCGTTGTGATCGTCATCACGCTTTTGTATTGTCTGCCAGATTCAAAACGCAGACACACTGTGACCGTCGGTACGAGCACGCGCTGTCTGTCAGAACTCACAAGCGCTGTCTGCCAACTCGCAAGTACCCACGCGCTGCCCGCCAACACAGAAACGCACGGCCTGCCAAAACGCAATTGCGGACACGGCGTGTTCGTCAACACACGTACGCAGTGACTGCTCAAACACACTCGCGTGGTCTGCCGAACCGTGAACGCGCACTCAATGCAATCGACTTTACTAGTGGGAATGCCAACGAGGTCGAAGAGTTCCATACCGCCCGTGTAGTTGCGGTTGAGAGCGTCGGCCTGAACACCGTGATGCATAAGCTCTCGAGCTACGCCGCTGCCGATCTATAATGAGTGGAAAGTCCTGTCTCATCCTGTGGAAAGATGCATAGGGCAGGCGGCAGACTTGGTGTAGGTCCTGAGAAGAGCTGACGCTTCGTTGGACTCGAGCACATCGCCAGCAGAGGTGCGGAACATGGGTTCCTTGCCTACCCTCACGAGTCGATGGGCTTGAGATGCGAGCAGTCAAGACACGAGATCTTTGGTCCGTTGGGACCATCGGTATGCAAGGCTCCTCGCTTCATCAGGAGAAGCAGATAGACCACTGTAGGTTCGAGAAGGATGTTGGTTGGGTTCTCGAGGGCTCGCATCCGGACCTTGACCTGCATGGTGTCTTGCGGCATTGTTGTAGTTCTTGATGTGCCTGATGAGGAGCTGGAGAGTCCAGCCGCCCGGGGCTGCGGACGTGAAGCTGACATCCTCGTGGCGCATGCCACGCTTGCTCTCGTCCTTTTTGTCGGCTGCAAGGAGAGACCCGGCCCTCAAGCCTGTCATGAAGCAGGTCTGGACAAGTGCCATGATTTGCAGCATGCCATCGCTGCGACAACCACCCAGAAGACGCTTGAAGATGTCGTTGAGGATCAGGGAGACCTCGGCCTCGCCATAGGCACCTGACACCTTTGTCGACTTTGGGAGATCATACCTGTGAATGAGGTATGCGACGTGGTCGGAGATCTGGTAGTAGATCCCCTCTTTTCCATCGGGCGATGCTCTGACGACCCGCTTGTAGCATGCCTCGATGGTGTTGATGTCGCGCTCCTGATCCTGCATGTAGCGCATGATGCCCTGGAGCAGGAAGAGCTTCCAGTTTCGGACCGTATCCCTGGGAACTCTGGCCACCGGGCTGTCAGGACGGTTGTTGCCCCTGACCTGGAGCACCTCATGGCTGGGGAAGAGCTTGAGGCGCTCTGCCAAGGCAGGCACGTCATGGTACGCGCGCGGATCCTCTTACGGGTTGTGCGTATGCTTGGTGAGGCCACGAGCCGCAAAGGCGGGAAGCACCTCTCGGACGAAGAGGCAGAATCGAATGGTCATGTCGAGCCTTTGCACCTGAGCGTAGCGAGGCTCGATGGTACTAGCGTCAGATCTCTTGCGTGTTGCTGCGCCACCATGCCGAGCCGCACCCTGTGCCTAGTCGAGACGTGGTTCCGCACAAATGCCTCGACTGAGTTGAGATTGGCGATATCGACGGGCATGCCAGGCAGCGGGTTGTTGAGGAAAAATGCGACGATGCTGCGGGAGCGGAAGCTCCAAGCTCCGGACGATGTCCGTGAAGAACCGAGCCAGACGATCGTGGTAACCCGTCTTGCTAGCGGCACGATTCACCTTCTCGCAGCTGACACCAGCGTTCCGTAGATGCGGTTGATCTCGTCGACCAGCCCCTTCTGCACCGGGGTGCCTGTGGACGGGCGCTTGCGCGCAGAGCTGCTGCCCTTCTGTTGCGGATGGTCCCTAGCCATAGCGGGCCAGAGCGGGAGCGGAGCTGCTATCGCCGAAGTCCCGGACGGCGTTGGCAAAGAGCTGAGCCAGACGAATCGTGGTAATCCGCCTCACGCGAAGAGCTGTTGCCCTTGGTAGCCTCTGCTTGCTGATAGCGTGCCTCACTGTCGCTCCGCGTGCTGCCAATGCCGCAGAAAGCTTTCAGGGCGAACGCCAAACGGGGCCGGGGAGAATCGCTACGGGTCCGTAAGCTGAACACACTGGCCCTGCAAAAAGCTTTGTGCGCGGGTAGCCCGCGGGATTGTCAAAATTGAGCCCGACTGCTTATGCTCGACCCACAGGCGGCTACACCAGTGTCACACTCGACTCGATGGCGCCACTCGGGCGCTGCTGGAATTCAGTATTGAGCAAGCTTCACAGCACATCAGACGCAAATGATCGTGAGAAGGTATCTAGATTCTGGCATTGATTGTTATGGGAAAGCTAAACAGTCAACGTCAGAAGTGGGGGGGCTGTTCGTCTGCCGAACTAGCGCCTGTGGGAACGTGAAAGAGTCGTTTGCGGGCCGTCGTTACATTATGCTTTTTGTGATCGGTTCAAGCCTTGTTGGCGAAGCCGACGCGGTTGTTGTCGGTGTCAAAGATGGCGACGACGTTCTGGAGGAACGAGTCACCAGTGACCCAGGCGTTGAGGCCCAGGTCAGAGCCGGCAACGGACAGGACGCACTGGCCGGAGTTGGTGGTACCGAACGAGGTGGTAGCAGCCGAGAGGGTCTTGCTGTAGGAGCCGTACTTGAACGTCACCTTGGGCGGCGAGTTGCAGTTGAAGTACGCGTAAAGACTGCCGTCCTGTGTGAACGTTGGAAGGTTGAGCTGCTTGAAGAGCGTCTTGGCCTGGGAGGTGGGGGCGACGATGATGGTGGTACCCGTGTCAACGATCGAGTCGATGCTCTGAGTGTTGACGGTGGCGGGGACCTGCCAGAAGCCCTGGTTCGAGTCGATGCCAACGTAAACGGGGGTGCTGGAGTACTTGGCCGAGTTGGTTCCTCCCAGGTAGAGAGACGAGCCAGAGGTGCGAAGGTCGAACTGGAACTTGCCCGACGAGACGACACCGGCCTGCTTGAGGCTGTAGAAGTAGGGCAGGTAGTTGGAACCGAACGCGGCAAGCTGAGGGAAGGCCATGCCAGAGATACCCTGGGAGCCCTCGGACGAGTCGATGAACTGCTGGTTCGAGACACCGATGGCGGTGTTGGCAGCGTTGAGACCGCCAATGTGGACCGTGTCGGTGTAGATGGTGCCCGAGGCGGTGGTGCCGTCACCGTAAGAGGTGGAGAACTGGTCGCCGTTGGTCTTGGAGGTGGACGACTGCGAGGGCGTGTAAGCGCCAGGGTTGACGAGCGTGTCGGAAGAGCCAGTGTCAAAGTCGATGGGGAAGCTCTGCGATGGGGTACCGTAGGCCATGGTGCCGGTCCACAGCTCACCACCTTCCTGGTCGGTGAGGGCGACGGAGCCGGTGGCGCGCTTGGTGAGGTGCTCGGGGAGATCGCGCTTGAGCGAGTGCACCTTGCCCGTGTTCTTCTCGTAGTTGGCAAAGCTTTTGGCGTACTTGGTGCGAAGGCTGGCCATGTGAGCATCGACCTTGTTCCAGTCGATCTGGCTGGAGCCATCGACGGTGAGCTTGGCGCGCTTGGAGATATCGATGTTGATGCCGCGCTCCTGCTGCTCGAGGGGAGCGGCGGTGGCAAGGGCCGAGGCGGCGATGAGGCCGGCGACGAAGGAAAGCTTGAGCTGCATGATGAGAGGTATGTGGCGAGAAGAGGTAGTCTAGGTGTGTGAGAGGACGTCTATGGGGGCAACAGCGGAGCTGATGAGAAGAAGGACGAGGGAATGGTGGGATGAGGAGGGTCGGAGAGGGTCGCAATCTGCGTCGTCTTTATAGACGCCGACCTCGGTGCAATGCTGAGTCTGAGAATAGCAAGGAGCTCGGGGGAAGACTTGGCATATACACTATAGCGATCACAAGCACACCGAGCGCAAGAATCTCGAAAGCTGCCTTGTCGGAAATCTGGGTCAGTGGTGAGCCAACAAGTCGAAACGTCTCACTCCCACGCTACGTTGAGCTCAGCTGTAAGGATCGGAAGCCTGTGAACCGAAGGAGATGCCTTCTGCGAAGTCACGATTGCAAGGGTCTAAGCGAGGACCTAACGAGAAGAGAGGGGAAGAGACTAAGCAAAGCTCAGGAGCATGCGCAGGCAGGCAGATAGACAGGGTCTGCTGGAGGGCAGCAAGGCAGGTGCGTTGCAAGCGAGGTGGGTCCAGGCTCGGAAGGGGCTGAAGCGGCAATCGACTGCTCTTGCCGCCGCTGCCGTCGGCGCATCAGGTTGAGCTTGGAATACGCTGCGCACGTCTGATTGTGCAGGCGGGGATTGCTGTGGAGGAGAGGGTGAGGTCTGCATGAACTGTCGGCGGGTTCAGCGATGCTGTCAAGCCGCGGGTGAGGCGAATCATGGCAGGATGAGACACTCGAGCGGAAGGTTCCATCGCTGCTGCAGTGACAGAAAAGAGCGCATTGTCAACGGACGGCTAGCTGGGCTTCAACTCTGAGCAGGGTAGTGCACTAGTCTGATCGGAGGATGTCAAGCCGCAGGCAAATGCGGTGATTTCGGCGGCAACAGAGTGAGCGAGTGCCGTCAAACTCTGTTTCTGGACGTTGTCGGAGTTGAATGTGGGTTGACCTTGGACACGATTCGGCTGCTCACGTCACGGCATTGGTAGGCCGCTCGTTGATAGCGTTTCGGTTGCTCCGCTTGCAGACGTCCGTCCGTCGATGTTCTTTGGGATGGCGCCTCGTGCTCTGATTGGTCCCATTTGAAAGCTGTCATCTGAATCCGCATCATCAATGCGGGGTGAGTCGATGGCGAGCGATTGATAACCCGGCTCAAGATCCTCCGTGCATGTCTATTCTCCGCTCACCCGCCCAGCCGCAGGTTGAGACGCTCTCCTCCACCATGCCACGCAGACGATCGTCTCGTTATTCTAGCGTCCCACCCGGAATACGAACCTAGCTCAAGCGAGACGACGCTAATGCACCACACTTCTTCGCCCGATACAATGCTGAGTTCTCGGAAGCTGGCCGACCGAACGTGTTGAGCTATCGTGCTCGCTTGGGCGAAGTGCTGACCAGAACACGCGAGCGTAGGGTTCAAAGGGGCAAACTCGTGGGAAAGGAGGAAAACCCGTACTCGCCGAGGCCAAGCGTGTGAAGCCACCTCGGCTCTGCCGTCCCCATCGGACTTGACCGTCGGCATTTCCTTCCCGCTTACACTCATCATGATGGATGCTGAGCAGCTGCAATGTTGTGCCGTCCGCAGATCTTCGCGCTGTGGGCGAATCTGGCAGATTGGAGAGTTCGAGTTTGACTTTGGCTTGAGACACACTCGAGGTCGCGGATCATATGCCGTGATTTCTTCTCAGTGTTGGTTCAAGGGTCTCGCCAACGCGATTCACTCGCCGTGCGAATGTTTCATATCCCAATCTCAAGAGCCTACATGCTCACATAAGGTCAACTCTGTCGTCAGCGCAGATGATGCAGGCTTTGCATGAAGCTGTCAAGGCAAGTGCTCATGCCGAAGGCCTGACGGCCAAAGCGCCGGCTGACCCTGACTCGCCGGACAGCCTTGGTGCTAATCTTGTCGAAATAAGCACAAGCGTGCCACTGTGAGCTTGTAATCTGGCTCGACGGTGCCACGCAAGCATGACCCAATCAGGGGCCGACACTATGATAAGCTTGGTCATGTGCAAGAGCTAAAACGAATATCGCCACCGCCCCTGCTGACCTGCTGGTGTGGTTCTGCCGAGCCTCGAGAGCGAGCCACAAAAAGCGCGCTAAAGCATGCAGAGTGGCAACGCAAGCGAGGTTGTTCTCACCAGCGCGCACCGGACAACCCGAAGGACAGCAACGATTCGCCAAACGCTTGCAGTAGCTCGATTGGAGCGCAGATCGGTTGCCCACGCTGGATCTCACTGCTCACAATCACCATCTTGCGTGTCTCTCAGTACTCCTTCGACGATTCTGCCACGGCTGACGCTTTTTTTGGCGCTGCCAGTCAGGAGACGCATATGCCTAGCAGTGCGAGAACGATGCTGGATCAGACAAGCGTACTCAGTAAAGCACGCATCGCTTGCAGTAGACCGATCGTTGGCCCACAGAGGCCAGCGATAGCGAATTTGAAGATGGTTCGAAGCCGTGTTCCGACGTTGTCCATCGCTTAGAACCGAGTTGGAAACCTCTCAGATAGGCGAGCTGGACCGTGGGCAGCCCGCGGTCCGCTTCACCGGCGGTCAACAGCTTCTGCCTCTCTGCCGATGAGAAGCCTTCGCTTGTCACCCGCATGCTTCCGACGGGCCTCGCTGCCACCTCTTCACTGTCACCGCGGCTGCACCGAGATCTCTCGAGATGCAACATGGCTTTGAGCCAGAAGCGAGCGAGCACCCAAGTATCGGCGTGCACCCTTCCGTCTCGCTAGTCGTCATCCCAAGCGACGCACTAGAAGATCTTCATTGCATCTCAATGACCGAATTCCGCGGATGCTGCTGACTCTTTGGCATTCGCATTGATCGCTGTGTCTCAGATGTAGTCCGTCATGCACGCTATCTGCCACGTTCAGCAATCAACAGGTTGCATTGCCGGACGCTTGCCATTCGAGGATACGAGCATGCAGTGGAGAACAGCACATTAGAGGTTGGACTTGACCGCGGCGATGCACTCGATCTCGACGCCGACGTCCTTGGGCAGGCGGGCCACCTCGACGGCCGAGCGAGCCGGCTTGTACGGAGCGAAGCGCTTCTCGTAGATGGCGTTGATCTTTTCAAAGTTGTTCATGTCCTTCATGAAGATGGTGCACTTGAGGATGTGCGATGGCTCCGAGCCGGCCGCCTTGACCACGGCGAAGAGGTTGTTCATCGCCTGCTCGGTCTGCTCCTCAATGCCGCCCTCGACGAGCTTCATCTCGGGGGTGAAGGGGATGCAACCTGAGACATAGGCGACGCCGTTGTGCACCACCGCCTGCGAGTAAGGTGCCACGGCGCCGGGCGCCTCGGTGGTGTGAATGACCTTGTAGGGAGTCGACATGGCGTGTACTGCGGAGGTCGAGAGGGGACGGGCGGTCGTGGCGAACCTCGAGGTCAGTGTCTGCGCAGCGTATGGCGCTCGTGCTACTGAGATGCCGCGTCGTAGGAGAGCAACGGGTGCACAGGACATGGCCGAGCTGATGCTGAGTACCCCTGGCAGGAAAAATGCTGCCGGTTGGCTAGGACTCACAGATGAGCGATGAAGGAGATCAAGTGACGTGATAGTATGGACAATAGCGATGAAGCAAAAAACAAATCGCAGCTTTGACCAGGAAGAACCGGCGCACGGATCAAGCGCTGAATTTAGAGCTCACATTTCTTCTTGAGCACTCCGCTCTCCGCAAATGATATTCCTTCATCCGCAGCCCTTCCAACTCCGCCATGCATTCTTCCGCTAGCTCGACATGCAACAAGCGGACATTCTGGGTCGATGCCAGGCCGCACCGAGATGAGACGAGTGTCACTAACGGATATCCCGCCGCTTGAACGAACGATCCTCGATAAGAACGCGGGGCATACGGCGCTGAGCAGCGAATCAGGTCTCGTGACGATATCTGCGTTCATGACCAACCCTGAAGCCATGTTTCGGAAGCTGGTCAAGCGGACAGCATGGCAATAGCCGAGCAACGCAACGAACCATTAGGCGTTGACGGCTGAGTCGGGTTTGAAGGCGCTACAGAAGAACGAGGCTGGCAATACAACGAATGCAATACGGATCGACACAACCGGCGGTACCGCGGGATGTGGAAGGGAGCTAATGGAGCGGAGTATCAATCCGTCTCCATGTTGATCAACGCTAGCTGGTTCGGAATGCGTATCTAGCTGTGGCGTGCTTATCGCTTGACGACGCGCGGAAGCTGGTGTTCCGCAACTGTATCTTCGCCTCCAGATGCGCACTAAAGCTGGGGTGCATGCCTCACGTCATCTCTGCTTTGGCTTTGCCGACGTTCCGGTTTGGACGCTCGACTCCGTTGCTGTCTTATCAAGCTGATGGAAGCGTCGTTATTCTAAGCGAAGGAGACTTCTACTTGATATCGAGAGGACGAAAACGTCGGAAGTCGGAAGCTCGTTATCAGCCGCCGCTATTACTGTACAACGCTCGCAAAGACGCTGCAAACCCCAGAGCCGCAGCTTTGCTGAGTACGTCATGGAATCATTGCTGTCCAAGGGATATCGTACAAAGGTCTAGGCCGCCGTCGGCGTCGCAGTACGAATCGATCGGGCGTCGAAGGCGTCGATCTCCCAGCCTTGCTCCGGCGTGCAAGAGCGAAGAAATAGTAGCCAGGGTCCACAGGAACAAGCTCGCGTGTTGGTGTTTGTCTGGACCCTTGAACGGGACGCGTTCCTGCACCACCGTCCCCACCTCCTGTGCCTTGGTCCCACCTCACATCATCCTCTCGGCGCTGTTCGCACTATGTCACTGTCGAACATCGCCGTCGAGGTGCCTCGCCCGGTCAAGCGTCAACGTCGGTCCAGTAGCCGTCTCGACAGCCGCGCCTCCACATCCACATCGGGCAGCAGAGACACGCCGGCAACCTCGCGCTCGCCCACCCCCACCACCCCCTCGCGTCTGGATCGCTTCCTCACATGGTGTGAATCGCAGGATATCCACATCGAGCCCTGCCTGGATCTTCGCTTCACCGGCGATGCGCTGAGCTGGAGCATCGCCGTTCACGCGCGGACCGCCATCGACAACGATACCGTGGTAGCAACAATTCCCAAGACCGCCGTTCTCTCCCGCAAGACCTCGGCCCTTTCGTCGGTGCTCAAAGGCAAATGGCTGAGCGAGTCGCACGAGACGGTAGGGTTGGAGCTGGCGCTCTGTCTGCTGTACGAGCGGTGTCTTGGCACCAAGTCGCAATTCGAGCCGTTCATCGGGATCCTTCCGCGGCTGTCGGTGCCTCTGCCTTTTCTGCGTGACGAGTCACCGGACTCACCTTGGAGGTGGCTAGCCGGCACCGAGGCAGACCGTATCGATCGCCGAGCTGCTCTCTCCTACCACCGCTCATTCTCCTCCCATTGGCCGTACGATCACGACTACGGCATGTGTAAGCAGAAAACGCTCGACTACTTCCACAATGTCGGCATCCCAGTGCTCGCACGGAGCAAGCTCTTCGACCGCACCCAAAAGCAGCACCTTGACGGCCTGGAGGGCGCGTTCTTGACAGCATACACGCACGTCAGCTCGAGAGACTTCATCGTGGATACCTATCACGGGGTTGGGCTGGTGCCCGTGGCGGATCTGTGGAATCATGCCGAAGTGCATACGGTGCAGTTTGAGTCGGATCAGGACGTGTGCGAGGTGTGCGGCGTGGCGCTGCTGACGGGGCATGATGAAGAGGCATGTCGGCTTGGCATGCCCGCTGACGCCGACGAGACGGAAGAGCGCGAGGAAGAAGGTGACGAGACGGATGGAAACGAGGCGGAGCTTGCTGGAGATGAACTCGAGGAAACAAGTTCTCGCAAAGACTCGGACGTCGAGCCATCAACGGATCCCGCCGAAGGGGTCGACGGCGACGACATCGAACACAACGACACGCTCGACATGCGCACATTAACGTCTCACGCTCCAGGCGACGAGATGTACAACACCTACGGTGCGCTCACCAACGCCCTCATGCTGACACGCTACGGCTTTTGTCTGGACACCGAGACGGATGTAGAGCGATTCACGCTCGATCTCAGCTTCGCTGATGAGCGGAAGGCTTTCTTGGAAGCGTTCATCAATTCTCCGTCTGCATTCAAGAAAGTCGGTGCGGTGTCAGCAGCACTGAAGAGGGTCCTTGCTTTCGTCGCCGCGAAATATCCGAAAGAGGACGAGGCGGAAGAGGAGGAAGAGGAGAACCAGGAGGATATCGATCCCGAAGCTCGACAAGAGAGCGTGGCAATCGACGCACTGTATCGCCTGGACGAGCTGATACCCTCCCCACCCCCCGACTGGCTCGCAACCGCCTTCTGCCCGCTCTTTCGCCACAATCCAGCGCTCAACGAGGAGCTGGACGAAGACCTGGTGGACCGGGACCACGTCCATCCGCTGTTCGCCTCGTCCACCGGTCAAATCAGTCGCCCGCTCTTGCTGCTCACTCTTCTCATCCACAGCGCTCATGCGTCCGCGGAGGGGAAGGTGTCCCCGAAACCGACGGACTGGAAGCTGCGATCGAAGCTGATGCAGCAGGCGCTCCAAACGCTGCATGCGTTTTGGACCGCTCGTCTGGCCCGACTTGACATTACGCAGAGGGTGGAGGATGCCCTGCAGCGATTGAGCGAACCGGCGGTGGAGTACATCGAAAAGGCGTGCATCCAGCATGCCTATCAGGAGCACGTCGCTGTCAAGGGGGCAGTCGCCCTTCTGGAAGATCTCATCTCATGACGTGGCTCAGTCGCAAATGCAATTGCACACACTCGACCATACGCGTCATGTCGTCTCGTCTGAGAACGGCAATTGATTGCTGAGATGTGCAGGACATCAAGCCCCTCTGTGAGCCCAGGTATCGAGCCTAGAACGTCTGCCACCCGCCCTGATCCATGCTACTCTCGGTCTTCCTAGCGACCAGACTTGCGACGCCGTGCGTCCAGATCTGCTTCCTCAACTCGTCGTACCGCTGCTGATGCAGCTTCTGCGGTCGACCCTTCCTCAGGCCCACATCGATCTCACCGTGACTGTCGAGGTACGGCGAGAGGAAATGGAACGTGCCGTTGCCCTGATACAGCAGGAGGACGAGGTTGGATTTGATCTTAAAGTAGGCGCCGATGGCACCGCCGCACGCGTCCATGTGCTGGTTGCACTCACCGCGCTCGCCGTCATCCTCGCTCTGGCAGCAGAAGGATTGCAGGCACACGACGTCGCCGCAGAGCAGGCAGAGCGCCGGTTCGGGCGGCACGTTGCCGCACTTCTTGCACGGCCGACGGCGCGTGTCTTGAAGCAGCGTCGCCAGGTCCGCGGGGAGCTTGGCGAGTTCGTAGATGTGCGGGTGCTCCAGCAGCAGAGTCGGGTGCGATTCGGCCGCCTGCAGGTACGACGAGGTGAGCGAGTGCTGGCCTCGACCAAGCGTACCACTAGCCAGGGCCGCGCTCGAGGACGCACTGCCAGCAGCTGCCGACGAAGGTCGATCGTGCAGAGTCGAGCTGATGACCGAGTTGCCGAGCGGGGTCGGCTGGATGGGCAAGGGACGGAACAAGGAGGCTAGCGGCGCATAGGCATGCTTGATCCAGCCTTCTACCAAGCTCGCCATGGGTGTCTGCTTCTCTGCGCGGATAGGCAGCGCAACCGACGGCAGCGGGATCTTCAGTTGCGCGAGAAGGCGGCGGTACTCGCCGGGCGATCCGTCTCCCATCTCCATCGCATCCGACCCCGCAGCCGTCGATAGACCCAGCACTCGGCGCAGGATCGCAGCACGACGCAGGAAGGGCAGCGTGTAGCTGCAGATCATCTTGGCAAGCGTGTCATCGTCCAAATTGTCAAAGCCGAGCGTGATGTTGCCTCGGGCGTAGCCGACAAAGCCAATGATGTTGGCAACGGTCCATCGCACGTCAGGGAAGATCAGACGTGCTTCTTCGATGTCCTCCTTGCTGACTTGGCCTGCCTTCAGACCAGCACCCGGTCGAGGCGTCGACGAGGATCCAAAGTGGTTGCCCATGTGCCCATACACCTGCGGCCAGATCGAGGGCTGCGCCAGACCAAAGACCGTCTGCACGAGGCAGATGTAGTACATGAGGGCCGTGCACTGCGTCAGAGCATCAGGCGCAACGATGGCAGCTTCGATCAGGATGGTCATGGGATCGCGGAGCAGCAGCGGAGAGCGAACAGCATCGTCGCCGCCCCAGTGAGGCAGCAGCCGCTTCAGCAATCCGCGACGGATGATGTCGGGACCTCTGGATCCCTCGTGGAAGGTCAAAGTCGACAGTCGAAGGCAGTGGATCAACGACCGCAACAGGTTGATCGTCGACTCGTTGAGCGCGTCCGCGACGGATCTCTGCTCCACCGGAACATTGCAGTCGGTGGAGGGAGATGGCGTCATTCCGCGTTGAGCGGCTTCGATCATCGCAATCGTGTACGCGACCAGCTCTTCTGGAATGTACATCTTGCGCCCCTGCGGCGCCAGGATGGTGTGCTGCTGAAGCTTCTCCCTGGCCGGTTTGGCGGCGTGCGACATGGGCTTGAGCACATTCATGAATCGGTCGATCATCTGCGCTGTCGACACATCAATGTTGGCCGTCTCAAGACGCGCTAGGAGCGAGCTCTGCAGGTAGTCGACAAAGAAGGGCATGAAAGCGCCGCTGCCGTGGTCGGTCTCCTGGTAATCGGCAACGTTGGTCTTGGACGAATGCTTGAGGATATCGATGTTGATCTTGCGGATCCAATCTTGCAGCGGCGTCTCGTCCGACGCCACCGAGTCGAAGGGCGCAAAGGCACCACCTGCCAAGTCGGCGGCAACATCCGCCACGGGCAAAATCACATTGCCGAGACTCTTGCAGAGAGGGCAGATAAACTCGGAGCGATGCAAGTCTTCGGGATGGTTGCGAGCGATCTGTTGCGTGTGACGCTGCTCGACGCTTCGGCAGTACGTCTCAAAGCAGTGCAGATGCATGTGGTGACCGCACGTCGAGGCATAGAAGCCGAAGCGGTGGTCTTCTTGCGGGAAGCTGCCGTAGGCGGGACCCGGCCTTGCTTTCGAGCTCTGAGGCAGACCCGCTCGGCCCATCGGAGCTATGCCCTGAATGCGCTTGCCCTCGCTGCTGCTGCGGTCCATCGTAAGCGGCGCCTCCAGAGCCTGTTGCAAGCTGGGCGCATCCTGCTTTGGCGTCATGCGCATCATCCTGCTGGGCTGGATGTGAGCCAGGCTGCCGAATGCCTTGTCGGCGCCCAGATTCTCCTGACACAGGATGCAGCTACCCCAGCTCTTCTTGGGCGCTTTGGCTTCGGCACCGACGGCCGAAATGGCAGCATCGACTTCGCCCTCGTCGTCGTCCTCGTCCTCATCGTCGTCCGCACCGAGCTGATCCAACAGGCTCTTTTGCTGCGCGGAGAATTTTTGCATGATGGCGGCCTGACGTGCTTTGGCCGCGGCGCGTCGAGCTTCTTCGGCGCTCTTGTGCTTGGAAGCGCCGCTTGCTGATGTCCCATCTGCAGGGACGGCTCCACGACCTGTAGCCGCGAAATGCGCCTGGACGAGGCGGCGTGCCTCTTCAGAGTGCGAGGCGAGCTTCTCCAGACACCACGTGATCTTGCTCTTGAACGGCTTGAACTTGTCCATGAGCTCGACCATGCACAACGTCTCGACTAGCGTTGCCGCGGAAGATGGATTGCTTGGCGTCGCTTCAACTTCCTCGTCGGGGCTCTCGAGTTTGGTTACTTGGAGGGTAGCTGCTTTGAAAGCAAAGACATCCGCGGCGTCGACCAAGCCAATCATGATGATCTGCAAAGCGGCGTCCACGAGCATGTCGGGTGCGTACGCGAAGAGGACTCGCGTGTTGTCCAAAGCCTTGAAAAGAAGCGACACGAGCACGTCGTTGGAGAGCACGTCGAGCAAGCGACCAAAGAGCGTGCCACGCAGCTGGTGCAAGGACGAAGTCGGGACCAAGGGTGGCAAGTCCTCGTCCTTGATCGCCGTGACAGCACGCCCGCTGCTTGCAGCCAGAGCTTTCTTCTGACGGAGACGAACCACCTCTTCCGCTTTCTCGCGCTGATTGCGCGTGTAGTGGAAGAAGAAGGGCTGAATCTCAGTATAGCATTCGTCCTTGAGCTCAAAGATGCCAAAGTCGTGCGTGCCATCCGGGGCCCGGAAGGTGGACACCTGCGACAGGATGCGCTCAAAGGCGGCGTGATCGGTGAACTTTTCGGGGATGTTCTTGGTCACGTCGGTAAAGGTACCTTGACCCAGCGCGAGGAAGTGGATGATCTCGCGTCGGATCTGCGCCTCGATCGGCCAAGCACACATCGATGACAGCTCCGAAAGGCACGTCGTGATGAGGAAGAGGAACTCCTCTGCAAGGAACACCCCTTGCACGGCATCGTAGGGCTTGTCGTCCGTTGAGTCCGTCTGGTTGAACCACGGCAGAAGGCGGAAGCGATCCAGCAGGGTGAGCAGGAAGCGATCCGTGTCGAGCAGAGTGAAGCCGGCCTGGAGGAGCAGCAGGTCTTGGTCGTACATGATGCCACGCATCGAATTATCGCGGTAGTGATGCGCTTGAGATCGGATCACAAAGCCGTTGCGCACCCACATGTTGCAGCGAATCTGCGCGAGCTTGACGCAGACGCGCAGTGGATAGTCGAGGGCAACGAGCAGGCTCTTTTCGTCGATACTGGACTGCAGCAGCTCGTCGAGACGCTCGCGGCCGCCGGACCATCGTTGCAAGGCCTCGTGTCCGACGACGGGAATCTGCCGGATCAGCTCAGCTAGAAGCCAATGCATGGGATGGTGAAAGCTGACGGGCTGCGAGTCGACCGCAAAGGAAATCACCGGCAGCGACCTGGTGCCTACCTCGGTTCCCACGATATAGCGAGCGTCGTGGAAGGTGGTGACCGGGAACGAGTCCGGATCCACGCTCGACAGCTTCTCGCTGCTCCAGTTGATGGCTTGAACCGTGCCGACGATGGCCTCGACGAGCTGTGCTGGCGCAGCATGAGCGAACGCCTCTCCGAACATCTTGGCCGCCTTGCCGAGGTGCGAGCTGATATGGAAGACGGGGATCCACATCTCGCTCTCGAACTCGACGTGCGCCGAGACAGCACGCTTGGACGGATGAATCGCCTGGAAGAGGGAAAGGCACTTGAGGAAATAGTCCGTGTGACCGTGTCCTCCCTTTGCGATGAGCTTCTGCACGCCCTCGGACGCCAGAAGGTAGCGAATGTCGTAGAAGATGTGGTAGCTGCGAGATTGGCGGAGGAACATGAGATGAACGTTGGCCTGACTCTGCGGGGGCGTCGGAGGTGGCAGAACGAGATCGATCTTCTCGTTGACAAGCGAGCCTGCGAAGATAGACTGGAGCAGCAACAGCAGCTTGGACAAGAAATTGACCTTCTCGACAAGCATCGTCGCAATCGAGGGCACGCTGAAGAGCTGGACGGTCAAGAAGCAGATGGAATACTCCTGCTCGCGGTCCCTGAGCATGAACGTCTCGACGAGCTTGGGATAGATCCTGGCAAAGCGCAGCGAGATCTCCTTCTTGATCTCTCTGCGTGCGATGAGCGACATGAGGAGTGCCTTAATGTCGATCCTTGCTGACTTCCACAGCTTGCAGTCCATCAGAAGCAAACCCTCGTAGTTGGTGAGGTGACGAGGATCGAAAAAGTCGGGGCTCATCGAGCCTGTCTCGATGGGCTTGAGGGGCTGATACGGAGCAAACAGGCTGCGCGCCACAATGTGCTTGAAAGCGGCGGCGTCCGGCTTGAGAGGCTGTCCGAGCCACGAACTCAGCGGTATAGACGACAGCGTGGATGCGGTGTCCTGCGAGGAGGACGACGAGGGCAGATAGAGGTTGCAGTTGGACAGATCCATAAGGAAGTCGAGGACAACCTGGCTGACCTCCTCTGCAAAGACGTCAAACGCGGGGCGGATCGTCACGGCGAGGTCGATGGAATGCAGGACGCGCGCAATCTGGTAGAGGCGACGCAGATCGGATCCCACCTCGATGATGTCTCTGCCGTGCTTGTCGACACGCTCCGCTACTCCCTTTGCATCGTGCTCGGAGCTTCCCGTGGCGTCAGTGACAATGTCGATGACCTGGCTGAAGCTGTGCTTCTCGTCGTTCCACAACAGGACAGCAAATTGTCGCTTGGCGTCGGCAGCGTCGAGGTTGGCTCCTGCCTTGCCTCCGTCTAAGCTGGACTTTGCGGGTGAAATAGATGCATAAAGCGAAGCATTGCTGGGTCGTCGCTCCAAGGTCCTGTGGAGCCAGCCACGGGTTTGTTCGGCATCAAGGTATTTGCTCTCTGAGCTCGAGCGACTGCCGGTGCGGGCACGCGAGCCCCAGGCGGTGCGGTCTGCGTCAAAGTCATCGTCGCCTCCCTCCTCGTCGATGCTGTCTCCGACCAGGTTCTCGACTTCGACGGCGCTCATCTCCTCGTCACTGTCGCTGTCGCGCGGACCTGAAGTGCTGCTTTTGCGCTTGGACGGGGTACGGCTGTTATGCGATACGAGCCCGTCCTCGAGACTGGGCAGAAGCGATATGATGTCTGGGGTATGCAAGGACGAGACCACTTCGGAATCGGGGGCATGATCGAAGACGGTGACGATGAGCGTGACCAGCTCTGCGACCATGTCGAGCAGCGGATCACGCAGCTGACCGGGTAGCGCCGCCAATTCCTGGTCGATCTCTTGCAGGCCATCGATGTCTTCTGAGCCGCCTGGAGGTCGGTCGTGCTGATCTGCGGAGGATACGGCCTGCGATCGCCCTTGCGACTCGCCTTCGAGGTCCATCGCGTTGGTGGCTGCCGCAGACGATTCCGAGTGATATCGACAACAGACGTCCTGCTTCCACGCTTCCGGATCACCGCAGTCGCAGCATCCTCCGCTGGAAGACGAAACGCTAAAGACGACATCGTGCCCTTCCGTGGCGTGAATCGACGCTTGGAAGCAGGGAGCACATTGGACACATGTATCGTCCAGCCCGCAGTCTCTACAGCGGTAGATGGCCTCACCTTTCTGAAACAGATGGCCGCATGGCATGCCTCGACGAGCTTCAGAGTACTCTGGACCTAGAAGATCGGGATCCTCGGCATCGTCATAGGCGCTCGAGCTGGACCATGGCGATTGTGCTCGCTGTGCTTGCTTGCCCTTCTTGCGAGCCAGAGCGATCTCGCGCGTCTCTTCGATCTGAGCACGGGACAGGTTCCAGCCGTACGTTGAGAGGAGGGCAAGGGCTTCTGAGACGCTGGTGCCAGGATCGCAGGGAACAAGAACGGCTGGAGTTGGTACGCTCTCGAGGAGATGACGGAAGAGGTTCTTGTGCAGGGTGGATCTGATCTCTGGTGTGACGAGATATGAGGATGGTGCTGACTGATCTGGCAGCGGAACTAGACGTGACAGAAGATCGCAGACGCCGATCTTGGCCGACCTGACACTTCGCGAGTTAGGATCTCGCCTCATCGTGTCGCTCTTTCGCCGTCACTAGCTGCTAAGTGAAGATCCTTGGTTGTATAGGTTGGTGAGCTTCACGCTGGAGGTCGGCTTGTCGGAGCTGGCGTCGATATGAGCCCAGACGTGGTCACTGAAGCTGCCAAGATGGGTCCAGTCGTAGGCTTGTTGAAGGGAGGCAACTGTGCAGATGTAGAGGTCGGGAGCGTTTCGTTCTTCGAAAGGACTGAGCAGGCGTGGCTGAGCTGGGCCTGAGCTTGGACGAATTCCTTGCCCTCGACTGCGATCCTATCTTGTCCGAAGAGAGACGGTGTTACAGCAGCAGGTCGGAAGGTAATGATGGGGTGAAGATGGAATGAAAGGTGGAGAAGAGGAAAGAAGCTGAGCCAAAAGAGAGTGCCGCTCTCTGGCGCTTTCAATTTTGATTGCCGCTCGAGCCTCCTCCAAAGTCGGTGGCTCGCAAACCCTTTTTTGACCGAAAATCACGGAAGCAGCCTGCATGCTGTCTGCAGCACCCGACTCTCGGCACCAGGCGGTCAAGGCCGAGCCATTCAACACAGAGACAGGCAGAAAGCATTCCGCTCGAAGCATCACCATGCGTCATTCTCGAGAAGCGTCATCATCAGCAGCCACTTTACCGATCGCTCACTTTCTCTATCTTTCGAAATCCAGCCTGCGACAGGCAAGGCAGGAGAAAGGAGACAGGAATGCTGTATTGAAGTGAAATGGCGACGATGATTTGAGGCCGGGTATAGAATGCAATGAGGATAGAGCGCGGTATCTAGTGTATGCTGTGGAAATCTAAGGCAGAATGATGCGAAGCCCGCCGTAGTCGCAAAGGGGATGCTCCGATCCAATTAGCGCGCCACGTCCGCTCGGGCACGAGATGAAGGAGCGAGAGAGCGGAATGCCAAGACGCTCCGTGATGGCTTGGACCACCGTGGGCGTGAAAGGCGCTTCGACAAAGACAAGGTCGACAGTGACGGTGGGGAAGATCTCGTCGACCAGCTGAAAGGTCTCGTCGAGCTGTTCTGGGATCTCGTCGATCGACTTGTAGCAGTGTACCAACTTGCACTTCGAAGTAGGCTCGTTCTGCTGAATGTAGTAGAGCGCGTTGGCGAGCACGGCAATGTCATCCGACTTGGCAAAGTAGATGACGGGATGATTGCGCTCCCTTCGTATCCACCCGATGAGCTGCTTCTCGAGCTTCAGCGGGAGTCGACCGAAGACAGACGAGCGCTGCTGTTCAACGAGCCAAACCAGGATGCGGGCCAGATCGACTCGTCGAGCAAGGGCAATGAGCACCGCTGCCAACGCGACAAAGTAAACGAGCGTCTGCACGATAATGACGGGCGAAAGCGCAAAGTTGCCAGCCATGGCCGTGATGCCGATGCCAATGCCGAGCAACACTGTCGTGAGGTTGGCGATGGGGTTCCGAGGCAGCGATGGCCTCGCGTACTTGAGCAGGACGAGCGAGATGCCAAAGAGCGTCATGACGCACAAGAAAGAGACGCTGAACACGGAGGAGAGCGTGGTCAAGTTGAAGCCGCACGTCGCACTCATGACCAGAGTCAGCGCAAGGAAGAGGGCGATGGAAGGGTACGTGGCCCCCGTCCTGGGCAGCCTGCGTTGGAGGACGCGCGGCACCACCCTATCGTCACAGAGAGAGTCGACGAGGCCGCAAAAGGCAACAATGCCCGTGATGATGCCACCGCAGAGCACCAAGCAGGCGTCCACCACGACAAAGAACTTGAGCCAAGCGCCTCTCCCGGCCACTTGACCAAGCAAAGCGAGCACATTGGCGCCACTGAGGATGCCCTCCATGGGGATGAGCGCAAGAACAAGCAACATCAGCGGCGCTTCGGTGAGCAACACGATGATGTGCAGATTTCGAAGTGCCTTGGGGAACTCGCCTGGCTTGACCTGATTGATGTACGAGGGGCTGCATTCGAAGCCCGTCAAGCCGACAAACGCGACGCAGACACCGTCAAAGAGGGCTCGCGCGATACCTCTACCTGTCGCCGGCGAACGAATGGTGGCCATGCCCACAGCCCAATTGTTGTGCAAGACTGAATTGCCCGACCGGACCCATGCGACAATCCCGGCGACGATGAGCATGATCATGGTGACCACGTGGAGCACAAACATGCCGAGGGCGACGCTGCTCGAATCGCGAAGACCGAGCAAGCACAGAGCTGCCAAGCCGACCAGGAGCAGGACCGAGATGAGTCGTCCGTCGATGTGGGTGTGACTGGTCAATGTCTCTCCTGCGATGTAGGCACTCGCTGTGCCAGCGCTGACAGCACCCGTGGCAATTGCATCGAGAAGTGTGATGGCTGCGGCTAGCACCGCTATCAGCTTGGTCGAGATGTTGGCGAGGTACGAGTAGTTCCCAGCATTGCTCGCCGAAAGAGCAGAGGCCAGCTCGCAGATGACGGGGCGGAAAGGATAGAGCAACAGACAGGCAATGAGAATGGAGATGGGCGATAGCACCGACGAGACTGCCACGACCGCCGGAAGAGCGTAGAAGACGGAACCGGTGACGGCGTTACCCGCGATGGCAGACGCTTTCCACTGACCGAGCTGGAGACGCTGTGGCGCACCCGAGGCCATCGTATCGGATCGAAATGCTGACGGAGGAAGCTCGAGAAGCGAAATGGATCCCCAGCCGGCGAACTCCCAGGCTCGATGAATCGCCATGAGCGGATCCTGGCGCTCTGAGGGCAACGTGGTGATGGGAACATCCGCATCATGATTGAGGGTAGCCTTGAGCTCACCGCGACGAAGTGCATTTTTCCATCCCGAATCGGTTGAGGAAGGGTCATCGGCGTTGGGAGCGTTGTCGTCCTGATACAGATGGGACGGCATCAGGTCTAACGGCGTCGACGCTTCGAGATCCAAGACCGACTTGATCCCGGCTGGCTGCAGATTGGTGGTCGGCGAGACAACGCGTCGTTTCCTCTGTCGACGAATGATGGTGGCGAATTGAGACTCGGCGAAGGATGGAGGCCGAAGATGAGCTGCACTGTCGACACTTGGCACTATAGCAGCTTCGTCATCTGCCTTTGAGCCGCCGGTGAATGCTGCCTTGCCCTTACCATTACGTTGACGGATGGGCGAAGAGTTGGTGGGAGTGGGCGCGGCTGACGTGCGCTTGCGGGGCAAGGTATTGGAAACGAAGCTGTTACTCCCTGCATCATGTTGGAGCGACCTTCGCGGAGGACTAGTGCCGGCGAAAGGGTATTGTGCGTCGACCGTCGGACGCTGATCATCCGGGGCCCTATGCTGGTACGCGCTGTCAGCGGAGAGAGGGTCGTCGAGCTGCCGAACGCGCGACGAAGACGACGAAGATGCGGCGGACTCGTTGCATCCCGGAGCTGTCATCCTGTTGGCCGTTGCCTCTGAGCCACTGTCGACGATGACTGGGGTGATGGAGATAACTTAGAGAGAGTGTGTGAAGGAGAAGGAAAGGTCGTTCAAGCCAAATTGCCGCAATGACAAGAAGGGTCCAAGTGGAGCTTTTTCTGAAATTAGAGGTGTTAGAGTGAAATGAAACTCATTTTCCCATGCATTTTTGACGTAAAAGCGCAGCTCCGACGCAGACCGCGCCGGTGTGATCCTGGAGAAAGAGAGAGCGAAACCGAATACTCGGTTCGACTGTCGAAGCAACCAACGACGTAGGCTTGGCTTGTTCTGAGGTAGAGCGGTGCTTGCTGTTTGCTCTCACGTGCCTGATCGGTAGGTATCAAGGATGAAGGCGGCGCGATGCGTACTGATTGAGTGACGCTTCCTGGTTGTAGTCCCACTTGCCGAAAATGAAGGCTCAAACTGAGCTTTCGGCTTTGCTCGCTCGAGGTGCGTGTGAGCGTGTGGGTGTGTGGGGAATTTCTCGAATCTCGGCCAGCTGAGCCCTTGTGCGCTTCTTGCCTCCATCTCATCACTCCCCGTCCATGGGCCAACTCCCTTCAGCCAAAGTCAGTCGTCCACATCCTCGCCCCTGCTCGCCCTCTGGCCGCGGACTACGCTTGCACATCTCAGCCACTGGAAATATCCTCGATCACCTCCAACATCACCACATCATCACGCAAGTGGACCGCCTTGAAGCCACCATTCCCTTTCACTGCGGCCTTTTCTTAACCCCGCACCTCGCTCACACCGACCTTTCGTGAACCCACCATTGGCGTGGGTTCGTCCACTTCACTTGGGCTTGCCTTCTTGATCACACTTGCCGATCACTCTTCCGCTGGACCAGCTGCCGCTCCCTGACATGGCTCCGGTCTCAACGACCATGCCAGACGACAGCGAAGATCTCATTACGGCCACGCACGACGATGGCCAACCAGCCAAGCGCAAGCGTCTCCGCATCCCAAAATCGTGCCTTCCATGCTTGAAAGGCAAGCGCGCTTGCGATCGTGGTCGACCTGCATGCGGGAGATGTGCTCGCTCGGGCCAAACCAGCGACTGCAGCTACGACCCGCGCCTACCTCACCAGCCAACTTCTGGCACAGCGAGGCGAGCATCAGCATACGAAGACTCGGACGATGACGACGACAGCCCCGGTCAGCCATCAAAAGAGCTGGCTGCGTTACAAAGAGAGCTTGAACAGGCACGCAGCGAGACTCGCCGACTTCAGCACCTCCTCCGCACTCAGGCACATGTATCAACATCAGCCTCCTTATCGCGCAAACTCCCGCCACCCCAGCAACAGTCCTCCACCTCCTCGTGGCCTCATGCTTCCACATCAGCCGATCGCTATCGCTCACAATCCAACTCGAGCGACATGCATGCTGCACGCGGTCTTCAGATGCTAGCCGAGATCGCAGGACCCCAACATCAGGACGCCGACTCCAACGCTGTCAAGTCTCGCATCCTTCATTGGGAAGGCCCTGGATCGCATGCTTCCGCCGCCTCTTCCTCTACGGCTTCGCCATCAGATAAGCATGCGACATCATCCTACAGCTCGCATCCTGCAGACCCCTCCCGCAGCAGCACCTCGTCTCCAGCCGAACGATTCGCCAATTCCACGGCCTCCTCTTCCTTCTACAGCAAGCAGTCCCAGCTTCGGGAACACAACGCGGACGGCCTCAACTCGCCCAAGAATATCAACGGCACACAGATGTACTACGGCGACAGCGATAAGGTTCTTCGAAAAGTGGCTGTCAACACTGCAGGCTCCTCGCATACCAATGGCGGCAATCTCAGTTCGAGCATCAACGAGACCATGGCGCGCCGCGACGTACAGACCGCGTTCAACAGTGTCCTCGATCCGTCGCGCGACACTTTCCCCTTTGCCACTATCTGGAGCTCCGGCACTGCATTCATCGACGAGATTCTCCCCTTCTTCCCTCGACCCGAAGATTTCGACAGCATCTGCGCATCCTTTGTTCGCCACTTTTCCGCCATGTGCCCCGCCCTCACCATGCCCAACGCCATCGATCACGCCAAATCCTTCTCTAGGATGACGCGCAAGCAGCAATCGCAAGTGTCACTGCCGTGGCTCGCCGTCTTCCTCATGATCTGCGCCCTTGGCAAGAACTGCGATCTCGAGAGCACCACCGTCGGTGTCGATCGCAAGGTCAGGATGCTCGATGCCTTCCTGGCCAGCGAAGCATCGCAGCAGCCCAGCCGACACGCCAGCAGAGCATCATCTCCGATCCGGTCAGAGACACCTTCGGGTCCCACTGGTGCCGGTGAGGACGCACAACATTCACTATCGACCAACGCCAGATCGCCAGCGATGGTCTCGGACCTCTTCCTCTCGGCCACCTACCAGTCTCTCCGTCTCTGCTCTTTCCTCTCCTCGCCCACACTGCAGACGATCCACTCGCAGCTCCTCATCGGCGCTTACCTGCTCAACACCGAGCGCGCGGCGTCTTTCTGGCCGCTCCTCGGTTCCGTCGCCCGCCAAGCCCAATCCATCGGTCTTCACGTCGACCCGTCCAAGATCCGGCGCGACTGGGATCCCGTCGAGGCTGACACGCGGCGTCGTCTCTGGTGGGCCGTCGTCCACCAAGACGTCATCCTCTCGAGCATCTTTGGTCGACCTCTCGGCATCACACGCTTCAGCTGTCGTTTCCCGGGCACCAGCGGTGGCGAGTCTCCCGGCTCCATCACGTACGCCACGCTACAGTGCGAGTTCAGCCAATTCGCGCGAATCTGTCTTGACGAGAATCAGGACCGCAGTTGGAGCCAGAGCAGGATCATCGAGTTCACCGAAAAGGTGCTGCAGTGGTACATGAACATCCCGGATCGCTACCGACCGGATTTGGGACCCATTGATCTGCTCGGGTCAGAGACGGAGGCGGAGGCGATCAGGAACTACCACGCTGCTGGCGTGGATATCAAGACCAAGGGCCTGATGGAGGTGCATCAATCGGGCAACCTCGCGATCGAGGTGTTTTACATGCTGCTCTCGCTGCACCGCTCCAACCTCTTCCCTAGCGCGGATGAGACCGGCGCTGACGGCTCGACCAAGGCGAGCGAACTCAACCAAGTCTCGCTGCACATTTGCGCCCAAGCGCTGCGCCGCATTACGCGGGCACAGCAGATCATGATCGACCTGCTGGGACGGTCGCGCGCGACCATGTTTTGGAAGATCGCCTACTACACGTATCAGGCTGCTGTAGCGGGGGCGTACATTGTGTTTGTGCACCCGCAGAGCAAGCACGCCGAGTCGGCGTTGGAGGATCTCGCCATCCTGACCGATTTCTTTGATCGGATGCCGGAGAAGTGGACGGGGCTCAAGATGGCCAAGCACGGACTGAGGGTGTTGCGCAAGCTCGCCGTCGCGGCACGAGAGACACCGGAAGCGGCCACTCTGGCCGTTCGGGGTCCGGGACAGCAACAACCCACCGAGATCACAAGCTCACCCATGGCCAACGGCTTCCCGTTCAGCAGCGGGCCGCAGTCCGACAACCTCTCCGTCCCCGCAGATGGGGGGTTTAGCGACATGCTTGGCGTTAGCACGCCCTCCTCACACCTCCCCGGCGTCACGGGGGACACTTCGCAACTCGCCTTCAACTCGCAATCCGCCTTTCTGCCACCGATCTTCAACTCGTCCTTCATGTCGCCCTCTGCGGGTGGGCAGGGAATGATGAGCAGCACGCCGATGATCAACACGCCCGTCGCGGGTACGGGTGTGCCGGCGTACTCCGAGCCGACAAGTCTCTTTGCGGGAGCACTGGCCGCCTCTGCGGGCTCGCCACTAGCTAGGTCGCTGGCAAGCGTACCGCTCGTCACGCTGTTCAATAACACGTACGATCAGCAGGAGAAGACGCCCAGTGCGCCGCCGAGACAGTCGTTCTGCTACGACCCGTTTATTCCGGATCCGCAGCCGTTTGCGCAAGCGGGTGGGAGCGTCTCGCCGAACAACTCGGATCGGCATACCGGGTCGCTAGGGTCGCCCAACACCGCGTTTTCAGCTCAGCAGGTGCTCGATGGCGCACAGGCGAAGGACAAGGCTAGAGCGCCTCAACCACAGGTGGATGCGAATGGCGCGATGCCCCAGCAGCAAGCCGGGCAGGACTTGAGCCCGCAAATGATGAACCAGAAGGACCTCGCCAACTACTGGTCCGAGTACTTCAGTCTCCAACTCGACTGGGATCGTCTCACTGGCCTTGCATAGCTCACATTCACAAGCTGGGTCGAATGTCGCAATTGATACCCATTTCTTTCGAACCCAAACGCATACACGTGTGATACATTCGCTGATCGTACATCACGCTCTGCCAGCAGCAGCACCCAGCTCGCCCACGCCACCCACCACCTCCTCCTCTTTGCTAATCACAATCTCCAGTCCCCACAAGACCAGCGTCAACCCCACCGTCAAGAATCGCCAGTAGATCTGGTTCGCCTGATCCAACAGCAGCAGGTGCGAGTAGACGGCGATAAGGATCAGACGCGAGTACGAGACGAGGATCGAGATGAACGAGCCGAACGCTTCGCCTGTTGGCGACGGATCAGGGAGCGAGGTGGGCGAAGGAGGTGGATGTGGGGGTCGAGGACGCTTGTGACGACGCGCGTCGGAGGGTGGACGGGAGAGATTGGGGCGCTTTCGTGCGGAGGGTGTTGGCGTGGACGGATCGACGCCCGGTGATGATGGAGTGGGGTCACCGTTGGGCAACGCTGCAGACGGCTGCTTGGGCGATTTCGCGCTCATGGCTGTGGCTGTGGATCCACGTCGGTTTGCTTTCGATCTGCGTTTCTGACCGCGCGCATATCCAGGACGCTTCCCCCGCGCGACACCCGCAGCTCCTGGCGGCGGAGGCGACTTGAGCTTGTCCGCCAACGTCATCGGCTCCTTCAATTCGTCTGCTAGCGACTTGGTCCCATCGTCGTTGTACGCAATGCCGCTATCGTCCTCCGAAAATTCTTCCACGTCCTCACTGCCGCTCTCGGTCGCACTGTCTTCCAACTCGCCATCGAATGGCGTCCTTCTTCTCCGCCTGCGCCTGAGTCGTCGTCGCTGCAGAATCCAACGTCCTTCTTCGTCGTCCCACACCTCTTCTTCCAGCTCCTCGACTTCTGTTCCCGCTACAGACGAGTCGGAGCTGGACGAGCTCCAATCGCTCTCCTCTTCTTCGCCTGTCGGTGCGCGGCCCCAGCTAGGCCGCCTGCTATGAACGCCATCCTCCGTGTGGTTCGGCGCAACATTCCCTTTGAGCATGGGCAAGATGCGACTCGCCGCATACAGCACCATCAATCGGTAGATCAACGACACGATGACCGACTTTGGTAGTGCCGCGCCCGCTGCATGGATGAAGTCGACCGATTGGCCTAGCCAATGCGCGAGCACCTCGACGAGTCCGCTTGCCGCCTGAAGGATCTTGCTCGTCAACGGCGCTTGCAGGGAGCGCGGCAGCTTGTCGACGAACGCTTGGCCGTGCGTGTTGGCCTTGAAGCTGCGGATGAGCGTGATCGGGTCTGGGGTGAAGGAGAGACTGGGGCCGAGCTGATAGATGTTGAAGACGACGTAGGCAAACATGAGACTCGTCTCAATGACGTTGCCTTTTCGGATGGCGAATGCGATGGCGGTGAGCCACATTGTCGACGTCACAGAGGTGGCGATGGCTGCGGCGGTGCCCGGGCGGTCTTTGGTCGCGCCGTCGAAGGACACGTAGAGCGCAAAGGCGGCGGTGACGTAGATGGTGGCCGAAACGAGCAGGAAGAAGATCTGCCAGACTTCACTGGCGCCAAAGCCGATGGAGGCGAGCGAGCGCATAACAAAGGTGTTGGTGACCCAGGCGGCGCCTCTTGCGGAGGGAGTTCCAGGAGACGGAACGCGCTGATACCGAGACGACGGATTCGCTAGGGAGGATGCGATGATCCATCTCGAGGTGGATGCAAGTGACTGGATGACGAGCAGGGATGCTACACCCTCGAGTAGACTGAAGAAGGGGCTCGAGATGCGGAGCAGCGTATGCCACCAGCCCGGCACTCGTCGCGCGAGCCAGAAGAAGAAGGCGACCAATGCGGAGAGGACTTGGTCCAGCGTGTCGAAGCCAGTCAGAGATTGCAGGTCATCTCGGTCCACAGCTCCAAGCGTCATTGATCCAGCTCTGCGTGAGAAGAGATTGGTGATGGCTTCGGTGGCAGTGTTGTCGAAGCTCTCGGATCTTCGCTCTGGGAAGATAGTCGCCGAGGGAGGCGAGTAGACATTGAAGGAGACCAGAAGGCAGGCCGGAATGACGACAAATTGGAAGACGGCAAAGGTCTGGCCGATCCATGCGAGACGTGTCTTTCGCGTCAAGAGCCGCACTGTCGACAGGAAGAAGTAGTACGAGGCCAACGAGGCCGAGAGCGCGAGGAAGGCATCCTGACCCGCAATGTCGAGGGCGAGCGGAAGATAGAAGAGGACCTGAATGAAGGTGGCCAGCCTGCCAAAGTTGACGGCGAGCGAGCGCACGAACGACATGGTCGATGAGCTGAGACGCAGACCCTAGCGTGAGCGCTTTCGCAGGAGCAGCTAAAATGCAGTGATGGGAGCACGAGCGTGCGGATCCTAGAGCGCAGCGGCATACGACATGGCGCGGGAGGGGTGAACGTCGGCTGCCTTGATCAGCGTGGCCGTGTGAGGTATGATGGTGGTGATGATGATGATGAGGTGCGGTAAGAAGACGAGGTTGAAAGTACGATAAGATGTCGACTGTCAATCACAGTCACGTCCGCATTGGACAAAGCATTGCGCTGCATCCAACGTCAGAATTTCCTTTGTCCGCGCTGGCTCACACGCTGCCAACTGCAAGCGCAATCGTGCAAGCTGGCCTGGATCGCGACCTAACACCTTGCGATTTTCAACACTGCACGTCCAAAATTTTGAGCTAGCCGAGCGAAAAAGGCGCTCAGGGTCAGGGTCGTGCGATCTTCTTCTCAGAAACCGGCTTTCAAACAGCCCCGAAAGACTGCTTTGTGGAGTTGCATGTTTCGCTCTTAACCACCACAGCGACCCAGATCTACTGTCAAGATGTCGGCGCCAGAAAGCTCAACAAACGGTGCGAACGGATCGGTAGCCTCGGCGCAGGCTGCCGTCTTTGTCCAGTCGCAGCCACTGCCTGCCGACACTCCTCAGGTGGTCGGACCGGACTTTGAACATCAGGACCCGAATGACCTCGTAGCTCTGCTCGAGAGCATGTCCAAGGTCGGGTTCCAGGCGAGCGGGGTCTCGAAAGCGATAGAGATCATCGAAGAGATGCGTTCATGGCGGCTCTCGACGGACGCTGCTTACCTCGCCAACACTGATCCGGACAAGCCAAGTCCAGAAGAAGCTCAGAACACACAATGCCGCATTTTCCTCGGCTTCACATCAAATCTCGTATCATCTGGGTTGCGGGAGGTCATCAAGTTCCTGGTCAAGAACAAGATGGTGTCGGCGCTAGTGACCACAGCAGGCGGCATCGAAGAGGATCTCATCAAGTGTCTTGGACCAACGTATCTCGGCGACTTTGTTCTGGACGGTGCTACGCTGCGCAAGCAAGGACTCAACCGCATCGGCAATCTACTCGTACCCAACGACAACTACTGCAAGTTCGAAGACTGGGTCGTGCCCATCCTCGATGCTATGCGTGCAGAGCAAGGAGATGACATTTCCAACGCATGGTCCCCAAGCCGCGTCATCGAGAGGCTAGGAAAGGAGATCAACGACGAGAGCAGCGTTCTCTACTGGGCAGCCAAGAACGAGATTCCCGTCTTTTGCCCAGCTCTCACCGACGGCAGTCTCGGCGACATGATCTACTTTCACTCGTACAAAAACCCAGGGCTGACCATCGACTTGGTCAAGGACATTCGCCGACTCAACGACCTCTCGGTCAAGGCGCCCAAAGCAGGCATGATCATCTTGGGCGGTGGTGTCTGCAAGCACCAGATTGCCAACGCCATGCTCTTCCGAAATGGCGCCGACTTTAGCGTCTACATCAACACTGGTCAGGAGTTTGACGGATCCGACTCGGGAGCCAGGCCGGACGAGGCGGTGAGCTGGGGCAAGATCAAGTCGGCAGCCAACGGCGGCAAGAACGTCAAGGTCTACTGCGATGCTACCATTATCTTCCCCATGATCGTCGCAGCTACCTTTGGCAAGGCCTTCTGGGCTGCCAAGAAGATTGCCGCCTAGTTCCAGCTCCCAGCATGTCGTGGCCTCATCTTGTCTTATCAGCATACACTTGTATTTGTACCGTCCTAGAACCCCTTGCAACGAAGTTGGATTGCGCTCGCATGATGCCGTTCACCTCCCGATCTGTGAACCAAAGGGGTGGTACGAGATATATCGGCGATGGTAACGGAAGGGGAGAAAGCGCTGGTCGTGAGGCGCAGCCTTGTTTTTGAACCCCGACCAGCCCAAACGGCACGTCGGCATTCTTTGCTTTCCACAGCCTCGTTGTGAAAATCAATTGTTCCTGCGAGAACCCCTGAAGAAGAGGCACGAGCGCGCTCTGTTGTTGTTTTTCGAAAAATAATTCTTTTAATTTGTGTTGGTCTCGATTTGGCGACTTCTTCTTGGAAGGAATTTGGCAGAGCGGCAAGCAGGCTCGCATCTCAAAACATGCACACGCATCATCGCAAAATGGACTTGGCGTGCACCTCCATTCCATTGTGCTCCTGATGGTCGCCATTGTCAACTGGTGCTTGTCCTCCCCGGCCTGCAGAGGGCCGTGCAGCAGGATGCAGCTGAATCAGAGGGAGTCGCTTCTCTAGCCGAGGATCAACCCTTGTTTTTCGTGGGATTTGCAGTTGCTCGCTTGCTCAGCTGCCAGCGGCGGAAGTCTGTGCCGGCCAGTCTTTGGGATGCCGGTGTCACTCGACATGTGTGACCCTGCCTGAGAACTCGTCCGGCCCAGATACCTTTGAGCACTGTGTCGAAGAGTCCTGTTCGTCCCTTCCTTTGTTCCCCAACCACCATCATCCTCGTCCAGCTCCTCATCTCTGCAAAGCCAAGATGGTCAAGCTCACAACCTTGCACGCAGCAGCAGCGCTGGCCTTGGCCGGCTCGGCCGTCGCTCGCCACTCTTCACCCAGACTGCACAACCGTCAGAGTTCCGGATCGATCATGGAGTCTGACTACTCGAACGGAGCCACCCCTCCTGGAGCACGACCCGGCGACGCTGCTGGTCAGACGGTCGTCATCGACAACGACGGCGGCCACGACGACAACTCGCAGCGCAATGGCTGCCCCACCATCTTCATCGGCTCTGCTGCTGTCGGCGGCTCTTTCTCCACCGGCTGGACCGACATGCCTCAAGTGCTTGGCTTCGACACCATGCGTGACTTGACCGTTGGCAACAACGTCGTGCAGCCCTACATCATCGAGACGGGCAAGGACGCTTCTAAGATCAAGCGCGTTGTCATCACCCAGCCCGGTCTGCCCCGTGACTACTGGAAGTACGCCAACCTGGTGCGCAACTCGCTGCTTTGTGCCTCGGTCAACTCGACCATGGGCGTCAACACGGACGAGATCCTCATCGCCGCTCCGACCTGGTTCAGCACCAACGACGCTTCGGCGGGCTCGGCTCAGTCGAACGATCTCGTTTTCAACGGCGGCAACTGGGCCACGGGTGTCAACTCGGCCGGCCCCAACGGCGAGGCCATCTCCTCCTTCGAGGCGCTGGACGACCTCGTCAACAAGTTCTTTGACAAGTCCACCTACCCCAACGTGCAGCAGGTCGTCATCGCCGGTCACTCGCTCGGTGGATCCTTCACCCAGCACTACGCCATGCTTCGCAAGGCCAACTCAGCGCAGGACGGTATGATGAGCTACTTCATCGGCAACCCTGGCGCGTACGTTTGGCCCACCTCGGATCGACCCATCCCGAACCCTGGAGGCAATTGCGCCAGCACTGCCGACGAGTGGGGCTACGGCCTGCAGGACCTGCCTCCCTACGGCAACGGCCAGGGCAGCGCCAGCAGCATCGCATCGCGCTACTACGGTAGGAACATCATGTACGCCCTTGGTCTCAGCGACAACGAGGCCGGTGACAGCCATTGCGAGGCCCAGTACCAAGGCACCTCGCATCTCACCCGTGGTCAGAACTTCCAGAAAGAGCTGCAGTCGGCCAACAACGGAAACGTGCCATCGAGCCAGCAGTTCAACTACGTGCCCAATGTGGCGCACGAGGACTACCTCATCTTTAGCGATCCCAACAGCCAGCATTTCCTGTTTGCGCAGGGCTCTTCTTCCGGGTCGTCTTCGTCGTCGTCGTCCGCCGCCCCTTCATCGACCGGAAGGGGAAGGACATCCACCTCGTCGTCGGGAGCGCAGCAAACCGGCTCGACCTCGCAGTCGGGCTCGTCGTCTTCTCCGTCGTCCGGTAGCAGCAGCGGTGCTTTGAGTCTGATCTCGCCCACTTCGGCCGTCTCGGCAGTGCTTGCTTCGTCCGCAGCTCTCCTTGCCCTCGTGCTCTAGATTCCTTACTAGCCTGGCGTTAGTTGCTTGCATTTTTCGACCTTGCATCGTCTCCCCACAACGGACCTTCTCTGCCTTGTTCTCCCTTATTCAGCAGTCTAAAGTGGAATGCAGATACATCGAGTCTACGAATCGCAGCGTTGGCCGTACGTGTGTCTTGATAACCCTGAGGGCCGCATTCAAGACACCAGGCCGCACTGCCATCGAGCGTTGATACAGCCTTGGGTGAGAGAAGTGTCAGAAAGAGCAAGCTCGAAAGGTCGAACCCTGAAAATACACCGTCCCGTGCCACGCGCCTCTCGTGTCACGCTGAAATTCACCGGAACCCGGATCTACGCTTGGAACGAGTCAAACCAACACCCGCACCTTCTCAGCTTCCTCTTTCGCCTCCCACTATCCTCCACACCTTCCATCTCCATCGCTCACAGTCTCGATGCACTCCCGGCGGACGACACAATGAGCGACCCAGCCACGTCCGCGCCTCCCGTCCCCGACGATGATCCGCCGTACGAGAACTTTCTCTGGTCGTTCACCGCCTTCTTCCCTCCCCCGTATCGCGTGCTGCTTCTAGCGTCCATGGGCGTGCTGCTCTTCGCGGTCAACGTCAAAGTGCTTCAGGGCAAGGGAGTCGACGTGTTTGCGCTGTTCAAAGCGGATGATGCGGAGAAGAGACGCTCAATACCAACCTCGCCGCCACATCGCAGCACCGCTTCGTCTTCTTCATCCGCCTCCTCGGGCGAGAATGGCGGATCGACACTCCTACCTACATCAAATCGACCCGATGCAGCTGCAGGCGTGCTGACCTCCGGACCGCTGTTCGTGTTTGGCACGATTTTCTTGATCTGGTCGCTCCTCGGCTGGGCCGCTTATCGGTTCTACGTCGACAGTCTATCCGGCGACGAAAAGGGTCGTCACGCACAAGCACTGCAAGGCTTCTCGATCGCCATCACCTTCGTCGTGCTCGTTTGGCCGGGGAATCTGTTCTTCAAACCCATGCGCAAGTCGTTTGGTCGCTCGGTGCTTGCGATCCTCACACCGTCCTTTGCGCAGCAGATCACGTTCAGCGATGTGATCCTGGCGGATATCCTCACGTCCTACGCCCGCGTGTTCGGGGATGTATGGTTGACAGCATGCTTCCTGGTGCCACGCAAGGAGCATCACACCTGGTGGAATGGCAAGGGCAGCATCGTCGTACCGTTGCTCATCATGTTTCCGTACGCCGTGCGGTTTCGACAGTGCATCTCGGAGTTCTGCGTCTCCACCCCCGACGCGCGTGGTGTCAAGAGCAAGAGACCGTTGTGGAACGCGCTCAAGTATGCATCTGCGTTTCCCGTGGTGTGGCTCAGCGCGTGGTTTGCGGCGGACAAGGGGGATAGTGCGGGCAAGTACGTGTTGTGGTTGGTGAGCGTGGTGGTCAATTCGCTGTTCAGCTTCTGGTGGGATGTGACGAACGATTGGGGATTGAGCTTGTTGCAGCGGGGGAATATGGGGAGTGTGGCGCAAGTCGCGCACAATGCGGTCCACCTTCATCGGCGTGGGACATCATACATGCCGCTAGCGGCAGAAGACGATACGGTCGCACTCTCCGACTTCAACTCGAACGAAAAAACCCAGCACACATCGCTAGCGATACCTTCGTCCTCCTCAAGCTCTTCCATAGCCCCACACCGGCGACCGCTCAGCACGATGGAACGCCTGCTTCGACCCGCACCCTCCCTGCTCTTCCCCGCATGGATGTACCAACTGGCCATCCTCCTCGATTTGGTGCTTCGCTTCTTCTGGTCCCTCAAACTCACCTCGCACCTGAGCCTGCTCATCGAGTGGCAAGGGGGGATGTTCAGTATGGAGGTGCTCGAGATCCTGCGGCGGTGGGTGTGGGTTTTCTTCCGCGTTGAGTGGGAGGTTGTCAAGCGTCGAGAGCGAAGTCGAGCGCACGAGGCAATGGATTGAGAACACGCCTCAAGGGAATCTTATCTCTGACAATCATGCTGGGCTGGAGTTTGTGCGATTGTGATTGAGATGCGATGCAGCGAAAGTGAGATGCTGGGTGATGATGCTGTGGGTGTGCGCGCNCTCTTGCTTATCCAAAAAGCCCACGCCCTGCGACCTCAACTTTCGCTCGAGCTGTTCCAACCACTTTTGCAGCAGCGGTACGGTCTGTGGTGCCGAATCGGGTGCGAAGGAGCTGAGATAGGCGAAGGCGTTCTTGGCGATCTTGGGTGCCACGTTCAACGCCGCTGCTTCGCCGCCTCCTGCTTGGGATGGTGTGATAGTTGTGAGTGCGAGCGCATTTGAGGGAGATTGAAGAGAAGTGACTTGTTGGTCCACCACGGCGTCCGGTTCGATGGATATCCCGAGTGTCGCTGCTCCTTCTGCTACCGACTGCGGTTTGGTGACTTTGAATATCGCGCTGGGCTTGGAGTTGCGTAGACAACCGAGGAGCTTCCACTCTCCTGCACCGGCTGTTGAGCCCGTTGGAGAGGGCCAAAGCAGGTGGACGGTGGCTGAGAGGCCTTCTGGGAACGCTTGTACGCCGGTCATGAAGACGACGACGTGCGAGATCGTAGATGCATTCTCCAGCGGGAAGACGCAGTGCGTCTCGTCGACTTGTTGCGGTGTTGTCAGAGGCAGCCTGCCGGGCAAGACGACGGAGAACATGGCGCGTGGCTTGGCTCCGATGGCTTTGCAAGGAGACTATGAGGAAACGTATTAGTCGTGCTGGTGAGTGAGGTTGTGTTTGAGCTCGACGAGGCTGAGTAACGATGCTGCTTGACAGGAAGAGCGAGGTGTGGAAGGTCAAGGTGGTTCCGTTCGAACGGTCAAAGCTCAAGAAGCTTCTCGACAGCTCCACATCCAGCCATCGGGCTGCATCGGCAAGCACCGACTTCCGAGCCCGTCTTCAAAAATTCCCGCCTGCAGAGCTTCTTGAAATTTTTCGCTGAACCCTGCTCCTCCCCATACCACCATCTGGCACGACTCGACCCTCCTATCACCACATCACTTCTCGTGCAGCGTCTCTCTATCAGTGCAATTCGCTTCTATCGCCGTCAACGTCACTCACAACGCCGCGAGATAGAACACGATGGCGAATCCACGACAGCGCCGCAAAGCGCGCTCCTCCTCGACGCTGAAACCTTCGATCAACGCCAAGAAGCAGATGCGCAAGAGGCTCGCGCGGGCTCCCACCGTACACGGCGCCGACGTGCTCAAGGACAACTACGATCCCAAGCTTACGCTCCGACAGAATTATGCGCGGTTGGGTCTAGTGCCTAGCTTGGATGTTAGGCCTGATACTGGTGGAGTGGAACGCGCGCCTGCTGCCCCCAGCGCAAGTCGGGAGGCGGAGGGCGAGAAACCACGGAAAGGCATGGCCAAGGTCGTCCGAGACGAGCAGGGGAACATCGTTGATATCGTGGAAGCAGATGCTGAGGAAGAGGGCGAGACCGCATGGGGAAAGCCCTTGACGAGTGTCGCAGATGACGAGGTCGAGACATACATGCCAACTAGTGGCGCGAAGAAGGGCGAGAACAAGGTGCTGGCCAGCCTGGAGGATATGGCCGCCCAAGCTGCCCCGGTTGAGAGACATACGAGCTCCCTCGAGGCCCAGTGGTTGCAGGACCTGGTGGCAAAGTACGGGGAGGACACGGAGAGCATGGCAAGGGATAGGAAGCTCAATGTGTGGCAGAAAACCCAGGGCGAGATCAAGAGGGCTATCAAGAAGGCTGGTGGGTTCGCGGCGTTTCGCTCCCAATGACGGCTAGGGTTTTGGCATTGTTTGTATTTGTATCGTTTCGGCATTGACATTTCTCTCAGTCTCGCACGTTAGGCTCGATGCAAGCTGTGGCTTGATGGTGCACGAAGTATGTGATTGACGTCGGTGTGAAGCGTGCTACGTCCTTCTGACCCAGTCTCCACTCTTTCCGCCACTCTTCTTGACGACCATGATCTCGCCTATTCTCATCGTCTTGCCCGCCACCGCCTTGACCATATCCCACACTGTCAAGCAAGCCAATGTGCACCCCGTCAGCGCTTCCATCTCGACTCCTGTCTGCCCTGCCGTTCTAGCCGTGCACTCGACCTGGATCCAGCTCTCCTCTCCCTCTCCCTCTGCGACATCGAGTTTGACGTCGACGTGCGTAAGCGGCAGAGGATGGCAAAGCGGGATGAGATCCGAGGTGCGTTTCGCTGCCATGATACCGGCAAGCTGTGCGGTGTGCAGAACAGGACCTTTGTTCGAGATGCCTTGCTGCGATTCGGTGGCAAGCAGAAGGTTGCAGGCCGAGGAGGGAAGGTAGACTCGGCCGACGGCGGTGGCGGAGCGGGCAGTGGTGGATTTGTGCGAGACGTCGACCATCGATGCTCCGCCGGTGGCTGGGTCGATGTGCGAGAGTTGGGTCGAGTCCTCTGCGTCCACCACGTGACTGCGGCTTGCGGAAGAAGCGACAGAGTGGTTGAGGAGCTGAGCAACTGCAGCTGCTCCCGCTCGAGCAAAGGCATCCTCTTCTGTATCATGCTCCTGGGTCGATTGCAGCTGCATCTGCTGACGCAGCAGATCATCCGTAGCCGCCAGGGCTTCGCCTGCAGTATATTGCTCCTGTTGCGGCTGCGGCGGCTGAGGATAGAATTGTGGTGCGTGCTGTTGCGCCCTGATTTGCATCACGTTCTGCTGATGTTGCAGATGCAATGGCACGGCAAATTGAGCCGACGACTCAGGATTGTCTACAAAAGCATCCAGCGACGCCCAAGGCGAGTCGTCTTGGGGACCATCCTCCTGCATGTATTCCGACCATCTGGCGCTCGCCTGTGCACCGGGCATGCTGCCGTGGAGTCCCGCACCGTGTGACATAGATCCTGCAGCCATTCCGCCAGCTCCTGAGGCGGAAGGCGGCATGTCTGAGAAACTAACACCGCTCAAGGCGCTTGCCGTTGAGCGAATTGGTTTCGTAGTCGTCTTGACAGCAGCAGCTCCAGCTTGCGCAAAGATGGCTTCTTCCATCTCGGCGATCGGGTCCTTGGCTGGCGTCGTGCCTGGTGCCGAACTGTTGGAAGCGGGTGTAGCAGTGTCGGAAGGGTGTTTGAGGTAGACCTGCTTGTACAGCGACTTGTCCTGTAGATTCTCGAACGCCTTGTCCAGATCACCCCACGGGCTATCATCGTCGTCGTCATCATCTTTGTCTTGCCTCTGTCTCCGTGCCGAGGAGTGGAACGCCCTCGCGCGGGTAAAGAGACTCCCGGAGATGCGTTTGGTTGCCGGCGCCGTGGTCCGCTTCATCAACACGCCAGAATTTTGCTTGCGCTGCTTGCTCGCTCCTAGATTGTGTCGGGGTATCAAGAGGTGCGACAGTGTGAGCAAGGTCTGCGCTTGGCGGAGAAAGTAGGACGCTCGAGTGGTGTGCCTCTATCCGCCGATGGTAATCATAGGCCGGTTGAGCGACTTTGCCAGCTCCGACGGATCTCGCATGCCTGCGTGCTTAGCGTGCTTGCGGCCGACAGCGGCTCCGATGAGCTCCAAAAGCTGTTCATCCGTTGCCGGCTCGCCGTTGGATCCTGTGGTGAGCGAGGGAATAGGGCCGAAGCCGGTTCGCATCGCATCGCGGAGGCTGACTTCGGCATTGCCAAAGAGGCAGACCTTGAGATTACCATCTGCAGTGACGCGGAGTCTGTTGCACGTACCGCAGAAATTGTCCGTCATGCTTGTGATGAAGCCGACGGTGCCCTGGTGGCCAGGAACTCGCCAATGCTTGGATGTGTCGTTGGGATCATCGCGTTTGGCAACACGCTCGAACGTCGGAAACTCGTTCTGTATCGTTTTGACAAGGTCGCGGTAGGGTACGAGCTTCTGCACCTGCCACTTGTTGCCGTCAAAGGGCATGTACTCGATGAAGCGGATGGTAATGGGCTTGTCTTCAGTGAAGCGCACGAAATCGACAACATCCTTGGTGTCGTTGAGGCCCTTGATGACCACCACATTGATCTTGACGCTGGACACTCCTAGCGCCAGCGCTCGCTCTATGCAGTCCATGACGGCTTCGTGCCCCCTCCTTCTCGTCATGAACTCGAACTTGAATGGGTCGAGCGTGTCCAAGGAGATGTTGAGATGCGTGAGACCGTTTTGCACCAGCGTGTCCAGTTTGCGCCTGCCCAATGCGATGCCGTTGGTGGTGATGCCAATCTGTTCGAGTCCATGTTGTTTGAGAGCGTTGAGAGATGAGATGATTTGCGGTAGGTCTGACCGCACTGTGGGCTCTCCACCCGTAAGTCGAATCTTGTTCACGCCTTGAGAGACGAAGAGCGAAGCTAAGCGCTCAACCTCGGAAGTCGAAAGGAGCTTGGACGATGGTGTGAGCGGGACGCCATCTTCAGGCATGCAGTAAAGACACCGCAAATTGCACTTTTCGGTCAGCGAAATGCGTAGATACGTGTGCTGCCGTGAGTGTCGGTCACGTAGAAAACGAGAGGGCGGCGGTGTCTCAAGCTGATCGAGATTGGATATCCTTTCGCGAGCGCGCTGTTGCGAAGACAGCTTGGGAGCAAGAGCGATGCTTTCGGGCAGCGATGAGCCATACGAAGTGCTGAGTACGTCTGTCGCCACTGTTGAGGGTTTCGCCGATGAGGATGAGCGAGAGAGGTGCCGCGATTGTGATGAGACTGAGGATCTTGCTGCCGTGTTACGGACGGCGAGAACCGCGGTGACTCCTAGTCGGCTGGGGCCGGCAAGGGATGTCATTGCTGACTTGTACGTCCTTGTGCTAAGGCGGAGGAGCCGAGCGACAAGGTTCCGAGCGTGATGAGGGTGGTGAGGAAGGTTGCGAGGGTCATCGCCACGCCAAAATCAATCAAAAGGAGCAGACTGTTATCGCCGTCTTCTAAATGGTTGCCGGATTTTCGCTGACGTGTGATGCGCTTCAGGCCTAACAGCTTGGCATTTTTTTGCAGCTCGGCCAATGCCGAACGGCAAGGTCGGCTAGCAGACGAAGATAGGATCTTATCAGTCGCGCTGATAGCGTGCGGGGCGGCTAGAGCGTTGCCTCTGATTGGCTCCGCTGTGGTTCCAAGTCGAGGCGCTTTCAGTTGAAGCATCTTGACCACATGGACGCCGCCTTCATCCTTGCAGTGATTCGGCAGAGAGCCGCTTTGCGTCCAATCGGATGTTGCGGAGGGTGAGCGCGTAAGTTAGAGTGTGAGAACAAGATCAAGCTCACCGGCTCAGCCGTTGGCCAGCCCGAGGTGGCGTGAGAAGAGTGACTCAGGCGCGGATCCTTGCCTACGTCGGAAGGCAATCCAGCAAGGAGGCTCTTCTGAGTTATCACAATTGGCTCCGTCACTACAACAGTGACTTTGAGCCTGTGTGCACATGTCCTTCGGAGCTACCGCATGATTAGCACTTGACTCAGCTCATACAGCTCTGCCGTCGGTAGGAGTTTGAATAGCCATACCATTGTTTGACAGCTCTGTGTCTCTTGCTTTCCTATCACGGGCCACAAGCGAGTTCGCCAGACCCGTTCGCTCGCTTGTCCCACATCTTCCAACGATCGCCTCCTATCAAGCCACCTCATATATATCTTCGACCCTTCGAGATTTGAGTTCAGTGCTCCGCCTCATCTCCCGCCCGCACGACCATCATTGATCCCACGACAGAGTTTAAGTCAACGACACCGCATCCGCCGTGCCGCTTCCGCCCTCATTTCGACTTCATTTGCCGTGATCACTTGACAGCTGCGGTAACTCAGCCCTTCCACGCACTCAATAGACGCCACCGGCTTGAAACCCTCATCGGTCCACACTGGATCCCAAGCCGCCACATCCATACGAATGAATCGAGGCGTCGACGACGATAAGCTGGACGAAAGCATGGCGTCCAAACACGCCACTATCACCACGCAGCCCTTTGCAACGCCGGACCCACAGCGAGCCGCCACTTCGCACGAACTCGACTCAGGCAGAGACTCCTCTGACGGTCCTTCTTCCTCGTGGACTCGCAATCCACGCTCTCACGCTCGCAACGTCGCTCGCAAATTGACCACTCGCCAGGGCTGGCTCGGCGACTACAACTTTGGCGCGCTCTGCCTGCCCCGTCTTCTCCCCTGGAAGCCAGAGTCCAAGCTCAATGGTGGTGCAGCCGAGTCTCCCTTCTATGGCGTTCATGATGATCTCCCCATAGCAGTTGCAATGATCTGCGGGCTGCAACACGCGCTGGCCATGCTGGGCGGTCTGATCACTCCGCCTATGATCATTGCCTCTTCGCTCAACTTGTCCGGTGAGACCTCGGCGTACCTCATCTCAGCGAGTCTCATCACCTCTGGCATCCTCTCCGCGATACAGCAGTCAGCGATTCCGCTACCCTTCATGGGTGGACGCCAGCTGGGTACGGGCCTACTTAGCGTCGTTGGAACCAGCTTCACCACATTATCGGTCACCACTAGCATCTTCACCAACCTCTACGCGGAAGGCGTCTGCCCACTCAACACGGACGGCAGCCGAGGGGCGTGCCCCGAAGCATACGGCTACCTGCTCGGCACGGCTGCAGTTTGTGCTCTGCTGGAGATCGCGCTCTCCTTCCTTCCACCGAGGGTGCTGAAGCGCATGTTCCCGCCCATCATCACGGGCACTGTCGTCGCGTTCATCGGCATCAAGCTCATCGGCGAATCGGCCATCCCCTCGTTCGGCGGCGGCGCTTCGTGTCATGGAACAACCGACCTTTGCCTCTTCCCTGACGGCCGTGCCTACATCTGGGGCGACGCGCACTACCTCGGTCTTGGCTTTCTGGCTTTCATGACGGTGGTGCTGACCGAGATCTTTGGCAGTCCTGCCATGCGCAGTGCATCGATCGCCATCGGTCTCCTGTTCCCACTCATCATCGCCGGGCCTTTGGGATACATGTCCAGCGCTCCAATCGACTCGGCGCGCGCCACCACCTTTCTCTGGGTCGAGACCTTCCCACTCCGAGTATACGGTCCTGCCGTCCTCCCGCTGCTGGCCGTATACATCTCGCTCATGATGGAGTGCATCGGTGATGTCACGGCCACCTCTGAAGTGAGTCGCGTCGAGGTGGACGGTCTGGCGTACGATCGACGCATCAGCGGTGGTGTGCTCGTTGACGGTCTCGCTGGCGTATTCAGCGCGCTGTTCACCGTCCCGCCGCTGTCGGTGTTTGCGCAGAACAACGGCGTCATCGCCATCACCAAGTGCGCCAATATCCACGCCGGGCGGTGGTGCAGTTTCTGGCTCATCCTGTTCGGCATCATTGGCAAGCTGGCCGGGTGCGTGCGGGCCATTCCGCAGCCGGTGCTGGGCGGTGTGCTGCTGGTTCTGTTCGGCTCGATCGCCGTATCTGGTGTCAAGGTGCTGCAGAATGTGACGTTCACGAGACGGAACAGGTTCATCCTGGCTCTCAGCTTTGGTTTTGGGTTCGGGACGTTGCTGGCCGACGACCTGTTCAGCAACCTGTTCACGTATTCGGGCGGGAACAAGGCGCTAGCCGGATTCTTGGATAGTATCATCATTGTCATTTCGACGCCATTCCTGATCAGCGCGATCGTCGGGATGATTGCGAATGCGGTGCTGCCAATGGACGAGGAGGATAGGCAGCTTCAGAGGGAGAGGGATGCGCCTCGCTTGCAAGGCAAGTCGTCTTTCGATGAGAAGCTGTCTGCTTGATCTTGACCGTAATGACTTGCGTCTGTACATTGCACTTGCTCAAGCACGCATTTCAATCTCCTCCCTGATCATGACGATGTGTGGGCGCTGCAATCAAAAGTTCATAGTTCATAAAGAATCGACGTAGCTACAAGGTATCTTTGAATTTCTGTTCGAGCTTAGAGGACGAGGGAGCCGGCGATAGCGCCGAAGAGGACGGTGCCTACGGCGACCATAGCGCCCATGGGCACGCCGGCCTGCATCATGGCGCCATTGCTAGCACCGCTGGTGGCGGCGCTGCTTGCACGGGAGGTTGCGGACGAGGCGGCGCTGCCGGCGCTCGAAGTGATCGAGCTGGCAGCCGAAGTGATGGACGAAGCAGCCGAGGGAGCAGCAGAGGTGGCCGAAGAAGCGGCACTGTTCACCTCCGAGGTGAGGCTGGTGAAGACGCTAGCGGCGCCCGAAGTAATGTCGCCGAACACGGAGCTGCCGCCCGAAGTGATGTCGCCAAAGACCGAGGTGACGGGACCGCCAACGGCCGAGGTCAGGTCGCTGAGGACTGTGAGGTGTCAAGCAGAAGGGGTATGGTCAGCTTCAAACGTAAGCTAGTGGGAAGTTTGGATCTCGGCTTGGAGACCTACTCTGAGCCTGGGTACCGGCAACAAGCACGGCGAGAAGAAGAGCCTGTACGGCAACGGTGGTCTTGGTGAACTGCATGATTGATGATGGAACTGGTTGAGCGAGTTGATGGTTTGGTCGGTGAGGTACGAAGGCGCGGGCGACCGAATTGATGGATGGTATATATGTACACATCACACGAACACCTCCAGCAGTGGCGCCAACCGAACGAAGCACGGCTAACTACAAGCGAACTGGATCGGCATCTGATGGCACAGCGGAGCTGCAATTAGACTTTGCTCACACAGCCTGCCAAGCTCTCTTTCTCGCACTGCCAAGGCCGTCTACCTTGTAGGTGGAGGCTGGGTATGTTGCCCTGCGGAGTTGCTGTTGGTCCAAAGGAACGCTGGCTGCACCTGTCACACGAGCCAAGGGGCGGTGTTGGTGCAAAAAGGCAAGACACCAATGTCGTCATCTGGCGTAGTGACGGCCGAGCTAAATTTGAGCTGTCCGACAAGGCCAAAAATACCTCGCTACGCCTTCCGCATGGTCTTGACCTCATACCTTCGTGAGCCGGCTTCTGCTGTCTCCAGTCAAAATGCACGCCTCCTCCATGGCTTGCCTCGATCGCATCGAAGTGCCGTCTGCCAAGCGAAGGCGCCATTTACACGGCTCTGAATCGGACTTCGGACCATGGCTTCCGCGTCGTCTTATGACCCATTATCCAGCACGCTTGCTGACGGCGTAATGCAAGGGCGTAGCTGGAGGCCCAAGCTGGATCAATGTACATCAAGGCCAGGCCTCGTATGCACACAGCCATCGATGCATGGTTGACCGTCGAAACAGCATGCCATGATACAATGCCAGGCTGTGTTGAAGGCTGCAGGGCTCAGTTTTTCTGCGCCGTTGTTAAGCCTGGGAATCTGCTTTGGAATCGGGAGATTTGACCCCGCACTTTCCCAACCGATTTCACGGTGCAAGTCTCACGGGCCAACCAACGTCGAACGACACCATCTCTGCTCCCTTCCTCGCTCCATCCCGGCCGCATCCACTCCACGGACGACCCGGTCAACAATGGCGTCTCCACTCTCATCCTCGCAGACGACGCCTTCGCGCAACCCAGTGCCGTCGACACTCACCAACCTCCGCGCCTTCGTCAACGACCCGCCGCTCCCGCCGCCCGCCCGCATCCCCGCCCGCGCATTCGCCATCGGCTACTCGGCCAACGTCGTCCTGGATGGTCTGCTCCCGCTTGCGCTGCGCAAGAAGCCGGCGCGCGAAGCTCTGCGTTCGTTCTTCGCGCTCAAGTCGCTGCAGTCTGGAACCGTTTTGGCACTCTTCTCAGCGCTGTATAAGGTCTTGCTCACACGGCTGACAGCGATCCGGCTGCACCTGCTCTCCAAAACTCGAGCCGCGGACGATGTGGACGACAAGCGACTCGTGCGGCTGCTGCAATCTGTGAGCCTCGTAACGTTCAGCGCGGCCCTCGCAGCAAGCAGTGTGTTGGCCGCCTTCCCGATCCCCTCATTGCGTCGGTCGATGGCTCTCTGGCTAGGCACCAAGGCCATCGAGAATCTCTACACCCACCTTCGCTCTATCAAATCCCGTACGGTGGCATGGATCCCAAACTGGATCGGTGGCGGCTTCTTCTACGCCCTCTCCAACGGTCAGCTGCTATGGACGTTCCTCTTCGAACCTTCCTGCTTCCCCACTTCCTACGGGCGGGTCATCCTTGCACGAAGCACGTCCTACATCCCTCCTCGACCTGCCGGGTTGCCAACCTCCATCCCGTGGCCCGCACCACGCGACATCGCCGACACCATCGCCACCCTATCCACGCCCACGTCGACCTCTGCGGCGTATCCGGGATTCAAAGCGCCCGTCCTGTCCGGGCTCACCCCTGCCAAATACCCCACCACACGTCATGCGCTCATCAACCCGATTCTCGACTACGCCCCGGCACATCCCGCACACACGCGTCTCCTCTGCGCCATCTTGCACCCAACCGAACCTTCCTGCTCCCGCAACTTCCTCTCGTTCTTCGCACGCGAGTGGCAGGCGTCCGCCAAGTTCGTTGCAGCATTCACAGCGCTGACGCAACTTCTGTCGTATAAAAAGGTGTTGAAGGATCCCGAAACGGCGCTGTTCAGATTCGCTTTGGCCGTGGTCCAAGGCGCAACGGTGATTTCGGGATCGATTGGTACGGCGTGGGGTCTCACATGCTTTTTCCAGCAATACCTGCCACGAACGTTCCTCCCCACGACACGCTACTTCTTGAACGGCTTCCTCAGCAGCGTGTTTATCTTAGCCGTGCCAAAAGCGAGACGGGCGCAGCTGGGAAGCTACGTGACACGTCAGAGTTTGGATGCTGCGTGGGGCGTCGGGAAGCGCCGAGGCTGGTGGAACGGCGTCAGGCAGGGCGAAACCGTACTGCTCGCGCTAGGATTGGCCACCTTGACAAGTCTGTACGAGACCAGACCCGAGGCCGTGGAGAGCAGCGTTAGGAAGAGCATCGGTTTGCTGGTGGGCAAGAGCGCGAGCGCGGATCGCGAGAAACAGATGCAGCTGCAGTGGAAACCACAGGTGCCGGACGAGGAGGAGAAGAAGACCCAATAGCCGCCAGACCGGATGTACGATTTCACGGAATGCCAGTCTTTGAGCAGGAGTTGCCGATCCTTTTGAGGCTGCCTGAGAGGCTGTCGAAGCGGCCGTGCGATGGAAGAAGGTTGGCGCGCAGGACACGGTTTCTTCGGCTCACTGAAAAGCATGTGCGGCGGCGAAGGATGCCAAAGCCGAAAGTCGATGGCTCAAAGACTCAGGCTCGCATACGCTCACACGGGCCCTACGATCGCTCTAAATCATTAACATTCTCACCCCCCGCCCTCGTTACAGATCCTTCTCGAGCTCGCTGAGCATGTTGTAAAGCTCGCCGTCCCTGATACTAGCATAGATGACCGAGACATATCCACCCGTCGTGTTCCACTGTTCGAACTCGCCCTTGAACTCGTTGAGGTTCTCCTTGCCGTGCATCGGGACACCCAGTGTCTTTCTGACAAACTCGTAGGCCCTCTTGGTCTTGCCGAGGAGGTGACTGGCATGGCACGCGTAGGGATTGTCCAGGAACTCAACGGTCACGTCACGGTAGATCTTCTCCGTTCCCAGAACGCCGGCGGCACGCCACTTGACGATGTTTCGCAGAGGGTCGGCACCGCCGCCGCTAGGGAGCTCGGAGAAGTACTTGACGAGCACCGACGAGGCGTCTTGGAAGGTCTCGATGAGTCGATCGCGCAGATCCTTGGACGAGGTCTCGTCGAGACGCTTGCTGAGCTGCTTGAGCACCAGGACGGCGATCTGCTGCTGCATGGCCTCGTCCATCCACTCGTTGAAGTGGCTGTGGAGCGAGGCGAGGATGAGAGCGGGTAGCTGCTCGGCGACCTTGTGCTGCAGAGCTCGGATGTCGAGCGCCTGGCATAGCAGGTATAGCGACCATGCCTGGATCATCGAGAGACACTCGACGGCTTGCAGCGTCTGCCTGCCGCTGATGAGAGCCAGGGAGTTGATGGCTTGGTTGCCCATCTCAGCACACTGCACGTGCGTTGACACCGGGTTGCCCAGGAACATGAGCTCAGAAGTGACGGCGGCAAGCGCAATGTCGATACCCTTGGCGTGGAAGTTGAGCGAGGGATCCGGGGTGGAGGCCAAGTTGGCGGGCAGACCACGGTTCATGGCAGGGTTGACGAGCTCGGTCATCTGCTGAAAAGTCATCTTGCCCATGGCGCACAAGGCCAGCCTGATCTTCTCGACGGCGTTGGTCATTTGCTGGGCTTGGAAGTTGCCTCCATGGTGCATGCGGCCCTCGCCATCGTAGGGGTCGATCATTGGGTTGTCGGTGGTGCTGTTGATCTCAATGTCGACGGAACGTTTGGCGTTCTCGATATCCTCGAGCCCGGGTCCGACCCATTGCGATGCTGTGCGAAGCGTGTATCGGTCCTGACGGAGCGTGCCATTGTCTTCAGAGAACAAGACGTGCTTCTCGTCTTCGAGGTGCTCTGCGAGTTTGGATCCGGAAAGCAGAGAGCGGATGAGCTTGGCGCTTTGGACTTGTCCAGGATGAGGGCGGGCGATCTCGTGAATGAAGGGAGCAAAGCTGGCGTCGGTACCCTTGAGAGCTTCAACAGCCATAGCAGTGGTAAGCTGGGTCAAGGTCGCCAGCCTGTCAGCTTCGTAGGTGGCCAGACCAGCAACGGACGCTGAGAAGGCGGTACCGTTGAGCAAGCCGAGCGCCTCCTTGGGCTCGTACTGGACCGGAGTGATGTTGTGCATGCGACACGCCTCGTCGGAGGTGACTCGGATGCGCTGGCCGCTCTTGTCGGTGACGAAGCAGTAGATGCCGCGCTGACCGGCAAGGGCACCTGCTACGTAGCTGAGGGGGCTGAGATCACCGCTGGCCGAGATACTGGACCGGACGGGAACGACAGGAGTGACGTTGTTTTCGAGGAAGAGCTTCTGCATTTTGTCGAGCACCTCCCATCGCACGCCTGAGTGACCACGCATCAAGGAGCTGAGGCGGACCACAATGGCACCTCTGACCCACGCCTCGGGCATGATGAGGGAGGACTCGGTGTCAGTCAAGGGCAGCGCAAAGGGTGCTGAGCTCGGCTCGCCCGTTGGGAAGGACGAAGGGACGGGAAGGACACCACACTGCTGCATCTGGAGCAGAGCGAGCTGAAGGGCGCGCGTGTTGGCGGTCCTCGAGTCAGCCGACCCACCAAAGCCGGTGTTGATACCGTAGATGGATTCGCCGCGGTTGAGCTTGGCAACCAGAGACTGGACAGAGTCATCGATACGCTTGCGGGTCGCTGCAGATGGATCAAGGATGGGAACATGACCGTATCGAGCCGAGGCTACGAGGCCCTGGATCTTGAGATTGTAACCATCGATGATGACCTGGTCTGTACGGAAGGAAGAGGCCTTGCGGACCTTGGTATCTGAGGGCTGAACCAGAAGATTGGGACGAGTGGAAGGCTCGGCGGGTGCGGGGAGCACGTCTGCGGTAGGTGCCATCTTGTGATTGTGTGTATGAAGTCTCCGTAGCTGAGGACGAGATGTGCGCGAGATCAATCAAGAGCAAGTGATGATGGATGGAAGAGGAAGGGATAGTGCTGAGCTCGGATCCTCTCTTATACGAGCTTGACCAAGCTGACCCCTTGTCGAGCAGCGGAGCAGGGACCCACACCTATCAGCAGCTGTGCAATCTGTGACAAGCCCCCACAAGCTCCGGCCAACGATGCCGAGCGTCGACTGTGCAAGGTCAGGGCTACTTTTACATTCAGGTACGCTCCCACTACGCTAGGATCACCGCCGCCTGCTGACGCACAAAAGTGACACAAAGGGGGAGCGGAGTAGCCGATGATAGCCATCCTGGCTCGGCAGCCGTTTCACTTCAGGGTTTGCAAACACATGCACGCATCTGCAGCCGATTTGTGGAGAAAACCGAGCCAAAAAGCCAAAAAGGCGAGGGTTCAGTTTCGGGTGTCGCGCTTTTATCGGTCACCCTTGCCAAGTCACGCGGCTGCCTGCTTTCCCACGGCGAGCGTTGTTCCGTGACCGCCTCTTGACGCCGCTGAGACAGCACGTCGGATGGTCCTGCCGATATGTCAATCGCGATCTGGATCAACTGGCTGAGCCCGATCGGTGAGATCCATCACAGTCTCGCCGGATGGCGACTACGATGAGCGTCAAACACATACACACCGGGGAACACGCTCAGCTGGCTTCCATGATCAACGACAAAGAAAACGGTGTGGTCATAACGGACATTGGGTGTCACATTTACATGCTTCTTCTCGACTACTGCTTCTTCTGAGCAGCAAGGTACTCCTGAAACTCCCGCACATTGGCCTCGAACCCACCCTCATCCACCTTAAACCCGATCCCCAGCGCAAAGCTGTTATCGAACCTAGCTGGGAACGTCTTGACGAGCCTCTCGCACACTTCGTCCTTCTCAAACTTGATCAGTTTCACCGCTTCGTCTCCGGCGACCTTCCTCAGTGCCTCGACTTGGTCATTGACGCTGACCGTGAAGCCGGGGAGGTTGACGGCGCGGGAGTACTTGGGGAAGCTGTCGGCGGGGATGTCTTTTGCGATGGCCAGATTTTGCAGGACCATGGAGGGGGATGAGATCCACAGTTCGGTGCTTGCCAACACCGGATCGTCGGCGTTTTGACCGATAGGGCAGGTTGCCTCTAGTCCTTGGAGAGGTTCGCGGATGATACCTGAGACGAAGGCGGTGGTGGCAGCGGCGGGGGCACCCGGTCTCACCGTGATCGTCGGCAGTCTCACCGCTCGACCATCCACAAAGCCTTTGCGGGAATACTCCGTCACGAGGTACTCGCACATCACTTTGGCCGTCCCGTAGTTCGACTCTGGCCGCGGATACGTGTCTGGTGTCACCACCTCCGGTAGCTTACCCCCAAATACACCGACGGAGGAGGCAAAGATGAACTTGACCCCAGGCACAAGCGCCCGCGCCGCATCCAAGAGAGATTGCGTGGAAACAAAGTTGACCCGGAAGCCAAGGTCCCAGTTGTCCTCGGCACCTTTCGACATGATGCCGTGCAGAGAGTAGATGACCGAGGGCAGACCGAGGGGGGTGCGGAAGATCGAGTAAACTCCAGCGGGCGTGGTCAGGTCCGCTGCGAGACAATGGCTTTGGACGCCCGCAGTCTTGGGCGCAGGAGGAGTTGAGACGTCGACGAGGATGAATTGGAACGTCTGCTCCGGCTGCAGTCGTACCAACGTATCAGCGAGGAGCGAGCCAAGGAAGCCGCCGGCACCCGTGATGAGAATCGTGGTCGCCATGGTGGTTGGCTTTCCAAGCAGTGATAGGATCTCGTCGTCGCAGTAGCTGAGTGAGGAGTTGACTACGAATCGATCGTCGAGGTCGGAGGTGTTGTTGGTGGTCCTGTCCAAGGCCACGAAGCCTGTGTCGTGAGGATAAAGCGGGAATCGAGCCTCGAGTCGAGAGCTCGGTCGGTGTTTTACGACCGCCGAAGCCGCGACCAATTTGCGGGGTCCCGCTTGACGTGGGGGAATTCAGAAACGCGGGGGAGCAGACTTCGCACGCGCCAGTTTCCTCAGCACATCGTGATTTGTGCACCACTTTCTTTCCCCCGGTCTTCCTCGCTCTCTCACCATGTTTAATATCGACGATGAGTGCAATGCGAAACATCAAGTGCAATCAGAAGACATAAAATGCAGATTGCCAGCCTCGACGTCAAGCTCCCAGCTGTAGCGCGCTCCACTCGGCCATACTTCCCTTCGCCCGCGTCGTATGATGCGCCCCCTTGACCGCGCTATGAACACTACTCGCATCGACATCGTCCTCGCTCTTCGCGATCACCCCGCTCTCCGTGCTCGCATCGTTCAACAACGGCGCCATCCTTCCCGAGGCGTTGCGCTCGTTGATCGGCGCCTTGTCACCATCTGGCTTCTTACCGTCCTTCGCTTTGCTACCCCATCCTCCACCGCCGGGCGTCTGGATGACGATCCTGTCCCCTCTTCCCATCGGTGTCGTATTCTTGCCGCTGAGATTGATGATCCTCGGCGCGGCTTCTTCTTCCTTCTCACCTTCGCGCACATCCCCATCCTCCTGCCTGCGCCGCTTGATCCACAGATTCATGCCCTTCTTTGCGCTCTCTCCGCCTTCCAATCCATACGGTTGAAAGACCCGCCTCTCGCTCAAAATCGACACCTGAATGCCCGGGCTGAGGAACTCGATATCCCTCACCACCCCGTCTCCACCCCTGAACTCGCCCTCACCCCCCGATCCGTCTCGCAGCGAGAACTCGCGCAGCACGACGGGATACCTCCTCTCCATGATCTCGGGATCGGTAATTCGCGTGTTGGTCATGTGCGTATGAACGCCCGATGTGCCATGCCAGTAAGGTCCGGCGCCCGAACCACCCGCGATCGTCTCGTAGTAGCCAAATCCTTCAATGTGGTTCCCCTCCTTGTCCTTGCCGCCGAGGCCGAAGGTGAGGTTGTTCGTGTCGCCCTGACTGGCGGCTGCTGCGTTGAAGGCTTTGAGCACCACATCGGTGATGCGTTGGCTGGTGAGCACGTTGCCTCCGACGACGGCGGCGGTTTCGGACGGATCCAGGAGCGAGCCTTTGGGAATGCGAATATCGATCGGCGTCAAGCAGCCCTGATTGAGCGGGATGTCAGACGAGACCATGGAGCGGAGACAGTAGATGATCGCACTCGAGACGACCGATCGAGGACAATTGAAGTTGGCCGCCACCTCCGGACCCGTACCTTCGAAGTCGAATGTTGCCGAGCCTTTCGCTGTATCGATGTCGACGCTGAGCTCGATGGGCGTTCCATCGTCCATGTACTCCACTGCATGCAGCTTGGTCCCCTGTCGTTCGGCGACGTTTCGAAGCAGCGACCGCACCGCCCCTTCCGCGTTTTTGCGAATGTACTCCATGTACCGCTGAACCATCTCCAGCCCCCACTCTGCCACGAGCATATGGATCAGATTGATGCCCTTCTGATTCGCCGCGATTTGCGCCTGCAAGTCGCTCTCCACATCTCGGAAGCACCTTGTCCCAGAACAGCCGGGATACTGCGCCGGCTCTTCCAGCATATACCTCTCCAGTCCCTTCCGGTCGAACTTGCCCTCGCTGACGATCTTGAACGACTTGATGCGCGCGCCTTCCTCAAACAGTGTCTTGGACGTCGGCGGCATCGATCCTGCTGTGATTCCGCCAATGTCTGCATGGTGACCTCGACTAGCGCAAAAGAAGATGATCTCGTCCGAGTCTTCGGCGTGGCAGGGCGTGATGCATGTGATGTCCGGCAGATGTGAGCCGCCAGCGACGGGCATGTTGGCCATGATGACGTCGCCGCGTTTCATCTTTTCGCCGATCGAGGCGAGGTGATCGACCTGAAACTTGACTGCGAACGACATGGAGCCGAGATGGACGGGCAAGTGCGGTGCGTTGGCGACGAGCGAGCCGTCCGGGCTGAAGAGGGCACAGGAGAAATCGAGTCGCTCCTTGATGTTGGTCGAGATTGAGGTCTGCTGGAGCGACTTGCCCATGGATTCGGCGACCGACATGAAGCGGTTGGCGAAGAGCGAGAGCAAGATGGGGTCTGGCCCCGCATCCTGCTGATTCTCTTTGGTCATTGTGGACTGCAAGCTAAGCCTTTGTCGCAGGGGATCGGCACCACAATGTGTGAATGAATGAAAGAGGTCAAGAAGGTGGAAGCCAACCGTGCGCGTAAGATGTATGCACCTCTTCTCGGTCTCTGTCGCGGCTTTCAATCCGGCCAAATTTCGACTTCTCACTCAGCTTGGGTCACGCGATCGCCGATTTCGCTTCCTCCTCATCAAATGGCGTCGAGGCGCCTCGCCTCATTCACCCCTCATCGTTTGGTTTTCTCCCGCCGCCCAGACGATATTCGACAGGAGCAGGAATAGCATGACGTCCTAATGAATGTTAAGTAGTAGTCGAAGTATGGACAAATCCGGGAAACGTGGAATGAGAGTGATTGTCCGGTATGCGAATGAGTACGTGGGGTGCAGCAGGCTTGCGGCAGGGTCTCATGGTGAAACAGCATCGGCTATATGCAGTGCGAAGACCTCATCAAGACTGCGGTTGCTTCGGCAGCATCGAGCTAGAGAAGACTGCCGACGCCGAGAGCGAACGCAGCAGCGGCAGCAAGAGAAAGCGTAGTAGCACTACCACCGAAGCTGGAAAGGGCGCCGCTGCTACTGCCGGACGAGGCGGAGGGCGAGGAGCCACTGCGGGTGCTGGTCATGCTGACCGAGCCGCCAGTTCGCGAGCTGGTAGCACCCGAGCTAGTGGGACCTGCACTTCCTGAAGTCCTGGTCGTGGAACCGGAAGCAGCGGCGGTGGACGAGCCGCCGACCTGCGTGCTGCCCGAGATCTGTGCAGTTCCACTGACAATCGAGAGCGGCACGTCGTTGGACGTGGTGCTGTTCTTGGTGATGTAGATCTTGTCGGTGTACGACTGAATGTCTTGGTTCTGCACCGAGATGGCACGCAGCGAGGTGTAGTTGCCGGCATTCCACGAGCTGGGGACGGTGAAGACGAAACCACCACACTGAGCACCGTTGGGACCGGGGTTGCCGTAGCCGGCGCCGGCATCACAGGTGCTCGAGACGGCAGGAGCAGTGCCGATGTTGTAGGCGACGTCCGAGTTGTTGTTGGTCATGAGGTCGACCTGGACGGTGCCGCTGGGAGGGTTGGCCCAGTTGACCTGGACCTGTGTGCCAGGCACCCAGTAGATGGTGCATTGGTAAAAGTCGCATGCAGGGTTGTTGACGACGAGCTGCGAGTTGGGATCCTGGTACTGTCGAATCTGGAGGTTGGAAGTGGCCGCAACCAGCGCCGGTGCAGCCAGAGCGGCGACCACGGCCATCGTCTTTGCGAGAGGAGCCATTTTGGATGAGGGTATCGAAGGGTCGAGAAGAGTGAGGACTTGATATCGCCAGCAAGGAATCGATGAGAGATGATGGTGGATGGGCAAGGAAGGAAGGACGGCGGGGAAGGAGGTCGATGCTGAGGGTCCGGTTCGATGGACGGTGAACAAAGGGAAGGGTCTGAATTTGAAAAGGGGTCGTTGCTCGAGATCGCGAGTGGGAAAGGGTCTCTTCGAGTGAGGTGCATGCGTGCGGCCGAGCGTGCCAAGCAAGCCGAGGTGCGGCGAAAGCGTCAAACGGCGGAACGGCGAAGACGGCAGCAACCCACATGAATGAAACCGCGGCATCCCGTCACCAAGGCGAGGGGCGATCTGCGGTTTTTCTTCTAAATTTGGAGATCTCTCCAGCTGGAACGGAGCATGTCCAACACTGACTCAAGGCGGGAATGCATGATTACTGAAGCGGCTTCTGTCTCTGACGCCACGCGCTAACAAACACACTCTCACACACGCACACATGCTCGCAATGCTGTCGATCTTGACTCTGAGAAATCTTGATATCATCGGGAAAAGTGTATTTGCTGATGCGCCCATCTCCTCAACACATGCGTGTGGCAAGCGGCGTCACAGCCATTTGCCCCACTCTGCTGGCGTTCATGACAGCGTGCGGGTAGGGGGCACGCAGCTCTGAGAGCCCACGACTTTGTACCGAGGGGTGCTGATGCGGGGTTAGACCCTTTAGGAAAGGCAAAGGCTCGCTCCTATGTTGTGGTAGAGTTGGTCTTTCGGACTGCACCTCGGCGATCTCGGGACCTCAATTCCTTCGTTTTGCCGTGAGGATGCCGCTCAGAACAGAAATGTCGACGGCCCCTGACTGTTCACTTTACATGCACAGCAAGCCAGCCCACTCTGCTTGTCCCCTCATGTTCCTCTGAGTCGGTGCAACGGTTGTTGGCAGGAGAGAGCCTCGCGAGTCAGTGCTTGGGCCTCAAAAGCTGTAACACAGCGTTAGATTTAAATCGGGACGATCGCCGGTGCGCATCTGCGAGATCCATCCCATTTTTCAAAAGCCTGAGCCGTGCCGCGCCTGGAATTTGCTCGAAGCTTCGCGGCTGAAATGCGAATCTGCCCGCTTTTGCTTCCAACGAGTTCCAACAGCCAAATTTTGGCTCAGACTGCCATTTCCAACGCCTTCTGTGCGCGTCTTTGGCCATCCACAGCCGTCTCTGGCAGTCTTTGCTCTTCGCTGATCCGCCAAGTTGATTCTCGGATCCAGGGTCCAACGCAGCTCAGGCACAGGTTCGGAGTTTAGGCTCCACCTGTCAAACCCTTCCACGCAAGCCGCTACGTCAACTGAGCCCATATCCGCAGTAAGGCTCCGCTGTCTGTGCGCTCGAGGGGCGTCGTCATGCTGCGCTGCCTGTGCATTGCTACAGCGGTGTGCTTCATTCTTGCCTGCTTGACTTGAGACCTATATAGCGTAGCCCTCCGTCCATCTCTTCTCATCCCCACTCCTCATCCAGACATACAATAGCACTCCTGTCCCGAGATATCAGCGATCTACAAGCCACTCTACGCCAACATCACCCCGAGCACCTTCCCATCGCTACCCATCTCTGCATCCACCATGGAGTTCTTCTTCCCCGCCGACGTCTTCTCCGCTTACCCTCGTCAGGGTCCCTCGAACCGCGCAACCTCCTTCGGCGCCGGACCCTCGACCAACGTCTTCAACGGCTGTGGCTTTGACAGCCACCCTCTCTTCGTCGATGCCTTGACTGATGCAATACAGCAGGAGCGCGCCGCTCACGCTCGGGCTCACGCTCAGCGTGCAGCCCGCGCCGAAGCCGCTCGTCGTGCCAAAGCAGCCGCTCTCGCCGCTGCCGCTGCACGTCGCGAAGCTGAAGAGCGCCGCGCACAGGCCTACATCGAGCACCTCCTCGCAGTCCAGCAGCGTGAAGCGCAGCGCAGGTACCACCTCGAACAGCTCCACCGTCAGCGACAGGAGGCTCAGCGTCGACAGCAGTACGAAGAGTACCAGCGACGAAAGGCATACGCCATCGAGAAGGAGCGCCAGCGCATCGCTGCTGCCAAGGCCGCCGAGGACCAGTCCGAGCCGCTCTTCCTTGCTCTCGAGGATCTGATCCTGGGTGGTCTCAACGGGTTCTTCCGCAGCCTCCAGCGCGATCAGGATGACGAAGAGGACCACGACGACCATGTCGAGCTCGCTCACAAGAACGACACCCAGCACCAGACCACCGCTCTCCCTGGTGCCACTCAGGCTCCCACGATTGATGTCAAGGGCAAGGGCAAGGCTCAGGACAACGACAACGAGCAGCCTATGGAAGTCGACAACGCCGACAAGACCGAAGCTGCAGCGCCCATGGAGACCGATCAGGACCCCGAAGAGGTTGGACCTCTTCCCACCACTCCTACTACCGAGACGGCTGCTACCCCTGCGCCTAGCGCAGCACCGGCTGTTCACACTCCGGCAAAGACCGAGCAGGTGGTCTTTTCACACACTTTCCCCGCCGACGCCAGCTTCGATAAGACCACCGTCCGCGCCGACCAGATCAACGTCTCGGTCGACGAAGCTCAGCGCAAGGTGACTGTCTCCGGCCTTTGGAACGACCAGCCGACTATCTCCGCCGATGCCTCGCCTGCGCGCTCTGCCAGCCCCACTCCCAGCGACAGCTCCTCCCGCCGTGGCCGCTCCCGCTCTCCCAAACGAGCCCGCGTCTCGGACGTCGACGAGAACGGTGAAGAGATTGTCAAGCCCGAGGCAGACGAGAACGAGGACGACTTTGTTGAGATCAGCTTCAATCGTGCTGAGGAAAAGGTGCAGAAGGCCTTTGATCTCCCCGAGGGGGCCAACGTCGAGGACCTTCGCGCCGAGCTCACCGATGAAGGCCTCAAGCTCTTCACTACCGTCTCTGCTTAGATAGTCCCTCAAGCGCATTCCATGAACCCTGATAGTTGTTCCTGTCCCGCATCATACCATTCGTGTACAAAGATCTCTTCTCAAGCATGCAACTTCATTCCCCGTTCCTCTTAGAAGCCAGTCTGAAATTTCGTTTGTGATAAGCTTGCGTCGTTGCATGCGCGCTAGAAATGTGGCGCTCCCAGTGTTACCGTCGGCTCTACAGATTCAGCGTAGCTTCGCATGTTTCCGGCGGATGGAACGATAGCTGGCTGTATAACCGCGTGGAAGGAGCTGGGTTGCAGTCTGAGATTGAAGTCGGATTGTGAAAGGCCGAGCTGGGAAGATGTGGTCGCTCCTTAGCGTCGCCCACAAGCGAGCTGCGTAGAGTAGTGAGCTGAACCTTTTCTTAGCTTCGTCCATGAGAGCGCTCTGGGATCTGCATCTTATCGAGATTGCGAGGTTCCTGGGCTCTGCTCCGGGCGCAACAGGGCAGCAAACAGCTGAGCCTGCAGTCACCGCATTTCAGCGCGTGTCCAACTCGGCCAAAATATTTTCCTTATCTCTTTAGCGAGGCTTGGACTGCAGCCTGTCGAATTTCGCCCTACGTCAACATCGTCGTCCCCATTTGCTTGGCATTCGAGATGCCCCCCTTTCATGCTGACCTTTATCAGCGATCTTCCCCGTCAGAGATGGCAGGAACTTGCTGTCCTCCCTCGTCGCCAGTAAGGCCCATAACGACGACGCGGGGTCAAAGATAAGGGTGCTCTTTAGCCGAGGATTCCGATCTAGCCTCGCAGCCTGAGGAGAGCCCTAGCGCCAAGGTCGGAGTCAGACCAAAGCCCGAACCAGTCGCCTTCTTATCAGCTCGAGGTGACGGCGTCTTTGTCGTGGACATCTCCTCCCATGTCCGTTTAGGCGCAGCGAATCAATTAAGAAGCTCTTGGGATTCCCCACACGACGTCAGAGATTGGTTTTCGGCGACCCAAACCAGGGCTGCAGGGTTGCTTTGTTCGTTGGCTGGCATAACGTGTTGAGGTGTGAGCCAGCGAACCGCCAGAGAAAGGACGTTGAGCTTTGGTCTGTCGCTGTGACATCTTTGGCCTCGGTCGACATATATAGCAGCGAGTCTTCGCTGTCTTCTCGTGCTCGAGTCCAAGAATCACGCTTTCTACACCCCCGTCTCACAAAAGCTCCCGTACAGCTCCAGCTAGAATTTTGTCACCATGTCATCAATGGTCACCCTAGAACAGGCCACATGGGCCTGGATCGAGGCAGGTCCTCGCAAGCACCACATGCCCGTTGGAAAGCGATTCGTCAAGGGTATGATGGCCGGTTTCTGTAAGTAGCATGGCCCGATGCTGTTGTCTCTTTGCCACGTCTAGCCAACCATACTAACCCGGTGTGCACCGTCGTCTTTATTACTAATCCTTGACCAGTCCTTTCCATGGGAGGCATGCTGGTTCAGATCATGACCGCGAACCCGTGGTTCGCGACCAACGCACCCGGTCTGCTTAAGATCCTGCAAGGTGCTGTCTTCCCCGTCGGTCTCGTCATGGTCGTCCTCTTCCAGGCCGACCTAGTCACTGGTGAGATGGCTGTCTTCATCATGTCCACCATCAAGCGCAAGGTGCCTCTCTGGGCGTTCCTCTACGGTTGGACCATCACCTTCATCGGTAACCTCGTCGGTGCTCTCATCTACGCTGCCTTCCTTGTCCACTTCTCCAACATCTACACTCCCGCCATGGCTCGCGGTGCTGCTACCGCCGCCGACGCCAAGGTGTCGCAGATCAACTTCTTGCAGTTGTGGCTCCGTGCTATTGGATGCAACGTCCTCGTGTGCGTTGCTGTCTTCCAAGCCTCCCTCGCCAAGGACGTCGTCTCGAAAGTCGTCGCGAGTTGGTTCCCCATCTTTGTCTTCATCTCCGCCGGCTTTGAGCACATTGTGGCGAACATGTTCCTCATCCCGGCTGCGCTGTTGACGGGTCAGACCGACTTTGGCGTCGGCGAATACATCTGGAAGAGCATCATCGCCAGCTTCATCGGCAACGTTCTCGGTGCGGCTATGCTTGCACTGCCCTTGGTCTACCTGCACGGCGGCGACGAGTTCGACCCCAGCCAAGGCGCCCAGGCTCTGCCCCTGCACAACGGCAAGGAGTTTGGCTCCGGCGCTAGCGTCAACAACATCACTGTCACCAACAGCCACCAGGGCACTGCGACTGGCGACAAGAAGCTCGGCAAGGACCTCGAGTCTCAGTCTCCTCGCTAGATTTCTTCGAATGTGTGATGCTCCCTTGTATAGTGTTCAGGTCCAGAGCCTCGTCCGTTTTGCTAATTGTAAACGTCGATACGCGTCCACCAGTCTGCGAGGTCGGTGATGGTTTGAGCTGACGTGAGTGCACTGACTTGACCGGCTATGTCCAGGCGGATACCGACTCGAGACGGCGAGGCTGGGTGACGCTTAAGCTGATACGTGGATACTGATATACAGTATGAAAGCATGCGGACGGCAAGTCTCCTCGTATAGCAAGCAAGTTCTCGAAGCAGTTCAGCTCGGTGCGATTGTTTTTGCAGAATAAAAAAAAGAATGCTAAAATGAGGGTCCAAAAATGCGCCACAAAAATCTCTCCGGCTTTCTTCTGAATTCACCGACACCCGAAGTATCACTCCGCCACACCCTTGCTGACGACTTTCAATCATCTCCCGACAATCTTTGCCGGCGAGTCTGACCTCTTTGTCCATTTTCCACCTGCGACTGGGCTTGTGCCGGAATGGAGGGTAGCAACGGCGCCAGTCGCCCTGCATGGGCGCCAAAGAAGGGCTGGTCCACCTCTTCGCCCTCCACTGCATCCTCTTCGCGGGACCCGACTCCCTCGTCGTCTTCAGCATTCCCGCCGCTCTCGACACCACAGTCACGGCGTAGCTCAGCACGGCCCAGTCCGTCGCCCTCGTTCAGCTCCGACTCGTCACTCATCTCGAGTTCCACCTTCAACCCCTACCCAACACGCCGGCAGGAACTGGCCCAACGCGCCGCAAGCCACGGCACACGCAAGCGCTCCCACATCACCCGCAGCGATCCGGTCACCTCTCGCATTCACTCCATTCTCGATTATGACCAGGATGACGATACCATCATGCACGACGCATACGACGCCGAGGATGCAGACGAGGGCGAAGTCTCGTCGCGTGGAGCGACCATGTCCTCGATCGTATTTCGCGATCTGTCCACTTCAGCTTCCACCAGCCGATCCAGCTCGCCATGGCAGCAAGGCGGACTCAGCCCAGGACTGGCCATGTTCGCCACGACTTCGTTCGGTGGAGAGCCACTGAGGGTGCTGGCGAACGTAGACGAGGAGTTGGGTGCGGCGCATATGGGCCCGAGAATCTACAAAAGGCACAATCAGAAGCATGTCCGCAACAGGTTCAGGGCAAAGATGGAGGCGGGATTCATCAATGAGCAAGAAGACGTTTCGAAGGCCTCGACACAGGGACAGAGCGCGGCTGGCCGAACACTGGGGACTGGCACAGATGAGGATGCTGCATTGACAGAAGAAGACAAGGAGAGGTTGCGGCGGGTCGACTTGCAGAAGCTAGTGAACGAGTGCAGACGGTCGCACGCGCTCGTATCGATCCGAAGCCGGACTGATTCGACAGACGATCTTTCACCGAAGTATGCCGACCCGCAACCGCTATTGACGTTGCTCAGCGCGATCCGGGTGCGAATCGCAGAGCCTCAAACATGGATACACTCTCGACCTCATCCTGTGCTCTCGGACGATCTCCTACCAGTCGGGCTTGAACCGGAACGACTCATCGATTTCTCGGTCCTGCCACCGCATCTGCTCGTTCGAGTGCGCCAATCAGTGCTTCAAGGACTGCACCAATTGGTCGCGAAAGTTGTGGATGCTGCACGCCAGGACCTGATCTCGACGCTCGCCACCCTGCTCTCATTTCGACCAATACGTCCAACCAGTACGAGCAATCCCGACCTCAAGCCCGCCCTTGAGCAGATCTTTCTCGATATCCTCGACGCCTTCACCCGCCTACCCGACCACATCTCCTCACCCGCCGAGCTGCTCGCCGAGGTCCTCGCTTCGATCGACAACACGCACGCTGACCCGCTCGTCGACCTCGTAGGCGAGCTCGTCGGTCTATGTGGCCAGCAGATGTCATCAAACCCAACCATCCTCACCGAAACCCAAGACCGCACCCTTGTCTCCGCCTCCTCCTTCCTCTCGCTCTGCTTCACACTCAACTCCTCCCGTCCGGCATCCACCCGCTTGCCAACCCACGCGTTCTACTGCACAGTGCTCGACCTCGCCCCCTTTCTCGAGCACTTTGTGCACCATGCCGCCTCGCTCGTTCGCACCACATCCGCCTCGGGTCTGGCGCAGTTCAACATCTGTCGTTCGCCATTCCTCCTCTCGCTCGGCGCCAAGGTGCGCGCTCTTCAGCTGGAAAACGAGCTGCGGCTCAGTCGGGCGCCGCGACAATCGCAGGTCCAGCGGTTCGAGGAGGGCGGAACGGAGGCAGAGCTGGTGGTGCTGCCGACAAGTCTCAGTCTCAAAGTCGAGAGGCACGCTGCGTGGGAGCAGAGCAAGGCGCTGTTTCTGCAGTTGCTCGAATCGGGTGCGACGGTGCGTGGGCTGAGGGTGGTCTTTGCGGGTGAACAGGCTGCGGACGGCGGCGGACCCGCGAGGGAGTGGTTTGCTAGCGTAGCGTCGAGCTGGTCGGGTGTAGACAAAGTCGTTGGACCGCACGGATGGTTCATCGCGTCTGCGGTGGAGGACGAAGATCAGGTTGAGGAGACAGCTGCGTTCCTCGGCATGCTGCTGGCACTCGCGGCACTGCATACGACAAAGGTAGCGCTGTCGTTCACGCTGCCAGCTGTAGCATTCAAGATCGCGACGGCGCCCAAGCTGGACGAGCTGGTGCTGACACCGGTCGATTTGGAGTTTGCCGATGCTGCGCTGGCAAAGTCGCTGCAGTCAGTCTTGGATTGGAAGCCTTCTTCCTCAGCTAGTGGTGATGTCGACAGGCTTTTCGATAGCACCTTCTCACTCACCTGGAGCACGAGCATTCGAACCGCCGATGGCGAGATCAAGACGATCGACCTGGTGCCCGGTGGCCGACATCGCAGCGTCAAGGTCGGCGAAAGGCGGCAATTCGTTTCGAAGCTCGTCTGGCGAGTGCTTGTCGGGTCGGTCAGCAGGCAAGTGACGGCGTTCAGAGACGCTTGGCAGTCGATCATGCCTTCCAGCTGGCTTAGTCACAACAACGACCCGAAGAAGCACGGCACAGGCATCACTGTCGAGTCGGCAACAGACATTCTCAGCAAAGGCGGTCTAGCAGCCTCCCTCTTCAGCCCTGAGGAACTGGCTCAAGCGCTCCTCTCGCTGCCCACCGCGTCGTCTCTGTCTGCGCTCTCGCAGCCGCTCGACATATCAGATCTGCGAGCCGCGACGGAGGTCATTGTTCCCTCGTCACTACCACCGACCCAAGTGGTCGACTGGTTCTGGAGCACCTGGTCCGATCTCAGTCCTCTCCACCAGCGCCGGTTGCTCGCCTTCATCACGGGTGCGCAGGACCTCCCCGCTTCCGGCGCACGAGGCATCGGCTTACGCATCCACCTCGTCGCTACCGACGCAGTGTCAGACTTCCGCTCTTGGCCACTCCCCTGGTCGTCCACGTGCACATCGACTCTCTTCCTCCCCACCTACCCGACCCATTCGCTCCTGGCGGACAAAGTACGCATCGCTATCGAGCACTACCAAGGTTTCGGTTTGCGCTGAATCAACCCTCACAACCCAAATCAATCCGTTACGGTGTTTGTCTACATGTGTATGCGTGCGTGACGTCTACTTCCGCGCCTGAGCAACCAGCCAATCGCCAATCTCCTCTAGCACCACCCTCGTCTTCTCCTGGTCCTCCTTATCCATCCCTTGCACGGCTTTCATCATCACGTGTTCGTAGCCTTCCCAGATCTTGATGCTCTTCTCCTCGCGCATTGTGCCCACCTTTTCAAAAAACTGCTTGCTTCCGTTGGGATCTGTAACCCTGTCATTGGCGCCATGATGAATCGTCAGGGGGCAAGTGATGAGATGTGCTTTGGCAGCGAGATCGTCGATCCCCTCCAGAATGGCTAGGCCGGTGGAGATGCGTACTTTGCCCTTGTACGTGAGCGGGTCTGCGTGGAATTCGTCTTCCACACGTGGGTCGTCCGAGACCTTGCCCTTGATGGCAGCTGCGAGCGGGAGGCGGCCTGCGAAGAAGCGTAGGAGTCGACCGACGAGTTCCACCGCCATGTGAGGTCGGGATTGCGTGGAGATGGTGATCATAGGGGCTGCGACGGCTACACCGGAGAGGCTCGGTCGATAGGGTGCCGGTTTGCCAGGGAGGACCGCCGAGCTGGAGGTGCCGGAGGAGCGTTCGGCGTGGTGGTGGGCAAGAGGCGTTCGTTCATGTGCGTGCAACGCTTCTTCGACGAGGTCCTCATCTGTCACCGTCTTGGCTTGGACGGATGGTGTCTGTTTGAGACTCAGATCCGGCCCTCCATCTTCGCCTGGCGTGAGAGGAGGGTATAGCGCGGCGTAGTACAACACTGTAAACGCCCCCATACTGTGTCCTTCCGCGAACAACTTGCGTTCCCTCCCCGCCTTCCCCAGCAGCCCAGACTCCTCATCCCACGTCCGCACGTCCATCACTACAGCGTGCATCGCTCGGGCATTGATTTTCATGCTCGGCAGCCACCCGTGCAGCCCGGTGGACCGGCCGAAGGATGGGAGGTCGATAGCAATGATGCGAAACCCGCGCTTCATGAAGTGCAGCGCGTGAGGCGCGAGCTTCCCCGCGTAGTCATTGATACCGTGCGCCATGACGATGTCACTATGCAATCCTTCGGAGTCGAGTGCGGACGGACACGTCCAGATGTAGTAGGTGACCCAGGACCATTTCTCTTTGTCCCACGAGCCGGATTCGAGGAGGGAGTGGGCTGGGATGAGGACGCGACGCCGGATGGCGGATACTTCGGGGTTGCTGTAGATGAGGCGGTGCTCGGCCGCAGAGTAGGGGATTTCAGATCGGCCGTAGGTAGGGTCGCCGCCGCCAGGGGTGAGCAGGTTGAGGTGACAGAGGAGGGGTTCGGTGATGACCTGGTGGGCCATGCGCAGGTATTCCATGGCTAGATGCCCTTTCTAAGTTGTCGAAGAGGTGGATGTCGGGGAAAAGAGGGAAAGAAAGGGTCCGAAGCAAAGGAAACGCTGGTCTGAATCGACTTTGTTCAGTCGTGTGACAGACGATGAGGTGGTCTATATTAAGAAGTGATAGAGGATGAGGACATGCCGTAGAAGAATCAAGTCCGCTCCTTGCCGATGTATGCCTCCACCTTTGACGCTTGCCGGGCCGAAGATGTACCGTGTTAGGCCACGGTTGAAAGGGACCTGCCCTCGTGACGGCAGATTTTTTGCAAAGAGCCGCTTGGACCCTCTTCCATCTTCTTGCTCGACAGCATCATCGTGTTGACTTCACCATCAATCAGGCAAGATGACAGTCGTACAACGAGCGACACGAGTGCTTCTCTCTGCGCGCCCCCCAGCGAGCGGGGTTGTCGCTGCATCCTCCTCCAGTGTGCCAGCCACGAGGATGCTCTCCACAGCCGTCCTCCCGCGAACCACATCCTTGGTCGCAGCACCACGCTCTTCGGCCCTCTCCGTGCAGCAGCGCCGACTCAAATCCAAGCGCTCCTCCGCACAGCACATCGACCCGCACGCAGCCGACGCCGACGATGTCCCCGTGATGAAAACCAAAGGCAAGAACTCCAAGTCCTCCCGCGGCGCCGCCCGCTCGTCGGACGAATACAAAACCACCGTTCGCAACCAGGACCTCCCGGGGGAAGCATTTGACTTTAACGCCATCTCCTCGCACATGTCGCGTGCCGTCGAGCGGTGTCGAACGACCGCTTCCACGCTTGTCAACTCCATCGGGCGAGCGGACCCTGCACTGCTCGACTCGGTCAAGGTCGAATTCACCGCCGAGGGGAACAAGTCTTTGCATCCATTGCGAGAGTTCGCCACGGTCGGCGTACGGGATGGCGCACTGATGGTCACCGCCTTCGACGCGGACATGATCAAGCACATCGAACGAGCGATCTACACCTCCGGGTCGAACCTCACCCCTCAATCGACCAACGAGGAGAACGTGCTCCGCGTAGCAGTGCCCCAACCCACAACCGAAAGCAGGCAGGCCATGGTCAAGGATCTGACGAGAATCTGCGAGAATGCGAGGGTGAGTATTAGGGATGCGAGACACAAGGCGATGAAGCAGGTCAAGAGCGATGTCGATGCTAAGGTGGTCGGTAAGAGCGAGGGGGACAAGGAGGGGAAAAAGGTCGAAGCTGAGACCAAGAAGTGGTCGGCGCAGGTGGATGAGCTGTTTGAAAAGTTGAAGGGGACGTTGTTGGCTGATAAGTGAAGGGGAGAAGCAATCAAAACGGCGCATTCAGTCAAGGCAGTCATGGTGTCGATGTCCGACCTTTTGGTTTGTGATTGCGTTCGCCAACGGTGAGGCATCTACGACCGTCGTATCGAGACCATTGTACATCTGAGACGCAGCTCCAATGCCGCATTCAAGTCGTCTTTACATCTGGCGCCATCTACTGGGCCTTGCCCCTCTTCTCAGCGCCCGCCTCCTGCCAAAATTCCTCATCGTCCTTGCCCTCCACACCCACCTTCACCTTCTGCTCCCCCCTCACCACCTTCTTGGGATCCACCTTTCCGTTCGACTCCGGCTTGACCGTGAACCTCTTCATCACGGCCCTAACCATGGCTCGGAACCAGAAAAAGTTGAGACTGTTCAGAATGACGTTTCCGACCATGTAGAACGTCTTCAAATGGTTCGGAATGGGTGGGTGGTGCGGCTTGGGAGGGGCCACGACAAACTTGAAGAAGCTGAAGCTGTTGTAGACGCCAAAGGTCAACCTAGCTCCCACATACGCCGAGAGCAGGAAGACGGCGTTGATGAGCTGCCACTTGGAGCCGGTCTTGCCGAGCTTGTCGAGGAACCAGTGGATGTTCAAGAACGGGGTGGACAGTTCCCAGAGCAAGAAACCCATGCCGTCGTACATGAAGATGGGGTGGTAGACGAGGGTGAAGGCGATGAGGGCGACGAGGCCGTGGGCGATGAAGCCGGGACCTTCGTGGAGGATCGAGACGATCGAATCCCAGACGAAATAGCCCTGGGCGATGGCGTAGACAGAGGCGGTCTCGTGGTCGTATCCGTACAAACGGTCGATGGCAAGCGGATGCGTCTTGAAGCCGAGCGCATTGGTCTGGCGCGCCTTGTACCACACGGCAGCCGCCAGCGGCGTGATGATCGCTGCATGCACGAACGAGACGACATGGATGTCCCAGCTGATGCGCGTCTTGCGGTTGAACTTGGCGAACGTCTTGGGGAAGAGACGGGGCGAGAGCTGCGAGGAGAGCGTCTGGATGGCAAACCAGAGCAGAGTAGAGCGGATGAGCGTGGGCACGTGGGTAGGCAGGTGGTGCATGCCGTACTTGTCGGCGTACGGCTGCAGCCACGCTACGATTGGATCGGCGACCGCCATGTTGCTAGCAGCAGCAGCGTTGTGTGCGCGATCGAAAGCGATGATGGAGGAAGAGAAAGAAGCCGAAGCTGAGTCGGAGGTCGGTGGTCGCTATTTTGCAGCTTGGCGTGTGCGTCTGTCCGCTTTCGGTCCAAGGCTGGTAGCCGACCAAACTCAACAAAAGAGCGCGTTGTGAAAGGAAGCATCGATTTTTGCGCGTTGCTGCTCACTCTTCTTCCGATCTCACAATCTGAGGCATTCCGCTCGAATGTGGAGATTTTTGAGGCAAAACGCCGTTGACAGGCACGAGGGACGTCTGCGCTTGTTTGCCGTGCAGCTGCACGCTCATGTCAAGAAGAAAAGCGTGTGTGTGTTGGACACTGGCTCTGACGTATCCGTACCGACTCTTTTACCAAAGCATACACTTCCCACCTCGCATTGTCTGTTCTTCGCATTCTGTCGTTCCTTTCATCGCACCCTCCTTACTTTCTCAACGCAATGGTCATGGATCTCTGAACCCAAGGAACACTACCCGGAACCTCCTGATCACCCCTGGAACGTCGCCCTCCATGTCGCCGGACGAGATTCAATCGCGGCTCAGCGAGCTCTTCTGCCCGCCGCTCGACACGACCTTGGTAGCGGCCATCGCCCATGAGCCAGGTCAGACGCTTCAAAGCGCCAAAGAGGTGTGCGAGACGCTCGCAGCTGCTGCCCTTCCGGACACGGACACCACAGCCGACTCTCCTCCCCTGCCCGAAACAACGCGGAATGGAGACAAATTCAATCAAACAAGCACCGCTCCGGCAACTGGATCGGTGGCTCGACGTCGTGCATTTGGAGGCAAGCTCACTCGCGCCGACGGCACCGATACGGTGGACACTAGTGCCAGTCGGGGCTCGACCACGACCGGCAGCACGGACAGCACCATCGCAACGCCCAGCACGACCCCTTCGTCGCCCCACACCACCGCCGCCGACGCAGCAACCGTCGAGCGGCTCCTCCACGAGTGGTCGCTCGTCGACAAGTCCTCCCTAGATCCCGACAATCTGCACCTGACCGACGAGGAGGCCGGCGTGTCGGATGGCGAGGAGCAGCCGGGGCACAGACTCCTGTCCACCCACGAGGGGGCAGCGGGCAAGTTGGTGGATCTCGAAAGCGAGGAGGCGGAGAGGGTGGGTGCGCTGGCCGGGGCGGGCGAGGTCGATCCGACTGCTCTTGCCAAAGGAGAAGCGAGCTTGAATGGAGGAAAGAGGTTCGTGGATAAGGACACCTTCGACCCGGTGGTGTTTCTTCAGCATGCGTTTCCGTCGCGGACGGTGCAGTTCCTCAGAGAGACGCTGGACGACTCGCATGGAGATGTACAACCGACGGTGGATACGATCATGACCATCGGTTTGATCGAGGCGGAGGACGCACGCAGTGCCACAGCCGCTCAAGTGTCGGACTCGGGCACGAGCACGCCACGAAAAGTAGGAGGCGGGTTGGATTACGAAGCGCTCGCCCACGGGCTATCTACAAACGGAGCTGAAGATTCAAATCTACGGGGCAAGAAGCGCAGAGCTGCGCGCAAGAGGCTGCAGCAAGAACAGCGTTCTTTTGCCGACGGGCTGGCTCCAACCGCGGCAGACAGCAAGCAGAAAGGAAAGCTCACGGTCAACCTCACCGATGTGCGCCATGGAGGCGCCTCCTCCAATCTTCTTAAAAAGGTGCAGCAGCAACAACAACCAGCCAAGTCGCGCAGCGCATCCCCCCTGCCTCGATTGACAGACGAGCAGCTGGCAGCCAAGCTCGCAGCAGAAGAGGAAGAAGCCGCCAGAGACCCAGACGCAGATCGACCCGTTTCGGACAATCAATGGCTGCTCACCTCGTCGGTCCTCTCGCAGCTCTCGACGCTGCTCGACATCGAACCCATCAAGGTGACCTCCGTCTACAATGCGTCCTCCTTCAACCTCGCAGTCTGCTTTGCACGGCTCTTGGAGCAAGAGTCGGACAAGTATCCGTCGCTGACCGATCTTGACGAAGCGGGTGACGCACCGCCGGGCACAGCGGAACGCATCGCAAACGGTATCGCTGCGATCGGATCGACGACACCAGCTACAGCAAGCAAAGCCTTGCGAGCGACAAAGGGTCGACAGGACGCAGCGTTGGATCTGATGCAGCTGCAGCTGCTGGTGGAGCGCGAAGTCGGGGAAGCGGACGCGCTGGATCCGATGGGCAGGTTGAAGGAGCTCGGTGCAGCCGAAGTGCCCAAGAGTGTCGAAGCCAGCGCGCGCGGCTACGCCATCGATGCAGCAGCTGGCGAGGGGCAGTTCGCGCGGACCTTCCCGACGCCATCGCAGGCGGCTCTGGCCAAGTCCACCGCGGGCACGGGCTCCGGCGGCGTGTACTCGAACATCGTTGGTCGCAAGACGCCAGGTCCAGTGTCGGGCGCAGCAGCAGCCTTGCGCTCTGGCTCGGCCGTCGCCTCCGTGTTTCCCGCCAGCTCGGCCTTTGTCGGCGGCGCTGCGTCGGATGACCTCTTTGACGACCCCGTCGCTGCCGAGCGCGGTCTCGCGTCCCACACCTCGCACTACGACCCCATGCGCCGCATGACTGAGTACCGTCTGGTCGCCGAAGAGTATCGCCTTCGCCGCGACGAAGCGCTGCGCAAAGCTGCCTCGGCGTGGAAGTCGCAGCGCGGCGGTGTGCGCTCTGGCGGCAAGGGTGGCGATGGCGGTCGTGGCGGTATCGCCTGGCATTACGCAGACGAAGCGCGTCGTCTCGATGCCAAGTCCCGCGCTTGGTCTCTGCGTGCCTCGCAAGCGCTGGTCGAGGACCGGCGTCGTGCTGCGGTTGGCGTGGTCCGTCCAGGAACCCAGCCCACAGCCTCGCACAACGTTGCCAGCAACACCATCGACCTGCATGGCGTGACGGTGCACGAAGCACTGTCGATCGTACGGGAGCAGGTGACAAAGTGGTACTCACGACCGGGTCCCGGGCTGAACCCGCCGCCATTCAAGATCGTTACCGGTGTGGGAAGGCATTCTCCACATCAGATCGCGGTGTTGCGGCCGGCGATCGCCAAGATGCTGGACAGAGAGGGGTGGAGGTACGACGTGGATCACTCGCGCGGAGTCATCGTCGTGCGAGGAACCAAGTAGACGCTTTCGAAAGGTGATGCTAATCTGTCAATGCATCGTACCATTCCACGACCGCGCTTTCGAGCGCTTCCATCGCCTTTTGGGAACGATAGAAGTGATCCGCGCCTTCGATGAGAACATGACGAAATGTGGAGCCGCCCAGTGTGCTTGGTGGTGGAGGCGCTAACGAGCCGCACTCCTTCGTCCAGGTGTTGTACGTCCCTATCCCCGTGAATTGATCCTGATCACCGTACACAGCCAGTACGTGGCTGGCCACGGCTTGCAAAGCCCCGTCGTTCGCGGGTGTCGACTCTGCTACTCTGGCTGCGGCCTTCGCCTCACCCTCGTCCTTCACCAGCCCCGCACTTGCGCCAGGCACCACCTTGCTACTCAACAATCCCTTGAGCGCATTCGTGTACGTCCTTGTCGTAAAGAAGCTCAACGCCCACGTCACACCCGCTGGAAAGTTGAGCAGCACGTACCGCGGCCTGCCCCCGCCCCTGAACTGCTTTAGGTCGTACACCGCAGCGGGTACGCGGACCGTGCTCGCGTACAGCCCGCCGGCCGAGTACCCCGCAACGACGAGGTGACTTGCCGTGCTGTCCGGGAAATCGAGGCAGAAGTTGTCGATGCATTTGGCGAGGATCTCTTGAAAGTCGCGGCACTCGGAGCTGCCCGTCCAGCTAGGGGAGCCGCCCGACTTGCCGACGCCGCGCGAGTTGAAGCGGACCACACGGAGTTGGGCGTGCGTGAGGAGCAAAGAGGCGAGGTGGGTGATGACAGGGTCGTCAAGCGAACCTCCAAGGCGACCGAGCGGATGGGCAAGGATGGCAAGGCCTCGGCAGGTGCGTGAGGAGGATGCCAGGGATGGGGGATCCTGAACGACGGACTGGAGGTAGATGTCACCGTCGTCGAGCGCTATTGGCAGCGCGGTGGGTACAGAGTATCGCGGCATGGTCACGACGATCTCTGTGAGTGGTGATGGTGGTCATGAGGAGAGAAGGGAGCAGAATGCCGATGAGAGATGGTGCAGCAGACGCAAGGGGCCATCGAAGTGGAGAAGAATGACAACGCTAAGCGAACCCGCAGGTCTCAGCCGTCGGCCAAATTTTGAAAGCGTCGGTGCTCCACACGAGGCCACGCCCAAGTCGATATGGAATTCCGACTCAGCTTTGGTCGTCGTTGGTAGGGATGGTCATCATCCCACGGTACTCCTCGTCGAAAAATGACTCTCCCTTGGTCGCTCTTGCCTCTCGTGTCTGTAGGCTACCGTTGTCAGTGCTGAGGGTCACCAGTCGAAGCCGCCAGGTATGCTCTCCGTCTTATTCTCTGTTGCTGGGTCAACCTTCTTCTGTAGAGCACTGGCTGCGGGCTTCTCCTGCGCACCCTCACCCCACCGCTGACGCCAGCACGCCAGCTCTTCCTTCCACAGCGTCTTGACGCATGGATCGCAACTGCTTCCGCAGCACTCGTCTGGCTTTGGCGGCGGTGGTGGATCGTCGTAGTCTCTCGAGGCTGCCTTGACGAGCTGCTTTTTGCGGATGTTGGTGATCTTTCGCTGGGCCAAGATGAGCGGTAGCTCCGCTACGTCGGTATAGACAGGCTCTGGAGCCTTGTTTACCGCCCAGAGCATGTCCTCTGTTGCCGCAGGTTGTGGTGGCAGATGAAGAGGGCGAAGGCGGGAAGGATGCGGGATGTCGAGTGGGTTCGAGATTCAGGATCTGGTCAGATGAGCCGTTATCCGCCGAACGAGTCTAACAGCCTCCGAAAAATGGCCACGCGAACGATTGAAACGCGGAGACTTTTTTGGTTTGAACACCGAGCTGAGACGTGCGAAACCAACACTTTCATCCTCCAGACGCACGACCCCCTCGCCGACACTGCATGCTTGGCATGATTCGTGCAGCTTGCTGTCACACGACCACACTCACCACCCGAGGCATCTGTCGAGGAGGCAGCAGACTTGCCAGCATGACGACGAGTCACCTAGATGCATCCTCATATCGCAAAGAGCATCACCGATATCCCCCACCTAAAACCGCCCGGCATCCGGATAGCAGCTCGGGAACAATGGGGCCAGAGACGATCAGCTACGTCGTCCACACCGACTCCATGGGCATCAGCGATTTGAGACTGCAAGTCAGCCAAGAAGCTTCATCGAGCAAGCAACCGCTGCGTCCGGTCTACTTCCGCGAGAGGGTGCTTACGCAGGACAACGAGATCGTAGACAACATCATCGATGCGAATACGGAGCGGACATGCTGGTCGATTCATCGGCCGACGAGAGGATGGTATTTGTACCTGAGATCGCCTGTACTGCCACAAGGTACAGCGATCTCAATACGGTCGGGACCGAAAGACGACACGGACCCAGCTGGATCTCCCCTCACGTTCTCGGTCAGCACCAAAGTCCGGACGCAGGCGTTAGAGCAAGTCCGACCTCGCATCGTGCCCAACGTAGCCAAGCCAACTCAGCAAGCTTCTCAAGCAACCTCAGATACGAGTACGTCGGACGACGATCCAAGCAGAGGCTCTGCAGCGCAGTTTCACGATGCGGCAACCCAGAACGGGATGCAAGACGTCGCAGTGGCAGTCACAGGTCGAGACAGGGGCACGACAGCTTCAGCGGGCCACGCGAGGCGGAGGAGTGGCGCCACTGGCTCCGGCACACATGCTCACATCAGCAAACCTTCCCTGTCGGCTGCTCCACGTAGTCCGATGATTCCAGAGACAGACGACGAGGACCCGCCTGAAGGACGCAAGCAAGGGTCCCTCTCACGACTCGCAATCCCGTCCAACACGAACTCGTCCAGCTCTTCACCGCATTCTCCAGGTGGAGATCGACCCTACTCGCCCACTCTTCCTTCGAATACCGCCTTCTCCACCACTCCTTCTGCAGCTTACACATCAACCTTCCTGCTGACCAACGGTCGAGCGCCGCAACAGCCTGCAGCGACACAGAGCTGGGCACGCTGGGCGTACTGCCTCCTCCCCTCCGAGCTGCGGCCCTCGCTGTCGCTGGATACGGACAAAAGCTTCAGCCTGTTCTGGCTCCATCCTCCGTCTGTCAACGCTGAGGCTAGGGAGGACGTCGAAGTGGTTCGATTTGAAGATCAGAGCGGGCGGTGGATGTGGAACTCTCACACGCGGGGGAAGCTGATGCTGCAAACCAGCGCCATGCAGGCGGTTGGGCTGCAAAAGGAGTTCTGGATCAGCGTCGCCTTGGCCTACATCCAGTTCTTGGAGGATAAAGACGCATATGATGCCGCCAGAGACGCATAGTACCTCACACCATCTTTCCGCATTCGGACATTGCATTCAAATGACAAACTTGCATAGCATCACCTTCCCCAGTTGTTGCGAATGTGTCTAGTACGACTTTCCAGGGACGACGGGCAGACTGGCCTGGAGGCCACCGTCGACGGGCAGGGCGACGCCGTTGACATACGTCGCCTCGTCGGACGCCAAAAACGTCACGGCGTTGGCGATCTCTGCAGCGACGCCGTACCTCGCCGTCGGGTTCAGTTGACCGATCTTGCCCGCGGTGCCTCGCTCCCTCGCCATCTCGAACGTGGGCAGTGTCATGCCGGTTTCGATGAGACCGGGACAGACGGCGTTAGCTCGGATGTTGGTCCTCGAGAGCTGCCATGCGGTGGTCTGGGCGAGACTGATGACGGCTGCCTTGGAGGCCGAGTAGTCGACGCTACCCGCACCAGAGCGGATACCGGCGACGGAGGCGGTCATGATGATCGAACCGGAAGGCTCGGGTTTGTGCGTCGGGTGCGTCTTGCGCATGGCCTCCGAGGCGTGCTTGCAGGCCAGGAAGCACGAGGTGACGTTGATGTGGTGCGTCGTCTCGAGGTCTTCCACGTCGGTAGCGTGGATTGGGGCGCCGGTAGCACGGGCCGCATTGGCGAAAAAGATGTCGAGGTGACCTTCGTCCTTGATGGCCTGGTCGATGATCGAGGTGACCGAAGCTTCGTCCGCCGCATCAGAGGCGATGCCCGTGACCTTGACATCCGGGTACTTCTTGGTGATGGCATCCTTGAGCGAAGGCAGGTTCTCATCGTCAATGTCACACACGTAGAGGTGCTTGACGCCCTCGTGAGCGAACTGCATCGCCGTGGCGCGACCAATGCCCGTGAGACTGCCACAGCCAGTGATGATGGCCACTTTGCCAGCAAGACGGCCCGAACGAGGACGCTTGTCGAGATGGTTGCGGATGCGATCGAGGCGCTGCAGCGTCACCTCGTAGGCTGCCTTTTGCTGCTCTTTGGATTGAGACATATTTGCTGGAATGAACGCTTGAGAGATGTGTGGGATGAGATGAGAAGAAGGTGGGAAGAGGTCGAACCCTGACTTTGTATGCGGGGTATGCGCCTGAAAGAACTCGCGGTTGACCGGAAAGTGGGTTCGGGTCAAACAGATGCCGGATGCCATTTTTACGGGAATGTTACGCCGCGTACCGAGATGGCGGAAACATCGGATTCCGGTATCAGCGCACAGGCAAAGCGGAGGCTGGCCCGGGCGCAGCGGCATGCTTCAGGGTCCATTTGAGTCTGCAGCTGCCACCGCACATCCGGATAGACACCTGACGTATGGACTCTGAGCTTGTCAGCAAGCTGCCAAGTGGAGAGTACTGCGTACAGATGAGAGGGTCGGATGAGGCTCAGCTGAAGACGAGACGTAGGCGATCAACAAGGTCACGGCCGTCTGCGAGCCGAAAGCGGTCAGAGATAAAGGTTGATGGGCTGATAGCTGGCTCAGGGTCCAGACGAGCGTTCCGAGGATCCGATGGCCAAACGCTATGTACCTGTGCGAGTCTCTCGATACATCAATACTCCGCCCTGTCCGCATCGTCCCTTTCCCTATCTCGACCTGGACAGTACCTCTCTTCTGCACCATCATCCGCACCTCTCTGTCGCACGCCTTACCCTGCCATCCGCCCACCAACATATACATCGCTTGAATCGAAAGTTGTGGCTTGTCCTCATCCCGACACCTGTCAATCAGACCCAGTCTCCTCGTCTTGATCACAACACGAACCTCATTTTGAGGATCACAGCATTCATCGACTGCTTCGATTGCCACCATGTCGCAGTCGAACGTTCACGTCGTCTCGCATCCATTGATCTCGCATCACTTGGCGAACCTGCGCCTGGCAGATACATCACCCAAGGGTAAGTCTGTCTTGAACATGTTCCTGGCCGGGTCTAGCCTTACTGACACATCTCCTCTGCTTCTATCTGCAAAGAATTCCGCTCACTGGTCAGGAACATCTCCACCGTCCTCTGCATCGAAGCCTCCCGCACGCTCTCGGTCAAGCAGGTGCAAGGTCAAGGTCCGCTAGCCACGTTCCAAGGCGAGCAGCTTTCGGATCGCATTGGCCTCGTGCCCATTCTTCGTGCCGGTCTGGGCATGACTGAAGCCTGCCTTGACCTGCTGCCCGAAAACACATCCGTGCTGCACATTGGTCTGTTCAGGGAAAAGGTGTCGCTACAACCCGTCGAGTACTACAACAAGCTTCCCGTCACGCCCACCGTCGATCAGGTGCTCATTCTCGATCCCCTCATTGCGACCGGTGGCACTGCTGTGGTAAGTATAGCCTCTTCTACTTCTGCACTCATGAGATCTGCGATGCTGATGCTCTCTAACTTTTCTGAACTGAACGCACAGGCGTGTATCCAAATGATCCTCGACTGGGGCGTGCCCGTGGAGAAGATCAAATTCCTGTGCGTGCTGGCTTCGCAAAAGGGTCTGGAGCATGTGGTCGAGTCGGTGCCCGGGCTCGAGGTGTGGGTGGGCCACGTGGATCCGCAGCTGAGCGACAAGGGTCTCATCCTGCCTGGCTTGGGCGACACGGGTGACCGCCTGTTCGACACTAGGACCTAGGCTTCCTTCGAATCGATTCTCCTCCAATGCAAGCTGACGTCAAGACCAGAGCTGAGCGCCCTCGCGTGTCTTCTCGATGAAGAGTGATGAGCGTTTGAACGAGAGGATGGCCGAAGCCCTTGTGTGATGGTGGTAAAATGATTGAAACCGTGACGTTCTGCCAATGTAACACCTCAAACGAGACCTTCGCCGCACCGGCAAACTCGCCGTCAAGGAGAATTAGCGTCGCACAAAGGGAAAAAGTCTCCGACTCCGCTACACTTGACGGTTTGCTCGTATAGACTCGAAAGCTTGTGCTTGTTCGCCGGTCGACTTGGCATGCCACGCCTGAAGCGCCCTATCTCTGCGGGTCGACGTGATCGCACTCGTGAAACAGGCCCTCTGACGCAGAAGGCAGGCAGAAGTCACCGCGAAACAAGTGGCGAGCAGGGCGAAGTTTTCAAGAGGTCCTCGCTTAAACTTTTCACTCTGCCCGGCAATTTGAAATGAGAAGAACAGCGGACTTCGCTTGGTGAGTGAAGCTGCAGAGCTTGCTCAACATCAGCGCCAGCTTGATCCCCAGCTCACGCGAGGGTCGAACTCGGCTGTGTGTAACGTCGGTTGCCGACTTTTTCCCCACATCTTTCGTTGAGGAAGCAAAGAACTTCGCTCGTTGTCCGTCCCTTCTTCCCCGCCCACCACCATCTCAACCAGATACTTTCAGCATGAGGTCGATCTTCTCGCGCAACCGCGCGTCAACAACCTCCCCGGGCAACGATGTCACGCGCACCTCGCAAGAAACAGACGATGCGACGCTCACCGACTTCCACCGGATGGCGCACGAGATGGGCGTCTCGGGCGCCTACGAACGCAAGGTCGCTCTGCTCAATCGCACCATCAAGGAGGAAATCGGTTTCGGTCGCTTTCAGATCTGGCTCACCTGGCTCGCGGGCTTTGGCTGGTTCGTTGACAACATCTGGTTCCAGGCGCTCTCCATGTCGCTGCCTCAGATCAAGCTCGAGTTCTCCCCGACGCATGTTCAGTTCGCCACCCTCGCGTTGTATTTAGGGTTGCTGATCGGCGCGACCTTCTGGGGGTTTATGGCCGATGTGATTGGCAGGCGGCCAAGTTGGAACATTACGCTGTTCATCAGTGCTGTGTTCGGTATTGCCGTCGGCGGTGCGCCGAACTTTGTTGCTCTGGGAGGGTTGTTGTCGTGCCTGGGGTTGGGACTGGGCGGAAATCTGCCGGTGGACGGTGCGATGCTCATCGAGTTCATCCCAAGCACGCACCAGTGGATCCTGACGTTCCTGTCCATCTTCTGGTGCTTCGGCCAGCTGTTCGCTGCATTCATCGGATGGGCGTTCATCACCAACTACAGGTGCGAGACTGCAGATGCCTGCCCCAGGGAGTCCAACGTGGGTTGGAGGTATACCTGGTTCCTGTTGGGAGCGGTGACGTTCTTGATGTGGATTGCAAGGTTCTGGGTCTACCCCATCCCGGAGAGCCCCAAGTTCCTGATTGGCAAGGGCAGGGACGAGGAGGCGTTGGAGGTGATCAGGTTCATCGCGGCGCAGAACGGCAAGAGCACGACGCTGACGCTGGAGCAGCTCAAAGCGGCGGGCGAAGGACTGACGGTGGCGATCACCACGGTGGATGTCAACGAGAAGAAGCTCGCTCGCGAAGACGATGCCGAGGCCAAGGGTGCTTTCGCTCCACCGACGACCGAGAAGAAGCAGGACGGCACAGCAGCCACCCCGCTTGCCACATCGACGCACGACTCGGACGGCGTCCCCGCTCCCACCGCAGTCGCTACCACCTTCAAAGGCCGTTTCCTCTCCGTCTCGGATCTCACCCAGCTTCGTCGCTCTCTCCAAGAATTCGACACACACCACATCACCGCGCTCTTCTCCACGCCTCGCATGGCATGGAACACGGTCCTCATCTGCTTCCTGTGGGGTCTCATCGGGCTCGCCTACCCACTGTACAACGCCTTTATTGCGCTGTACCTCGCCAACGCCGGCGCCAACCAAGGCGAGACCACCCAAGCGGAACAGTATCGCGATCTGGTCATCATCGCGGCCTGCGGTATCCCTGGTTCTTTCGCCGCTGCTGCGCTGATCGAGCTCCCCGCCACAGGTCGTCGTGGCACCATGGCCCTTTTCACCTGCCTCACGGGTCTTTTTCTCTTCCTCTTCACCACGGCCCGCACCCCCGCGGCGGTGCTCGGGTGGAACTGCGCCACGTCTCTCACGCAGAACGCCATGTACGCCGTGCTCTACGCGATCAGCTACGAAGTCTTCCCCGCGCCGAACAGGGGGACGGGAGATGGGTTGGCGATGGCCACGCAGAGAGTGTTCGGCGTGATCGCGCCTGTGGTGGGCGCTTATGCGGGTACAACCCCCACAACGCCCATCTATGTCAGTGCGAGCTTCTTCATGGCTGCGGCGGTACTCATGTTGTTGTTGCCGTACGAGACGAGGGGTCGAGCAGCTTTGTAGAACTTGCACCCAATACGAGTACTTCATACACAGCGCTCGATGTGCACAATCAACGACGTTTCATGGGAATCATGATGATAACATCGAGAGATGTTTGCAACAATTAAGCCTTGAGAGCGGCCAAGATCTCCTTTCCGACCCCAGCAGCACTGGCCGGGTTCTGACCGGAGATGAGCAGCTTGCCACCGGTCTTGTCGACCACGACCTTTTCGCCCCAGGGCTGGGTCTTTTCGAACTTGGCGCCTCGTTCGACGAGCCTGCTCTCGACCAACCAGGGGACGGCCTTGGTGAGACCCGCCTGTTCCTCCTCCTCATTCGTAAAGCACGTGACGGTCTTACCGTTGACGAGGTAGCTTCCATCGCTCAGCTTGACATCGGTAAACACGGCGGGAGCGTGGCAGACGGCGGAGGTGGGCTTGCCTGCTTCGTAGAAACCCTTGATGAGAGCTTGGGAGGTGGAGTCGACGGGAAGGTCGAAGCACGGTCCGTGACCGCCGGGGTAGAAGATGGCGTCGTACTCGCTGACCGCCGAAGTGGGGTCGATGGAGGAGAGCGTCTTGGTGTTGGACACCCATTCTTGGGCTTCAGAGTCGTTGAGGAACTTGACACTATCCTCGTCGTTCTTGAAGGCATCGACCGAGGACTGGTCGAGCGGGGCCTTGCCACCCTTGGGCGAGGCTGCATCGAGCGTGTAGCCAGCGCCTTTGAGGATGTAGTACGGGTGCGCAATTTCGGGGAGGTAGTAGCCCGTAGGGTGGTCCGACCCAATCAGCTGGGTGTGCGAGGTGAATACTACGAGGATCTTCTTCGACATGATTGCGTTTGTGCTTTGGAGGTGAGTGATTGATGGGACGACAGCGATGCTTGGTGTGCGAAGGCGAACAAGGTGATCAAGACGGTCGCTAGGTTTATATAGCCGCAAGCCGGTCGGACAGAAAACTGAGGAAGCTTCAAAAAAAAAAAGGTCCACAGGCGTGCACGGACAATGCAGGCACTTGAGCAGTGTCAAACTTTGTTTTGCCATCCATTCCTCCACTTCCGCACTGGTGACTGAGCGCACGATGACAAGACTGTGTAGTGTGTCACTCGTTCTTCGCAGGCCGCTCTCAGCCTTGCACAGACTGTCACCGCTCGGATCGCCTTGCTCCATTCTGAAGGTGTGAACGATGCAATGGTCTACACGGCAATGCACTCTTTACTTTGGCTGATACTTGTCCGCGGCGCCATTGAACTGTTCTCGGAACGCATCGTCCCACTTCTTGACCAGCGCAATGCCACTTCCAGCGCTAATGACATCCTGATCCGCCTTGAGACCCTTGACGAGATCCTCCATGAACTCTGCGATGGTCAAAGAGCTGGTGGCACCCTTCTCCTTCTTGTTGTCGTCCGGGTTCTCCCTCTCCCTGTGCAGATCGGTTCCCACACTCGGCGGAACGATCTCGACCACCCTGACATTGGTGTTCTTGAGCTGCACGCGCTGTGCTTCGGACCAGAAGTGACAAAAGGCCTTGGTGGAATTGTACACGGGATTAATTATAGAGTACGGCACGAAACCCAGGACGGAGCTGACGTTGACGATGACGCCCAGCTTCTTGGTCTTGAGATGGTCGAGGAAGGCGGTCGCGAGATGCACCGGACCACGGATGTTGATGTCGATCTCGTTGTCCACCTTGTCGAGCGCGAGGTTTTGGACTTCCAAGGGTCGCTGTACACCGGCGTTGTTGATCAGGCAGTCCACCTCCGGGTGCTCGGACAGCACCTTTTTTGTGAACGCCGGGATGTCCTTCACGCTGCCCGTATCGAGGACGTAGTAGGGCGCGTTGGAGAGCTTCTTGGACGCTTCAGCGAGCTTCGACTCGGTCCGGCCCACGAGGATGACTTTTTTGTTGAGCGAGAGGAAGTACTCGGCCATGGCATAGCCTAGGCCGCCCGCACCGCCGGTGATGACGGCGCATTCAAAGTCGAGGATCGTGCCCACCATCTTTGCGTATGCTTTTGCTGGGTGTTGACCAGTATTTGAAGACGAAAATGCGAAGACTGCTGGTAGATGGGAAGGATGTTCCGTACGTCGCTGTCATCAGGTTTTGGATGCGTGGTTCGATGGTGTCATCACCACGGCCTGAGAAGACGCCGAAGCAAACTTCGTGATTTGCAGCCGGCATGCGCTCAATAAGTTAAGCGGCAAAAATACACCGCCGTGCCTCCACCTTTACTAATCGGGGCCCGTAGAGCGGAAATCTCAGACGATCTCAGCCGATCTAAGTTGGCAAAGGCCTAACAACCTGCTACTAATTGTGATGAGGACCCTCGCAGTTAAGGTTCGAGATTCGCGGACCGTCGAGCGCCGAGATGGGAACCAGATTGCGCTGCGCTCCGCAGCGGTGATGCCTGGCCCGAAGAGCTTCCATGCAAGCCACTCGAATCGGCACATAGTCCTTCCGAAGAGCATCGTCTTCGACCAGTCAGAATGGTCGCATTGACTAGCAACGTCCGCACTACCCCCCCTACTGTAAGTCAGGACGCGCCTCGTATGATGGTGCCCTGCGTCGAAGGGCTGATCTACCTGCCGACATGACCGTCAGTCGAAATATCCGCATGGCGCGACCGGCGTGGTGGTCGGTTGTCGGGCTTGACCACGTTTCCACTTGGCTGCCAACGGCCAATCTGTGTAACCTGAAGGGTCCTCCCTCTCTCTATTTTTTTTAAAAGTTTCTTTTCTGAGACGGATACGGAATTCTGGATTTGGTTTTGGGTCAATATGTCTCGGACTGCGGAGTGGCCCTGATCGCCCCTCGTGGACGCTTGGACAACCACACAGCTGGACCGACCGACTGAGCAGCAAGACGCTACGAAAGACTGGAGAGAGTGGTTGTTCATCGACGGAAGCAAGGCTGAGACAAAGTTGAAGATACTGTACGAGGCGAAGGCAATTGCCATCAACTTCGGCTTTCTCGCTCGTGCATCCAAGATGTGGGCTTAGTCTGATCCGAGAGAACGGCTCCCATGAATCGAAGGGCGGAGTGACAGAAGAATGTCGCCATCTGCACACCCAAACCGACAGAACCCACGACTGCAAGGGTCGTCGATTTCAAACAAGAGGAGAAAATTCATCCTCGGCCTTTTGCCTTCTTCCTCCTCCTCCCCCCTCCCCCTTCCTCGCTATCACTCCTCCCTTCTGTGGCCCCCACCCCTTCGCTCTGGCTCGTCAAACAGCTCACTCATCGTCCCGGCGCAAACAAGATTCATCAGCCCTGGAACTGCTTCGTCTGCTACCTGATCCGCCTGCATACTTGACCGCCGCGGCTGCAGTCGTTTGCCTTCGGCTCCTTCGCTTCCTCCATCCTCCTACGGTTCATCCACATTGTCCACGCCTACCCTGCAGCAGCATCCCTCGTGCTTCCGCGACAGCGTACTGCGACCCTTCTAGTCTACCGATACGTCCACCTCGCTGACCGACGTCCCTGCTCTCACGTCTCTCGCTTCCAACTCCGTCTCGGCACAAAAAGTTTCCATCTCGTTCCTGGTCTAGCCTCCTGACTGCTTGCCCACACAACTTTTCGGCCTACTTGCTGCTCGACAAACAAGCTTCTGCTTCTGTCCTCTTCACCTTATCTTAAAGCCTCCCTTTCAGCCCCGTCCGCTCTGCAAGGATAAAAGCACCAGTCTGTTTTCAACAACTCGTCTTTGGACTGTCTCGCACCACCCTCACTCAATCCAGCCTCTCTGATCCGTCTACGCCGCCTCTCATCTCATCAAAATGGAGGCAGAAGGCCCTCAGTGCACCGGTCCCATGGACAATGGTACCGGTTCCACCGGTCTCCGCATCGGCGCCATCTTCATCATCTGGGCCACTTCCACCGCTATGACCCTCTTTCCCGTCCTCACACGTCGCGTTCCAAGGCTACACATCAACAAAGAGGCTTTCGACTTCGCCAAGTACTTCGGCTCCGGTGTCATCATTGCTACCGCCTTTATCCACCTCTTGTCACCAGCAGCAAGTGATGAGGAGCTCGGATCGCCATGCCTCAACGAAAACTTCCAGAACTACCCCTTCGCTTTCGCATTCGCCATGATCGCCATGTTTGCCGTCTTCGTCGTCGAGGTCGTAGCTTTCCGAGTCGGTAGCGAGTACGCTCAAAAGCTCGCCTACGACCCTCACGCCGGTGGGCATCATCACGCCATGGAGCACGGCGGCAACCCCAACCACACTCACATCCACAACCATGCGCCAGTCAAGACACACTCCTCGGACGATGTCGAGAATGCCGCTGTCCCTGCAGGCGCTGTCACTGCCGCCGATACCAAGATGGTGGCCGACTCGGACTCGTCTGTCGACACAAAGGTGGCTTTGAGCACGCAAGCATCCGAGATCCTCGGCGTCATGATCCTCGAGTTTGGCGTTGTCTTCCACTCGATGATCATTGGTATCACGCTCGGCACAACAACCGACTTCACCGTTCTCTTTATCGTCATCATCTTCCATCAGATGTTCGAGGGTCTTGGTCTCGGTGCTCGTCTCGCCTTCCTCCCCATCGCCAAGTCTTGGATCCCGATGCTCGGCGCCGTTCTCTATGGTCTCGTCACACCGATCGGCATTGCCATTGGCCTTGGCGCGCGCCGTACCTACAACGGCGACTCGACCACCGCTGCCCTAGTCACCGGCACGTTCGACGCCGTCTCGGCGGGTATCCTGCTCTACACGGGTACTGTCGAGCTGCTCGCACACGAGTTCATCTTCAACGACAAGATGCGAACAGCTCCCCTCCGCAAGGTCATCATCAGCATCCTCGAGATGCTCACCGGTGCCGGTATCATGGCCCTTCTCGGTCGATGGGCATGAGCGGGCCTTTTTTCCGTTCCTGCATTTCATAGACGCTCAGCCACTGTCGCCTTCTCTCTGGATACCTCTTTCATCGTCAATGCTTTATAGATCCCATCACCAAAAAGCAGGGAAGCGTCCCGCTCCCCTTTGTAATAGCATCATTCTTGAACTCTGCGCAAAGCCCGAAACTCAATGGAGCCCGTGTGATTGTACGGAAGTGTGATCTTATGAAGTGGGTACAGCGGCAAACCTTATTCTGCGGGACGCTTGCGGCCTTTGTGTGGACTTGGCGAAGTCTCTGCTGCTGGTTCGTTTGGTCCGCACTGCAAGAAGCCTGTTCCGCTCCTCCTTCCACTCTTCCACTCCATCCGCACTCGGTCCAGCAGCGCTACACATCATCATCTCACAACAGCATCAACATCCAATCACCAGAGCACCAACGCAAACCATAAAGGATGTCAACCTCCCCTCCTTCCACCCCCGGACCATCGTCCGATCCCGCTGATGCGACCGCTGTCACGACGCCCAAGAAGGCCAGCCCCAGGAAGCGGACTCCTTCTCCCAAGAAGACGCCTTCTCCCAAGAAGAACACGACGTCCGCGACTCCTGACTCTCCCGGCTCTCCCTCCTCCCGATCTCCGAAGACGTTCAATCCCGCTCTCAAGCAAGCCGCACTCGCGCTCAAGATGCGCGGCATGGCCGTCAACAAGATCGCCGACCAGATCGGTGTCAACTACAAGACTGTGTGGAACTACCTCGACCGCACCGCCAAAGCCAAAGCCAAGCTTGGTCCCAACGGCAGTCCTCCCGAGCAGATGAGCGACGCGGACAAGAAAGAAGCTGCAATCTCTCTCAAGCTCAGCGGTATGGCGGTGACCGATATCGCCACTACGCTCGACATGAACTATAAGACCGTCTGGAACTACCTCGATCGCGTGCAGAAGGCCGCCGGAGTGCCTCCCGTTCCGCAAGATCCCGAGCTCTAGAGGTTGTCCATACCGTCGCATCACGTGTCACCTTCGTTGCGCACCTCCTTTCGCATCTCGAGATCCCGCACATCAACGACAAATACCCTCCAACGCAGCTCCTTTCACTCTCGTGGCCTTCCACATGGGCCAAATCGAGAACTCAGCAACATAATCGCATCCGCATCACTTCCCGCACCTCTACCGATCTCTGGCTGCGATTGCGGGACCAAGCTTATACAGTCTCTACGACTGAGGAGCCCCCGGCCGCGCGACTCCTCCATAGCAACACTTGCACTCAGCGAATTCGCGGAGATTCCACTCCTATCCTTTGGCGACCTCGTGTTTCTTCAACGCAAAATCACCAGCGATCCTCTTCATCCGCAACAATCAGTCTATTCCAACAGCAGCAGTCGACAAAGCATTGTGCGGGAAATGCGGGTTCACCGAAAGGCGGAAGACAAACAATCGACGCCGCACGGACGATCGACATGCGTCGCATTTTTCCTCCCCGCTGAGGGGCTCAGCAGACTCGACGGCCGGCCGACCTGAAGGTATAAAGCCTTAGCCTCTCCGTCATCTTCTCGTGTCCTTCCTTCCTCCATACTTTCTCACTTCCTCCATTACCCCCTCAAGAGCTCCCATTTACGGTCTGGCCTCAAGCATCGCACATCAGCAACAAATCTTCTCCTCTGCTCTTCATTCGTCATTATCTACTCGTCAACATCGTCAAGACCTCTTCGTGGTCGTCGCGATCATCATTGACGCCATCGGTCGTCCCTCTTCGCCGTCGCAGCGCTTGGTTCTCCACCTCGACTCTGACTCGCGGACATCGGTGAGGTGAGTATCTTCAGCTCTGGCAGGAGGAGTCTTCAGCATAAGCTGACCATTTCCGCTGTCTCTGCCTCTGTGCTATCATTCAGCTTCGCCATCCGCTCACCACTCGCAACGACGTCAGCCCTCATCATCGTTGTGGTAGCCTCACTCCTTTCGGCGATCGTGGTCTGCATCGGTAGCTTCCTCTGCCTCGCTCTCAAGTCTTCCACTGCTCCTCCTCTCGAGAGCCCGGTCGATTCCGCAAACGTCAGAACTGTTCAAGTCTCTCAAGCTCAGCCTACTCCTCCCGTACTTATCCCCCGCAACTCCCTCAATCGCACCACTATGGACGAGGTCAAGCCTATCCGCAAGCGCGAGCCCAAGACCGAGCCCAAGCTCGACCCCGAGCAGGAGGCTTCCGGCTCCGTCAGTCCTCCGAGCAGTCCCACGAAGGGGCCCATTCGCAAGACCACCGACGCGGAACGACAAGTCATCATGACCATGGCCGTTGCCGGCAAGCGCCCCAAGGAGATTGCGGCCGCCCTCGACCTCAAGCCCACCACGGTGTCCAAGTTCCTCGAGCGCAGCAGGAAGAAGGCCCTCAACTCGATGGGCACTGATGTTGCCAAGCTTATCGCTCAATCGCCTCCCAAGAAGCGTTAGGACGCTGCCCAACGAGACAACCAGATCCCGCACGCGGAAGATGCGGGCACTTTCGCCTCTCCGCAGTCGGCCTTACCCGCACTCCTATCGCTGATTCCACACATCATCATCCTTACATTTTCCTCATCCTGATGCGCATTCAAGAGTCTCGTTCCCGCATCCTCCGTTCATGCTTCCGTTCTTCATTGTCCGCATTCCTGTATCACCCTCTTCAAATGTTCAAGTGTGCCCCTTTGATCACACTCCGAAATGCAAGGTGCTGTGAAGTCATTCTCCGTTGTTGACAGATCTGTGTCTTTGTGCTCAATGCATTGTGAGCAGGCGTCGACTTCATCCGCAGTAGTCACGCCCGAGCAATGCCACTGAGTCAATGACATATGTATTCTCTTTCGAGACCGAGTGGTCCGGGAGCGAGCTCGCTTCCGCACTTCGTTCCGCACAATCGAGCGCTTGACTACGCACAGCGAGAAGCTCGTAGCCTTGAACGGTACTTAAACACGACGTTCGCTCGTCCTTCTCGTTCTCTCTTCCCTCTTCTCCCCATACCGACTCACGACCCTCGACTCCACTCGGTTCCATCCCATATCCTTCCATCACACTCGCACCTCAGCTCGGCCATCCTGCACACATCGTCAGACGCTCCCAGCCGTCATCGTACAGCTTTACACAACATCTTCAATCTCTTCGTCGCCATCCCGCGCCTCATTAGCTCTTAACCATGTCGGTCGTAGCCGCACCTCCCCCGACTGTCCTCCCCTCCGAGGATGGTAGCCTCTACACTAACGGTGGCACCACCATCGGCGAGCGTGATGGCACACTCACCCCTGACGGCTACGCCTCCGACGGTACCATCGGCCCTGAGGTGATCAACCTGCTCTCGGATGACGAGGACGACATCGACGAGCTGGACGAGGAGATCCGCGACCGTAAGGTCTCTCCCGCTCCCACGGCCTTCTCCAACGCATCCTCGGTCAACTATCTCGGCGCCATCATCAAGAACGACCCATTCATCGAGCCTATCGTCGAGCGCAAGCCGCAGACCCCTCGACGTCCCGCTACCTCCCCCGTCCGTCTGACTTCCGAGCAGGAAGCTTCGATCGTCGCTCTCCGCCAAGCAGGCTGGACGATGCCTGCCATCGCGGACCACATAGGTCGATCGAAGAACACGGTCAACTCCTTCCTCCAGCGACGACAGGCCAAGATGAACGCGATCGTCGGCACTCTCCCCGGCTCTCAGGGAGTGGCCGCCCGCGCTCCTCGCGCTCCTCGTCGTCGCCCGTCTCAGCAGCAGCAGCGCATTGCGGGTGGAAGCCGGGCCGCTCGCGCTCCGCAGTTCAACTTCAAGAACGAGTTTGATGTCGACATCAAGCCCCTGACCAAGAAGGAGGAGCCGATGTAGGCGATTCCGCACGATAGCCGACGGTGACGACGGTGCCAGGGAATGTCGACATGGTTACATCCCGCACCTGTTCCGCACTTCTGCAAATGGCCTCCGAAAATATCGACGCCATCGCTCCACCCGCACTTTGCAGCGTCCTCGATGTTCCGCACACAAGACCTCCCATCCCGCACACACCTCATCCAGGCAAGAGCGATCGACACACCTCATCGTCATCAAGATCGTGATACAATACAAAGCAGCGACCATCCTCCTCACGTCGCCCACGCTGCCCTCGCTCGATCTTTGCGCCACAAGACGTGCGCTCCTCGCCTCGGACCGAGCAGATAACCTCTGTCTAGCTCAATCCGAATCGGCGTCTCCACCGCCCCGTCCCCATTCCTCCGCACTTGTACCTCTCCAAATGTCTTTCTCAACCTCCTCACGGCGCTTGGCCAAGCGAAAACTGTGATCTCCTTCAGCGTTTTCCCCATCCGCTCGTCACCTCCCGGCCAAGTCCTGAGCAAATGCAGTGCCTCGATAAACTCCTGCATGTCGCTCTCCAGCTGAAATACATCCCCGTCATCCCTCCCTCTACTAATGTCCGCTTCTGTGTTCCGATCTTCCTCCTGAACCTCTTCGTCCACATCTCCATCCTCCTCCTCATCGAACGTGGGCAGCTGTGTTGGGCTCCACGTATCCTGTCCATCCCTAAACGCACTCCCTCTTCTCCTCGTCACCAATCTCAACTCCAGCCTCTCCAACAACGGCAGTGTCACCCTCAACTCCCTCGCAGTAGCATCGTCCATTCCGAACACTAGCAACTCTAGCTCGCGCAAATCTTCGAATGTTGGCAAACTCAAGTACGGGATGGTGGTGAGCTCTGTGCAGAGTCGTGTTGGTTGGGGACCCTTTTCGAGCCGTGCGATGGTGCCCGTGTGCAGTGCGCCCATGCTGAACAGGTCTAGACTGAGCTCTTCGAGTCGCGGAGAGGCAAGTAGCATCTGTTCGATCCCAACGCTGAGCGGGCCATGGTCGGCGAGCGCAGAGGGGCAGTAGCCCGATGAGTCGAATTCCGACGAACCGATCTGCAGCTTGCGTACGAAGCGCCCGAGGGATGGATTGTGCAGTGCAAGCGTGACGCGGAATGATCGGAAGGATGAGGGCGTGTGCAACGAGACAGAGTGGTAGAGACGCGGGAGGATGAGGTTGTAATACCGGCGGGAGAGGAGGAGGATCGATGTGGGCGAGGACCGCGGTTCATGCGGTGAGAGAGACGGGCAGGCGGCGAGAAGAAGGATGTGTGATATGAGCTCCTCCGGGAGCGTGTGGAAGATCAGCGGTGCCATTGTCGTCGTCTCTGTTGGGAGGAGTTGTGGCGTTGTGCCCTGAGATGAGACTGTTGGTGAACAGAGCTGAGTATCCGAGCTGTCGTCGTTGATGCGAATGAATCGAGTTGCCCAACGAGCAAAGGTGCGAAGCCGATGCCCGACGCGCGTATCGAGCGCTTCGTACGTCAGCACGTTGACCAGGCTGCTGATCTCCGGGTACACGGGCACCTCGATTCGACGCTGCGGGTCGGTCACTGCGATCCAGTCCCTCCTCTGCGCTGCCGTTGTTGGACTTGTTTCGCCGTTCGCTTCTGCTCTTGTCGTATTCGTTGCCGTTGATATCCTCTCTAGTCGATGCGCGAAGGGTCTTAGTACCCTACTGGTCCCGCTGTTGCTCGCCGCGCTGTCCGGAAGATTGGTACCGCCAATACCGCCACCGTTCCACTGCGTGCTGGGTACGATACTCTCTCCACTCGGCCAGGTGTTGCTTCCCAGTAGCAGAAGGTTTGCGTGCAGCGCTGCTGATCGTGATGATAGCCGCGCTTGAAGGCGGGCACGAAAGCAGGTGCACAGCTGCCGAAAGGTGTTGCGCACGCAGATGTAGATGAGGCGTGACAGGGTCAGCGCCGCAACAGCGTCGAGCAACAGGTAGGACGCGGAGAAGACGAGCACGGGGAACCACATGCGTGGCAGAGAGCGGAGGGGCTTGGTGAGCCAGCTGACGAGATGCGTTGAACGAAGGGCGAGATTGATGGCGAGGTTGATGATTGGACGAGCGAGGGTTCGATCCATGCTACTTCGCGATTAGAGGTGCAGCTCTAAGCCACTGAGCAGAGAGGTCACATGCTACGGCTGAGAGTGATGAGCGCAGATGCCTGTGCGGTGGGATGGTGGAAGATCAGACGGACCCACACAAGTGTGAGCTGCAACAAGATGAAAGCCCCGCCTTGACCCTGCATACCTTCCCCGCGGTTGCCCGGATAGCTGTGCAATAAATTGCTGATATCGCGCTGTAAGATCGCCACATCACCGTGGCGTGCCGCAGGGAGAAAAATGAACGAGCCTTCGGCACGAACGAGCCGCGAATTGAACCCTTGCAGCTGAGCTGTCAAGAAGGGTCAGGTCCTTCCTCTGCTCAGCGTCGAAGCTTCTTGTCTAACACCGACAGCTCTGAGGGCCAGCCTCCCCAGTTGACGATGCGGCACCCTTCATCGGCGCCGATGATGACATCGAGTCTAATGTCGAGGAAAGCGCTGCTGGCGAGCGGTGCGGTGCTCGCCATGCTCTCCTCGGTTCAAGCCCACGAGCATCACCAACACGGACCGGCGGACACCTCAGTACCCATCGATAGCATTCTCTGGATCCACATTGCCATTCAGACATTCGCCTGGTTTGCTCTGTTCCCACTTGCCATGGTGCTTGGCATGGTGCGACATCGACTTCACGTGCCCGTGGCCACCACCTCGCTCGCCCTCACCGTCGGCGGCTACTTTCTCGGTCACGGCCACGGCGGCCGCTCCTTTCCGCATACCGCGCACGGCACCATGGCCTCGCTCCTCGTCTTTTACCTCGCAGCACAGACCGCGCTCGGTGTATATCTCAAGCTTCATCTGCCGGAGAAACGGCTTCGCCCCAAACTCGTCCTCATCCACGGCATCCTCGGCAAGAGCTTCCCCATCGTCGGCTGGGTCCAGATGGTGTTTGGCGTGTCCACCCTCCAATCATGGTGCTTTGGCGGACATCTCGGTCAGTGTCTAGCGCACTACATCATGGGCTCGGCCTTCCAAGCATACGCGGCGATTCTGGTGATCATGATGAAGGCAGGGGGCGATTGGCTGTCTCGCCGCGGTCAGAGTCAAGAATGGTTCGACTCGTGGGTCATCATGCTATGGGGGATTGTCAACACCTTTACGGAGCATCACGGAGGGCCGTGGACGCACAAGGATCTGCAACATACCCTCATGGGTGTGCTGTGGTGGGCAGGCGGTGCGGTGGGCATCTGGCTCAGCCGCGGTGGGCGACGAAACGTTTTCCCAGCCATCATCATCGCGCTAACGGGCTGGGCGATGAGCGCGCACTCGCAAGAGTTGATGATCTCGACGATGGTGCATTCGCTGTTTGGATACGCGCTCATGGGTGCGGGCATCGCGCGAATGATCGAGGTTTGCTTTGTTCTGCAGGATCGACCCACGGGTAGCACCGCTGAATCCCCCGATGCAGCAGTGGCCAGCAACGAAGCGGTCAACGGCAGCTGGTACCCCATACGAGCGTTTCAGTATCTGCCGCCGTATCTGCTGGTCGCGTCAGGAGTGCTGTTTATGTCAGCGACGGACGAGGAGCTGCGTTGGGCAGACGCACGAGGCGTCGACCACGCCACCTGGGGTTTGATCGATTTCAGCGCTTCCATGCTCATGTTCTTCTGGATCAACGTGTTGGTCGACCTGTATGTGGGGTATGGCGGCCGATACGGTGCTGCGAAAAGGAATGCAGCTCTGGCAAGAGGCGGCGATGGGGAAGCTCAGGCAAGCAGCGCGCTGTACGCACGTCTCAGTCTGGGAAACGGCCACGAGGGTGCGAGACAGAAAGGCGAGACCATAGCTCTCCGCTCGACAGAGCAGTCTCATGCGCTGAAGGAAGCCGGTGTCAAGCGAGTGTCAGACGAGCTGGAGCCGAGCCATGTGTTGTTTGACGAGGAGGATGAAGATTCCTTTGTGGAGAAGGAGCGGGATGACTATGAGAGCAGCGGCAGCGGCAGTGGCAGCGGAAGCGCTCAACGTAGTCGTGTTCGCAATTGACTTGCACCAATTGGAACAATCTATGGCATTCCTCTAACACCAGCACGCTGACCGCCGGCAATCCGTGATCTGACTATGATGGCCAAGTAGCAGCATGGTCAGATCGGGCGCAGGTGGCATATCGGGAGCTCAGAGGGCATCGGTTTCGCACGGACGTCAGCTCTAAATTTGTGAGAGCCACAACGTCACTTTTTTGGAAAAAGACACGAGAGAGAAAAAGCGAGGAACCGCTTCGAGTCGAGTCGCGGGCGTGAGGGAGGCAGCCAATTGAAAGCTGCTCACTCAGACATCACGCACGTTGCCAAAGCATAGAGCGTGGAGGAGCTCCCAGTGCCTATCGTCGACTCGATAGCATATCGCTCTTCATCTTTGCTTCCCACACCACTGACTGGACAGCGAATCAACGTCAAATCGCTTCCTCCAACCCGAGTCAAAACGCAACTTGATCGCGGTACATACGTCGAGCTCTTCTGCAACTCGCCCGCCAGGACCGTTACATCGCATTCGAAGCCTCTTCTTCGTAGGATAGAAGCCTCTATCAGCTTGTCAAAGGCGCTCTTGAACGTAGCGCTTCGGAGCTGTCTTTAAGCCAGGCAGGCTCTACATATTCGAATCTTTACATCAACGTCCATCAGCACATCGAGAATGTCCGACACCGGCAGCGGTAGCAGTGCCGCCAACGTGGCTCCACCAGTCACGTCGGCAACAAGGGCACAGCAACATCCTCCGCATCACCACCATCATCACCACCATCACGCTCATCATATCGCCGATCCTGCACGACGCAAGAAGAAGCATTTGCCCGCGCAGCTCGCTCAGCTCCAGCTCGAGAATGAGGACGATGATGCCAACAACTTTATCTCCTCTTCGCGAGACGCTTCCGAGGAGGACAATGACGACCAAGAAGAGACTTTTGACGACAATGCATCCATCGCATCGCTCCGCCGTCATCAGCCGGACGCTAGCACCACTTCGCTGTCCAACGTGCCAATCTCTTCGTCGCTCTCCTCCATCCCGCCCAATGACAGAGACCAGGCATTGATTGACTCTGCAGCACTGCATCAGCCTTCCAAGCTGCAGCATCAGCTCAAACCCAACACTGTGAACGACGACAGGACGCCTGCTAGCACAAGTCCACCGCGAGTGGCAGCGGCGACCTCCAGTGCTCCTCTGGCAGGCGGCGCTAGAGGCGGTCAGTCGCACGTATCACACGGCTTTGTGTCTCCCTCTGCGGGCCAGCAGCCGTTCTCGACAGCATCGGATCGCAGGAAGGAAGTTTCTTCCGATGATGACGATCGATACATCCGTCCATCCGTGGGCGCTACTCTCGCCAATGCCAGCGTAGCACTGTCGAGCAGCTCGTCTGCTGAGCTTTTACCCAAGGTTGTGGCTGCACAGAGGCAAGCAGGTACAGCAGAAGGGCAGGCGTCCAAATCGGGCAAGCCTTCTGCAGGAGCCAACCTCAACCTCGGCGCTCTGCCGCCTCCCACTGGTGGTCCTGCCGGTGCGGCAACCGCCAAGCCCCAGGCGAGCGCCGCCGATCCCTTCTCGTCCTCGGGCGCATCAGGCATCGCAACAGCCCTCACTGGCGGTACCGCCGCCGCTTCCACACCCAAAGCGCAACAGGCGAGTGACAATGCACCCGTGGCGGATCCTATTGGAGTGCCACAAGCTGCTTCGAAGCGCAAGGTCTCCTCTTCGCACCATGCCGCTCACGCATCAGCACGTCGGGCCGAGCTCAAGGACGGTGCCGGCGATGAAGGCGGCAACAACACGGATGGCGGCAACGACGGCGACGTCGAGTACGCTGCTCGCACGCCCATCTCTGCTCAAATTGCTGCAGGTTCGTCCAACCTGGCGCCGTCGCAACGCGAATTGCCCGCACGATCAGCCCACGCATCGAGCGCGCCTGTCAGCAAGAGCACTGCGCCCAAGCAGGCTTCTTCGCGCTCCTACATCCAGACCATGGGGACTCGACACGCCGACTGCCACCCCGACGGCGACAACGTGGATGAAGGCGGTTTCCAACCATCCTCGATCCCCACCGCCGAAGAGATCCAGCACTGGGTTTCGGAAGCCATTTTCAACCCAGACCCACGACGGGACTACGCCATCAACCCGCCACCCAAGCGCTACGACGCCGAAGGACGCGAGCGTCCCACCCGCATCTACGCCGACGGTGTCTACGACCTGTTCCACTACGCGCACGCCCTCCAATTGCGCCAGGCAAAGCTGTCGTTCCCTTCCGTGCACCTCATCGTCGGGGTCGTAAGCAGTCATTCGTGCGGCAAGCACAAGAACAAACCGGTGCTCACAAGTCAAGAACGCTACGAGTGCGTACGCAATTGTCGTTGGGTGGACGAGGTGCTGGAGGACGCACCGTGGGTGGTCGACCAGAAGCTCATCGACACGCTCGAGATTGATTACATCGCACACGATGACCTGCCCTACGGAGGTGTCGGCATGGACGATATCTATGCGTTTGTCAAGAGACAGGGGCGGTTCTTGCCGACGAGGAGGACGGACGGGGTGAGCACGAGCGAGTTGTTGGGTCGAATCGTCGAGGTGTACCGCGAGGGTGATCTGGATGGAAAGCTGGTCAAGATCGGACTGGACGAGCTGACGAGCGATCACGAGACGCCGACGATGAAGAAGCATGACAAGTGAGGGAGGGCGTGCGAGACTGGGGAAGAGCAAATGAAAGATATCTACTTGATATCGACTTCGTGTGTCTGTGTGAGTGAGTGGGAGGGCGAAGCGCCAAGAGATGGTGTCCGAGACCCGCGTGGGTGGGCCAAATTTCGCTGAGTGGAGGCATAACCGCCAAAACCGCCCCTTCCTTCTCTTCTCTCCTCTCATCATCACATCTATCAAGACCAGAGTAACATCCCCAACCTGCCGCACGATGTACCATCCGACGCGCGGTGGCGCACGAGGAGGAGCGGCCGAGTTCAGCTGGGACAAGGTCAAAGAGTCCAAAGACCGCGAATTCTACCTCGGCAACTCGGTCGCAGCGCCCACCGGTCGCTGGCAGGACGGACGCGACATCAACTGGTACAACAAGGACGCTTCTTCGTCGAACGCAGCCGATGAGAGGCGCGAGGAGCTGCGGAAGATCAAAGAGGCGGAGATGGCTGCGTTGTACGCCAAGCTGGGCAAGGCTCCTCCCACAGGGGGTGCGGGGGCGGAGGTGAGGGTCGGCGAGCGGCTGGCAAGCGGATCCGGTGGTGTCGGGAGGAGCGGAGGGACGGGAGCAAATACGGAGGTGATGAAGGATGGCAAGCGCTGGGGGAAGCAGGGGGAAGAGGTTTCCGAGGCGGACAAGAAGCTTGCGAGGAAGTTCGCTAGGGATGAGGTGAGGAGACGACGTGCTGCTGCCGGTGAAGCTGATTTGACGGAAGAGGGAAAGAAGAGCCGGAGGGAGGACGAGTCGGACCAGGACAGAGACCGCCGACATAGACATCACCACTCGAGCCGACACAGGGGTGACGATGGAGACGATCGACATCGTCACCGCTCACATCGACACAGAGACCACGACCCCGAGGACAGACGCCATCGCGAACACAGACACAGACGCAGCAGCCGAAGCAGGAGCAGGTCGCCAGAGACATCGAGCCGACACCGTCGACGAGAGGACGAAGACGACAGACGCAGATCAAAGGTCTCGCCCTCAAGGAATGATGGAAGAAGAGAAGATGAGAATCCGAGACATGCGGCAGATACTTCTGAGCGTCATCCACATCGGGATGATCACTCGTCCAGGCATCGATCCCGACGGGACTGAAGACACGTTGATCGGAACAGTCAGGAAGCGCATTGTACAGAGCACGTCTCGGATGCAGACACTCAATCATCTGCGCATTTGCATCGCTCAATGAGGAGCTCGAGACACTTTTCGCCTCCGTGATGAGGGTCGGTGAAAGTCTCGTTGAGGAAGCGTTGTGGACCCTGCCTCCAGTGTGGACGGTCGCGTAAAGTTGATGGCGGCAAACGCGCTGAGTTCAGAAGACGCGCTCTGCAACCTCAACTTTTTTCGGCTCGGTGTTGCTTTTCTGAACTCAGCCTCCACCAGAGACCCTGACACCGTCGAGCTTGGTCTTGCGAGGACGAAGACCTAACTTCTTCGGGGACCCTCACCATCAGCACACCACCTGACAAGCGTTACAGACGTCTGACCAGGGTAGCCGTACCTCACACCGCTCCATCATGGCGTCGTAGCGCTCGCCGCATGCATTGCTCCATCTTCACAGCACCATAGATGCGCCACCCTCGCACAAGATGACCTCTCCCAAGAAGGCCGCGCGTCGGTACGATGCTCTGTCTTCCAATGGGTCCGGCATCTTCGCCAATACATCAGTCGCAAGCTCGTCAGCATCGCCATTCTCGGATGCAGCGGTCACATCTGATATCGCAGACGTCAAGGAGCACCTCCTCCCCGATCTTCCAGCCATCGATGACCGCAGCAGCTTGGTAGACAAAGCACCCTCGTTGAAGTCGCCGGAACCGACACATGTGCCCGTACCCTCTCATACGAATCTCGAATCGGCGGTACACAGCTCCGGTCCGCCACCGTGGCCAACCATCACCTACAGGCACCTCCTCTCTGCAGGCACTCTCAACCCAACCAATCCTCTCCGCGTCGTCGCACATTGCGATGTCGACGCCGCCTATGCTCAATTTGAAGCATCTCGACTAGGACTTGACGCCACAGTCGTTCCAATAGCCGTACAACAATGGCAAGGTCTCATCGCGGTCAACTACCCAGCTCGCGACGCGGGCGTGTCCCGCTTCGAGAGCATCCCAGAAGCGCTCAAGAAATGCCCCGATTTGCACCTCGTCCACGTCGCAACCTACGCACACGGCATCAACAGGGCCGAGTACCATGACGATCCCAAGCCTGAAACCCACAAAGTCAGTCTGGACCCGTATCGAAGGGAAAGCACCAAGATTCTGACTATCTTCAAAAAGACGTGCCCACTCGGAGCGGTGGAGAAGGCGAGCATCGACGAGTCGTACTTCGACCTCACGATTGAAGTGCGGAAGCTCATGATTGAACGCTTTCCGCATCTGGCGCACCCCCCACCAGATGATGCTGTCACAGGGGCGAAGGGCATGGACCAACCATTGCCGCCTCCACCGAGGCTAGGTCTAAAACAGTGGAAGCAGCTTGGGTATGTCGTACCCAAGTCGGGTGATGTCGGCAAGGCTACTGGCATCGGGCGTCCTGAGAAGGCGGTAGCGAAGGGTGCATTGCTCGTGGATGCACCTATTGGAGCTGGCATTGTTTCCGCTCCTTTACCAGAATTGCCGAACGACTACCCGAGGTTGGACGCAGGGAGCAACACCGAGACGACCGGCGAAGTGAAGGACGACAAGTCCAAAGACAAGCAAGCTCCACCATCGTGGGGCTCTGACCAGGACCGGCTCACAGACCCATCCTCCAGTCAGCCTGGTGATCTCGATTCGGAAGCCGCACTGTGGGACCGCATCGAGTACGGCGAGACAACCTGGACCGACGTCGCTCTAGCTCTGGGTGCCGAGCTCATGAATCGCGTCCGACAAAATGTGCTTGACGAGCTCGGATACACCACCTCCGCCGGCATCGGCTCCAACAAGACGCTCTCCAAGCTCTGCTCGTCTTGGCGCAAGCCTAACGGTCAGACCATCATGCGTCCTTGCTCGGTGGCCAACTTCTTTTCGTCCCTGCCGTTCCAAAAGATCCGCTTTCTCGGCGGCAAGCTGGGAACAGCGATGGGAGTTGAGTGGAACTCTGCCACCGTGTCCGATCTCTGGGAGGTCGGGCTGGACGAGATGCAAGCTAAATTCGGCGAAGAAGCGAGATGGGTGTACAACGTCCTTCGCGGGATCGACTACAGCGAGGTGCGGGAACGAGTCAATAACCAGACTATGCTGGCCAGCAAGTCCGTCCGACCGGCCATCACCAAGCCTGAAGAGGCGATGCACTGGCTCAACATCCTCGCGACGGAGCTGGCTATCAGACTGCGAGAGGCGAGAGAAGAAAGGATCAACCTGTGGCCCAAGACACTCGTACTGAGGTACATCCGGGCTGGATCTGTACCGCGCAGTCGACAGACAGCATTCCCATTCTCAAATCCCAACAGCCAGGATGAGCTGGCCAAGGTGATTCTCAAGAAGGGTCAGAAGCTGTGGGAGGAGAGCCTGGGCGACGCGTTGGGCTTGGGACTGGGATCGTCCGGATTTGGAGAGGCAAAGGTGTTGACAATCGCTCTCGGCTTTGGAGGTCTGGCAGAGGGCGAAGTGGGTCAGCGTGGGATCGCAGGCTTTCTCGGTGCAACGAATGCGGCATCGATATCGCCGTTCTCCTCATCAGCAACAACAGCGGGAACGACAAGGCCGGCAGCAGAAGCTGGAGTCGAGGAACAGCCCTCGCCAAAGAAGAAGAAGAAGCGCAATCGACTTGATGCCATGTTTGAAACGCAAAGCAGGCAACAACAGTCGCAAGCAACACCAAGGCAGGAAGACCGTCTGTCCATCGAGAGCGAGGACACTCGAGAGCAAGAGACACCTACTCTGCCACAAGACGAAGGAACGAATGGCGACGAGAAGCAAGCGGGATCGGGAGAAGGGCATCGGGAGGAGGAGCCAGAATGGCGTTGTCCCGAATGCTCGCAGCTCTTCAAAGCGCCATCCGACTCGCCATGGTTCGAAAAGCCGTATCTGGTCGAAAAGTTGAAAGACGAGCATCAGGATTGGCACTTTGCCGTGTCACTATCGCAAGCACCAGCGGCGCCCTCTACGGCATCGTCGGCATCGCAAGCCCCCTCCACAGCCAACACGAGCAAAAAGAAGCGAGCGTTGGACAAGTTCTTTGCGCGACGCTAGGTCAACCCAGCAGAATGGTATGATCTCGACACCACCTCTCTTCATTTGGGGGTTGCACCCTGCTTTTTGTTTTCTCAGTCTTCTTAAGAACAAAATCGCGTGGCCCCTTTACGCGAAGGACATTTGCAACTCCGCGCGCGCCCTTGAACGCGTTCACCTCAAAGGGGTTTCGCTTCTTCTCTTTCACGCCATCGTGCCGTGGCAAACCCACTATATGCAATGCATGACCTTGCAAACAGACCGCCGTTTGCCATGACGATCATTGGCGCTCGCTCGCTTACCCACACGTCGAGCCGAGGGTAGATGATTGGGATCGACGAGATCGCCCCTGCCTTGCGGTGATTTGTGAGCCCTCGGTTGGGCCCCTGTTTTTTTCATGCCGTTGGTGACAGACTCGTTCTTCGTCAAATGGAATGGCGTGAGCAGCGATGCTAGCTCGACATCGACCGTCTCGCTTCGTCGTCGCTTCGCGCTCGGCACAAAGGTCATCGGGACAACTCACTGTTCGTCCAGCATCGAGACGTACGTTTGTTCTCATGCGAGCTTCACTTTCTGATCTCTCGATGGCGTCGCCAAGTCCTCGCGGGTTGTAATGCGACCGGCATTGCAGTCAGGGGTTGGCGAGCCCGCGGAGTCGCATGGCAAGGCTTGCAGGAAATGAGGATGGCGGTGCTTCGATGCTAGCATCGGCGAGGGACTAGCTTGATCCTCCTATTGCTAGTGTCGCCGGGTCAAAGCCTCCAAGCCAAGGAAAGGCCAAGCTACGCCCGCGTACAGACAGAGGCTGTATCGCCACCTGGTGGCGCTTGCATGCTATAGATGCCAGGAGTTGCGGCACACGTGTGAACTTGGCGAGACCATTCTTGTTCCTGCACTTCCAGCATAGCGAGGACAGAGCGTGGGAGCAGGCAGGCAGAAGCACAGCACCGGAAAGGAATTTCGAATTGTTTTTTGGTTTTGTTTCTTGTTTCAGGATCAGATCGACACGCGGCAAGAAGGCAGAGAAGAGAACCCTGATTTTCATGCTCGCCCGCTCCTGGCCCGGATGAAATCGATTTCATGCCGCCAGTCCAAGCTGCTGCCGCTGCTTCTGAGAGCCTCCTCTCGCTAGCATATGCCGGCTGGACCGAGAGAGCCAGCCGCCGTCCTGAACGCTGGAGGCTCCGTCGTCACGCCTTCTTCACGCAGCAGGATGCTGGAGATGCTGGCTCGTCGAACGCCGCACCGATGTCGCCCCGGCCGCCGCCGACGCCTTGGTGCGGCACCAATTACCATAGCATCGCTGCCACTGCCCTTTGTGTGTCCAACGATGCACTCTCTTTCCTCAAGCAGCTGCATTGCCGTGCCGCGATTTACACGGCGGTTTGCGCTCTGTCTCCCTCCATGGTCCCCCCTTAGATGCCGTTGAACAAGCAACAGCCATATCCGCTACAGTTGCTGGGGAGCGTACGCCTACCCTGCGGCAGTAATGTGCTCGCACCTGTCAAGAAACTTTGACCACATTGTGTGCTCGACGATGGGAGAGCAAGACCCTCCTTTTTTGCCTTCCTGAAACCCAATCAATGCAATAGGTGGTTAATTTTCCCGCTCCGCCTGCTAGCCGGCCAACCCTCGATTTGGCCGCCCCAAGGCAGGGGTTCGCTTCTTCTTACGTCGTGACACCGAGACATGCCAAGGCTTGGACATGTCGGATTCACGTTGAGAGCAAGAACACAAACCAACAATGGATGTCGACGTGCAGCTGTAAAGGGGTACAGATGTCATAGCCATTTGGCACCCTCGATTTGCGCTGTCCAAGGTCCAATCTCATGCAATCTATGCATCGAAGCGTCAGGTTATACGGAGCTTTCTTGCCTGCTCGGCATGTGTGTGTCCCTTTCAGCAGGGCCTTCCTCTGACATGACATGCAAAATTTGCTCTCCTGCCAGCCTTCTAGCATGGCTCCCCTTGCTGTATCGTGCGCTGTCCCTCGAAGGAGTGTACCTGAGTTTGCAACGAACAGGTCTCACTTTTGCATGGCATATAAGTAGTAGAGCGTCCTCCTTGACAGACCACGGATTTCCGTTCCCTCGACCCTCTATCGCTACCTACCTCCTCCAACCTCGTCGACCTCTGCTGGCCAGAGTCGTCCTTGTGTATTATTCAAGATGAAGTTCCTCGCTCTTCTCTTCTCTGCGCTTGTCGCACTCATCACTTTCCTTCCCTCCCCCACCATCGCAGCATCACGAGGTCTCGCGTGGGGCACCAACAACAACTGGGGTCCTTCTGTTGCCAAGGGCCTTATCGAGTGGTACTGGCACTGGCAAGACGGCCCCAACTCGCGCTTCAACGGCAAGCTCGAATTCGTCCCCTGCTTCTGGGGTCCCAAGTACTACAGCCAATGGAACCAACGCAAGCAAGAGATGAACCAGAACGTACCATCGGCGCTTCTCGGCTTCAATGAGCCTGACATCAGCGGGCAGTCGAATCTGGACCCCACCACGGCGGCGAATCTGTGGATGAAGGAAATTCAGCCATGGAAGAAGCGTGGTGTTCGACTCGGTTCCCCTCAAATCGTATATAACCAGGACTGGCTCGGCAGCTTTATGAACATCTGCCGCAGGAAAGGGTGCACGGTCGACTTCATTGCCATCCACTGGTACGGATCTTGGAACGACCTCGCTGGACTCCAGCGCTACGTGCGTCAGGTGCGCGCCCGATTCAACCTGCCTATCTGGATCACCGAGTACGGCGTCACTTCCTCGTCCGGAGGAAGCCAGCGGCAAATCAAGCAGTTCCACATGGACGCGACCAATTGGCTCAACTCGCAGAGCTACATTGAACGCACCTCGAACTTTGGCAGCTTCCCCGTGTCGCGACCACCCGATGCCTTTGGATCCCGCCTCAACGCCATGTTCAACGGCGACGGCAGCCTGCGCGATCTCGCCCACTGGTACGTCTGGTCCTCTGGCAACTCGAGACGCAGTCTCAGGGCAGACAATTCGACCGCAGAGGACGACTTTGAGCCTACCAAAAAGGAGGTGCCCATCTTCGAGAAGCCCGCCAGCTTCAGCCACGAGCTCGATCTCACCGAACTCAGTGAATAGAGACCGGAACAGGATCAGGCCGCCACCGTCATCCGACTGCTTGGATAGCAGCACAGTGAATGAGTTCGGGGCCAGGTCCACTATCATTCTTTCTCATTAGACTATCCTCGCCTCCATGGACTGGGAGCGAGCGCCGGATCGTGTACTATTATTCAATGTCATGGGTTCGTGCCGGCACACCACCAATATACCTGCTATGACAAAAAGTATCCGAGCTCGCGCGCACCTTGTCCCTGTGGGCGTATAGCCAGCCAGATGCGCTGAACAGTCAGCCAGAGGAGTCGTAACAATGTGATGGAAGGTGAGACAAAGAGAACCAAGACGATGAGGAGCTTTGACAGCTGTCGAACAGAGCTTTCCTCACTCAATGCCGCGGCATTCGTCCGCAGTCTAACATCCCAAATTTGCACGTCGGCTAGAAATGCGGCAGCAGAACAGCGCAGCGCAGCGCAAAAGTCGGTGTTTTGACCGGCAATACTTTTTGGCGCCACCAATTTTCGACTGCTCGCTTTGCCGGAGTCACACCGCGCTGCGCAGAGCGGGCTTCCCCGCAATCAGAGGCTGTCACTTTGGGTTGACATGAAGTTGCGCAGCTTGATGTTGGCTCCCTCCTTGTCACCACCAACACCACCCACAGACAAGGGCAGATCCAGTGGGGCACTCTAACATGGTCCTGTCGAGTCAGACTCATTACTTTGACAGTCGGTCTCGTTCATTCGCCCATTAATTTTTGCGCCGTCCGCCGACAGGTTGACGCCGACCCACGATCACAATACACTCCAACAGGCACCTCATAGAGCAGCTCCCACCTCCGCAAACAAAAAGACATCTTCAATATGTCAATCCCCGTCGACGTATCATCAGCGACACGGTCGCAACCTACATCGTCGACCGAGTCGAAAGACCCCATGGACACGACCCCGTCCAATTCCACCGACCTCTCGACCACGGACAACGTGCAGCTCTCCGATGCCGCGTTCACAATCCGCGAAGGCGGCTACGGTTGGGTCAACGTCGTCTGCAGCATTTTCGTCAACGCCTCCACCTGGGGCGTCAACACCACCTTCGGCGTCTACTTTTCCTACTACCTCCAGAACGACTACTTTCCCGGCGCCACGCCGATGCGCTATGCCTACGTGGGCGGTCTCTCCATTTCGTCCTGCATGCTGGTTGCTCCCTTCGTCAATCTGCTCTGGCGCTCGAGTGGCTGGTTTAAGACGCCTCTTTACCTGGGCATGGTCCTTGTCTCCCTCGGTCAGATCGGCGCAGGACTGAGTCGGACGTACGTCCAGCTCCTCCTCACCCAAGGCTTTGTGTTCGGCGTAGGTCTGGGACTGGTAATGATCCCGACCCAGCCGCTATTGAGCCAGTGGTTCAAGCGCAAGCTCAGCTATGCGCAAGGGCTCTCGGCAGCAGGAAGCGGTCTCGGCGGGTTGATCCTCGCAAACACCACACGCTACCTCATATCGCACAAATCGCTCCAGTACGCACTCATCTGCAACGGAATCGTCTCGCTCGTCGTCCTCTTCCCCTGCATCACACTGATGAAGTCGACCGAGCCGCAGACGCTTCGCATCATCCCATCGCGCTTCCGCAAAACAACAGAACTGCCACCGACAGCAGCGAGGATCCGCAAGAACCCGCTCGAGCTCAAATGGCTCGTCCATCCAGGGTACGCTTTCGTGCTGCTCTTCGGCGTGTTTTCGATGGTCGGCTACTTCGTGGCCATCTATTCACTCGCTGCGTTCGCGAGCTCCGGTCTGGGCTTGACGCAAGCGCAAGCGTCGACGCTGCTAAGCATCCTCGCTGCGGCGCAGATGGTCGGGCGGCCACTGTGCGGATTCCTGCTGGACTTGGTTGGGCGACATCCGTGTACGATCATCATCCAGACGTTGGCGGGGCTGACGTGCTTCGCCTTCTGGCTGCCCGCCCGAGGGTTTGGCTTGCTGGTGGTGTTTGCTATCACACAGGGGCTGTTGGGCGGGACAATCTGGTCGAGCGTCGCCCCGCTCTCCGCCGAGGTGGTCGGGATCCGGGATCTGCCCAGTGCACTAGCGGTCTTCTGGCTCGTCATGGTCCTCCCAGGTCAATTCGGCCAACCTATGGCGATTGCGCTGATCAACTACAGTCAGGATCATCTGGGGAGAAAGGGTGCGCAGGCGTATCTCATTTCCATTGGATTCTGCGGCGCTTGTTTCGTGGTCAGTGGTGTAATGCTGGGCTTCAGTTGGATGTTTGTCCGGTCGAGAAGTCGGGCTCAGCAGATGGAGAGTCAGCAGTCCTCAGAGCAACAAACCATAGATACCACGACACCGTCGACGGCGACAGCACAAGAAAAGGCGTAGCAATGCAAAACGAGTCGCAGCGCATCGCTGCGAACAGCTTACTGATCCAAGCGCGTGTTTTGTTTCAACAAGACGGTTTTGCGAGCTGAGTTCACTTCTGCTGAGGACCTGACTGAGTGTGATGCCCGAACTCGAAGGGCTGCCAACGGATGTATAGTATTGCCGAGGCCTAGAGAACGGAATCCTACCCTTGGGCGCAACCTTTCGACTTGCAAAAGCCCCTCGAGCGTTCGAAGCAAACAGGCGAGTCGCCACCACTGGCTATGCGCGCCTCGCACTCGCCAAAGCACCGCGAGTACAGCGCACATGTCAAGTTGCCCGGCACAAACGAGTTCTTCTTGCGCTCTGGCTGGTGCGCGAATTGCTTCTTGCGCTCTTCGCCCTCGCCTGCATCCTCGTTCGCTGGTGCCTCTTCAGAGCGCGTGGTGAGCTTGATGCTAGGGTTGTCGAGGCTGAACGTTTGCTGGTAGATGTTGACAAAGACGCAGCCGTCCGTCTGGTCGCACGCCGTGAGGCATTGGGATACACTACGGACGAGGCCCCAGTGGAGAAAGGAGGAAGGGTCCGAGACGACCGAGCCGAAGAGCTTGTGCTCGTAGGCGGTCACCGGACGCTTGACGTTAGTGAAGAGGGACTGGTAGCCGGCGTGACACTGAGCTGTCGACACGGATCGCCTGGATAGCGATGAGCCGTTGCCCTGGCGCTGCTTGGTGGCGACACTACCAGCGCTATAGTCGGGGCTTTTGATCCAGGCAGCGGCAAGGCTGTTAGCGGCGTTGACATTATGAACGCCGTCATAGGGTCTTTGAACGAAGGCAGCGACAGGTCTGCCAGGTACGCTGCCCACCTCTTGCTCGCCGAAGAGATTTGGGTTGCCAGCACATTTATTGGCCCGATCCACAAAGCCCTCCCTCGCCCTGGCCGCCTGCACAAATCCGACACACTTTGCCGTACAGTGCGCCGCCATGGTCTTAGTGAACGTCGTCGACGCATCGCCGAATCGACTCCATCCCTCCAGCAATTCCACCAATCCTTCCTCTTTCTTCAGAGAGCGACAGTACGGAAACGCCCCTTCCATCAGCCTGACACACAGATCCGCGCTACCGTCGCATTCCTCATCGCCTGTTCGTGGCCACAGCGGAGAGGAAGTTTCGAGGGCACGACGTGCTGCCTTCCCACCTACCGCGCTTGCTGCCCCCGTCGCATCTTCCGAGCCCGTCCGTTGTGTCCCACCCGTCGCCACTTCTACATCCGTTGAGCCCTTTGCCGTCGCCGCCTCAGCCGCAATAGCGGTACGATTGGCCGCCTGCGTCTGCGCCTTCTCGATCTCCCTCGCTTCCAAATACTGCAGCAGCGCGACACCGATCTTGGCGCCCGCCTGGATGCCCGCGAGGATGACGGGCATCATCTGCGTCAGGATCTGCATGCCGCCCATCCCACCGCCCATCATCATCATCGCCGGACCAAGCGGGGTGCGCGGGAAGATGCGGATGCGAGGAGGTGGGGGTATGGACGCGTCCGACTCGCGAAAGGCCGCCGTGACGAGCGTGAGGATTTGATAGGCGGTGTAGGGGTCGTCGATGTTGCGTCGTGCTGGTGCCGGAGGAGGGCTGGCCGCATCTTGAGTGGTCACACTTGGAGCACCCTGATTCGCATCGCCACCCTGAGTGATCAAAGAGGGTCCGCCGGCATCTTGGAGCGCTTCTAAGCCCGTTGCGCCTGGTGGATGGTCGTTTGCATGCGCCACGCCTGCCTGCTTGCCCAAGCCGATGCCGTGGTTCACAACGTCTTCGATGGCGCCAAAGCCCGAGCTCTGGCCAGAGAGCAGGCCAGCGACGAGCGAAGTGATGGACGAGCCCAGGCCAGCGCCCTCGTTGTTCACACCTTCATCCGAGTCGCCCGTGGTCCCCGACCCTTCGCCCATCTGGGCCGAGTGCACCGCCTGATCAGCATTGATATCATTTCTGACGATCTCTCCGATGTGATCGGGCGACGGGACGAGTCGTTTTCGCAGTGCGGGGGAGCCGTCACAGCTGCCATCCGCAGCATTGACCGCCGCCAAATGCCCGTTATCGCCCGCATCGATGCCGTGGTCGACCTGACCACCGGTCGGGATGACTCTCTTCTGATGGGTCTTGCAAGCGTTGGAGACGTCGACAGGGACGTTTCCGTGCAAGCAGAAGTTTGTTCCAGTGACACCTTGAGTGTCGCGTCGCATGTGATCCGGCCTCTTCCCTGAGTCGCTGCTGAGTCTCGGAAAAGCCTTGGGAGTGTGGGATGAGGGCGCAGTGCGACAGGCAGCGCGATCTCCGCCATCCCAAAGGGGGATGTCGTAGACATGGTCGAATGTCCATCCGGGGAAACTGGCTTCGTGGAACGGCTCAAGTGCTCGGCCGTCTGAAGAGGTGCGGAAGGGACCCTGTGCAGGAGTCCAGATGCGTGAACGCTTTCCAAAGACGCGTCTCGATGTCGAGCGATCCTCCTTGGGAGGGTGATGGTGGTGACGATGATGATGATGATGATGCCCTGGATGATGATGGTGAGACGTGTGGTGATGGTGAAATTCGACGAATTCTTTGGTCGCCGAAGCTAGGGTGAAGATCGAAAAGAACGTGGCCAGCCACAGAGGGGCCGAAAGAGTGTGGACTCGAACCATGATCACGGAACAGCGCAGGGGAGATTGTGATTGGGTGAGGCACCGGAGCTACGGGCGACGTGAGGAAAAAGCGGGGCTCTTTTTATATGCGAATGTATAGCTCAGCCCAAAGTAGGGCCTCAGCGGCGTGTTCGAAGCTCGATGCGGTTTTTCGACATACAGTACAAGCAATGAGCCGCAGCGAGTCGTTGCAGCTTTTGGTGCTGGATTCGTCTGACATCGATGAAAGCCGCGGAGTGTCCAGGAGTATGTTCAGCGGACGGATCGCTGTCGTGCCGCGTCGCTGAGATGAGCTTACACCCGCGCCGTCAGCGATCAACGTCCGAATGCAGCTACTGATGAAAGCAGATCAAGGCGTGACAAGCAGCGGTGTTGCTCGATCAAGATCATTTGCGCTCGTTCCCCCTGCGGCTGTCGAGGTGGGCGCAGACAGCGCCGTCGAGCTCCGAGCGGCTTCTCATGTGCGGATCCGCAGATCAGACTGGTTCAAGACCAACGTTCGGAGGACAGCCGCGCGACGATCGTTGTCGCAGGCATCGACATTCGATTCACCGGCGGCTCTGCGACACGTCATCATCATTCCGACCATCTCAAGCGCCTTTCGTCTGATGCCTGCGATTCTATTGCGTGCGCTTTTTCAATCATACAATTCTGATGCATCTACTTGTGCTGCCGAAGTGGGCCGATTCTACTTCTCCTCGTCCTCATCGTCATCCTCGGCATCCTCATCCTCACCCGAATGCCAGCCGTACACGACGACCGTGGCGAGGCCGAGCAGACCGGTGATGGTGCACCCGGTGAACGCGGCGATCGCCCTACCCGTCCAACCTGACTCGAGGTACGTCGGGCCCTTTGCCAGCCCGTCAAAGTCGGTGGTCGAGTTGAAGCCGACGGCGTTGCCCGAAGTAGCAATGTTCTGCACACGACACTGATCCTTGATAAAGCCGGGCACACTAAGGTAGTTGTCCGAAAGCACCTCTGGCGCCTCGATAAAGATGCTTGCCAACCCGGAGACGAGATGCGGGTCGATGTGGCAGTGGAAGAACCAGGCACCTGGATTGTCCGCTCTGAATCGCAAATAAGCCGATCCACCGGGGGGCACCATGACCGTGTCCCTACGCATCGGGTTGGTCTGGTTGGGGTTGAACGGTGGGTTGATCGCCGGATCGCTCGAGGTGAGATCCTGACTCTTGTACACCACCTGGAAATGATGCCCGTGCAGATGGAACGGGTGCTTGCCCGCATCCCAGTTGAAGAGCATCACCTCGACCATGTCGTTGTGACGAATGACGAACGAGTTGGAGTTGGGACCGTAGATCGAGGGGTTCGAGGCGAGAGGACCCATGGTCTCGGCGGAGAACAGCGCCGGCGTGTGAGGTGCGACGTACGAGATGTTGTTGAACGCCGCATAGTTCTCCCCGTTGGACATGGTGTCGAACGAGACGTCGAGTCGGTGCACCACGTCGGGGTTGACCATCGGCTCGACGTTGACTGGCTCGAACTGGAGATCGTCAAAGTAGGTGTACTCCTCGATGATCTTCTCGGGTCCGAACTCACCGACGGGTGCGTTGGGGTACGAGATGGTGGCGCTGACGTTGAGCTGCAGGTCGTCGGGAACGACATCGAACATGTCCTCGTCCATGTTGGCGTGCAGCTTCCAGTTCTGGGGCGAAGTGTCGTTGCGCGCGGTGACGAGCACGCTGAAACGCTGAGCAACGGCAAGGGAGAGGAAATCGACCGAGCGAGGCAGCACATCAACACCCTCGATCTCGATCACCTGCATATCGTGGCCAGAAAGGTAGAAGTAGAACGCAGCGAGGGCGGACATGTTGATGACACGCAGTCGGTAGGTCTTGCCAGCCTCGAAGGGGAGCGTAGCGTTCTCGCTGAAGCCAGGCAGATACTCAGCGGCGGAGCTGTTGGAGGTGTGGGCAAAGTAGATGAGAGCCGACTTGGGCACTGGCTCAGCACCGGTAGGGTTCTTGCGGTTCATGAATTCGTTCTTGACCAGGTCCGTGTAGTTGGAGTGGTACCAGTCGCCGAGGATGACAGTGTAGTCGTCGTCGTACTGGTAGTGCATGTCGACGGCCTCATCAGGATGAATGATGACGGGGGCACGGAGACCGTCGGTGTACTGGTCGTTGTTGTGGGCGTGGATCCAGAAGGTGCCCATCTGCTTGCGACGCGCATCGGGCGATGCAGGCGAGTTGAGAGTCTCGTAGGTGAAGCTCTGACCGGGAGGGATGGGACATTGAGTGATGGCAACGGCACCGTCGTAGTATCCGGTGCGGTTGAAGAACATGCCGTGGGAGTGGAGCGAGGTGCCGACGCCCGTCTCGAGGTTGTTGGTGGCAGTGACGCGGAGGACATCGGAGGCGTTGACGTTGATGATGGGAGGAGGCCATGTTCCGTTGACGCCGATGACATGCCTTGGGAAGAGACCGTCTGGGTTGACATCGGGCACCCAGTTGATGTTCCAGTGGTGCTCGACGGTGGCAGCGCTTGCGATAGAGAGCAGCGAGCATAGTGACGAGGCGAGCAACGCCAGCGACGGTATTGCTGAACGACGACGTGCTGAGACCATGATGGTGACGATGTGCTTGACGACCAGCTCGTTCGCGGTCTATGAGGAGTGGATGATGAAGGTGAACAGAAACGGAGGAGCCGAGCCTCTCTACTTGAACAAGAAGCCGAGATCTCGGTACAGGCAATCAGCTGAGAGTTTGACGGCGCTGAGGTGGGCGAGAGAGCGGAAGTTTGGGGCGAGAGCGGCCTTGAAAGAACTATCAGATATGCGACGATGAGACGGGCAGAAGAAATTTTTGCCTGGGTAAGTAGCGCTCTACTCGGGCTGGTTCGATCTGATAAGCCGTTGCGAGGAGAAGTGCCGAAGTAGCGCGTTGATCAGAAGATCATGTGATGGGTGGGCACGGAAGAAGTTGGTGGCGGAAAGCCGAAGGAAGTGGGCGCTGTAATGCTATTGGTTGTCCCGCTCCTCTGTCGGAAGGTAGCGGGATCGGTTTCGAGTATCGAGTGGGACTGTTTGGCGAAAGTGGCTTGAAGATGAGCCGAACAATCCAATGGGAGCTTTGACAAGGAGAGGAAGAGTGAGGCTACTCGGGAGTGGGGGCAAGGGAAGCCGATGTCCGTGCAGAAGGCGTCGGTCCTCTAGAGTGGGTAGTGTCTCGATGAGAAAGCTGAAAGACTGGGCGAGGCTCACAGGAACAATCGGCGCAAAAGACGGTCAACGCCTATGAAGGAACAAGTTCTGCTGAGAAGAAGAGCTCGGCAGGGCGCAAAAGCGGTCTATCTGATCCCATCTGATAAAGAATTCTCGAGCCTAAAGGGAGGGGGCGGACCGAGGCAGAAGGGATTCGCGTGCCGCGGTAAGCCTCCCGCTCTTGCAGGACAATGGGCAGCCGAGGCTGGCGTGGGACCAAATGAAGTTTTGAGCTGCACCGCGCTACGAATCACCGCCCGACCCTCGACCAAAGAACCTCGAAGGGCCGTCTAATTGGTCTCGGCTTGCGTCGATGAAAATTTGCGTGGGCATGGGGGCGAAAAGCGAGAGCTTGCCCATTCTCGCCGGTGCAGGTGAAAGCGTGAGCGTCGGAGGCTGAAAGCCCAGAGGACCGCCCATGCATGCTTTGCATATCGAACGATGTGAGCCTCGTCAAAGTGGGGCCTGGCTCATTCAAGAGAGCGGAGCTGGACAAGAGAAACCAATCAGATTGAGCTTTGCTTGTTGGTGAAACTCTGCAGTCCGCTTGGTTGGGCCGTGAGCCGCTGGTCCACAGCCTAAGGCTCGCTTGCCCGCCCGCGTGTCCACTCGAGCCGAGGGTGAAAACCCCTTTCAGGCAGGCAAGGCTTTCTTCTATCTGATAACCCGCTTCACGCACAAGATCAGTGTTTTCCTACGCCACGCTCTTTTGCCTCGTATCGCTCGAGCTTGGCTTTGAGCTTGTCCCACGCCTGTCTGCAATTGTGGGCTTCGGCACTTGCTTCAACAGTTCGGCCGGCCCTCTCCGACCAGACTCGAGGCCTTGCATCTATCCAATCAAGCACTGACCGTGAGAACAATGCATCAAAGGTGGCTTAAACATTGTCTTCGCTAGGTCCTTAGACCTGAGGGGGCAGTCACACAATGAGACAAACGAGCTTTCGGGTTGACCGTCTTCCGTAGTCAATTGGGCCTGGACAGGCTCCGATCAAGTGCCCGTGCGGCAGGAGCCAACTTCGTAAGACCTGCAAAGCCGTTGCCTCTTTCATGAGCACAACGAACGACTCTCAGATTGGCTTGATCTGATAAACTTTCATCGCTCAATTCTTTGCTCTCGGTCCCACTTCACGTCTCTCTCTCCTTTCCCACTCTTGCCGCTACAACAGCCACTTCCGAATCCTTCTCCTTGAACTTTTCCACCAGTTTGCAAGCCTCCTTTTGGTTTGTCAGTGTCCGATTGGTCCACAGCCGCGCTTCCGAACGCTCCCGGAAGCCCACTTCGACCTTCGCTTGGAGACCATTGGCCCAGCTCGACCGTTTCTTCTCTCCTTCACCTGGTTTGACCGGCTGAACTTCTGCTTGTACAGCAGAAAAGACCTTGCAAAGCCTCTTGTCCAGTCTTGTGGCACTCGCCCCTTTCGACAGCCTTATCAGATCCGAGCGAGACTTCTCTTCGATAGAGCCTTCCTAAAAGCAAATCTCGCCACCACTTATCTGGCCCTTCCTCGCCCCTTTTCGTCCGTCTCGACCACCTCTCCCAAATCACACCATCATCGCAAGGCAGCACACCGCCTTTGACACTTCATCATGTCGGCGACAGGCAACAAAGTGTTCGCGCCCGCGATCTTCTTCATCGCTGCGCGCGAGGCGCTCGAAGCCTCGCTCGTCATCGGCATCCTCTCTGGTATGCTCGAGAACCTGGTCATGCACACCTCGTCCACGGATGATCACGAATCCGAATCCTCGCTCAGCGAAGCCCAAAAGACCGAGGCGGACAACAAGAAGCGCGCCATCGTACGCAAGTTGCGCAAGATCGTAAGTTCCCCCCTTCGCCCCACCTCTCTACACTATTGATAGCTGACCTTGGTGTTTTGTTCTCGTAGGTTCTTCTCGGCGCGCTGACGGGTCTGGTGATCGCCTTTATCATCGGCGCCGCGTTCCTGGCGGTGTTCTACACCCAGGTCACCGACCTCTACGGCAAAGCGGAGGAGCTGTGGGAGGGCATTTTCTGTCTTATCGCCGTGTTGCTCATCACGCCCATGTCGCTGGCCATCCTTCGTGCCGGCAACAGCAAGCGCAAGTGGAAGCGCAAGCTCGAGAATGCCTTTTCCATCTCCAACGTTCGTCCTGTTCAGTCGGAGGAGGTGGGGGAGGCGACGGCGGTGCATGCGCTGGGGGCGAACGATGGTGCTTCCACCTCGTCTTCCGCTGGTCGACCGGATGAGACTGGAATGAAGACCACTGGGACCGAGAAGATGAACCCGCTTGAGGCTGTCGAGGTTGTTCCCCCTCGTCGTCGTCGGGGCCTCCGCGGTCTGTTCTCCAAGGGTGGAGATCTGAAACTGCGACTCAACCGCGGAACGCTGGCGCTGTTCACCATCCCCCTCATCACCACCCTTCGCGAAGGCCTGGAAGGCGTCGTCTTCATCGGCGGTGTCTCCCTCGGTCTTCCCGCCACCTCCATCCCTCTCCCTGCCATCGTCGGTCTCGCCGTCGGCCTTTTGATCGGTTACCTCATCTTCCGTTCCGGCAACATCCTCTCCGTTCGTCTCTTCCTCATCGCCTCCACCTGCTTCCTCCTCCTCATCGCAGCGGGTATGGCTAGCAGGGCAGTGTACTACCTCCAATTCTACACGTATGTCCGACTGGTCGGCGACAGCGCGGCGGAGAGCGGTGATGGACCGGGTAGTTACGACGCCAGAGGGTACGTTTGGCACTTCAACTACGGTAACCCCGAGAACAACAAGGGCGGCACAGGTTGGGGCATCCTCAACTCCCTAGTGGGGTGGAACAACACTGCGACGTACGGAAGCATCATTATGTATGTTGGGTACTGGGTGGTGGTTGCGGGTTATTTGTGGTGGCAGATCTGGAGGGAGGGGAGGTTGGTCGCGAGGTGGAACGGGAGGACGTATTGGGAGTCCAAGCGCGCTGTGCAGGTGAGGGAGAGGAAGGAGAGACGCGCAGAAGCGAGACAGCAGAGGCAGTTGCAGGATGAGTCTGTGAGTGAGGAGAAGGTGCACCAGCCCCAGGCTGGACCGTCGACCCTCGCCATGTAGTTGTCGGAGCTTCGACGAATGTGATCCGAGAGACATCGCCGTTGTGCTGTATACATGTCCAAATGCAATCATGACAAGATCAATGGTTAAAAGATGAAGATGCCGCTCGGCTGTGCGACTTGAATGCCTCCGAGGAAGGTATGTACTGGATTGCGAGGGTTAGCGAGAACTACAGAGAACAAGAGTGCGACGTGGGGTGATCGAATCCGAGAATCTATTGCTGCTTCTTGTCGCCCGAGATGGGATCCTTGCGGACACCCATCTGGTCTGGCGTCTGCACCTGGGCCAGCTGGGCCACGGCAAAGTAGACGATCGGGAGCAAGACACCGCCGACCAGGATGAGAGTCAGCAGCAGAGGCGTCGAGAAGAGCTGGTACTTAGCAAAGACGCCGCCGTGGGGCTCGGTCCAGTTGCCGTTGGACGAAGAAGGCTTGACGGCGACGACCTGACGTTTGGTGTACTGGTGCAGTCGACCCTGGTTCGCGATGATGACGAGGTTACGCGGGTGGGTCTCGTCGAGCGATTGCAGCGATTTCAGGAGTGCAGATTCTATTGGTCGAATGCAGATACATGATAAAAGGACAGTCAGTGGCCTGATCGAGGCTGATCGCCATGACAGCTTGCTTGCAGTAGCATCTGTGGAAAGGTACTTACCCTCATTCCTAAGGTCGCCAATATTGATAGAGGCGAAGAGCAGGTGATCAGAGGAGCCAACCTTCTCCAACGCACTGACACGAGAGTGGACAGTCGCGCCACACGCCTCCTTCAGTCTGCTTTCAATTCGCGCAGAGATGTCGGATTCGGGCACATTGAAGGTGACCTGGGAAGGTGCATCCAACGATCTCGCCCGCAACGAGTCGGTCGATGAGTGTCGCAGGCTAGCGAATGTGTTGCGGTCCAAATGATCGGCCTGCACAAGGGCAATGGCATCAAGCTGGCACGCTGGCGAGCTCTTGCCAGACGCAAAGAGCGAGTTGACGAACCCATCGATGGTCGATTCGGAGGGGAGCTGGAGCTTAGTCGAGGAAGCTTGCGAAGAGGTGAAAGCAAGCACTGGATGGGAGTGGCTGGATGCTGAGACGCATGCTGCAGCTGCGAGCAGCGTCGAGATGACCGTTGTTGTCCTCATGGCGGCCAGATCGTCGAGTGAAGGGATCAAAGAAGATGGTAATAGGTTGCTTAGGTATGATGATCAGATTGTCAGAACTGAGCAGCGTGGTGGTTCGTGCTTTCCACGCAGGGGCAGCAGCCAGCACTTTTCCTCGGTTCCGTAATGGCGCGCCCAGCCACGATTTGTTTTCGATTGTTACCTCCCATCTCACAACAAATTTGAGAAAATCAGAGGGTCTCATCAGACACATGGCTCTCGCCCCTAGACATCTCGGACAGTTGGAAGGTGGCTAACAGACACAGACAGAAATGGCTGGAATGCATTCGATGCGGTTGAGCTTGTTAGTGATGATTTGTGATAGTGATGAGAGAGAAAGAGAGAGAGAGAGAGAGAGAGCTATGGACGATCAAATCGAGGTGTAGCCACCGTCGACGATGAGATCAGCGCCGGTGGTAAAGGCGGAAGCGTCGCTGGACAGGTAAACGACGGCGCCCTTCAAGTCCTCAGGATCACCGAGACGGCCCATGGGTGTCAGGTTCTCCCAAGTGGTACGCAGCTGCTTGCCGTTCGGGCTGTTCTCGAGCACAGCACGGCTCAGCGACGTGAGCATGTAGCCGGGCGAGAGCGAGTTGACACGGATGCCCGCCTTGGCCCATTCGACCGCCATCGACTTGGCCAGGTGCTTGACTGCTGCCTTGGAAGCATTGTAGGGCGCCTGAGCCTGAGGCACATTGACCACCGACGCGGACATGGACGCGATCATGACGATCGAGCCGCGGACCTCATCCTCCATCATGCGCTTGGCTACCTCGCGAGCGACAAAGTACGAGCCGTTGATGTTGATATCGAAAAGCTTCTTGAGCTTGGGGGTTGGGTACTCGGTGGCAGGGAAGTTCTCGACAATACCCGCCGAGTTGACGGCGACGTGGATCTTGCCGAAACGCTTGTGAATGCGGCCGATGACGTCTTGCACCTGTGCCTCGTCCGAGATGTCGCAGCCGTAGCCCTGGATGTCGAGCTCGCCGGGCTGCACACCGCCATGCTGGACAAACCAATCCTCGACCTCCTTGGCAGCATGCTGACATTCTTCCTCATTGAGATCGACAATGGCAATGCTGTTGGCGCCAGATTCGACAAAGGTACGAGCGATCAGGTTACCGATACCACGAGCAGCACCTGTAATGACGCACACCTTGTTCTCCATCGAGAAGCTTGCCAGGGTGCGTTGAGTGTGTCGCCCCACACGACCACCGGTAGTGTTGTGTCCGACATCGTCACGAGGGTGCCGCGAGCTATCCTGAGGGTAAGGTACGACGACATCCTCCTTGGTGGACGCCAATGGAGGCGTGTCGAGCGGCTTAGCCTTGCCAAAATTGTCGTCCTTGCTCAGGCATCGGGAGGAGCTGGCCAAAGTGCGAACAAAAGTGGAAGGCTGAGCAGAACGACGCACGGCCGGTCGTGCCGCCTGGACGATGATGGCCAGTGATCGAGCTGCTCGCGTAGCGTTGCCTGCAGTGTTCATCATGATGTTGATGTATCGAGTGGATGGCGGGAAGAAGGGGAGTCTGTGAGGCTCTTCGACCTGGACTTGAGGCAATGCAATTGGGAAGATGTTCCGTTGGAAGCTCGAGGAGGTCTACACGAAATTTCTGCTTAGCCGAGGCTTTTCTTCTCAAGCTCCATGCTGAGGATGTTTTCGCCGGTGCACTGACCAACGCCACATCCAGAAGCGGTCCGAATCATCGCCATCATGGTCACGTCAAGGCACAGCGAGGATGACAGGCGTAAGGAGGACTCTCAGCGGGCCTCAAGTCAGGCTTGGCCGGCATCGCGAGCCGGTGCGCAGCCTTCCATGTTTTGGGATTCAAGCTGATCGGCATCGTCTATCGGGCAGGTATCCCAGATGCTCGTCGGGTCGGCCAGGCTCGCTGCATGTCAGTCCTTGTCGATCTGACCTTGATATTTTGGAAACGAATCTGGTCGGCATGGAGAGCAGACGGATCGAGACGACGTTGTTCTTCCAGTGCCGGAAGCTGGCGGTCCTCGGCAAGAAATTCACCGACGCGGCTGTCTGCCACCAAAACGGTTCCCCATCTCATCGGTCGGCCAACTCTTCGTTTTCCGCCATCTCTGCCCTGCACAGCGAGTCGGTAGCACTCATAGCCGCTTTGAGGATCTTACTGGCTCTTCGGAAAGGATCGCTGTCACTGACCCCCGTGACAGGAACTTTGATGCCGAGGGCCGACGTGTCGACTTGGTTCGATTCCGTGCTGTGATTGACGGCTGACACTGCACTTTGTTCGGCGCAAGCCGTCTCTTCCTGCTGCCTTGTTCTCGCTCTGAGTCCGGCTTTCTGCAACTTCGAGGCATTGAGCAAGGAAAGACACCGGAATCTGAGGATACGGTGTCCGATGTCGTGGCACAATGGAAAATCGCGGCGAGTTTTCTCGTGTCTGACTGGCTGATGGGACAAAGAAGATTGGCAGGGCCATGCGAGGAAGCACGCGACTCTCTGGCTCAGGCTTTTGATCAGTCTTCGGGCAAATTCAAACAAGATTGGATGAGAGGTGGAGGCAAACTCGGCAAATTTGGACTTCGCTTGTGCTGCAAAAGGCGCTCGAGTTGCACTTATCTGCGCACGTCCCCTTCTTGGCTGGCTGGCTGGCTGCCTCTTTCAAAGGGTTAGCACGATGAGAGCTGCTTGCCCCGCACCTCGTCAAATGACCAGAGCAGCGGCAAACAACTCGCCTCTTGCCAGTCGCCGAAGAGCGAAGATCCGGTCGGCTGCAAACAAAAAGTTGACTTGCAAGGTGGCACCCACCCGCCGTCGAATTACGCACAGTCGAGGCCCCACCAACGCTCTTCGCACTCGCTGGTTTTCATTGGCCTGCCCCGTGCAGCTTGGCCCAGTTGGTTATGTCCACGCTCGACCTCGCCACTGAATCAGACCGAGTTCAAGTTGTGTCTTGCGCATCGTGTGAATCTTCTTCCCAATCCACACCATAACCTTGTTGAGCAACGCTATCAACAAGTCAGATACCCCTGTTTCCTGTTCGCCCCGGAACAATACACCTCTACTTCTCTCGCTCGAAGGTTACTTGTCTTCCACCACCTCCTTCACAAACACCCCTCTCCTCCGTCAACGCTAAGCATAAGTGCAGTGCCCAGTCCGTCAAGATGGCTACCAAGCACATGTTCGACAACTCCCAGGGCCTCGTGGAGCGCAACCTCCGAGGTACCGTTGCGCAGAACCCCGCTCTGCGATACTACGCTCAGCACAAGGTCGTCTACAACCCCGCGCACGACAACAAGAAGGTCGCCGTCATCTCTGGTGGCGGTGCCGGTCACGAGCCCGGTCAGGGCGGCTTCGTCGGAGAGGGTATGCTCGCGGCTGCCATCTCTGGTGACATCTTCGCTTCCCCTTCTGCCGCTCAGATCTGCTCTGGAATCGATCTGATCAACCACGACGCGGGTGTCGTCATGGTGGTCAACAACTACACGGGTGACTGCCTCCACTTCGGTCTTGCTGCCGAGAAGGCCCGTGCTGCCATTGCTTACTCTGGCAAGCAGGGTGGCGGTGTCGAGGCCGTTATCGTGGCTGACGATGTTGCCGTCGGCCGAAAGCGCGGTGGTCTCGTCGGTCGCCGCGGTCTCGCCGGTAACATCTTCACCTGCAAGATTCTCGGTGCTGCCTCCGACAAGGGCTTCGAGCTCAAGAAGATCGGCGAGCTCGGCCGCACTCTGATGGACAACATGGTTTCCATCGGTACCTCGCTCGACCACTGCCACGTCCCCGGTCGACCCAAGGGTGACGAGGAGCGTGGCGCTCTCGCTCCCGAGGCCGCTGAGCTCGGCATGGGTATCCACAACGAGCCCGGTTTCAAGCACATGGACAAGAAGCCCGAGCCTGAGGCGCTCCTCGGCGAGATGCTCGATCTGCTGCTCAACCCTGACGACGAGGACCGCGCCTACACGCCTTTCGACAAGGAGGATGCCCCTGTTGTGTTCATCAACAACCTCGGCGGCATGAGCCAGCTCGAAATGAACGCTATCGTCGACCTCACCATCGAGCTGCTCGAGAGCAAGTGGAACCTGCACCCCAGCCGTGTTCTGTGCGGCTCGTACATGACTTCGCTCAACGCCCCCGGCTTTGGCGTCTCGCTCATCAACCACAAGCGATTCGAGAAGACCACCGGTGAGAGCCTGCTGGAGCTGCTCGACCACCCTACCACCGCCGCCTCGTGGGTTGGCGTGCAGAGCGGCTGGGGCTCCTCGAGCGGCCACCCTCGCGACCGCAAGGCCGAGGAGAAGGAGGCCGACGACCACCTCCAGTCGGTGCGCAAGGCCGGTGGATCGGTCAGCGGTCTCGCTGACCCTGGCTCTTCGTCTGGCGGACCCAGCAACCCGGACCCCGAGCTGGTCAAGAAGGCCATCCTCGCTGCTTGCGATGCCACTGTCGAGGTGGAGCCCACCCTGACTCGCTATGACACCATCGTTGGTGACGGTGACTGCGGTGAGACGCTCGCTCAGGCCGGTAACGCCGTCAAGAAGGCGCTGCAGGAGGGCGAGATCCCCATCGACAACGCTGCCGGTACGCTGATCGCCATCGGTGAAGTGCTCGAGTACGCCATGGGTGGTACGTCGGGTGCCATCTACGCGCTCTTCTTTGCCGGTCTGGTGCAGTCGCTGCTGTCCAACCCCAAGGGCTCGCAGGCGGACGTCAAGGTGTGGGGCAAGGCAGCTCTGGATGCGCTTGAGAACCTGGGTCGCTACACGCCCGCTCGTCCGGGAGACCGAACGCTGGTCGACGCTCTCGACCCCTTCTGCCGCTCGCTCGGCGCGGGCAAGTCCCTCGCTGAGGCCGTCGAGGCTTCCAAGAAGGGCGCGGAGTCGACGGTCAAGATGACGCCCCGTTTGGGACGAGCTACGTACGTGGGCAGCAAGGACGACGGAGACATGCCCCCCGACCCGGGTGCGTGGGGTATCTGGGCGCTCACCGACGGTCTCCGCAAGGGTCTCGGCCAGTAGATGTCTTGCCAAAGTTCTCAACGACAATTGTCTCATTCTTTCGTGTACATAGCAAATTCAGAAAGGAATCCGCCCGTCGATCAGTCCGTTCGTGTTCTGAGGTGGTGATGCTGAAGGGTAGCGAGGCTGTTCTTCCGAGTGAGAAGATTCAGAACGCGAGATCGGTCCCATCTGAGCAGCGGGCTGGGTCAGAAAGCAGAGGATCGGACGTATCGGAAGGCTGCCCGATCTGCTGGATTACGGCGTGGACGCCAGCGACCCGCTGTTGTGGGTCTCGCTTGTATTTCCGGCTCGACGCCGCAGAGGATGACGCGCCGACCCAACCTGTCAAGCCGAAAATATACCCACACGAGGTCACCCACTGCGGTGTCTGCTCGGGCTAGTCGCGAGCCCCTGTTTGGCCAGGTCGCAGTAGTGGCCCGTAAGACAGGAGCTTGCTACACACGGTTCAAGATACTGCAGAAGTGTAGCGTGCAGCCTGCACGGATTCCGCATGGTCGCAACGCATGACCGGAAAAGGTTGAGCCAAACTTTGGAATTTCTGCCGATCTGTTTGTTGCCGACGGAAGATGAGGAATAGCACCTTTCAGCACAAGTGAGCTGATTCTGAGGCGATCCTCAGCCTTGCACAGAGGCTTCATGTCGAGCGTAAGACCTTAATTTGACATCAGCACCCCCTTTCATCTGTCATCGTATGTTGGCAATTGCGAGATTCAGAGTGAACGTGTCTTGTGAAATGGGTCTGAGCACTGCACCTCGGTACTTGTAAAGACAGCATGCCTGTTTACGTCAAGTGTCCAATTTCGGTCTGCTCTCGCTCGGTCAAACAGGGCTTCAAGTCCACCCCACATCTCCGGCTGTGACTACGGACAATAGAGTTGCCTTGAGGGGAAGCCAAGTGGCGTAGGGCGGGTTGCTGGTAAGCGAGCCAAACGTGCCGAGCGTAAGCAAAATTCGTAACGATGTCGATGTGGAGCGGAGTTTAGGATCGACACCAACACAAACCCTGTTCTGAACGGCCAGCATTCATTCACCTCGTTTATTGACCCGTTCACCTTCCCTCCTTCCCACCATCAAGCCCTACCCACGCTTGACTTGATAACCTCACGTTATCATCCGAGCCTTATACCCACAGTTGCTCCCTGGTGCTTCCAGGAAGCAGCGTCATACCCGAACCACCTCGTCTCGTCATACCGCCCCTTCCTGCTTCGCTGTCATCATCGGCACCGAACGATACCTCTTGGCGGCTCAACAAAGCTCGGACACCCTTAACTAGCGAACCGTCCGCTCCTGGAACCGCTACATAGATTTTTAGAGCCGCTCAAGCCTCTGCCTCGTTCAGGATCTGCATCTTCCAAGCCATCTACATCATATACCCTCAAGCTCTCTCATCGACCCAACCCAAGCTTCGTCGCTCAGCAGCACCATCATGCCGCGCCTCAAAGTGCAAGTCGGTCCTGACCGATTCCATATGGAAGACTGTCGCCTCAACGACACGGAACACCCGCACGAGATCTCTACCGACCACTTTGTCGGTCGCGTCCTTGTGCGGATCCTCGATGCACCCGGCGCACAACCCTCTCAGCCTGGTCGGGAGTACTTCGAAGGCCGCTCTCGCAAATTCTGCATCCAGATCGAGGGACGTTTCAAGCAGCGTTTGTCCGGCAACGACGTTCTGTTCGGCACGGATTTCGATCGGTTCGTCGACTTCCCGCGTGCGCCGTTCAACGCCGGCATGCGCGTCGCCAAGTACATCGATCCGTGTACGTTCTACGAGCTCCACCCTGACTCGGGAAGGCCGTATATCATGTCGCCGTACATTGCGTGTATGAACACGTTCTGCGCGTGGCCTGCGCCATCGCGCGCGCATGATGCGGTGGTGGTGCTTCGACACACGCATCGGGGAACCACACCGGATAGTTCCCGACCCGCAACCCCGACGATCGACCCCGAGAAGAGCAACAACAACCCGCAAGGTGCGCTCGTCGCAAGCCCTGCCGAGAGCGAGGAAGACGAAGGGGATATCGTCCCTCGCGAGAGTCTCGACCGCAGTCGCAGTATGAGCGAGAAAAGCGCGCCTAGCAAGAAGAAGAAAGGCTGGTTCGGCGGCTTCGGCGGTTCGGGGGCGCCGAAGGAGGAGCGCGTGCTGAAAAAGTACTGGCGCTTCGTGGGTTTCAAGGACGAGCCACGGGTGCGGGCGTTGTTGGAGGCGCACCATGCGAAGTTGAAGAGCGCGCGCCAGGACGAGACGCATGCGGTCGCTCGCCAGGGTAGCGTGGGGAGTGTGGGGAGCGGTGATGTGCAGCACGGCGCGGGACAGAGGATGTTGTCGTTCTTGGGGAGCGGGAAGAGGGGCGATCATGAGAGGACGCCGGATCGAGCACACACGCCGCAGTACCAGGACGCGAGCGAGGAGATGCCCCTCTCGCCCCACGTGGGGAGTGGAAGGTTTAGCGATTTGGGAGCGGGGGATATTGCCGCTGCTCCGCCGGGGGATGTGGGCGAGGAGGACAAAGAGCCGGCGTTGGTAGCGCCCAAGCCGAAGCACGGGGTTGCTATGCCGGTGGACGAGGACAACGCTGCTGCTGCTGGTGCCGCGCCTGCTCCTTCTGCCAGCGCCCCTCAATCGACCCCCAGTGCAAAGGCAGACATGCCCAAGTTGGAACGCATCACCACCTCGATCCGACACGAGATGGAGGAATCGGCCAAATCCGACGGTCTCAAGGATGGCGATTTCAAACTCGCCGATACCCTCTCCCACACGCACCTCAGTCGTTCGAGCTCGGCCCAATCGTCCAGATCCTCGCCCTCGAAGTTGGACGAGCAGTTGGGTCCATGGCGATTCGCCGACCCTTCCACCGACATGATCGAGGACAACGCCTTCATCTTTACCACCCAATCTCTCCCCGTGCCACGCAGACGCAAGCACTTTGCGTCAGAGAAGAACCGATTGGACTTTACCTACGACCCGGACGTCGTCTACGGCGCAAGCTTTTTTACGGATGCGATGGACTTCAACACGTTCAACCTGGGCATTGGACCGGTCAAGTTGAACGTGGCCAAGTGGTTCAAGGATATGCCGGTTAGATACACGCTCCGCAGCACAACGGACGAGAATCTGACGTATGCCACAATCAGCTTCCAACTCGTCGACGACTAGGCGGACTTCTCATAGAATAGACACGATTTGCATAGATACCTAGATGTTGCGGTAATACATTCGTTGGCGTTTGACCATATGTTTACTTGCCCTTGGCGGCGTTTTTGGCGAGATCCGCATCGAGCTGGGTCTGCTTGGCCTGTCTAGCCAGCTTCATCTGCTTGCTCTTGGCGATCGTGTTGAAGTAGGTGGCCAGAATAAACCGGATAAACGTAAAGAAGGGTTCCCAGACGACGGCGGGAAGGTAGTTCTGAGCCACGGCAATGGTGATGGGGCTTGTGGACCACGTAACGCGCATCACGGGCCAGAAGGCAGCCTTGACGGCGCGCTTGATGTTCTCGACCCCGCGCGCACCGTTGATGTAGGCCATGCACGAGAGGTAGACGCAGTTGGCGAAGACGCTCACCGTGAGGTTGGACGTGATAATCTGCAGGATCTTGTCCTTGGTGCTGGTGCGACCGACGAAGGCTTTCTGCAGAAGACCGGTGAGGACGTGGCCCATGGGAGCGGAGACGAAGAAGCCGTAGAGGAACATCTTGAAGGCGCGCTCGTTGATGCCGAGCTTGGTGGCATAGGTCTGGAGGAGACCGACGGGGTTCTGCTGCGCCTGACGCTTCTTCTCGTCGAGAGAAGAGGGGGTGCGGGTGTCGGTGGGGACCACGCCGGCAAAGTGGCCGGCAAGCACCTCGGCGAGCGCGGAAAGGACACCGGAGGTGATCATCCTGCAGCAGAAACAGACGGAGTAGGCAGGGCGAGGCTGGTATCAGCTATCTGCTGGGTTCAGGATGGTGTGATGGTTGACAACTTACTTGGTACGCAGAGGGTTAGCAGCGAGCGCCGAGAGGTAGCCAATCAGCAATGGGTTGGTCGTCAACGACGACGGCTTGGAAACGACGGACATTCTGTGGTGGACGAGGGAGAGAAGAAGCATAGAGTCAGCACGAGTCTCTGTAATGAGGTCGATGGCGATGGCGCTCGGACATGACCGACGCGATAAGCCACGGTCTACGCCACCCTTTGCGATCCGATGCAAAGCGCAATCGACCGCTTTGAAGATACTGTCTCTTCGGTACGCTGCGATGAGGAGGAGATGCAACGAGAACCGGAGAAGCAGAGTATACTCACTTGGCTGCCTGAGATGGGGCAGAAAGGCTCTAGGAAGGTGTGGGCGGGTGTCTCGCTTCAATGACAACGATGAGGAAGGCTCTGTGTAGGAGGTAATGATGGAAGCAGGATGAGGAGCCGTTGACTATGAGCAGCGAAAAGAGTCCAACAAAAGGGCTTGTCTGTGTCCAGGGTCTGGCGCGCTTGTGTCTCTATCCCCGCACACAGAGAGCTTAAGCAGAGCCGAGCGCACGGCCGGAAATTCATCCTCCCCCGCCCTGTGTCTTTGGAGGGCAGCAGAGCGCGACCCTTTTGGGCTGTCGCTTAGCCGGAATACCCGGTTCCACTCGGTCTTCCCCACAACAGAGCTGCCGCAGCCAACACCGGTGCCCTCGAAGCAACCATGCAGCGTCACGCAACGTGACCTTCAGACTCGGCGCTCTGCGAGCGAGGGCATATCCTGCAGCAACGAGTGCTCCTTTCTGTCTTGGTCCAAGACCGGCTTGTTCGAGACCGAGACTGACTGTCATAGCGGTCATTGCGAACACCAGCAACGTGACCTGCTGTACCGTCGAAGACCGAGCGTCAAGAACACTTTGCGAAGGGGCTGGCCTCTTTTGCGGGGAAAGGGACCGAGCTAACCTTCAGCTCATTGTCCGTCTCAGAACGCGTTCCTAGAAAGCGCACTTGCGGCCGTCACGCGCTCTCGAATACGCACGAGATTGCTTTCGACAACCCAGTCTGCCATCGGCAAAGGCGGCTCAGGCGGCCAACGCTTGTCGAGCTTCGACTCGGAGCTCCAAGTCTGTAGCAATCATTCCAGCTTCTGGCCTGCTCCTCGATGAGCCGTCTCTGTGCAAGCAGCTCAAATCGAGACACCAGAACAGAGCGATCTTACGATTCGAATTTTATAGGATGTTAGACTTCGCTCTTGTGTGGGACTGTGTCGTGCGATAGAGCCGCTCAGACAAAAAAGGCCGACGCGAAGGTTAGTTGACTTTTTGGAAGGTCTGCTCGGATGGCCAATCTTGACATCTCCTTGACTGCTCAACACCATCCGCTTCTTCCTGCATTTCTCAAGGTTGACTCAGCCACGAGAGCACTCGGTCACGCCAACATGTTCTGCGCTATCTCCGGAGAGCCGCCCAAGGTGCCTGTCATCTCGAAGAAGAGCGGCCTCGTCTACGAGCAGCGTCTCATCCAAAAATACATCAACGACAATGGCAAGGACCCAGTCACGGGCGACACGCTCGAACTAGACGATCTGATCGAGATCAAGTCAAGTAAGTTACACTATCCCGACTCTTCATAGCACTGGCGATGGCTCGATGATGCGGCATGGCCAAGCAACAGGCCACGAAGGATGAAATCGCTTTCTCAAAAAACTACATATCAACTAGAAGCTGTTGATGAGCCCTCGGGCTACGACTATACATCGAGTTCTGACACCGTCTGCACAAGCACCCTCAAGCAATCAATAGCTGCCATGTCGCACCAGCCGAGCCGTTCGAGGAGCCCAGTGAAGAGGAGACGCCGCCTGCATCGCAACGAGCAACGTTCTGACTGATCTTTTTCCTCTGTGTTTGGCTCGATCAGGTCCCAAAGCGGCGGCTCCACGTCCACCACAACACAGCTCGATTCCATCTCTGCTCACATCATTGCAAAACGAGTACGATGCCATCATCCTCGAAACTTTCACACTTAAGAAGCACTACGACAACTTGCGGCAGGAGCTGGCGCACGCTCTCTACGCCAACGATGCCAGCGCACGAGTGATTGCGCGATTGCTCAACGAGAGGGATCAGGCGCGTGAGGCCCTGGCCAGCATTCAAGGCACCATCGGCGCAGGACCGTCTACCTCGCGAGCGGCGCAAGATGTCGAGATGTCCGACTCGACTCAAGCTGAGAACGGTGCGGCGTCTGCTGCTGGTGCAAGCGGTCTTCCAGCCGATGTTCTCGATGTCATCGACTCGACCGCGAAAAGGCTGTCCTCGCAGCGAAAGCCAAAGTCGAAGCGCAAAGCGCCGGAAGGGTACGCTACTCAGGCTACTGTCGCGGACTTTGCAGAGCTGCAAAAGCTGCCATCGATGCACCATGCCAAGCCGGCGGGCGTGTCTTGCCTTGCATTGTCTGTGGACGGCAACGTGCTCGTCACAGGCGGAAACGACAAGAATGTGCAAGTATTTGATCGCAAGGAGGAACGAGTACTGGCGACGCTCAAAGGACATACCAAGCGCATCACACAAGTCGCAGTCAGCGGCAAGTCCGACAACCCGCTCGGATCAGAAGCTGCGAGCGACGATGCAGCACTACCCGCGTACATTGTCTCTGCCAGCGAAGACGGAAAGGTCAAGGTATGGGAGCCTTCAGGAGCAACCGGAGCCAAGTCGCAAGCCTATGCGCTCTCCAACACCGCGGACGCACACGCGAGCGAAGTGACTGGCGTCGACATCCATCCTTCGGAGACGTTCTACGGATCTGTGGGCCGCGATGGCAAGCTTTCGTTCCGTTCGCTCGCTGATGGGTCGGAGCTTCACACGCTCACTTCTGGCGAAGACGACTCGTTCGAATCGTTCTCCTTCCATCCGGACGGCCAATTGGCCGCGGCGGGCACCCCGACGGGCGCGATCCGCATCTGGGAGATCAAATCGGGCAACGCTCCGTCCTTGATCCAAACCGAGCTGCCAGGTCGCGTCTCGTCGCTGCACTTTAGCGAGAACGGCTACTACCTAGCTGCGGCGAGCGATGCAGGCAAAGCGGTCGAGGTGTGGGATCTTCGCAAGCTCACCGTCATCGGCAAGCTCGCGATCGAAGAGGAAGGCGCGACGGGTGTGTCAGCGGTCAAGTTTGACCCTTCGTTGCAGTTCCTGGCCGTGGCGACGGACAGCGTCAATGTGTACGCCAACAAGTCGTGGAACCGTCTGATCAAGGTCGAGGGTGCCGAGAAATTGACTGGGCTGGAATGGGATGCAAGGGACGGCAGCGTGGTGGTGTCGAGCTTGGACCGTACGGTGCGTACGTTTGGTGTTGCTGCCTGATGCGTTCGTCTCGGCTGGAGCCTCTGTTTTCTCTTATCTGGACATCGAAGCTGCTCGAAAGCAACATGTTGGCGTTGCTGCCTGAATGCATCATTGTGTCGGCTGGAATGTGAGGCTATCCCACTTGGATACGTACGCTTGACTACTTTTACCATCATCTTTTTGGTGCTAAATTTTTGCATGCCTTTTCGAATGCGCCAATTTCCGTCTGTGAAGAAACTCGAGGCAAGTGGCGCCCAATCCAGTCTTCACATCTTTTTAGAGACCAGCAACGAGCACAAAGCGCAGACGAACAATGGTCCCACTTTGTCGAGATCCATGTGACGACGCAGAGGGCGTGCCGTCGCGCTGCATGGGCGTTGCCGATTGCTGTCGCCTCACACGGCATGAATGAGATCTTGCCATTGTCAAACGGTACCCGGTGCTGTTGCGAGTCTTGATGAGCATGACAATGCGATTCTGCGGCAAGCTTAAGGACATATACAAGAGGGCCAAAAGCACGCCTTAGCTGCTTGCGGGGGCGAAGCGCGTCACGTCACAATGATCTTCGTCCCACCGATGCCTGCAATTGCCGCGGGAAGCCGGTCGTTCCCGGCATGGCAGATGAGCTCAGGGCGTGATCTGCACTTCCAAGCATGTCTGCGGCGAGTCGGAAGTGCGGAAGCGGCAATATTCGGGGTGATTGGCCGTCGGCGAGAGCGACAAGGCGCAGCGGCATACCTGACCACCGGCGAGGACAGGCGAGAGGCGGGGCCATCAAGCATCCGAATTGCTGGCTCTTGGCTGCGACACAAGCAAACAGGCCGAAAAAAAAAGATGATTCGAAACCGAAAAAGGTAACCGTCATCACGCTTGACATCTCGCAGCAGAAACGGAGAATTTTCCGAATTGAGAGCATGTCAGCATGAACGACATCGCCCTAATTGGCCATCCAGAAGCAAGACAACGGGAACGTCCACCGACTATCACGGGAACCTGATCATGTAGCTGACACCAAGGGTTTGACAAGGATGGGAGTCACCTATGTCTCGAAGGCTTTGCAAAAGTGATTGAAGCCCACACTGGGGCGCTCTGACACGAGACCATGGCGCCCCTTGGACTCGGACCTGCACCACCTTATTCGCAGCTCGCGTGTTCGCCAGATGTGCTGCAATCTGTCACGAGTCATCCACAGAGGACTGAGCGAGACGCTCAAAGCTTGCAGCGGGGGTCTCCACCAACCGAGGCCCATGCCGATAGCCCTTGACCTTGTCGAGGCTCCTCCGCGGCCTAGTTTGGGCCCCGATGAAGGATGGGCGAACAACGCTCTTCAGCTTTCTAGATGCTACCGGCTGGATGCGGTTGGAGGCTAATTCGTCCACTCCCATCTGGTGCGTACAGTGTCCGCAGAGACGGCCATTGTGTGAGGAAGCACACGCTGAATGCAGTGACGACGAACAATGGTTTTTAGACAATGGAGAAGCAAATTCTCAGATCAAGCGACCAAGCCACAGTCTGCAGAAGGAGCCTACTTCCGACAACAATGAGCCTGACTAGCAGCATTGTCTTTCCAGAGCAGTTCGAAGTGTTCGCTCCACCATTTTACCTTGTTGAGTGCCATCCGAAGAGTTGCACGCCATCCGGTCATCACCACCTGTGCTTGTACGTGGAGCGGAATGCCCGCGGAAACCGGGCACTGGATTCATGCCGAGCCGAAGATCTGAACAAAGCTTACACGGGCTTCGCTTAGCTGTCATGTCCGCGGAGAGGCGCGTAACTCGAGCTCCGGAAGAGCCGAAGATTCGTCAAGGACACTGACAAAGTGCTGTTGGAAAAAAAGGTTTTTACGAAGGCGTAACGCCATGGACGAAAAAAAAAAAGATGAAGGGCAGACTGCAGTGCAGTGCATGACAGCCAGAGCGTGGTACAGTAACGTTGTGTGTGTCATGGGTGGTGGAGAACAAGACTCAAAGACACTTCCGAGGTAAATCCGAACCAAGCAAGACAAGATCGTCGTCTTTGCGTTTGAATCTTTCCGAAGAAAGCCTCCGAGGTGGAAGCAAAGGCAGCTCAAGCCCTGTCTCACACTCTGTCGGTCCTGTCCTGTGACGAGAACCGAGAAGAACAAAGTCATCGCTCATTTCACATCAGGGTGGTACAAAGTAAGCTACTGCACCTTGTCTCAATCACGCTCCCACGCACCACCACACTCCCGCTGCTTCATGCATAACATACATCCCCCGGTTCATCTCGCTTTGCCTCCCTTCCACCACACACATTGCCACCACTCACTATCCGTACCAATCATCATCATATCAACCATCGACCACGATCCGACTCGTCATTAGATTCACCTACCACTCGGCACTCTTCTCACGCTGGCATCTGCATTCTACTCTTAGCCACCACTCTACGCGCGTCAAGACTGCCATTTCCTACCTCGCTTTCATTCCCCAACATCTCGCTGCCTTCTCGATACTCCAGCACCAATTCACAGCCATCATCGTCGCTCAGAAGCGACCGTAGGCAATTCCTTCCTCGAGATCTACGACCGAGCGAGTGCTTCTGCAACAAGGCTAACAACGCCGTGGCACAAAGTAGCCAACGGCCGATTGGCGAGCGCCGCCACTTGCATTCCCCTCACTGAGGTCTACCTAAGTAGGCTCGGGCCACGTGCCCTCAAGCCACGCCCCAACCATCCAACCTCGCACCTCTCTCAACCCAAACCAAGGCGAGCCATTCAAGCATGTACAACCCAAACATCAATCCGCACAACGCCGTGCCACCAAACGACGCCGTCTATCATCCACAGATGATGCCCTCCATGTCCAACTATCCACAAGACATCATGTCGATCCAAATGGCTCCTCAACGTACCGTCATGCCTCCCACCTCTTACCCGGACCCGGATGCTTCCACGCATGGAGCTGATGCCTCTACAGACGCCGCCAACCAGGACGAAGATGCAGAAGGGGCCGGCAAGAGGAGAAGAGTGCAACGAGCCTGCGACGTAAGTAACCATCCTGAACCCCTCCGGCTTGCATCAACGCGAATGCATTGACTGATGTCCTTCATCTTCTTCATTCTCTTCCCGCATCTCGCTTCGCTTCCAAACAGACGTGTCGCAAGAAGAAAGTTCGCTGCGACGGTCTCCAGCCCGACAAGGGCGCTTGTACGAATTGGTAAGTAGCCGTCATGCAATGCTGTGTCTGCACAACCACCGCTGACCAGCTGGCTTTGACTCGACGCGCCGTTTGCATCTCTCAGCGCCAACTACGGCTACGAATGCACCTTTGTCGATGCCGCGAGAAAGCGCGCACCACCACGAAGCTATGTCGAGGCCATCGAGGCTCGCATCGTCAAGATGGAACAGCTCATCGCTTCCCTAGCACCGGGCGTCGACTTCACAGATCGCATCGGCAAACCCATCAGAAGACCGGATGACAAGGGAGACGACGCCAACAACGCTACTGCCAAGCCTGGCCAAGAGTCGCCTCCCATCCATGGTGGTTCCATCGCACCCCTACCTTTCGACAGATCCAACTCGCTCTGCCAGCAAGCCGCGGGTGGCTTCTCTCAAATGCTCTCGCCCCCGCACGCCAAATCTTGCAACAACTCGGAATCCGATCTCGCCTCCACCGACGAAGACTCGGAGGACGACATTGCTTTCATCGAGACCCGCTTCGGAGAGACCCAGATCAAGCCACAACGCGTCGTATCTTCGGCAACCACCGCCACGGCTGCGACCACCTTTGACAGCAGTGCCTCGGAGCGTTTCATTCTCGGCGACCAAGCTAAGCAGCAAGCGAAGCAAGATTCCCCCTCCCACACGCCTCCTACCCACAAGTTCATCGGCAAAGCGAGCGGCTTGCATTCGCTACCGCTTCTCGAGAGACTCAGCAGTAAGACCTTCCAGGAGCTTGGTGTTCATCCAACCGGCGCCCGTTCCGAGTTCTGGGCGGTCCCCTCCGGATTCATTGACCCACCTGCCGATCCCATCACAGCCAGTACCGCCTGGCCCGCTCCGGACCTCGCCGAGACGCTCATTGACGCCTACTTCAGCCGTCTGAATCGAGAGTATCCCGTGGTCAACGAGGCCCAATACCGTCACGAGTACACCAATCAGCCTGAGCTACGCAAAGCGCCCGAATGGCTGGCTCTCTCGTTCTGCATCTTCATGGTGGGCAGTCAGTACGTCACGGACGAGAGAGTGAGAGCGTTCCCTCAGGACAAGCACTCGCGCGGGATGCACTGGTGGCAAGCCGCCAAGACGCTCATCTATCGCAACGTAAGGGTTCAGAAGCCATTGGCGCACATCCAATGTCTTTTGCTCTCCACCCTCTTCCAATTCGGCCTTCCGATTTCGGCATCCAGCTCGTGGCTCCACCTCGGCGCTGCCATCCGCATCCTGCTCGATGTCGGCGCGCACCGAAAGCAAACGGCCAAGAAGCTCAATCTGTCTAGAATCGAGGACGAGACCTACAAGCGCGTCTTTTGGGTCGCCTACAGCCTGGATCGAGAATGCGCTTCGTGCCTCGGCCGACCGATCATGTTGCAGGACGAAGACATTGATCTGGATCTGCCCGTCGAGATCGATGACGAGTATCTCTTCAACACGCCGGAAGACCAGCCCCTGCCTCAGCAGCCTTCCGACACGCCGGCGCTCATCAGCGGGTTCCTCTGCTCGCTGCGACTCGACGAGATTGTCGGCCGAACGCTCAAGACCATCTACGCGCTGCACAAGACCAAGGTGCGCTTCGGCATCGCTTCCAAGGAGTGGGACGAGAGGCTGGTCACCGAGATCGACTCGGCGCTCAACACGTGGCTCGACACAGTGCCGGCGCATCTACGCTACGACCCGCACGAAAGCGATGACGAGTGGCTGTTGCAGTCGTCCTACCTCTACTCCAAGTACTACAACTGCCAACTGCTGGTCCATCGGCCGTTCATCGCCGCCAAGAAGGGCGCCAACGAGTCTTCCATCCTCAACTTCCCCTCGCTTGCCATCTGCACCAATGCAGCGCGCAGCATCAGCCATCTGCTCCACAACCTTGGCGATCGTCAGCTGCACAACAAGGTGGGCAACGATGTCGCCTTCCGCTCGGTCAACGCCAGCACTATCCTGCTCATGGTGGTGTGGGGAGCCAAACGCAATGGTGGCAGGGTGTCGAGCTCGGCGAGCACCGACCTGCGCCGGTCGATCGACGTGCTTCGCGCCATGGAAGACCACTGGCAATTCTGCGGCAAAGCCGTCGACTTTCTCGAGTCGATCATGGCCGCGACGCACGTCGTCGTGCCTCGAAGCGATTCGCAATCCGAGCAAGGTACCAAGCGATCACGAGACGGGGCGGACGCGCAAGAGGTCAAGCTGGAGGATGAACCTTCCGTCGCAGTGCCAGAAGCGTCGACTCGTCCGGGCGGAGCGTCAAGACGGGGATCGCGAAAGTCCAAGAGCAAAGTGGACGCTGCGTATACGGGAAGACGAGACCAGCAGCCGCTAGCACCCGAAGCACGGCAGTTGCCGCTGTCGACGTCGCAGCTCGCCGTCATGACGCCGCAGTCGCATTCCGAGCCCTCGCCGCGCTCTGCCACGCTGGACAGCGTCGCTTGGCAGAACGGGGGCAATGTGTTTGGCGAAACGGTGGGACTCAAGACGCCGCAACCGGCGGGTAGGGCACGCATGCCGTCGCTGAGCGGCGCATCCGGTCTAGCGTTCGGCCTGATGACGCCCTCCCTGGCGACAGGATGGGGTGTCCCTGGCGACACAGACTACCTCCACGGCCCGCACTCGCAGTCGACCTCCTTCCAGAACATCCCCGCCGTAACACCGTCGATCTTTGACAGCCTCGGTCTGCCCGGCAACGCCGACGATCTCATGCAGGGCGGAATGCCGGACATGTCCCAATTCGCCTTTCCCGACGACGCCGCGGCGATGGGCGCCAACTTTGACCACTATTACCCACCAGGTCAGACGACGAGCGGCGACACCCCCCAGTCCGACTCCAGCAGCGGCCTCGCCAGCTACGCCTTCGAACTGCTCCAGAACCAGAGCGTCTACGATTCGTTGAACTTGATGCAGCAGCGTGGGCAGTGACCGTGATTCCGTTCATATGTATAATAGTGTATCAGTTTCCCTCGATAGATTCGCATCACACCGCTTTCAGACAGATCGATGATTGTGTTGTGTGGCAGGTTCGTGGAATTGAATTCTGGAGGCTAGATGACAAAGACTCTGGTTCTGCGGAGGCCGCCTGGGCCGGCGGAGCCTCGCACGCCGGAGGTGAGCGCTGGTGGGTGTTTGCGCTGCAGCCTCGCAAACGCCTCCTGGATGTGCGATGCGAGCAGCGGCGTCTCGGTCGAGGGTGGATGAGTGAAGAGCGTACACAGTTCGTCGTCCTGTGCTGCTTTTGCTGGGTCTGCTTCTGTGGGCGAAGTGGCGTCATCGTTATCGCTAATGGTGAGGGTGCGATCGGCGGTGGAGCCGCTGTTGTCTGCCTCGGCTGCCTCGACTGTCTCCGAACTGGAGGGTTCGCTTTTGAGCTTCTTCTCGACACTTGCCTCTGCTTCGGCGCTCTCGTCGGCCTTGCGCTTGCCGCTGGACCCCGCCACCGCCTGCTGCTGCTTCGCCGCATCCGCCCGAATCCGCGCCGCCCGCTGCTCCTCCAACAACCTCTTGATCGCCACCGCGCCCAAACACAGCTCCCTTACCACCTCGAAGGCCAGAAACCCCAGAATATCCACGATATCGTCATTCGGCTTGACATCTAGGTAGGCGCTGGCGTTGATGAACTCGCGGAACTTTTTCGACTTCCGGAACGTAAAGCTGGCTTGACGGCATTCGGAGTAGTGGACGTACTCTTCCCTCGTCATGCGCCGTGTTGCTTCGTCGGCATCCTTGAGACGTTGCATCGAGGCTTCGTGAGCTTCGAGATCGTCCTCTTCGTCGTCTTCCTCTGTTGGCACATGTTCGCTGAAGACGGAGTGGATCTCCCACGGAAGACGCATCTTGGTCGCTCGAACTTTGGGACCGTCCACCTCGTCCAGCTCCACCTCGCCCGCCTGCCCGCTGTCGCCGCTGTCCTTGGCATTCTTGCGCACGTCTTTCCAGCTGAGATACGTGCGCAGTCGATTGACCTTGGCCCGATCGTATCGGATGAGAAAGATGAGGTCTTCGGGCGAGAGGTACTTGGACCCCCGCCGTTGCGATAACCGACGCGACTGGATGATCATCTCGATCGTTTGCGAGCGCACGATGTCCTCGACCAGGCGGGTGACGTCCGGTGTTGGGTCGACTACGTCTGCGAACACGAACATCATTTGCGAGATCTCGACTTGGTATTTGTAGTCCGGGGCCGGGGCGTCGGTTGGCTCGAGGTCCGGCGCGGTTGCTCCCAGGAGGGAAGGGGTCGACGGGCCCGCTTTGGACATTGTGATGCGATGCCGTTTCGGGTCGATGACGAGGCTGAAGGCATACGAGAGTGTATGCGAGGCTCTTACTCCTGAAAAGGAGAATTGTGATTGTAAGTTGCCAACAAGGTGGTATCCAAGAAAGAGATCGAGGGACTATGGATGAAGATGCAGGCTGATGGTTGCACCCTGGCTTGGCCGCATGCCGAAAAACGAAAGGATGTTAGACCGACGACCAAGGTCTGACATCCTTTGAAAGATTGAGGTGGACCGGCGATAAAGGCGCTCGCGTCCCCGCGGCAATGCAAGCTGGAAGCTCGGATACGATGTTCCGCGTGCACCCACGACTTCGGTACACCAGGCTCATTGTGACGGAGACAAAGCATGGCGTGATGGTGCACACGCCCCTTCACAATGCCGACGCACACGGGCCATGCTTGCACGCTTTTATCCCATCAGTCGGGCCTATATGAAGGCGTGCTTCAGATTCGATTGTACCGCCAAACGATCGCACTCCACTTTCATCTAGCGCACAAGACGACGAGCAAATATGGTCAACAAAGCGGTTCGAGTGACGAAAGCCAACGGCGCCGTGGTCGAGACGCAGTCCAAACCGTTCTCAGCCTCGGACATGGATGCGGACGAGGTGCTTATCAAGAACGTAGCGGTGGCTTGCAATCCGAAAGACTGGAAGCTCGCCGCGTATGGATTGTTCGAGGGGATCGAGGGCAACGATGTTGCTGGCTACGTCGAAGCCGTTGGGTCAGATGTCAAGGACCTCACCAAGGATGATGGGGTGAGTGCGTCCCACAGCAGTGTAGTATCTGAAGAGATAGGGAGCTGATGCTATCTGCGACGTGACAGGTAATCGCACTCACCCGCGCCGCCAAGGCCGACAAGTACGGTGCGTATCAAGCCTACACCGTCGCGCCCGCGTGGACGACTGCCAAGCTGGCCGACTCGATCAGCTTTGAAGATGGCGCAACTGTCCCGCTCGCTGCCACCACGGCCTTTGTGGGCTTGTTCGACAAGCTCGGTCTTCCCGAGCCTTCACCCGCCGGCCGACCTTCCGCCGACGCCGACAAGGTCAACCTGCTCGTCTGGGGTGCTAGCTCCTCCGTCGGCGCATACGTTGTGCAGCTCGCCCGGATCGCTGGGTTCAACATCGTCGCTGTGGCCGGTGCCGCACAGGACGCTGTGAAGTCCCTTGGCGTCGAGGGTAGTAAGATCGTCGACTACCGCGCTGACCGCACCACCGTCATTGCCAACATCAACGCCGCTGCTGGCGCGCCCATCACCCATGTCTACGACGCAATCTCCACCAAGGACACTGTCGATACGATCGTCTCACTGCTTTCTAGCGCTCCGAACAAAGGCGGCAAGCTCACTACGCTCCTCGCCACCGCATATGACGACGAGACGGAAAACCAAAAGCTGCAGCGCGAGAAAGGTATTGTATACAACAGAACCATAGGCTCAGTCGTACACCACGACAAGAAGGAGTTTGGGGAGAGGTGGTTCAAGCTGGTCGCAAAATGGCTGGGTGAAGGCAAGATGAAGCCGAACAAGGTGCAGATCTTGGAGGGTGGTCTGGACGGCGTACCGGGTGGATTGAAGTTGTTGCAGGAGAACAAGGTCAGCGGTGCCAAGCTTGTTGGTGAGTGTTGCTTTCAGATGATGAGTACTGACGAGACGGAATGTACTGACAGCTTCTTTGACTATCCCATCTTACACCTGCTCAGCTCGCATTGCCGACACAAAGTCTTGATATCAGCGACTCTTCTCGAGGTAATTTTGCTCTCTTACAGGCGCATGCTACGTCTCTTCTGATACAGTCGGGCCATACATCGTGTCGTCAGAGCAACACAGAATCAATTGCGACCCATCGGTAGCTCAAGCGACTGCGACACGCCTGCGAGCGATTGGACGATAAGCCATCGTCATCCAGCCATTGATGCGTGATGGGCTACAACGTGGCGTCGCTGTCGATCATGTTGACGCCCGTAAAAGCCGATCTAGACAGCGGCGGCGAATTTCTTGACAGACGGCTCGCGTGACTCTGACTTTGGCCCGTCAAGAGAGCTGCCGAGGCACGCCAGGAAATTTGACTTTCCAAAAATTCGAACGTGTTGATTGAGTGTTGGGCAGCGCAGCGCAGCGTGAGCGCTTTTGGCGCTCTTATCGGTGACTCGTGAGTTCTTCCAGAGGTGGCTGTCATATAAAGCTTCAGCTGACACCACCACCTCTTCTCTTCGCTCATTACGAAACACTTTGGAGCCACATCGAAATCCTCGCCTGCTCAGCACGATGCCCGCAATCACTGCCGCAGCTGCCGCTTCGCAAGCCCTTCAAGCCGCCTCCACCTCGACCCCGACCATGGCACCACTCAACGCCGAGCTCCTCCAGCTCGACCTCAACCCCACCCCCGCCGCACCAGACTTTACCAACCTCGTCTTTGGCCAGAAATTCTCCCCGCACATGCTCATCGTCAACTGGAATCACCGCACGGGCTGGTCGGCTCCGCTCATCAAGCCCTACGGTCCGCTCTCGCTCTCGCCTGCCGCGCCTGCTCTGCACTACGCCTCGGGCCTGTTCGAAGGTATGAAGGCGTACCGCTCCGCCGATGGGTCTGGTAAGATCCGTCTCTTCCGCGCAGACAAGAACATGGAGCGTATGAACCGCTCCGCCGCTCGAGCGGGTCTTCCCACGTTCGACGGGGACGAGTTCATCAAGCTCATCAAGACACTTGTCCGCATCGATCGGGAGCACGTCCCCTACGGTGAGGGACAGACGCTCTACCTGCGCCCCACACTCATCGGCACCCCGGACACGCTCGGTATGGGTGTCCCAACCGAAGCGCAGCTGTACTGCATCTGCAGTCCCGTCGGCAACTACTACTCCTCTGGTACGGGTAGCAAACCTGTGAGTCTGCTGGCTAGGACCGACGTGGTACGCGCCTGGCCCGGTGGTACGGGGTGCTACAAGCTCGCTGCCAACTACGCCGGCGCCACGAGACCCGCGATGGATGCGTTGCTGGAAGGCTACCACCAGGTGTTGTGGCTCTTCGGTCCGGATCGACAGCTCACCGAGGTCGGCGCAATGAACCTGTTCGTTGTGCTGCGCGATCAGAACGCGGATAGCGAGACGACGAGGTACGAAGTGGCAACCGCGGCGCTGGACGACGGAACCATCTTGCCCGGCGTCACGCGGGATAGCATCCTCTCGTTGCTGCGAGCGTACAAGGCCGGCAACGTGCAGATCGAGGGCCTGCCCAAGCCGGAGAATGTCGAGATCTCGGAGAGGAAGGTGACGATGGGCGAGATCATCGAGCGCGCGCAAGGTGGGCAGATCGCAGAGGTGTTTGGCTCGGGCACGGCAGCGGTTGTGTGCAGCGTGGACAAGATCGGTTTCGAAGGTGTGGATATTCCTATTCCGATCCAGGCGGATGGCATGGGGATGTTTATGAGGACCATGCTGCGCGAGGTTACGGGGAGGCAGTGGGGTGCGATCCCCTGTCCGGAGTGGAGCAGCGTCTGCTAGGCGGGTTCTGCGTACTGGTTTGGCTGGCCGCGCTTGTCTATTGGCAGGCCCTGCGTGACGATCTAGCAGGCCCTGCCTGCCATTCTGACTGTCGCCTTCCCGGCTCGAGCCGGGTTTCGGCACATCCGTTTCGCAATGTCTCCCTCTCTCATCCTCCTCGTCACACTACTCACACTGCGCTTCAAAGGCGCTTCCTGTATACCATTCCATCCATAACATAGACTGCAAAAAGACAATGCATTCACAAGACGCGGACTGACATTTAGATGGTGTATCGGAAGTACGGCGAGTCCTCCCCACGAAGCAGCACGTCGATCTTTCGTCTATCCGTCTCGCTCAAACCCGCCGAGTCCACACCCTTCTCTTCGTCCGCCTTGCTCTCCCTCCGTCCAATATCTCCTTCGGCCAAAGCAACACGTCTGTCCCGGCTCCTGTTGATACTCCAGAACCTCCAACTGAGTCCTGCTGAGACGAGCACGCCGAAGAGCAGCAGACCCGCACTAACGGCCGTGCCCTTGACATAGTACGGTGCCTCCTTTGCTGGGAACAGATGCGTCCCCAGCAGCGGCCCGCACTGTCCGATCGTCGCAAAGATAACCAGTCCCAGACCCTTCTTCGACTCGCTCGCCTGATTGTCCATCAACCACATGTACAGGATGGGAATGAAGGGGAAGAGACCGTTGACGATGAGCCAGATGCCGACGTAGCGTGCGGCGGTCGATCGGAGCGTGGCGAGCATGATGTAGCCTATCGCCCCCACCACGAGGAGCAGGGTGCAGATGGGACCACGGATCTGATATCGGTCCGTGAGCCAGCACAGGCTGAGAGAGATGATAAAGGCGAGCACGTACGGTGGTGCACTCAGGCCTTGCGCGCGGATGCTACCAAAACCCATCTCCGACACGAGCGTGGGGACGTAGACGGGTACAGAGGAGTAGCCCACGTTGATGATGAAGAAGAGCGCGGCGGTGATGTACGACATGGGATCGGTGAATGCCGAGGCTGCTTCGGACCAGTTGATGCGTTGCTTGGCGCGGGTCAGGCGTGAGGTGGCTGACTGGCCAGGTATGGCGGTGGGATCAGCTTCGGGCGGAGGTGGACGGAAGAGTCGCGCTTCCGCAATGGCCTTCTCGCGCTCGCTGAGGAAAGACGCCGTCTGAATGCTGTTTGGCAGCGCAAAGTAGGCAGCGGGAGCCATGAGCAGCGTGGGAACGCCTTCGACCAAGAACAGCAGGCGCCACGAGGCCACGTCCGTGTGAGCTCTCGCCAACCCGTACGCGATCGACCCCGCAACGGCCGCCGACACCGCACCCGCCGAAACAAAAACACCGAACCGCAACCCGATCTCTGTTCTCGGGTAGAAGAAGCTGAGGTACATCGCCCAACCCGTGCCGAAGCCGGCCTCGCTGACTCCCAAGAAGAATCTCGCCACCATCATGCCTTCCCAGTTGGTCGTCGCTGCCTGGCAGATGCCCGAGATGCCCCACACAGCCACGCAGAACGTCATCCAAATCCGCGGCGGCACCAGCTTGTACATCAGCACCTGGAACTGGAACACGATGTAGGCGATGTAGAAGATGGTGAGCAGCCACTGGAACTGCGCATCGCTCATGCGGAGCGACTTCTCCATGCCCGCCGTCTTGGCGTTGCCGATGTTGCTGCGGTCTAGAAGGGCACTGAAGTACAGCAGGAAGGAGGTTGTTACGATCCGGAGGTCTAGCTTGCGTCGAACGGTGGTCTCCTCGTCATCGGTCCACCATTTGGAGAGCTTGGCCAGGTAGGCGTCGTTTTGCGCTGCGTCCGCGGTAGGAGTTGGTGAAGTGGCGCCATCGCTGGCAGAGGTGACAGCCTTGTCGCTGATATCGTAGCCCATCTTGTCGAGCGTTTGTATATATGTAGAAGCAAATGCAGCAAGATGGTCGTGGTCGTAGAAGAAGAAGAAGGGAAGCCGACCTGCCTTGATGCACAATGAGGAAGCACACAATGAGGAGCGCGGCAGTCACCTGCAGCTGTTGCGCAACATGGGGGCTCTAGCGCGTGTGGGGTGGCCACAGCATCGTGTGTGGGGGCGACCGCATGGTTTCGGCATGCCCCACCCTGAAGGAGTCACGCCTCGAAGCTCGCTTAAGCACCACAATTGCCGCGAACCTCGCTTTGCAAGTTAAGATGGCCCGCCGGCGAATTTGTCCTTGACAGGCTTCTTACCGGTGCAAGCCGCGGGCGGAGTTTGGCTGCGGGTTTTGGTCGCTCCGCGTTTTTCGCCGCTGCAACTCACACGGCTCTCACAATGAAGCCGCTCGCCAAGTGGAACAAGTACATCATTGGTGTGTGGGTCTGCGAGATGAGATTGTGCGAACTGCTTCGATGATAGAGCAGACACGCTCGACGTGAACCCGGACGACGGGTGGCGCCGCGAAACGACGACAAAGAGGTTTGCTTTGGCTGTCAGCGAAGCGGCGAAGGGCTTGTGGGGCATTCTTATTATCTAACAACTAATTCTCTGAATGGATCGTTATCGATGCATCGGGTCTACTGAGGCGCGATCCCATGAACGCCGAGCGAGGAAAATTCATTTTGGCTTGAGGCTGGCAACTGTCAGCGGATAAAGAGCAAGCAAACGGCGGAGCTTGAACAAGGGCACAAAGCCTGTTCCACAACGGTTTGCTGCTCCCGTGTCTAGCTGCAGGCTTCCCGCTCTCGCGCATTTCAAAAGTGGACGCGTCAACTTGAACTGAAGCCAATACAATTCCTGCCAGGGTCTTGATGGCCGAGTTCAAGAGCGAAATCGCATGCACGTTGCTGTCGATCCTTCCTCTCTGGCTTCCAGCATAGCTAGACGGCAGGAAGCCCATCCGATAAGGCTCAGGTTCGATGATGGCTCGGAAGGTGCTGTCGCCGAGGACCAAATTGAAGCGCATTGATCTGCAGCCTTTTCGCCAAAAGTCGACGCTCGGGACAGTCACGTTCCCAGAGGACCCTGAACGCATAAATCCTCAGCCTTTGGTTCACCTTCCTCAGTGTGAAACTTCTTGCTGCATTCGGGCTTGACCCTGATCCGATTTGCCAAGGGTGCTCGCCCTTCCAGCAGTGGCGCCTTGTGCTGCTGTGCGCACGGGACTGAACGCCTCCTCGCAGCCAGGTGTTGTTCTCCCCGACTCCGGCCTTCTCGATCTCTCACCTGAGAACAAATTGCCGGTGTCCTCCGATTGCGTTTCTTCCTTCCCGTCCTCCTCAAGCTGAATCGTGTGTCGACTGTCCTACTTCGTTCGCGACCACCATCACCATCTCAAGCACCTCCTCACGCTCCCTCTCGAGCTACACGGTTAAAATGGCAGCAGTCAACGGCTCATCGAGCAACATCCAGGGCGTGCCCACGCACGTCAAGAGCATCTGCTGTATCGGTGCGGGCTACGTCGGTGGCCCCACTTGCTCCGTCATCGCGCTCAAGTGCCCCCACATCAAAGTCACCATCGTCGACATCAACCCGGTGCGAATTGCGGCGTGGAACTCGGACGTGCTTCCTGTCTACGAGCCGGGGCTGGACGAGGTGGTTCGCGAGTGTCGCGGTCGCAACCTCTTCTTCTCCACAGACGTCGATGCTGCGATCAAGGAAGCGGATTTGATCTTTGTCTCGGTCAACACGCCCACCAAGACGTCCGGTGTCGGCAAAGGTTTTGCTGCCGACCTGCACTACGTCGAGGCATCGACGCGACGCATTGCCTCGGTTGCCACGAGCAGCAAGATCATTGTCGAGAAATCGACGGTTCCCTGTCGAACTGCCGCGAGTATGCGAACCATCTTGGAGTCCAACTCGACCTTTGCGGCGGATGGGACGCAAATTTCGTTCCAGATCCTGTCCAATCCCGAGTTCCTAGCGGAGGGCACTGCGATTCGGGACCTGTTTGCGCCGGATCGCGTGCTGATCGGTTCGCTCGACACCCAACAGGGCAAAGCGGCGGCCAACGCGCTCAGCGAGGTATACGAGAACTGGGTCGACCGATCCAAAGTCTACCAAACCGGTCTTTGGTCTTCGGAGCTCTCCAAGCTCGCCGCCAACGCCCTCCTCGCCCAACGCATTTCGTCGATCAACTCGCTCGCTGCGATCTGCGAAGCCACCGGTGCCAACGTCGACGAAGTCGCCCACGCCTGCGGTCTCGACGGTCGAATCGGGAACAAGTTCCTCAAGGCCTCGGTCGGTTTTGGCGGCAGTTGCTTCCAAAAGGACATTTTGAACTTGGTCTACCTCTCCGAATCGCTCGGTCTCAAGGAGGTCAGCGACTACTGGCATCAGGTGATCAAGATGAACGAGTACTCCAAGGAGCGTTTTGCCCGCAAAGTCGTCTCGACGCTCTTCAACACGATCACGTTCAAGAAGATCGCCGTGCTCGGTTTCGCGTTTAAGAAGGATACGGGCGATACGCGGGAAGCGGCGGCGATCACGTTGTGCAAGTACTTCCGCCAGGAACGCGCCTTCATCGCCATCTACGATCCCAAGGTCACCACCAACCAAATCATGCTCGATCTCACCGAGCCCGGCGTGGTCGACGACGCAGAGGCTGTCAGGAAGCAGGTCAGGATCGCCACCAGCATGCAGGACGCCTGTGACGACGCAGAGGCCGTCATCATCTGCACCGAATGGGACGAGTTCAAGAACGCTTCTAAGCAGGAATGGGAGGCTATTTACAAGGCGATGAAGAAACCCTCGTTCCTGTTCGATGGACGAGGAATCGTGGATACCAAGATGCTCCGCGAGGTCGGGTTCAAGGTGCACGCCGTAGGCAAGGGCCCCGTCATCGTAGACCCCGTTTGGGCTTAGATGAGCTCCTCTCGAGAGAAGACGTTCAGTTACAGTCGTGTTGAGTTCAGTCCGGTCGTGGAATGCAACCCTTCTAGAAGCTTTGATGGGTTCGAATGCGAGAGAGTGCGAGTGTGGTGATACAAATGCAGATAGTGTCCTTTAGAAGAGAAAATGCGTCTGGCAAAAGAGCCAGAATGGCAGCGCTACGATTGCCACGGCTACAACGTCGTGACGCCAAGCGCCCGACCTTGTCCTGCCTCCTGATGTCGTGTTCTGTGTTCGATCGCTGACCAATGGTGGGTCGTCGTCGTCCTTTCTACGCTGGTTGGTGAGCGGCAGATAGCCGTCGCTCGCTACTGACGTTGATTTGAACCACCGCGGCCAAGCTTTGAGCCCGACCAGCGTGATGAAAAAAAACGGCAGGTAGAGATGCGTCCAAATGCCGATCTGATCGGGCAGCAGACAGGGCGTGTATGCGATCGACGCATGAGCCTGCCGACCTGGACTGGCGATCGAAGTCGGCGGCGGAGAGAACAGGCTGAGTCGTGCAAAGCCTGGTCTGCGCACGCCTTCGGTCATGCTGACCGACTTGACGGTGAGTTCTGGGATCTCCTTGTCCCGGAAGTCTTGCACGAAGGAACGGGTGACGTTGCTGACCTTGCTCACTCTGGCGTGTCGGAACTCGCAGTGGTCGTGATCGTCGCCGCTGAAGACTGCTACGGGGTCGATCGACGCCAAGAGCCAGTCTGAAACGGTGGAAGAGACCTCGTTCTGGTATGTCGACCCTCGATCTGTTCCTTGATGGAGCGGTCGGGTTGATTCGCGGTAGACGCCGTGCCGTGATGACCTAGCTGTGTCGTCGCATCTTGCGCCTGTCGGCCTATGCAGGGGCACGTGGGTGAACAGCACGCGAGGTAGGTGAATGCCGCTGCGCTTGACGGACTCGACAAAGTCGTACGTCTCCTTGTAGACGCTGTGTGCGTTGTCGCCGAGTTGACCATCCAGCTTGCCCGGATGTTCCGAGGACAGATGCGTGTCGAACGGTCCTCCACCTTCCCGCTCCATGCCGACCAAGTCTTGTGCGTTGACAAGGATCAGCTCGTGTGTCGCACCGAGTGTCGGATCTGACGAGACGAGTATGCGGCCGTTGAGACTGGACTGTAGGAACGAGTCTCGATCTTTGACCACGAATCCTCCGCCGTCGATCTTGAGGCCGAAATCCTTGTTGAATCGTTCAATGGCATCATCGCTTGCCAACGAATCTGACCGGTGACCCGCACTGGTACCAGGCAATCCGATGTCGTGATTGCCCGAGAGATAGAACGTCGGAATGAAGTCGGCCGCCGAAGTCCGTGGCACGACCAGCTGCCTTGTGGTGCTCAACGTCGACGCAACAGCCTCCCAATCCGCCTCTCTCGGCCTCCAAAAGATGTTATGAAACCGCCTCACCAGCGCCTCCCACTCGGCCTGAGACCGCCCTCGTCTTCCACCATCTGTGAGATCGCCCATCCAGACCACTCCATCTGGCGGCTGCACTAGCCCCGATTTGGGCGCCTCCGTCCATCTCGTCGTCCCTGGCGAATTTGGCGCAGTCACGTAGCCTCGACTCCACCACTTGTTCGGATTGACCGCCAAGCTCGTCCAGACGTTCTTGAGGTAGTTGTCCGAGAAATGACGTACGATGGGATAGACCAGCCCGGGCAGGTCCGGGTAGGTGTCGCGGTCGATGATCTGCGGATCTGTCACGAGCAACACGTGAACAGCAACTCGTGAGGAGGACGAAGTGGGTGGTTCGGGCCATCGACAGCTGTTGGCTGCGCTGTGAAAGACCACTCGCTCGCCGTAGAAGAGCAGCGCGAGCCAGAGGAGACGGAAGGTGGTGACATGGGTGGATCCGGTGAGAAAGTGAAGCACCCGTTGCGCAGCTTGCACCCCACGATGGGATGAAGGGTCTTGCATGGCTTGCTCAGGCGCAGATGTCAGATCATCGATGCGTGTGACTGGATGCCTAGATGTGATTGTTGTCAATCATATGAATCGATCGTGGGTAGTTGCAAGGTAAGGTGCTCAGGCCAGTTTCAAGAAGCAACGAGGACAAGGTTGACTTTAGAGATGGTCCCACCGGCGATTTGGGTTAAAGCTTCTTGGCGGCTGACCTGAATTGCCAAGAGAAGCTCAAGTCGAGCCTTGACATGTGTTCAAGCAGTCCCGAGATGGTCTGTTCATCACCGAGCAGGTCTCTTTGAGCTTTTGATGAGCATTGTGAGGGACAATGGGCGTAACACCATACGACCAAATTCCCGTCCCACGCGTGTGCAGCCTTGTGCGTGCCAACAGCGTCATCTTTCGGTCGGATTTCGCGGTGAATTTGGCTCGGCTAACCAAAAGTTCGTCAACGAAAGACTTTTTGCGGAGATGGCTCAGCCGTGCCTGGTGTTGACCGTCCTCTTTTCTCCACCATCACGGCGACGAACATTTCACATCCGCAGCATCTTCAACGGAGCATCTCTAGATACAAGCGCATACACGGCAGTGATCATAGCCATTTCAAGTCGAGCCGTAAGCGCTCGTCCTCGAGCTCAGAAGCAAGATGCTGCCAACAGGAGCTGCTGCACCATTGCGCTTGGCCGGTCGAGGCGCCAGATCTCTCCCCTCGAACCTCTCCAAATGCGCTTCTACAGCAAGAGCAGCGTCGCGGACGAGGCAGATCAGCACTGCGGTGCTCTCGCCAGCGGGTTGCTGCCGCCGCGCATACCCAGTCTCTTCGTCCTCAGCAGTCAAACTTGGCCCCAGCACATCCAGACACTTCACATCGGCATCAACTCGGTCATCGCAACAGCCATTCCAGTTTCTCACGGCGTACGCATTCCAGGGCAAGCCTCGTCGCTCCGAGGACCTCTCACAGGAAGGTGACCCGTCAGCGTCTGCATCTGCCACCGAAGAAGACGGTCAATCGTCAGCAGCATCTGACGCGAGTTCACGGAAGAAGGAGATCGGCTTCCCTGCCGACAGCGAGATCGGTCGGTGGAGGGACGAGCTATTGGGGGGTGGTGAGGCAGGGGAAGACTCGTTGATGTGCACGTCCATGGGTAAGGCAGGCGACATGGCGATAGGTGTAGCAGATGGAGTAGGTGGATGGACCGAGAACGGCATCGACCCCTCTCTCTTCTCCCAAGCGCTCATGTTCTACGCCTCCAGGTCAGCAGCACAAGCTTCAGCAGAGCCCGACTCGGGGATCGCACCCAACCGCATCCTCGCCGAATCATTCGAGCAAGTCCTCAAGGAGCCTCTTGTAGTCGCCGGCAGTGCAACCGCATGCATCCTCACGCTCGACTCGACCACTGGTAAGCTCCAATCCGCCAACCTCGGCGACTCTGGCTTCGTCATCCTTCGTCAGGGCACGGGCAAGCAGGGCGTATTTCACGCCAGCCCACCTCAACAGCTTGGCTTCAACACCCCCTTGCAGCTCGCCAAGCTGCCCAAAGAATGGGCCCAGGAAGGCTCGATCGCCAACACGCCCAAGGACGCGGCTGCGTGGGACTGCACGCTCCAGCACGGCGATCTCATCATTGTCGGCACCGATGGGTTGTTCGACAACGTAGACGCCAAGAACGAGATCCCGCAATTCGCCAAGTTCATCAAGGAGAAGCATCACGCTTCGTACACGGCGAGACACGCTGGCGCGGATAAGGCGGATAAGCAGGACAGTCTGGAAGAGGATAGGGAGTTTGTCCAGGTGTTGGCGACGAATCTGGTAGAGTACGCAAAGATCTGCCAGAACTCGACCACCAAGCAGAGCCCTTTCGAGAGGGAAGCGGCCAGGTATGGGATTCATTTTCCCGGAGGAAAGATCGATGATGTTGCGCTGGTGTGCTGTCTTGTCATTGAGCGCTAGGGGAGGGGATCGTTTCATGGCCTTTGTACTTTTAGACATTCATCCTGCAGGGGAACACATTCGTTTGGTCCAAGTTCAACGCCGCTTCAATGAGGCTGCTGGTCGATCGAGCGGCTGACGATCAGGGTAGAGCTGTGTTGGTGAGGCACCGTTGAACATCGCTCTTGCGGAGAGGAAAAAAATTAGGCAGCAGCGCGCTCTCGCGATTTTGCAGGCTGAAGCCTCCACTTCCGCACGGGCAGCAGTCGCCGTACTCACCCGCAACCTCCGTCTCTCTAACCATCGCACATCGACACCGCTAACCTCGTAACTCACCACCCTCTTCAATCATCATTCGATCTTCAAATCACCGAAAGTCAGTCGCGTCATAAACAACAGCCTGCCAAGATGCAGACCAAGCACAGCTCCCGCGCGCATCGCCGACGATCGAGCTACGACGACCACAACGACGGCGACGATGAGGTCTCGTCGTGGGACTCGCTGTCCACTTCTCATCACAGCAGATCGACTTCTGCATCATCCTCGACATCGTCTGATGATGGAATCACATCCAAGCTGCCGACACTGCCCGACCTTCGCTTTGAGCAGTCGTATCTAGCGACCATCCGTGGGTTCCTTCATGAGGAGCACCCGTCGAAGTCGAGCGACGCATCCGAGTTCGTAGAGGAGAAGCATGGCCTCAAGACTGACGACAAGTCGAAAGAGGACCACCATCACAAGATCGCCATCACACATAGCAAGGCGAAGGACGAACACGAGCTGTGGCTCGGCAATCTTCGGGTGGAATGGTAAGTGTACCAACGCGGCGAAAGAACAGGCTCGAACAGACACGCTGACGTTTTTTCCTTCGTATTCACAGGTTTCCTATCCTTTACGTCACAGTCCGGGATCAGCTCCTTTCGCCATTGGTCCAAGGAGCCGTGTGGGGCTTGGGAGGTCTACTCCTGACACAGTTCCGCCAGTACCTTTCCGCACGAGCCAGCAGTCCACGCGTTGGCAGCTCCAAGCCGAAGCCGAGCATGCTGCGCAGTCTTGGGCTCAACAAGCGATGAATCGCCTCACAGTCACAGTCACACAACTCAATAACACCGATACCCATTCATCCATCCGGACCGACTGTGCAGATTTCAGCATCTTCCGTACGGCCGTCTATCTACAAATGGCTCTTGATCTGCTCAACCTTCTTCTGGTCCCAAGAGTATACCAGACCATGACCCAATTTCACCGCTCCCACCTCGCTTGCCGCCTCCTCCTGCGTCGCCGCCTTGAGCTGCGACACGAGTCGAGCCATGTCCGCGAACCCGGCCGCGCCATCCTTGCCGCCGATCCACAGCCGGATCAGGTAAACGTCCTGCTGGATGTGCTCCTCGTCCACGCTTACGCCTGCCAGCTTCTGCAGCTCGTTGCTCTGCGCCAAGGCGTCGATCTTCCAAGCCGTGTGTTGGAGCAGCAGCGCCGAACCCTGGATGGCCATGATCAAATCGAGGAGGTATCTGCTGAATCGCAGATCTGTCGTCTTCATGTGCCGTTCCAGGTCCAACCCTGTCAGGACCTCCGCGGTCTGTTTGAGGGTGGCGCCGAGGAACCTCACCTCGTCTTGCACCTGCCCCGCCAGCTTGGCGGGTAGACTCTTGATCACGCCGCCAATGTCCTCGAAGAACTCGATCAGCGCTTGACCCTTGGACTGAACGAGAACGCGAAGCACATCTAACGACAAAATCGCTGGTGTCCCTTCCCAGATTCGCTCGACGCTTCCGTCGCGAAGCATCTCGCCCATGCCTACCTCCTCCATGTACCCCTGTCCACCGAAGCTTTCCATCAGCGTGAGGTAGCATTCGGAGGCGCGGGTGGCGACAAACGCCTTCAACGCTGGCGTGAGCAGTCTCAGTCTCGTTTGATCGCGCTTTGTCGCCTGACCCGATTCGCTCGCCCCCATGAGCAGTACATTGGTGAAGAAGATCTGGAGGAAGACGCGGTAGGTAACGGTGACTTTGAGCAGTTGGTCGGTGTGCAGGGGGAGGTTGTCTAGTCGACCACCACCCAGAGCAGGTCGGATCTGGGCGTAGGCAGTGGCCGAACGAAGACCCCACGACAATGCACCGACTGCGCCACCTGCAGAGTACAACCGAGTGATGTTGAGTACAGAGGAGATCGTGGCGACTCCCCGACCGAGCGGGCCGACGAGCTCGCCGATGCAGTTGTCCAATTCGAGCTCTGCGGTAGGTAGATACTTTGTTCCCAACTTCCGTTTGAGCCGATGAACGCGGATGCCGTTGAGCTTGCCCGTCGCGTCATCGCGGATCTTGATCAGGAACAACGACAACCCTTTGCTGCCTTGCGTCAAGTCGGTGTTGGTTCGTGCTAGGGCGAGAGCGATATCGCCGTCCGTGGCGGAGGAGAACCACTTGAAGCCCGAAATGACGAACTTGTCGCCGGGGGCAGTTCGGGTCTCGTCGAGGGGTACCGCAGTGGTTTCAGTGCGAGAGACGTCGGATCCACCAGGACGCTCGGTCATCCACTGACCTGCTGTCCACGCTGTCTTTGGGTCGGTACTGACGAGCTTGGGAATGTTTTCCCGTCGCTGCGACTCGGTGCCGAACAGCTCGAGCACGCGCACCGCACCATCGGTCATGCTGATCGGGCACAGCACGACTTTGCTGACTGGGGTGAACATGACGCTTCGAGTGAAGGCGAAGAGGCGGGCGAACTGACCGAGTTTGGATCGACCTCCGCCGCGGATGGCCTCAGCACAGGTGTAGGATTCGGATACGATGCCTTCACTGGCAGCAACGCCTTTGAGCCGCTTCCACCCTTCGCCGGTGACAAGCTTGTCGACGCGTTGACCCCACGCATCGTACTGGACCAGCGTGGGCTCGTGTTGCGGGGTATCGAGCGTCGAAGCGATATCGGCGTACTCGCCCTCAATGCGGTCGCCGAGGGTGGTGAAGTTGGCGAAGAGCGGAGAGATTTGGGCGGGCGACAGGGCGTGAGGGCCCGATGAGAGGAGGCGCAGGATGGTGAGTCGGAGTGCCGGGTCCGACGTCCAAGGCGAGGCCACACGGAATCGCTCGAATTGAAATCCTTCTTCCGCTCGCATGATTGTGAGATGCTTCCGATGGTGTGAGTGAGGTTGGTGGTGAGGAGGAGAGAGAAGCATGTGAGGAGGAGGCGCTGGTGTCACTTGTGGGGGCGATCCCAAAGTGCGGGGTACGTGCGTGTGTGCGGCAGCTGAGCTCCGGCTCAACCGGCAGCTGAAACTCGTTTATGCGTGTTTCAACGTGATTTTCTTGGGACCCTGAGCCGAAGACCCTCTCCGATACCGCGGAACGTGAGCCGTGATCCTGGCTCACAGGCCCCTTTTGTCAAGGCTTTGCCCACAATCACATCGTCAGACAACACGAGTGCGTTCCGAATGAGGATGTCCTATTCTATGAGATGCAGAGTGAAGGTGTTCGATACTCTTCTTTTTACGCTGACGAAGTCTCCTCGGTCCTCGCGGGCATGGGGAAGAACTGCCTCGGCAGAACATCTACCATCTCAGGCGTCAACTGGTCCAACGAGGTGACACCGAGCAGCTGCATTCCCCTCTGGATCTCATCCTGTAGAATCTGAATCGCCCTTGTCACGCCTGCCTCGCCGTACCCGCTCTGAGCGTACAGGAACGGCCTCCCCAACCCGACCGCCTTAGCTCCCAGCGCTACGGCCTTCAGAACATCCGTCCCCCGCCTCACGCCTCCATCCATGAACACTTCCACCTTGTCAAACAGATCCGGCCGTCTCTGCCTCAGATCGATCAACACGTCCAGTGCGGCGGGTGCGTATTCGAGACTCCTGCCACCGTGGTTGCTCAGCACGACACCATCCACGCCGTGCTTGGCTGCCAGCTCGACATCCTCCACGGTCTGCACGCCCTTGAGATACAGCGGCAGCTTGCAGGTCTTGCGGAACCATTTGATGTCGTCCCACGTCAGATTTGGTTCGATGTACCCCGAAATCGCTTGGGCGACACCGCCGCCGGGGTTCTTGATGTCCTTGCCGTGGTCGACGCCCATCTCGACCTCCTCCCCCTTAGCCCGCATGTCGCGCTCTCGCTTGCCCATCACAGGCGCATCCACCGTCAGCATCACCGCCGACACACCCTTTCCCTCTACTTTGCGCAAGATGCGCTCCGACGCAGCGCGGTCCTTGTTAACGTAGAGCTGGTAGATGACGGGCTGACCGGGTTGGCGTGCGTCGAGCATCTCGTCGAGTCCGACCGAGGCGTTGGCGGAGATGCCTTGGATGATGGCCGCTTTACCTGCGCCACGGGTGAGGTTGAGCTCGCCGTCCGGATGACCCAGCTTGGCCATGGCTGCGGGCGACACGTAGATTGGTAGCGCGCAGTCGAACCCTCCCGACGAAGAGGTGGGGACGAGGTGGACGGAGCTATCGATCTGACCGATGGCACGCAGGATCCGCGGTCGGAAAACAACGCGGTTGAAGCTCGCCCGGTTCTGCGCTTTGGTGATCTCGTCGTCGGCGGCGGACGAGTAGTACGCCCACGCCTGGTCGGTCAGAATGCTCTCTGCGATGCGTTCAAAGTCGTCCAGGTTGAGCACGCTTCCGAGGCTCGGCAGGTTTTCGCGCGCAATGCGCCTCTTGCGGTCCTTTTCGCTCTCCTCCCCGGCCTGCTTGACGACTACCGTGGAAGGATCGACACTGCCCACGTGTGCGGAGGAGTCGAGGTTGTCGGCAATCGCAGTGGGCGGGTGGATGGGCTCGTAGATCTCCGTCACGTCCGTACCCGCGTTTTTGAGGATGATGTTGCGTCCACCGGGATGATTGTCGACAAACTCGGTGACGTCGTAGACTTCGCCCTTGATGACCACCCACAGTCCCTGGCCGCCTTCTGAAGGCAGCTTATTGTACTGCGCGACGGTGGACATGGAGATGAGCTTGTTGTCGGGATCGGAGGCTGCGGCGGGCGCGACGGTGGAGGGTGGAGAGCGCGCTTGCTCGCTATGCACGCTGCCGTTGGGGATGGACGAGGCGAGCAGGGCGAGACCGACCAGACCTGCGACGAGGCCCTTGACGTTGCTGCTACCATTGCGGGCCGTGCTAGAGCTGGAAGAGGAGAGGGCGCGAAGTTGGTGCGATCTCGGCGTTGATGAACGGAGCAGCGTCGAGCTGCCTGGTTTCGAACGTATCGAGTTGCGAAGAGCGGCCTTGAACATCTTTGCCACGTTGACGAGTGATGATGATGATGGTGGTGAACGAGCAAGTTGCTGCTTCTCCCAGTGTCCGATGTCCCACAAGCTTAAGAAGCTTTCGCCAAACTCGCTCGCTCAACACGCCGACCAATGACAGATCGGTCAATTGACCGGTTCCTTCTCTCGTCGCCGAGCAGCGCCGAGAGTATCAACCCCACTCGACCCCATGTCAATCTTCTCCTTCTCGAGCCGCACTGAGCAAAGACCCTTTTGGTGGGCGGCAAAACCGTTTCGACCTTTCTCCGGATCTTCCGTCCCCGCGTGCGAGATATTCCATTTTGAAAATGCCTCGCTGTGAGGGATTGAAATTCGTGCAGGTCGAATACAAGCCACAGCAACCCTCTGATTAGAAATTGCGGTCCGTGGTTCCGTTTGGACCCTGAACGCGGGCAGTAATCTTACAGGTTGCGAAAATCCATCGGCCTGAAGCTCGGCCAACCCACGGCGTCCTAAAACAGAGAGAGCGCGTCGCTGGCTTGCTGGCCGGCAGTGACTCAAAGCCGACACATGCTTTTCCGCAAACCATTGCCTTCATCGTCCACTGCAAACGTCCTCGCGATGGTTCTGACAACCTCTTCCAGCCGACAAAAGCTGTTCCGCAATGACATTCCTCCATGATCGACTCGCATATTGTCGATATGGTTGATGAGCAACTCGCGGAAACAGCCGCAGTCACAACGGGCCTCTCCATGCTCCAAGCGAGCGATCACAGCACTTAGGATACTTGGGCAAACGGATCGATTCGAGATTACGGACGACATGGTTTAACGGCGAAGCAGGAACAGAGAACGTGATGACAGGATGCAAGAAGGGTATAAGCAGATAGCAGTGCGATACACGACGGACAAGGCGATGGCGGCAGAGTTTGAGACAGACTGGCCCTCGAAGGAAAGCACTAGGCAGCTTCACCGTCACCGACAACACGGCGTGAGCTCATCCTTGGCGACGTTCGACGGCTCGAAGACACGGAAGAGGGAGATCCCTCTTTCACCGTCCTCTCCGCTGCAGCCTCATCGACAGCTTCCTCCTTCGCGTCATCGTCGCTCTTGACACGCTTGTTCGCCTCGTCCACCGTCTCAGCAGCGACGGACTCTGTAGCAGCTTCAGCGTGCACCTCGTGGCTAAGTGCGCTCGCCTTGCGCTTGGATGCAGTGGCAGGTACTCCCAGCTTGACCTCGTTCTGGTCGGCATCCTCCGTGTCGAGCAGAGGCTCCATGGTGATGGCGCTGGCAGCGAGCGGACTGCTCTGGAAAGGCGCAGTGGAAGAAAGGCCGTGATGGTTCTTGCTGTTGTCGGGGGGACTCGTGCCACGCGAAGGCGAGCTGCGGTTGTTGCGTCCATTGCCTGCAGCAGTGCTGCTCGCGTCCTCTTCGGCTGGGGCGACCGATCCGGAACGCGTGCCTGAACGTCGCGTAGACGAGGCCTGAGCTGTGATAGGTGCCGGCGAGGATGCCCTCGACGCAGGTCGACGCGATCGGCTTGTCGAGGGGACCGTGAGATGAGTCTCGGATGACGGCTTGACTGCGCTACGGCCTCGAGAAGAGTCACGGCTCATAGCTTGAGCAGTCGCATCTGCCTTGGAACTGCTGGCCGCAACGGCTTGAGCGACAGCAGTGGCGTGAAGACCACCACCGACGGTAGCATAGGGACTGCTGCTCTTGCGCTTCTTGCCGAGGCCCTTGACGCCGAGATGCTCGAGTTCAGCCTTGGAAGCGAGCTTCTTGGCAGCTTCGCGCTTTGCCGTCTGGATCGCTTTTTGCTGAGCTTCACGTGCTTTGGCGAGAGCAGTGCCAGGAGCACCAGGATATCGATCATTGGTGAGCGAGTAGATCTCGGATCGCTTGCCTGAGTTGGGGTCGAAGAGTGGGTGCGAGCCTTCGGCCGACCAGTGCGGCACGTTGGTGGTCACGATCGGCACAGACTGCTCGTCCTTATTCTGAGAGCGTGTGGTCACTGCGGTATCCTTGGTGACGATTGAGAGCGTAGGAGCTCGGAATGCTTGGAATTTGCGACCGCGCTTGGAGCCAGCGGCGTAGACCGTGCCGGTAGAGGACCTGACGAAGGACGAGGAAGGTGGCGGAGAGCCGGCAGCCGATGAAGAAGAGGAGGATGAGGATGCCGAAGCGGAAGCGGCAGCAGCTTGAAGGGCTTGAAGGGCGAGAATCTGGTTCTGCTTGGCAGCGAGCGCGATCCGGCTGAGCGGAGCCGGCATAGGCTGCGACGAGCGCATCGATGGCGGAAGAGGGCCCAGCGAGCTGTAGCCCCGAGGTGGAACAGGCACGGCGGATGTCATGTTGCCGTGATGGAGGGAGATCGCGAAGAGCTCGTGGCGTTGACTCGAGCGAAGAGGCGCGTTGATAGCTGGTGAGGCCGCGAAGCCGTCCTGCTGCGATGGTGTTGAAGCGGAAAGGGCTGGCGTTTGCTACGCAAATAGGCTGCTTCAAGGAGAACAGCTAGCCGACGGAGATAATAAGCAGCTGGATAGGATGGTGGCAGCGATGGTGGTGGAAGCGTGCGGTGCGGGTGATGAAGGCGGGATGGATGGGATGGGATGGCGACTGGGGGGAGCTGGTGCTGAGCATGCGAGGGAAGGGTTTTCTTGCGGGACGAGGCATGCGCATGCACTTACGAACGACCCTTTGGCGAGCAGCGGACGAGGCGGCTTGGACAGCGTCACCGACCAAGCCAGGGAGAGGATTGTGACATTAGGTTTGGCTCTCGACTGATTTTTGGTTGCTTTGAGCAAGGGCAGGGCAGGCAGCACCGGGTATCGTTTCGCTTGGGACGCGGCCAGACAAGCTCAATTTCTTTCTTGGTGGACTGTCCGACGACGCCCTCGGAGAGTGAAATGACTCTCTGCCCACCTGCAGCCAAACAGTCAACGAGAATTTTGACCAAAACTAAAGTGACGACGAAGAAGGGTCCAATCGAGATGACTGTTCCAGTGCCTCTCACCCCGCCCTCAGCATCAATTATGATGCACGATCCACTCGAGAAACCCTTTCTTTCTCCCACCTCGTCACGGCGCCGACGCCGGTATCTTTCCTATCGCACCTCAGGCTCGGTCTCTTCGGACAAGGATCATCGTGATTGCGATGCGATGCCTAACGAACCTTTCGTCACTCCATTTTCCGACCACGCAGAGCGAGTATAGTCCGCCAAAGAAGCGGGGCTGGGGTCAGGCGATACCCAAATCCAGAAAAAACTCTAAACTTGCATTTGCGAGCGACGAACGGAGTTTCAAGGGCGCTGGCTCTCCTTTGGCCCCCGTCGTCTGACGCCGACCTGATCGAGACCAAGCTCGACGGCCGATTCTTCCAATGCAAGAGGAGCGCTTGACTTTCCTGAAGGTCGAGGATCACTTCTCTTGCAGAACGGGATGTGTCTACCTCTCAATGAAGCATCGACACGACCAGCACGATCGAATGTGTGCTCTGCAGAAGGTCGGCACTACCTGCTCGAATTATACCGACGGTAATGCTTCCTTCGCCCGTTCCCGCGAGTTTCGGGACGCCTTGCGAGGAGACTTCTGACATTTGTCTGCGAGCGTCCGTCATCTCCCTGCCTGTCGAGGACAAGCTGTCCGGATGAGGGCCGATCAGCAACATGGGCGGTCTGTGATTGGGAGAGTGGCACAGGTCCACACGCTTACCGGATGACCCGCATCGAGACCCTGAACCGTGAGATGGTCCCTGCAGCTCATTAAAAAGTGATCTCGTGCGAAAATGAGTTCAAAGTGGAGCAACTGCCTGCCATCCATCAAGGGCTTGGCAGTCATCCGCTGCGCGATGCTGACATTCCACCTCCTACCTCTTCGCACACAGCCCCGACGGATCATCCGCTCCTTCCATCATTGAGCTCACCTCACTGTCGCTTTCCGAGTCGCTTACATCAAGACGGCATCCCGGTCCGAATCGCGAATCGTTTCGGCCTCACTTACGAAGATCACGACCAGGAGAAACCCATCCGCTACCACAGCAGAGACGACGGTTCGACAGGCCCGACGGCGGTCCATACGACCATGATTTCACGGCCAACAACGCCCATTCTCCATCAAGGTGGCTCGAGCAATCAGCCATCGGGGCGGAACTCGATGGACCAAGGGCGTCGAAGCATCACCATCGAGGAGCCCGAACGACCGCGACCAGCCGCCAGTCACACTTCGCTTACCTCTGGAACCACCACCGGCTCTTCCTCTCCGTCCCGCTCCGCTATCGTCGGCGATGGCTCATACGGTGGACGACGAGGCGGGCCAGCGATGAGCAAGAGTCGCACCAGCTCCTCGGGTGGTCTCAGCGATGTCAAGGCGGGCTATGAGCGCAGGGTTGGCTTTGACACCATGCCCGATGCCGACGAGACGAGCTCCGGCGCCTTCAGCTTTACCTTGCAAGTCAAGTCTCGCGGCTTCATGCGGACGAAGAACACGCGAACATTCATGGTGGCGGTAGACGACAATGCGCACTCCGAACGCGCGCTCGAGTGGCTTATGGAGAACCTGGTGGAGGACGGAGACGAGGTGGTGGCTGTGCGCATCCTCGACGAGGAAGCGTACCAGATCGACCAGGAGGACGCACGTGAGGAGGCGCGCGAACTCATGGCATCCATCGTCGAGCTCAACGAGGAGGCGGAAGACAGGCGCATCTCGATCGTCGTCGAGTTCGTCGCTGGTAAAGTGACACCGACGATTCTCGAGATCATCCACGTCTATCGCCCAGACAGCCTGACCGTGGGCACACAGGGAAAGTCGGCCAACAAGTTTCAGAAGATGCTTGGACAGCACCACATGGGTCACGTCAGCCGAGACATCCTCACCTCGTCGCCCGTGCCCGTGGTCGTGGTGAGACCGGAGGCAAAAGTGCAGAAGCACCTCAACAAGCGTCAGAACGATCCCAAACGCAGAGGCTACCATAACCTGGTCAAGGGCAACGGCGATCTGCCCATGAGCATCACCAAGAAGAAGCGCCGTTCGTTGCAGATTCCGACTTGATAGACACACGCCTTGATAGAGCTCCTCGACACGGGCATCATCGTCACCTTTGGCTCGCCGCAATTGTATTTGTATTCCCGCAGTAGACGCAACCTCGGTATCTCCATTCAAAGCTGGGGATGCTTTTCAAGAGGCTGAGCAGCCGAACAGCGTCTCAATGTGCACTGCTCATGAGAGGACAACGTCTGTGCGGCGCAGCGCTTTATCTTTCCCACAGGGAAGCGCAGCGCGTTCATTGGACCGCCTAATTTTGATCGACGCTCGGGCAAATCCGAACGCATCTAGCCGAGTTCACAGCTTCATCCTTCGGGATTGGGTCACTCCAGAGACCCACCAAGTTTGTGGGCAGCCGCGACGGACTGGCCGATGACGTTCATGTCTGCTGGTTGCTCGCTGAGGAAGGAGGTGGCGTGAGGAGTGTGAGATCAGCTCAAAAGAGAGGGCTTCGGGCGGACCGAGCCGAGGCGGTAGCTGAGAAGAACCGCCTTATCGGGCACCGTGCGAATTTGCGGGTGCGCCGCTCTTCACTTTGAAGAAGAGATCAAGGTGTCGTGTGCTCTCAACCCCCCCCCCCCCCCCCCCCCCCCCCCCCCCCCCCCCCCCCCCCCCC